GTAATAGTCTACCTTATAATAAGGAATAGAATAGTTCTTATAACTAGTTATATAAGACCTATATAGTAGAAAATTAGTCTTATATTTATTATAAATATAATTTTTTCTTCTTTATAATAGTTTTATTTTTCTATCTTTTTTCTTTTTTTATTAATAATACTAGGGTTTTGTTATTTATAAAATATTTCTTATAGGCTTATAGATATTATAGGTTTATAAGAGACTCCTTTATAGTCTTCTTAACCTAACTATTTAATAATAGTATTTATAAGGTTCTCTACTAGCCCTAGGATCTTAACTCTATATTTATAATTATCCTTACTTATAAATTATATTTTAAACTATTTATAAGTATTAATATCTTCTATTTCCTAGTATTTATACAGTATTAAAATATAAAAGATATTATAAACTTTTAATCTTATAAGTAACTCTATTCTATAGGTATTCTTTCTATATACTTAACTATCTATTAAGGCCTTACGTATAATTAATTAAGCTTCTTATTTAGGTATATTTATAACTAGTTCTTATTAGTAATCTAAATATATTTATTAATCTTAAAGGTCTTCTCTCTTTACTTTATATTATACTACTTAGCCTATTATTCTTAGGCCTTTATAATATTCTTATATATAGCTTTATAGATTTCCTAGATATAAATAGTATAGTTTTTAACTTTATAACTTATCTCTCCTCTTATATAGAGGTTAAATATAATTACTTATAAATCTATTTTATATGAAATTTAAAATAATAAAAACTTTATTAATATTTATTATAAATTATTATATATAAACTTTATAAGAGAGATATAATCTATCTAGTTATTTTATAAGAAGTTAATATAGCCTTATAAGTATTATTTAAGAATATTATTTAACCTCTCTATCTAGTTATTTATTTAAGAATAGTATATAATATTAAATACTTAATTTATAAGTTATAAATAAAGTTTAATTAAAAGTCCTTTATAAAGATACTTTCTTAATTAATAATTATATTTATAGATATTCTATAGAGGTAAAATATTTTATAAATAATTAAAAATATAAGCTTTTTACTAGTAATAGTCTTTTATATAAAAATAAAGTATATTATTTTACTTATTTTATTTATAATAATAAGAATAGTATTACATATCTTTTATAAGCTACTTAAATCTTTACATTTAATACTTATAGGTAGATTAGTAATAAAGTTTATATTAATCTATTCTTATAGCTTATAAAGAATAAATAAGAGTTAAAGTAAGCCTTATTACTTATTATAAATAATATAAGAGCTCTAGTAGATATTATAAATCTTATAATAGTTTATTATATAGTCTTATATATTTAGCTAGAAGAATCTTTATAAGACTAGTTTATAAATTTATTTCTTTATAAAGTAGCTTATTATTAGATTATTATATAGCTTTATAAGGATCTTTATTTATAATTAATAATAATCTAGGATATAAAGCTTCTCTTAGTAATAAAAAAGTCTATTTAAATTCTTATTTAATTTAAGATTAAGGCTTATTCTTTTTTTAATTAAAGTTCTTTTTATAACTCTTATAATTATTTAAGGTACTTATAATCTTTCTTATAAGATTATTTTATAATAAGAGAGTAAGAATACTCTTAATTAAATATTATAAAGAATTATTCTAAAATAAGTCTTTTTTTATAAGCTTATTATATTTTTTTATATAGGATCTCTATTTCTAGGAGGTTTTTTATAGTAATTTTAATTATAATTATAAACTATTCTTTTTTACCTAGATATCTAAGATTTATAATCTTTTATAATTATAATATTACTACCCTCTAATTTATATATAAACCTTTATAAAGCCTAGACTATTATAATATTAATAGTATTTATTTTATAAGAGAATATTTTTAGAGTCATTTATATATCTATAAATTTTAATTATATAAGTAATTTATTCTTAGCTTACTTTGTATAACTATCTTAGTCTTTCTTATATTAATTCTTTATTAGGTAATTAACTCTTTATAAGATACTATTTATAGGGTTTAACTTTCTTATATAATAAGTAATCTAAAACCTAAACCCTATTAAGAATTAAAATTAGAAAATTTATATTTATAATAATATCTTTATTAATAATTAAAATATACTTAGTATCTTATAATTAGTAATAATCTTAATCTTATAATGATTATTTTATACATAGTATTTCTATTTCTTAAAACTTTATAATTATAACTCTTACTTACTTATTATATAATTTCTCTCTACTTAAGATAATTTTTATAAAAAAAAGACTACTAGCCTCTATATCTTATCTAAATATAATTAAGGAAGGACTCTATAGAACTCTTTACTTAAGATATTTATCTTTAGCCTAGCTAGTAAATCCTTTATAAAATAGTTTAAATAAACTATTTTTATAAACTTCTTTTTTTAGGATTTCTATAGCTTTGTAACTCTTTAGGATTATAATATTTTTTATTCTTAATAATTTATACTAGTTTATCTTTAGGCTTATAAAGAAGATCTATTAGTATTATAGTAATACTTATATAAAAGTATATAAACTACTAGTACTAGTTCATAAACCCTAAGAATATAAAAATATTATAAACTATCTCTAGTATTAATTAGTTATAAATAGTAGCTACTTATAATAATTCTATTTTAATTTTCTAAAGTATAATAATATACTCTAGAAAGTTAATTTATTATATTATAAAGATATATTTAATTTATAATAAAGGCTTACTTTCTATAGTCTTTTTAATACCTTATAATATAGTCCTAGTATAATCTTATATCCTATAAAAATATAATATTATTATCTACGTAGACTACTATAGTAATATCTAATAGATTATAAAATACCTAGTTTATATATACCTAGAATATTATGAATATATTAATAAGCCTAAAAGGTATTACTAAGTATTTAAATAGCCTATACTTAGTATAAAAGACTATTTTCTACTTATATCTCTTTATAATATATATCCTATAGTGGATATTATAAAGATTAACTTATATAAAAATTTTTATACTACTTAAATAGATAATTATCTTATTAATTAAAAAAAAGATAGTAATTCTTAAGAAATATTATATTTAATTTATAATAATTAATATATAGATTCTCCTATTCTTCTTAAATATATATAGTAGAGGTATATTTATAATAGACTTTAAAGATCTTATTTACCTCTTTATAAGTATAATTTAGATATATTTATAAATTATAACTAATTCTTATAGAGAGTAGTAATAAAAAGATTTAAATAAAGACTCTTTATTTAGCTTTAAATTAATCTTTAAATCTACTTCCTTATAATAAAAAGAGAATTTACTTACTTCTTTTTTAAAGAATATCTCTATAAGATTTTAATATATATTAGTAAATCCTTATTTATAATTATCTTTTTTATATTTATTATACTAACTTAGAATACCTATCTAGGGTCTTTATAAATATTATTTTAAAAATATTTAATAAATATACTCTACTTTTAGAGGATTTTTATAAAAGATATACTTTTCTTTAGTCTAATAAGTTTTAGAATTATAATTTTTTAATTATAATACTCTAAGAGTTACTTATAAGATATCTAAAGATATTATTATAAATATCTTAAACTCCTTCTAGATACTTTATAAGTCTTAAAGTTAAAAATATATTTTTATAATTTCTTTATTATATAGCTATTCTTTATTTATAGTTTATATAAAGATTTAATAAAATAGAAGATTCTATCTTACTTTATAAGTAAAAAGAGACTATATTAACTTTACTTCTATTATTTATATTTTATAATATATAGTAACTCTACTAGGTAGGGTTATTTTTATAAAGAGAAGTATTCTCTTTATAATAAACTACTCTCTATTAGTAAGAGTTAGTTATGTAGATATAATTTTATAAGTACTTTATATTAGGGCTATCTCTTACTATTATCCTTTATAAGGTCTATGTAGTTAGGCTTATAATAGCCTAGTTTTCTATAATAAAAAATATCCTTATAAGAGGTTACTATTATCTTATTATAATAAGTACTTAATTTAATATTAGCTTATTTTTTTATAATTAAAGTAACTCCTATTATAATCTTTATAAAGATAACTTAAAATATCTTTCTTTATATAGTATATAAATAGTCTATAGAATCTCCTATTTAAAAAGAAATTTATAAAGATTATCTTGAATTAATATATATATTATAAATAACTCTATACTCTATAATCCTTAGAGTATTAAATTAAGGTATAAGACTATAACATATAATAAATTATTCTTTATATAATTATTAATATTTCTAAAGGCTTTTATCTTTTATATAAATTTATAATAATTTATATATATAATAATACAATATTACTTATTCTTTATAAATAGCTATAAAAGTAGAGGTTTCTTTTAAAAATAAAGTATAAAATAATAACTTTATATAAGTATATTTATAAAAAAATACTATAATAATTTACTTTTAAAAGATTATATATAATATATTTTATTTATTATAATTTTTTACTTAATATTATAATTCTTTAATAATAAGGTTTATAAAGTCTTTAATTTTATTTTAGTTATTTTTATAAAGGGTTTATTAATTAGATATCTTAAAAATTACTCTTAAATTAGTAAGTATAAAAGTAGATATTTATAAAGATTTTAAATCTTTATTAATTAAGAATATTATTCCTTTTTATAAAAAATAAATTATATTTAAGATTTTTAAAGAGCCTAGTTTACTATTATAAAATATCTTATTATAAGAATTCTAGCTATATTATAACTCTATTTATATATTAATTATTATTACTCTTAATAAACTATTTATAGTAATAAGTATTAAAATTATAAAGATCCTTAGTCTTTGTAAGATTTATAAGTAGTATAAAAGGTAATAATAAAGAAAAATAGCTTAATTCTAAGAATAAGGATCTAATAATAGATTAATACTAAAGATTAGAATTAATCCTTTATAAGTAGAGGAAATCCTCTATAGGCTTAGTTAGCCCATGGGCTGACTAAGGACCATGAGTTAGAAATATCTAAGTACATTCGTGAGGGCCTTACAGGAGACCCACGCCCCAAATTTCGGGATACAGCTACAACCTCTAGTGACAACCTACACATGACCACCACAGACACGGCATCATCACAGCTTCAATGGCAAGAATCGCGCCTTGCTAACATATTCAACAAGACCCATATAACCACTTCAACAAAACCCGATGCTTGGATCCCAGAAAATCTTTCTTCCTCCACACATCTGGAGATTTTGGCCCATCTTTGATATGTCCTTATATCAAAGTTGAATCGATGCTCATCACACCAAGAACTTACTCCGCCTCACAGACCCCGGATCGAATAATTGAATCATCGGGCTTCGAAAGTCGACCGCGATATCGCTCTATTGCCGGCTGGAAGTCTGATCCGACAGCTTCTCCCGAAGTTGAGATGCTCTTGATCCGCCAAACCGGAAGTGTACGCGTTGGCGAAGTCGTCAGGCACGGTTCCATTTCTTCCCATCGCCCCTTACAATCGATTATTAATTATCCGAATAGGTACACACTCACCTACAATCCAGCAGGTGATAGTATTCAGCCTCCTCCGGCTGCGCTGCATGTCAAAGTCAAGAATACCTCGGCAATACCACTAAGAGCCGCCTATCTTCACGGTCCATACACTTTGTATGCCTCGTGCTATCCTGCGTCGTTCGACCCCAATGGCAAATTTCATTCTTCTGATGATGGGAATGTCCCTCAGTTCGAACCCTATCTCAAAGCTGCTGGAACGTGGAATGCAGTGATCCCTGTCCGGCCGTACAATCAACAAGAGAACTCCAGCCCAGGCAGGAGCCAAGACGGAAGTGACTCAACATGGATAATCGAGATTATATCCCAAGTTGTGTTCTCCAGCACGGCGTCCGTCAATTTCGAGCTTCTGGTTGGCCGGGACGAAGTCTCATTGGATCTCTCTTCTGGCGGGCAGCTCAAACATCACCAAGCTGCCGATTTGCGTGATCATTGGTCTTCCGCCTTACAAGGGAAGCAACTGCTCGCCACAAAAGGCGTGTTTTCCGATTCTGTTACTCTACTAGTTGATGATACAGCTAGCCTTTGGAACACGCCACACCTGCCTTCATTGTCTAATGATGAGACGGAGACCAAACCTCAACCATCAGGTTGCAAGCCTCCCCAAGGAACTGCGGACCCAGTAGCGCAAACGAGCGAATCGGCAACTCATGCTCCTCAAAAGCAACATCGGAAGCGGATACATCTTGTTGTGCTAACGCATGGACTCCACAGCAATGTTGGTGCGGACATGCTGTATCTCAAAGAGAGTATTGATGCTGCTTCGAAAAAGATCGCGTCTCAGCAAAAGAGTCCGATGTCCGAGACCGGCCAAGCATCGGCAAACACGCACTCGAATAGGTGAGCATATAACTACTGCATATCTGCCATGTACTTTGCTACCTTCGCCATTCTCTCTCTTCTTGTATTGGTTTCTTTCTTGCACTAACCGCTAGTCCTCCAAAGCAGTGTTGATATTGCCTTCTCAGAAGAGCAGGTTGTTGTTCGAGGTTTTCCTGGTAATGCGGCTCGCACCGAACGCGGAATTCAGTATTTGGGCAAGCGACTTGCAAAATACGTGCTGTTGATGACATATCCCGATCAGCCTCATTTCCCCCACAAAAAAACAAAGACTAGAACATATACTAATCCTTTCTCTTGGGGAGGACTGCAAGAGAACAGCCAGCCCGCAGTGGAATCTCTCCACACACACATGGAGCCACAGAGTCCCAGCGATCATCATGCATATCAAATCACGAGCATTAGTTTTATTGGCCACTCTCTTGGAGGACTCGTGCAAACATATGCGATCGCATATATACAGAAACACTCCCCCGAGTTTTTTGATAAGATCAGACCGATAAACTTTATTGCGTTAGCAACACCCTTTTTAGGGCTGAGCAATGAGAACCCGATGTATGTTCGATTTGCGCTGGACTTTGGGCTTGTCGGTCGCACTGGCCAGGACCTTGGACTCAGCTGGACGGCACCCAGGGTCAGGAGTGGCTGGGAGACCATAATTGGGGGCAAACCAGACCCATCCAATTCCCCGTCGGACGCTCGGGCGAAGCCTTTGCTACGGATTCTGCCTTCCGGACCTGCCCATGAAGTGCTTGCCAAATTCAAGCACCGTACGGTCTACTCCAATCTTGTCAACGATGGAATTGTTCCCCTGCGAACATCATGCCTGCTATTTCTAGACTGGAAAGGTCTGGAGCGGGTCGACAAAGCCAGGAGAGAGAATGGGATTGTTGGAACCATGGCAGAATGGGGATGGGCCGAACTGACAGGTGCAAACTCGAAGTCTCCCAGACCGTCTCGCCCTGCCAATGAATTAGAAGTAATGGCTGCTTCTAGCGGTATCGCCGAGACTCCTGACGGCACATCCATCAGAACGAGTTCAGGGAGCGTCGGTACCACAAGGATTGAGTATTCCCCCCCAGCTTCCACTAAGAAAGGATCTGCAATTCAAGCGCAATCGATGCATACAGCTGGAAGTTTAGCTCCAATGGCGCCTGATGCACCTACTCCACAGTCTCCCTCCAGCCCCCTCAGCGGCTTCTTTTCAATGTTTAAACCAAAAGAGCCCGGAAACAAACACGAGAAGATCCTCAAACGCAGTCAGACGGTTGCCACTTCGTTGGCTACCGACCACAATCAGCAGGACAGCCTTTACTACAATCACCGGTCCTATGACGGTGGGTTCAACGCACCTCCCAAAACAACCGTGTTCGAATCAGCTGGTGATATCCTCATGCCACCACTGCCTCCGATGGAGTATATCATGGATCCCGCATCAAGACCTCGTACGATACTGCATGATCGAACCTACCATTCAGATGATATACCTCCTCCAATTTTCAAACGTAAAACGCAGCCGATACATCCATTGAGTGCTCAAATGCCAGCAGCGGATCACTTAACCATAGACGAGCATGCGAGTGAAGCTGGGCTCAAAGTCGAAGAGAAAATTGCCCGTGCATACCATCGCGGGCTGTCGTGGCGCAAGGTGCTTACGCGCTTAGAGCCCGATGCTCACAACAACATCATTGTGCGAAGGATGTTTACTAATGCCTACGGCTGGCCTGTCGTTCAACACCTGGTCGAGACGCATTTTGGATCATGTTCCTCGACTAGCCCCGAAGACAATTCTGGTAACTCGCCGGAAAGCCCTATACGCCCTGTGCCGCCAGCCAGGGGCGGTGAGGGTGACATCACGCATTTGTCTTCTACCCTTTTGGGATCCCATAATGCCTAAACAGTAAGACACAGACACTGAATCTCAAATCATACCCCCCTAAGTGGTTACCAACCGAAAGCGGCAGGCTAGTTTATCCCGTTGTACTGGAAATTGGCCCTTGTTGTCTACCGATGGTCTCACTTCTCATGCGTAAACTTCGTGAAAGGTTGTATCGATGATAACGTGGGGATACTCTTACATGATATTGTAAGATTAGTGATTTTAGGAGATACTGATATCTGGCAAAAGGTTCTGCATCTACTGACTGCTTGCTGATCGACGGCGCGACATACCTCGCGCCGAACCCGAATCAATACTCGAGTCGTCCTTGAATATTGCTCCAGAACTCTTCCACAAGCATTTTCTGGCTAGTTTGGGTTGTTGCTGCTCGAACAGCGAGGTATTTCCTTCCATCGATCTTGGCTATCCATTCTCCCGGATTCCCGCCGACCATTATACCTCCAGCCTCCTCGAGGATGATCCATCCGGCACAGACATCCCATGCCCAGCAACCCCCCTCCCAGTACAAGTCAAGGGTACCGGCAGCAACAGCGCAAAGATTGAGCGCCGCAGACCCTATGCTACGCATAGACCGAACCATAGCCCCGCCACTCTCCCGGTCCTGCCCCAGCTTTTCGAAAGTTCGAATCTTAGTTTCCCAATTCTGCCCTGTTCTCTCAGAGCCCCATTCCACGCTGATCAGTGAATTATTCAAGCCTGTCAGAGGCTCAATGTTGGTTCCTCTGAGCGGTAGCCGGACGTCACGGTTCAAGAACGCCCCTTTGCCGCGTATCGCGGAATACAAAGCCGTGGTGAAAGGGTTATAGACGACGCCGACAGTTGGGACACGGTTTATCGCGAGCCCTAGCGAGACACAAGCGTGAGGGAATCCGTGCACAAAATTAACCGTGCCGTCTATTGGGTCAATGACGAATGTTGGCGCGTCTGTCAACGGGCAAGATGGATCGTAGGTTTCCTCTCCATGGAATCTGACAAGACAGCGTAAGATTTCGTCATGTTCTTATGAAATCTTGTATCACTACAGACACCAAGCAAAGCATCTCTTCGGGTAGTGAAGTAAAAACTGGATGACATACTGGTAGTCTGGGTATTTATCCTTCAGGGCGCTGAAGATCATCTCCTCCACAGCACGATCATATTCGGTCACGAGGTCTGCGCCTGGTATACTTGGTTAGCAACATACATAGCCTGTTAATTCGAGAATAAAAGCATACTATTTTTCTTAGATCCGGTGGTGTCGGTCCCTGGAAGAGCGCCGGTAATGATCTCACCAGCCTTGTAGGCTAAACCAATCAAGGAGTCACAGATCTCGTCCAGATCAGGCAGTATGTCTAACTCCTGTGCGCTCATAGTTTGATCTTTCAGTTCGATTGACGTTCTTCGAAGGATCGATTTTGCACATCAGAGTAAGAGCGGGGTAGGCACTTCAAAAGTACGTATCTCCTTACTTGAGGGCGCCATGGTGGGTCTTATCGATAAGATCGACCCCTCCACAAGAATTTGCAGTTCCTCTTTCAACTTAATCAATTTCGTCGCTGCGCTTTTGTATTAATTGAATAGTTACTTGTACATCGTCCATGCACGGAGGCCTGAAGCATGAAGACTGAACTAGACGAGGTATTTCTTCATGCCTGACAACCGCAGGTCTATATTGTTAACCATAACCTGTATCCTCAGTTGGTTGAGTTCCTGCATCATGGAAACACCCAGATCAGACAAATTGGTACCATCAGTTGCCCCAAGAACTCCTCTACGATTGGGGTACCCTGCTATATTGCACTGTGCTAATAATATCGCCGTCTAGCATGCGAAAATCTCGTGGGATATTCGGCTTCGAAACCGGAGATTTTCAAACGTCACCAGCTCTTGCCCATACAGGATCTAAAACTTCTAGTCCGAGATTATACAGTCAGTGAGCACCTCTGGCCAGCTACTAGCACATAAATGGCCTCCATTGATGCTGAACTACTCTAATCTTTTGCTAGCCAATTGCAAGTAATGTGTTAACAATACTCATCAATCTCTCTGCTGATGAGGAGGTTCTGGATAACCTCGTGTCTGATGATGCCTTTTTGGAAACTCTCCTTCTGAAAGTGACAGTAAGTACCGGTCATTGCTTTCTCTCATCTAAAACGCTGCCCACCGGTAATCACAACATACTCACAAGCTAGGTGACAGAACAAGAAGGAGCAAAATGCAGACGCTTTCTCAATGCTAATCGCCAACCTGGGGAAATCGGAAAAAATCAAAAAAATATTCTCTCTGAAACGTCGAACAGCCGAGCCTGTGTCTAGTTCAGCGTACGCGGTCGATCAGCTTATGGACTGTTTTGTCAAAGGCGCCGAGGGCGGACTTAATCAGCATGCAAATTACGACTACCTATCCTATCTATTCGCCGATCTGTCCAAACTGAAAGAAGGGCGCACCTACTTTACTTCAAGGCAGGATTATGACAAAGTTGTACCTGTTACGAAACTTTCTGTCTTTACGGAGCATAAAAGCGCGGTTAGAAGGAGGGGTGTGGCGTCCACTATAAAGAACGTTACATTCGAAATCCCCTTTCATCCAACTCTGCTTTCCGAGGAAGATGCCAATATTCTTCCCTACATTCTGCTGCCGATTATGGGACCAGAAGAGTACACTGAAGAGGAGACGGCAGACATGCTCCCGGACCTCCAACTGCTGCCTCCCGACAAACAAAGGGATAGTGATTGTGGCATCATAGCCACGCACCTCGAAACTCTGCTCTTGTTGACAACTACCCGGGAGGGGCGAGATCGATTGCGAGCAATCAATGTTTATCCAGTCATCCGAGAGTGCCATCTTCACGTCGATGATGATGACGTTCGTGAGGCTTGTGACCGGCTAGTACAGGTTTTAATGCGCGACGAGGAGGGAGAGGAAAAGCCAACCGCCCTAACTGAACAAGATGATGATCAAAAAGTTGTAGAACTGTTCTGAAGTCGGTCTGTGTACCTCCCAAGCCCATCTCGAGGAGCGGGTATATGTCACATCGACCTTGAAATGGAGTATCCTTGATTCCATAGACTTGGAGGTCATATTCTTGTTTTTGTAACATATCTCAATTGGATGATAGAATCACAGTCTGTTCCTTCGCTTGATTGCAATGCACGTACTACAATAATCTAGTGTAAATAGTTAAGGCATATGTGATTACCTAAGCATGCGAGCGGGCGCTTTGTGTTCCTACTTTCAGTCCAGTGAGCTCACACCTCACATATGCTCGCCATTTTCCAAAGACATCAAACAACCCACTTCACTAGTCACTTATACGGAATATTTAATATCAGTGGACGAACTCCTCTAAGGGCCTCGACTTACGTCGTTGGCGCGCTACTCAAACCGTCGCCATGAATACCACAACGCCCACGAATGATCCAGCTTCGCAAACTCCAACAGGGTCGTCTGGAGCTCCACCAATGCGTATCCGACGCCCAAGGGCAGCTGATCCTCTTGTTCGCCCAAAAAAGAAGACTCTATCGAAAGCTCCAATCGGAAATGCGCAAGTACTTAGATCGTTTCCTACGCGACCGGCGGCGCCTAGTTCTCAACCCGAGAAAGTGAGTCTCCCTCCGGCGAAAAGTGAATTTGCCGCGAACGGATTTAGTGGCCCCCTTTTGTCGGAAACCTACGTGGACTACCCACTCGTGATCACAAAGCGGGCGATCAAGGAAGGGTTGAAGCATCATATCGCTAGGTTCGCGTCAAAGAAAGTGGTAGATCCTCGCGATGAGTCTCAGTTTACTAGGCCGGTAAGGCTGCAGCGTCGGGATCCCCGAACACGCCTACATGATTTGAACGCGGATAAAGGGCACACTGGACAACGGTTTTCCTCTGAGACTAGCAACCAGATTGACGAAAATGAAAGAGAAGAAATGGAGGCCAGAAAAGTCGCACGAGAAAAAGAGAGAGCAGAAAATCTTGCACAGATAGCCCCCTCGGTTGGCGCTGCTCCAAAACGAACCAATGTGCCCAAGCAGAAGACGCAGCAGGTATCCAAAACAGATATGACACCAGAGGAGATTGCTCGAGCCCGAATCAAGTATGAGGAGGCTTTGCCTTGGCATTTGGAGGATTTCGACAATAAAAACATTTGGGTCGGAAATTACGAAGCTGCTTTATCGGAGACTCATGCGGTTTTCATTCTTGAGAGCACCGGGAAAATGACGACGATACCCGTTGAGAAGTGGTACCGGTTCAGCGCAAAGAATCAATTCAAAGCGCTGACCATCGAAGAGGCCGAAAAATTCATGGCTAAGAAGATCAAGGACCCTCGGTGGTTCATGGAGAAACAGCAAGAGCTAGCTCAACGAAAGGAGCTAGAACAATTCGCCAAACAAAGGAAAGTCTACGCAGGAAAACAGGGTACACCAGCAGCTGAGGGTCTAGAAGCGGACGAGATGGATTTCGAAGAAGATCGGTTCGCCGACGATGAAGAGCACGACGACCTCTTCAATGAGGACGAAGATGCGAAGGCGGCAGAGAAGCGCATTAAACAGGATCAACTCAAAGCCAATGTCTTTGATTTGAAAGATGAGCAAGAGTACGATCAGGAAGAATTGAGAGAGAAGAAGGAAAAGGAAGCCAGACGGGTCCTTGGGAAGAAAGTACGGAAAGCTCTTCAAAAGAGGGAGAAGAACTTTGACTATAGCAGCGGTTCTGATGCAAACCCGTACACTGACGATGAGGTACTGCCCAATACTATGTTTGCGTTCGTCAATATGGCTAATCTTGACCTAATCTAGAGCTCTGAGGAATCCGATCCGGAAAACCCCAAGGAAGATGATCGGAAACCTGACGAAGAAAAGAACAAAAAAGATTCAGCCACATCTTCCAAGGGCAACACTACTCCATCGGGACGCCCCAGACATGGTGATTTACCGAAGAAAGCTGCGGCCGGTGCGTCACGAAAGCGCCTTGGATCCCCCAATGTGTCCGACGCGAGTGGAACAGACACGTCTCGCAAGAAGGGCAAAAATAGGCATTCGCCCTCACAGTCTTCCACTCAACCGGGCTCTCGTCCCATGTCTCCAGTCGCTTCGTCAATTCCGGTGCGTTTTCCCGCACATACGTGTAGACCTGTTCGATCACTAACTGCTCTTAGGCTGGCAAGAAGCGCGTACGGAACATCCTTCCCGGCGCAGGTTCCACAAGTGATGTTGATGGCCCTGCAGGATCTGGTGGGGAGATGAGTGAGTCCGGTAAATCTAAGAAGCTGAAGTTGAATCCACCTTCGGTCATATCTCAGGGCGATACTCCCCAGGGCTCGAGAGCTGCCAGCCCGGCACCGATTCTTGGAAGAGGCTTCTCTGGGAGTCGTGCTAGTAGTCCCGACTCATTGCGAGGCATGTTATACCCGTCATTCTTCTTGCATCGCGCTTTATGCCGATAAGAAGCAATTTGATACTAACATTGGTCAATTACGATATCACAGGTCAAACACGCGTTTCGACACCTGCACCCTCTACTGCGCAGGGATTTCCTACTCCTGCTGAAATCCATGCTGCCATTCCTGTGAGCGGTATACTGAGTACCGATTTATTGAGAATCTTCCGTCCTCGTATTGGAGAATCCCGAGAAAACCATAGAAAGTTTATCGCGATTGTGAAGGACGTTGGTGTGTATGGGAAGGAGGACCGCCTGCTGCGACCAGGTCCGTGGAGGGAGACATAGTTCTCATCGTGCGCCTCTCTGCATAGCATTTAAAGAGGATTACAACCACATACGCCCTTACCTATATTTTCATTCAGTAGATTAATCAATCTTTGGTGAGCCCCAAGGTCATCCACGAGTTCCGAGTGGCAATGAATGATGTGTCAAACAAGGTAGTTGCCTCACAAATGGGATCTCATCAGAGCTGATCAGGATTTTGCTCGCGAGACGGTCGAATACCACAATGTTAAGAGGCGTCCTGAGAACTTCGCAGCGCAAGCAGTGAGCAGTCAGAACGTTCAATACACTTTCCCTGGCAAATCTGAACTCTATATAAATGTGATTCCGACCGTAGATGCTAATTAACAACAAACTATACAAAACTAAAAAGACCAAACTGGGATAATCGAGGTCCCACCGCTGAGGAAAACTATAAGACGTAAAAATCCACGGACTAGTTGAATATCGGTTGACACCTCAAACAGTGGCAGCACCGCTAGTGCGTGGTTCGTTTCCCTCCTCGTATTTCTCCCAATTGGCTAGAATCTGGGCAATTCTGGGAGAGTTGGTGAGTCGGTACACATCCTCGAAGTACTCCTTTGTGATTTCGAATGGTCGAGCTGTCACATTGGGGATGTACTTGCCGACCAGCTTGCTGGGATCAATGGTGGTCTTGTTGATCTTTTTGAGCAAGAACGACCGGAAGGGCTTGACACCGGAGCGGAGGAAAGTACTGTGGAAGGGCACATCGATTCCTTTGAGAGGAATGGTAGCAAATCCACGCTCAAGGTTGATTGGCTTGGGCTTTGACTCTGTTTGCTTCACGCACTCGTGAATGATCTTTACAAGGTGAGCTTTGACATCCTCCAGAGACATGCTCTGCATGAGGGCCGGAATGTCAATGTTTTGCGCCTTGAGATAATTGAGCAAATTGGTGAGGCAGTCAAGTGCCCGGAGCTGAAAGAAGAAAGTTAGGACCACCCTGAATTCGAACGGAGGCAGGATAAAGAAAGACTTACATCACCAGCCGCAACGTATTGCATGTTTGCGACATTGTAGTTTACGATCTCCAAAAGCCAGCCAGTTTGCTCGGAGATGTTCTCGACCACGTACTGAAGGGCCTGCTCATTGAAAGTCTTCGAAATTCTGCTTGGGTTGACGGCACACATCGAGTAGTTTGAGCGACCCTGCTCATCTCGCTCCACGGCAACTTGCATGGTCAGACCACGGTAAAACACGACAGAGACCAAGCTTTCAATGGGCATGACTTCGGCAAGGGCAGCGAGAGCAGAATACTCGCCAAGGGAGTGACCGGCGAAGCTGCTGTCTCTTTGAACGAGTCCCTTCGAACGCATATCCTCGAAACTTGCCTTCTCCATTAGCGTGAGGGCAGGCTGGGTAAACTGCGTGGCGGAGAGCAGGCCAGTAGGAGACCGGTATGTGTAGGAAGCTGTTGATTCGTCGATTTCCTTGAAAATCTTCTCCGACTTAATGGTTCCATCGGCGTTGACGGTCTCGAAGGTCATCGACATATAGTTCTGGCGAATGGCCTTGCCACGAGGCCCACCAAAGTATACGGTGAGCTCCTTAGGGTTGTTTTTGACAATGTCAATGATAGACAAGCCGTAATTCTCAATGAAATGACGATCCGCCCGGTCCCAAACCTCTTTGGCGACGGCACTGGTGGCGTATAGCTCCATTCCCATACCTTGCTCCTGAGATCCCTGGCCAGTGAAGACATACGCCGTGACTGGTTGTTCGACCTCGGCTTCACCCAGAAGAACCTTGTCTTCCGTATCCTTGTTGCTAGCCTCAACCTTGATGATCTTACGACCCGCAATCATACCGACATGCTGCAGCTTGACAGTTATCATATCGTTTGGAAGAACCATGTCAACAAGGGACACGTGGAAACCTCGGACGCGGCCGATGTTGTTTTCAGCGGCCCAAGTCTCAACCAGGCTTCGGACTGCAGCACTTGAGTACATCCCATGGGTGATGGTGCCTGGTAGGTTTGCGTAGCTGGAGAATACTCTGGATACGTGAATAGGGTTGTAATCACCAGACACCCTGGCGTATGTCTCGTTAGAGGCGGGAGCACGGAGTACGAGCGGCGTCTTTCCACTAAGAGGGATGGGGTTCTCAAAGTAGACAGGCTGTTCGATGGAAGTTCCATTTCGCTGCAAGTAATCAATCACGGGGTTGCCATGGGACGTGCCAGCTTCGTAGTCGACAGACGCAACCTGGATAACTTCCTTTGTGGGAAGTTCGAGGAGTACTTGCCCCACGGTTTGAACCTGGCTGAAAACGGCCTTATTCTTGAAGCGAATCAGACTCTGAAGACGGAAGGTCAGGGTTTGCCCCAGCAATTCGACATCATCCCTGTCCAAGCGGAACCATTCCTTCGATCGAAGGATTGCCACATCTCGGCTAGACGCGAGGTGAACCTGCATGGGAACCTCGTCCTTCCGCTGGAAGGTGTTCTCGAAGTCGGTATAAGCCCCACGATAAAGGAACTGGCTGGTAACATGCATGATAGGCTCTCCATCCCTCTTGATCGTACCACAGACCTCAACAATCTTTCCAGAGTCTTCGTTGAGGATGGAATTGATTTGCGCAGTTGTGTCAAGAACATCACCGACCTTAAGTGGCTGAGCACCAGGAACCATTTTGAATCCGTTAGACAAATGGACAAGCTTCAACAGGTCGCCATCGATCGTGCGAGGGAATATGGGCTTGGTAATGGCCTTCCAACCAGCAACGATCGCGAAATCCATGGGAGCAAAGACTTCCTTTCCGGGACGTTCGACGAAGGCTTCTCCAGTGTTGCCCACCGCGTGAACAAAGTCGGCGACAGCCTGTGCTGTGATCGTCTCACGACCTCCACTGAAAGTGGCCGTTGTTGGGGTGTCGAATGGCACATCCCTATTACCGAACCAGATGCGGTAATAGAATTCCTTGATGCGATCATTGCGGCTGTCCATGACCTCTCGGATTGGTGCATATCCAGCTTCTGGGTGGTACGTGAACAAGAACGTCAGAGGGACAACGCCGCCCTCCGCGGTTCTTCCCTCATAAAGGGTGAGACTGATTTGTCCTTTCTCATTGAGTTTCACATCAACCGTCTTCACAAGCTTGCCAGATTGGTAAGGCTCCCTCACACTGATGACCGTCTTTGCTGGATCCTCCGGATACGCAATCTCGACATACATGCCTGGAGTGGGCGAGATGATCCGCTTCAGCGGATTTGTCTGGAAGCGATGGCCCTGAACAAATACATCTGCCGAGAATAGAGCGTGTCTCCAGGAATACGAACGGCCAGCCAGCAGGCGACACCAGCGGTTCAACTCAGGCAGGTCGGCTAAGGACGAGGCCAACCGGTAACTGATCTTGTTCGTGTCTTCGGAAATTGTAAGGCCGTCGGTATCCAATTCCTCCAGAGCTTCGGTGAACCGTCCCCCAAAGTACTCTGTGATAGGAACAGTCGCCTCATCGCCGCCATAAGCATCTCGGACCAGATTGTTGATATGTCCTTGGTGAATCGAGTTCAAAATTTCGCCAACGGGTTCATCAATGACGGTCGAAAACTTAGCAGCCATTGGGCCCTGTAGGATACAGGTCCTTCCAACATCTTGTCCGACAACTGCCTCCAAGTCCTCGCTCTGCCAGAGAGAATCCTTCTTGAACCAGTACTCGAAATTGTCATCCAGCGAGGGAACAAACGGCACAGGCTTCTGCCCACGGCGCTGGCAGAGGAGAAGGAAGTGCTGGACGTCTTGGGCGTTGATCAGCTGGGTCGCCGCCTCCGGATAGGCCGCGAGGATGTTGTCGACAGCGGGATATGGAGCATTGAGCTCGGAGTAGTTCTGAAGGAGAGATGCGCGGCCTTCAGTTGTCGTAAATCGTTCCTCTACTCGACGAATGAAGTCACCGGTCAACTTCTTCAAAGACTCATCTATCCACCTGCTTTCGTGCTTGACATACATCAAGTCTACCATGCGGTGCACGACTTCAGTGTATGTCATATCTTCCAGGTCGACAGTTTCTCCAGCAGAGTTCCGGCCAAACCAGACCTTATGGAAGTCATCGTTGAGTTTCTTGATGATGTAGTTCCTCTGCTTCTTCAGCTCAGGCACACGTTTTGCTTTGTCGAGTTTGAAAATTTTCTGATCCATCTCATGCCAAAATAGAACACCTCGGGTGGCCAGCTTGTGGATCGGTTCTCCCATTTCCGACAAGACAGTGACAACTCCGCCAGCAGCGCCCTTGTAGGTGTTCTCCCAATCCTTATCGTCGAGACCAGGGGCATCCACAATGGCTTGTTTGGCGTTCTTGGAGGTGTGGGCTTCCTTGGCTGTCATCATGCGGCTACCGAATAGCGTTCCATCAAAAGGCATTGGCGGATAGCCATATTGTGATGACCAGTTTCCGGAGAGGTATGGGTACGTGTCTTCAGAGCCACCGAAACCGCTACCAGCGACCAGAACAATGTTATCACATCGTCTAATACGGCTGTACATCTGCAAAATTGGTTGATGGAAATCCTCGAAAGAGTGATGCCCACCGCCACGCCCACCAGTCCACTGCAGGATGATTGGGAACTTGGGATTCGCCTTGGCAATGTTGATTACTTGCTGGATGGCATCCACAGAGCCCGGCTTGAAAGCAATGTGCTTGATGCCGAGCGTCTCAATGTATTCATTCGCGACTTCAATGGACGGGACGCCGGCTCCAATGGTAAGACCCTCAATTGGCACACCATCGGCTCTGAGTTTACCAATCAACGGAATCTGCCAAGCCATAGCACGGGGGTTGACGTATATCAAATTGACAGTAATTCCCCTGCCCGGTGGAATGGCCTTCTCGATCTTGGTAATTGCTTCCGTCATGGTCTTCGCGTTGTAATAACCACCACCAGCAAGTTCGATGTGGTATCCCGCATTCATGGTGGCGGCCACGAAATCCCAGGGCACTGTCGTTGGGGTCATTCCAGCCACCATGATTGGGGGGATACCCAACAGCCGGCTCATTTTGGTATCGACAAAGGTTTGCCCGTTGGCGTTCTTCACCAGCCGTGGTCCGTGCTCCTTTACCCAGTCAATAGCGTACTTGACCGAGTGCTCGTCCCGGTCAAACAGTTCGGGCTTGTATCCAACTTCCGCATTGGTTCCATCCATCGCGCCCGCAAGAACCACACGGACACCTGTGCCGTCTTTGTTGCGATTGGTAAGGACCCCAAGCCCGGAGATGCCTCCAGGGCCGAAATCGATAATGTGAGTTGCGCCCGAGAAAACAGTTGCTTGTTCCCAGTTCACCGGATCGTGAGTGATCATCCGAACCAGCGCAGGGACAATATTCGCGTCGCTGAGTTTCCGCAGATCTTCACCAGTCTTGGTTCCGAAAACTGGGATGGTAAGAGCCTTGGGTGCAATTTCCACATCTTCCAGATCTTCCATGATTCGATCGAATGCTGAATAAAGGTACTGGCTGTGGAAAGGCGCAGTGATCGGGAGGAACCGGTTCACGAAACGAACTTTACGCTGGGTGTACGGCACACGATTTTGATCCAAGCCAGTGGGAGCCTTGACCTTGCGAAGACGGAGATTGAGACCATAAAGCGAGAGGGGCGGTCCAGTGACGACGAAGTTACGGGCGCTATTAATCAGAGAAATCGAGATGTGCCGGTCCTCCGGAAGGTGTTGGTTGGTCATGTCGATGTGCTCCTGAACTGCAGCTTTCGGAAGATCACGAATGGACAACATAGGAGTGGGTGTACCTTCGCCATTTTCGATCGAATCCTGTAGGACCGATGGGGCAATGGATGTTCGGGGGTATGCTTGTTGGCTGCGCAAGCCGATCCAGAATAGCATCGTCAAGGCATTGGCAGCCGCCTTTCTGAAACTTTCCCAAGTAGTGGCAGATGCAATCGCCGCAGCGGTGACAATGCCTTGGGAATGGCCCGTAGTCCCACTTAGACGCTCAAGTATATCGCCGGGCTCCTTTCCGAGCACCTTGCAAGTGACCGCGAAGTGTGCTAGTTGAACTAAACCAATCAATGGCAGACTCACCGGGGCCGAGACGAGGTAATCCACATCGGGTTGAGTGTCAGGTTCTTGAAGCCATTGCATGACATTCAGGCCTTTTGGATAGAGTTTGTTGGCGTCCGGCTCGCGGGAAAGAGATTGCAGCAGCTCAGCGGAAGATGAGATGAGGTCGTCAACAAAGGACGTATAAGTATTGTAAACTTCTCTGAGCTCGTCAAAGTACTCCTCAATGTTCCCTTGCCCCCCGAAAACGGAGTAAATGCTTGCTTTCTCATCCGAGGCGGCCCTGAATAGTGCAGATTCATATGGCTTTGTTGGCCGACCAGCAGCTGCTCGACCAGCATAATAGGCTTCAACAACCAAGACCTTCTTAGCTGTGATTCCGGGAAGGGTAGCGGCAACTGCATGAACGTCATTTCCGCGCATGAAGGCACGTTCAAACTCGTTGAGGGCTAACTTGAGGACGTCCTGATTCGCCTCAGGAGCGCCGTCCTCTCCTTCTTCGACCTCGCGGGCAACGTGGCCGATGTAGCGCGCAACAAGCTCCTCTACCGAGGATGGCTCGTCGTCTTGGGCAAGTTCATCTGTCGGCTGAGGTAGCGAAGCTGTGAAGGTGTCTTTCAGCTGCGAGGCGTGGAAGTGGATAGAAGTTGGGACAAGGAAGGAGAATTCAAGCGATCCGTGGGATAAAATAAGAGGCCTCAGTGACTGGGAAGAGCGCGGTGTATTAATGCCCGTCTGGGGGCCTGTTGATGTTCCGTACATCTTGTCGTTGTCTCGTGTCTATGCAGAAGAATTTCGTCGTAGCAATCCAGTGGCGGAAGCTGGCAGGCTAGAGGAATCTGCAAGCAGTCAGCAAGTGAGAAAATCACACAGAACAGTTGACCAAATATTTGTCCGTGACGCAAAACACAACTGCCATTCAGAGAGATGGCGGGGTAGTCGCCTCGAAAGTATATAGGGTAATTCCGTACCTATTATTAAAGAGTAAATAATCTGGCTAACTCGAGGCAATTCGAGAATGCAGGCCAGAAAAAAAGATGTCGGCAAAGATTGAATTGAATTACCGTCAGAAAGAAAAAATATAGAGAAGGAAAATGGTGAGCACGAAAAGAGAGAAGTGGGAGGGAGCCTGGGGGACTTGACTCTTCGTGCAGTGTCTTTGAAGATTTTCCCAGGCAGGAAAAAAATATCAGTCGACCGAACAAGAAGTGCCGAGCGTCTGCAGTGCCTGGCCGTCCATATAAAGTTTTGTAATGTTGAACCAGTGAGACGGAGAACAGATTCCATGGGTTTGGACTGGTTGAACAAGAAATCTCTTAATTGGGTATGGTGGATCGTGGATCTGCCCCAAAAGTCGAAAACGGTTGGGCTGGGCCGCCGCTGGACCGTTGATGGTAATCCTTGTAATAATACAGGAGATCAGGCTAACTCCTAGTACTATGTACAAATTACCTAACTAGTACTACGAGAAGGTACCACTACGAGACGATTGCAAGCTGAGCTCAACAACTTGCAGAAGTAGAATAATCATGATTGATCATGGATGTTGGACCACTGACCCACCATGAAAGGGAAGGTTCAAGAAGTAGTGTGACGGGGTTGAATGTTGGATTCAGTGCCATTGAATGTCAACAGCCTTGAACATTCCTCGAAAAGGCTGGATTTGACTTGGACTCTAAGGTTGAACCCCATCTTACTTTCGGACCCGAGTGATTGATGATCAGATTGGTGGATTGGCCCATTTAACTTCCATTCGACCGGAGACTTTCTGCGCAGTCGAGCCCAGAGCAGCTGAGAGGAGTCGAGAGCTACGAGGCCATTCAAGGTTGCGCCAGTGCCAGAAGTCTAACGGTGTACTGGATTTTACGAAACTAAACCAAGTCGGGGCAACAGCTTAGCAAAAGCAACCGAAAAAAAATTACAAAATTACAATCTCAACCATCCAGTCCACTCTCGAGGCAAGCCCACGAATAATTCGGTCCCTCTATCTCCGACCCATGCCAGTGCGGAAAGAATAATAATCAGACGCCCTCGCCCCAACACTTACCAAAAGCTTGCCAGCGAGGAGTGCCATTCTAAGAGTTCTCAATCTCTATCTCTTGAGACTCCCCCCCCCTCTTGTTCGTGCTTCGTGTGTAATATTTCTTACACCTTCTTTTCCAAGTTCGATTACCACTTTTTTTTTTGTTCAATTCACACTGCTACGCTGTTTGACCTAATTCCTCATTTTTTTCTTGGATAATATCATTCTACCTCTTCCCGCCTAGAACCTCCCTGACAGTTGCTGCTTAATGCTGTGAGTTTACCTACCTCCGTTATGAGTTTACATCGCTGCGATTGCATCGCGTATGGGAAGTTGGTGCTGATCGTACTCGTCGATAGAGGTTGATTCCAGCAGCACTACCAGATAGACGACCCCATACGCCTCGGAATAGACTCCTTTTCCCCCCTCCGATTGCGGATTATACATCCTTTACGTTAACAATGCGTCCCGAAATTGAACAAGAGCTGGCTCACACTTTGCTGGTCGAGCTTCTGGCTTACCAGTTCGCCTCGCCGGTTAGATGGATTGAAACACAAGATGTCGTGCTTGCAGAGAAGCGAACAGAGCGTATTGTGGAAATTGGTCCGGCAGACACATTGGGTGGGATGGCAAGGAGGACACTCGCATCTAAATATGAAGCATATGATGCCGCCACATCAGTGCAACGTCAAATACTTTGCTACAACAAAGATGCGAAGGAGATATATTATGACGTGGACCCAATCGAAGAAGAACCGGAGGCTGCCCCCGAAGCAGCTGCTACCACCGCGACATCTGCTGCTCCAGCCGCCGCCGCTGCACCTGCACCTGTTGCAGCGGCACCTCCTAGTGCTGGACCGGCAGCGGCTGTTGAGGATGCTCCCGTGAGCGCTCTAGACGTGCTTAGAACACTCGTGGCCCAGAAGCTGAAGAAGTCATTGTCGGATGTACCATTGAACAAAGCTATCAAGGATTTAGTCGGAGGTACGTAATTGGGAAACACCTAGACGATGATTGCGGAAGTTGGGTGCTAATCAAGTTTGCTGAAACAGGCAAGTCTACGTTGCAGAATGAAATCCTCGGAGATTTGGGCAAGGAATTCGGTTCCACACCAGAGAAACCAGAGGACACCCCTCTAGATGAGTTAGGTGCTTCTATGCAAGCCACATTCAATGGGCAGCTTGGAAAGCAGTCTTCCTCGCTCGTTGCACGCTTGGTTTCGTCCAAGATGCCGGGAGGGTTCAACATTACAGCCGTTCGCAAGTACTTGGAGACGCGATGGGGATTGGGTTCTGGACGACAGGATGGCGTTCTTCTTCTCGCTCTTACCATGGAGCCAGCATCCCGCATTGGGTCTGAACCGGACGCCAAGGTTTACCTTGACGACGTTGTGAATAAGTATGCCGCCAGTGCCGGCATCAATCTCTCTGCACCGACACCGTCTGGAGATGGCGGAGCTGCTGGCGGAGGTATGCTCATGGACCCTGCTGCAATTGATGCTTTGACAAAGGATCAGCGTGCTTTGTTCAAACAGCAACTCGAAATCATTGCGCGTTATCTGAAAATGGACTTGCGGGCTGGCCAAAAAGCGTTTGTCACCTCACAAGAAAGTCAAAAGACCCTCCAGGCGCAGCTCGACTTGTGGCAGGCCGAGCACGGTGATATCTACGCATCAGGCATCGAGCCATCATTTGATTCGCTCAAAGCCCGTGTTTATGATTCGTCCTGGAACTGGGCCCGTCAAGATGCCCTTAGCATGTACTACGACATCATTTTCGGCAGGCTCAAGGTCGTCGACCGTGAGATTGTTAGCCAGTGTATCCGTATCATGAACCGTTCGAACCCTCTACTCCTCGAGTTCATGCAGTATCACATTGATAATTGCCCGACTGAACGTGGGGAAACTTACCAACTCGCCAAGGAGCTCGGGGAGCAACTTATTGAGAACTGCAAAGAAGTTCTCGATATCTCTCCCGTCTACAAGGACGTCGCCATCCCAACGGGACCTCAGACAACGATTGACGCGCGTGGAAACATCGACTACAAGGAGGTCCCTCGCGCGAGCGCGCGCAAATTGGAGCACTATGTGAGGCAAATGGCGGAAGGTGGCCCTATCTCAGAATATAGCAATCGGGCCAAGGTACAGAATGATTTGAGAAGCGTCTACAAGTTGATCCGGAGGCAGCACCGACTATCGAAGTCTTCGCAACTGCAATTTAATACGCTGTACAAGGAAGTTGTCCGTGCCCTCAGCATGAACGAAAACCAGATTATGCCACAGGAAAACGGCAATGCTAAGAAGCCCGGAAGGAATGGAGTGGCGAGGGCCGGTAGCCCTCGTTCCGGCAAGGTTGAAACGATTCCATTTTTGCATCTCAAGAAGAAGAACGAGCACGGTTGGGATTACAGCAAGAAACTGACTGGTGTTTATCTCGACGTACTTGAGTCTGCTGCACGCTCTGGTCTGACATTCCATGGAAAGAACGTCCTGATGACGGGTGCAGGAGCCGGCTCTATTGGAGCTGAGGTTCTTCAAGGATTGATCAGTGGTGGTGCGAAGGTCATCGTTACCACTAGTCGGTACTCCCGCGAAGTAACTGAGTACTACCAGGCCATGTACGCTCGGTTCGGTGCGCGTGGTTCGCAGCTCGTTGTCGTACCTTTCAACCAAGGCAGCAAGCAAGACGTGGAAGCTTTGGTCGATTACATCTACGATACGAAGAAGGGCCTGGGCTGGGACTTGGACTTTATCGTTCCATTTGCAGCAATCCCCGAAAATGGCCGCGAGATCGATTCTATCGACTCCAAGTCCGAGCTCGCCCATCGCATTATGTTGACCAACCTCCTTCGTCTTTTGGGCAGCGTCAAGACCCAGAAGCAGACCAATGGTTTTGAAACACGCCCAGCCCAGGTCATCCTTCCTCTCTCTCCCAACCACGGTACTTTTGGCAATGACGGTCTGTATTCTGAATCAAAGCTTGCCCTGGAGACACTCTTCAATCGCTGGTATTCAGAAAACTGGAGCAGCTACCTTACCATCTGCGGTGCAGTTATCGGATGGACCCGTGGCACAGGGTTGATGAGTGGCAACAACATGGTCGCGGAGGGTGTTGAAAAGCTTGGTGTTCGCACTTTTTCGCAGCAGGAAATGGCTTTCAACCTCCTCGGCCTCATGGCACCCGCAATTGTCAATCTCTGCCAGCTTGATCCTGTCTGGGCTGATCTCAACGGAGGTCTTCAGTTCATTCCCGATCTCAAAGATCTCATGACGAGACTTCGTACGGAGATCATGGAGACAAGTGATGTCCGCAGGGCAGTTATCAAAGAAACTGCTATCGAGAACAAGGTCGTCAACGGGGAGGATAGCGAGGTCCTCTATAAGAAGGTCATAGCGGAACCCCGAGCGAACATCAAATTCCAGTTCCCGAACCTACCGAACTGGGAGGAGGACGTCAAGCCTCTCAACGAATCACTCAAGGGCATGGTCAATCTGGACAAAGTTGTCGTCGTCACCGGTTTCTCCGAAGTTGGTCCCTGGGGTAACTCTCGGACTCGATGGGAGATGGAGGCGCACGGCAAGTTCTCCCTTGAGGGATGCGTTGAAATGGCATGGATCATGGGTCTCATAAAACACCACAACGGTCCTATTAAGGGCAAGGCTTACTCCGGCTGGGTTGATGCGAAATCTGGCGAACCGGTGGATGACAAGGACGTTAAGCCCAAGTACGAAAAGTTCATTCTTGAGCATTCTGGTATCCGTTTGATTGAACCTGAGTTGTTCAAGGGGTACGACCCGAAGAAGAAGCAGTTGCTTCAGGAGATTGTCATCGAAGAAAACCTGGAACCTTTCGAAGCCTCGAAAGAGACCGCCGAAGAGTTCAAGCGAGAGCACGGCGACAAGGTCGAGATCTTCGAAGTTCCCGAGTCTGGAGAGTTTACTGTCCGTTTGAAGAAGGGCGCTACTTTGTTGATCCCCAAGGCACTGCAATTTGATCGCCTTGTTGCTGGCCAAATTCCAACTGGCTGGGACGCTAAACGATATGGTATTCCGGAGGACATCATTGAGCAAGTTGATCCAGTCACACTATTTGTCCTTGTTTGTACCGCCGAAGCTATGCTGTCTGCGGGTGTTACCGACCCGTACGAATTCTACAAGTACGTTCACTTGTCCGAGGTCGGTAATTGTATTGGGTCTGGTATTGGTGGTACACATGCTCTGCGAGGCATGTACAAGGATCGTTACCTCGACAAGCCTCTCCAGAAGGACATCCTTCAAGAATCTTTCATTAATACAATGAGCGCCTGGGTCAACATGCTGCTGTTATCTTCCACGGGTCCTATCAAAACGCCGGTGGGCGCCTGTGCTACTGCTGTTGAGTCAGTTGACATTGGTTATGAAACGATTGTGGAAGGCAAAGCACGAGTCTGTTTTGTTGGTGGTTTCGATGACTTCCAGGAGGAGGGCTCCTACGAATTCGCCAACATGAAAGCCACCAGCAATGCCGAGGACGAGTTCGCTCACGGACGTACACCCCAGGAGATGTCGCGGCCCACGACTACCACCCGTGCAGGCTTCATGGAGTCTCAGGGTTGCGGTATGCAACTGATTATGAGCGCTCAGCTCGCTCTTGACATGGGCGTACCAATCTACGGTATCATCGCCCTCACCACCACTGCGACTGATAAGATTGGCCGTTCCGTGCCCGCTCCTGGTCAAGGTGTCTTGACAACTGCGCGCGAGAATCCCGGCAAATTTCCCTCGCCGCTTCTGGACATCAAGTATCGCCGCAGGCAACTTGAGTTGCGCAAGAGGCAGATTAGAGAGTGGCAAGAATCCGAATTGTTGTACCTGCAGGAGGAGGCCGAAGCTATCAAAGCTCAACAAGGTTCTGAAGAATCGTTTGATGTGGCCGAGTACATGCAAGAGAGGGCCCAGCACATCAACCGTGAGGCCGTTCGACAGGAGAAGGACGCCCAGTTCAGCCTCGGAAACAACTTCTGGAAGCAAGATTCTCGTATTGCCCCTCTGCGTGGTGCACTTGCTACCTGGGGTCTTACCGTGGATGATATCGGCGTTGCTTCTTTCCATGGTACTTCAACTGTTGCGAACGACAAGAACGAGTCGGATGTCATCTGTCAACAAATGAAGCACCTGGGTCGCAAGAAGGGCAACGCTCTTCTAGGTATCTTCCAAAAGTATCTCACAGGACATCCCAAGGGCGCTGCTGGTGCTTGGATGTTTAACGGATGTCTGCAGGTTTTGGACAGTGGCTTGGTTCCAGGCAACCGAAATGCCGACAATGTTGATAAGGTGATGGAGAAGTTTGACTACATTGTCTACCCTAGCCGCAGCATTCAAACAGATGGCATCAACGCGTTCTCTGTTACGTCTTTCGGGTTCGGACAGAAGGGTGCTCAGGTCATTGGTATTCATCCGAAATACCTTTATGCCACTCTCGACCGAGCTCAATTCGAGTCCTACAAGGTCAAAGTTGAGACAAGACAGAAGAAGGCATACCGATACTTTCACAATGGGTTGGTCAACAACAGCATCTTTGTCGCCAAGAACAAGGCGCCTTACGAAGATGAGCTCCAAAGCAAGGTGTTCCTCAACCCTGATTACCGTGTGACAATGGATAAGAAGACCTCCGAGCTCAAGTACCCTGCCAAGTTCCCATCTGTCGCCGACAGCGAGGCCGCGAGTACAAAGGCCGTGATTGAGTCCTTGGCCAAGGCTCACGCCACCGAGAACTCGAAGGTTGGTGTTGATGTTGAGAAAATCGACAGTATTAACATTGAGAATGAAACCTTCATCGAGAGGAACTTTACCGCAAACGAGCAACAGTACTGCCGCAACGCCCCATCTCCCCAAGCTTCATTCGCCGGAAGATGGAGCGCAAAGGAGGCCGTCTTCAAGTCGCTTGGCGTTTGCAGTAAAGGCGCTGGGGCTCCTCTGAAGGATATTGAGATCGAAAATGATTCTAATGGGGCGCCCACTGTCAAGGTAATTCAACCCCCCTTCCTGTTTCCAAGATACATTGACTAAGGCTCTGAGCAGCTCCATGGTGCTGCTGCCGAGGCTGCGAAACAAGCTGGTGTCAAACAAACCGACGTCAGTATCAGCCACAGCGACTCACAGGCTGTTGCAGTTGCGATTTCGAGATTTTAATGTTTGATGTTGACGAGTCGTACGAGTGAGAGGATTTGCCCTGTACGCAGCATATAGATTTTATTTCTACTTCTACTTAATATACCTGTTAATTTGTTCAATCTGCAAACTCATCTCTCATCGTGCACTGTTCCCCGTCGGGCCGGGTCGATGGCTAGGTCGCCCATTGTCGCGGCGCCGCGCTTAGATTGCTACACTGGACTTTCGAGGCACCTACCAGCTTCCTGACCACGTTCAAGATCTTGATTATACCATCGATTGGTTGCAAAGCACTGCAATGAACAACCACTACTATTCTCTCTTTCTATTATTCCACCAGGACTTTAACAAGACACAGGCCACCGTAAAGACTGCAGCAGAGATTGAGACGTTACATATACATGGCAAGCTTACTATGGTAGTGAAACCTATGAGGACGCTCGACTCAGCGGACCCCAATTGGCTCTCGGATTGAGCTGATATCTAACAAGCCGCTTCATTGGCTGTGCTTCCCGCCCGAGCGATTCATCAAAGACCACCTTGAGCTCGGAGGCGGGAATCGAGTTCCCAGGAGGATGGGCGCTGTCAGCTGTTTGTCTTTCAAGTACTTGTGTTTGAGAGGGAGCATCTGAACCATTGGGCTGCGACTGCGATTGCGATTCTGTGGCGTTTGTGCATGACGCAGCCAAGGTTTCGCGGGCACCCGAACGGTACAAAGCCGCTTCCACCTTGGTGATCAAGTCCGATAGGTCCTTGCCGGATTCGGCCGCGGAAATAAGCTCGCTCTTCAAAGAGTATAACTTCGAATCGTCCGCATTTGTCGGTCGGGACTTGGCCATAATTGTGGCGCCGGCAGAGCCAGGCTTCAAGGTTCCCTCTTTGATAGGCGGCGCCTTCTGTCTCACCCATTCACGCATGATCTCCCAGATGACGGCCCATGGGGCGTTTGTGCGGACGGTGTTTGCTTTAGCGTGGCTGCGCGTACACTTGTACCCTAAGCCACGGACTGCACCACGAAATGCTTCCTCGGGGACCGTGGTTGTGCGCAGAACTTTTGAGAGGCTGGAAAGCGTGAAATATAGAGGGTATGGTTCACGAAGGGCCGGATTGGTTCTGGGAATTATAGGCGAGAGTTCATCAAACTGGCCAGCAGCCTCTTCATTGTTGGCAGCAGGAGTTGCTGGCTGATTTCGGCTCTCTTCGGGGGATAGTTCTAAGCTTAAATCTTCTTCGAGGGCAGTCGTCAACATGCCTTCGATTCTGTCCTTTGTCTGGTATACTTCCTTGTCGACCTGGGGGAGAAGATCGAGTATCTTTTGAACGAAGTGAGGGTGATGAAGGGGTCCGGCCCACATTGGACCAGAGAGATGAGTTTTTGTGTTGCAATGCTCGCATTTGATGTCTGCGCTTGGCGCTTGTGCAAACCCAAAATGAAACATGGGGTTTCCCTTCTTATCGAGCTTTTGCTTAGTCGATGTCAATGGTTGCGTAGTCCACGCTCCGCAGCCGGAGTCACAGTTGTAGACCAGCATTGTGTTTCCGGACGTGAACTTGACCTCAGCAGGCGACCGATGAATACGGACGAACAATCGGGCATAGTAGTCAATGGAAAGCGAGAGCAAAGGCTCAGTCGCAAGGCCATATTTTGCAGCAGCCATTGCAACAGCGTTCAAGATTAGGCGTAGTCCACCCTCATGCGAGTGACTGCCTTTGATTGGCACACCCCCGTACAAGGAGAAGGCTTTCTCAGGGTATCCGTTGGACGCCCATACACCTGCGTCGGTGCATGTAACGCAAAGCAGTCCTTCATCTTTTATACCCTGTACAGCCGCATCTAGAAACGGGGCGGCGGTGCCGTAGGGATCCAAATCGATGACATCGAATTTACCAACTTCATCTGTTCTCTGCGGGTTGACTGGCTTCAGGCGGCTGTACATATACAAACGAGCATCGCCGTTGTTCGTTTGAATGAGGTTTCCAAGGCCGTTATACTCAATATTTTGCTTCATCGATTGGATAGCTTGACTCGAGAGATCATTGGCGACGACACGGGTAACGAATGGTATCTCCGATGCATATCGCAGAGCGCGTAGACCGGATGCAGACAGTGCATCTAGAATGGTGAATTGATGAGCAGGAGGAGAAGGATTCAATTGAGACGATTCTGTCGTTTGTTTATCCTCAATCCCAGCTTCCTTGGGTCCACTTTCCGGATTTCTGTCTGGCTCGCCGGGCCTTTGAGCTCCCGTCTCATCATCTTCCCGCTTCCTCTTCTTATTCCTCCCGCGGGCGGCCCCTGATGCTTTTCGTTTTCGCCGTTCAGTGTTCCTTTTATGCATTGCCATAACATGCTCTCCATAAACGCGGATCGCAAGCACAGTCAAGTCCCGGTTAAATTGCTGGATGGGGTTATAGAATACGGATTGAGATTCTTCGTGTTTCGTATCTTGTTTGTTCCCCTGCGTTGCTGCGGTTTCCGTGGGCGGTTTCAATATGTATGCTCGACCTTCCTTGATCACCTGGTAGTCCTTGCCATTGTGCTGCACCAATTGGCCGGCAGAGTTGGGCGCCGGGGTGGCCGCCATGGTCAGAGGTGAAGAGGTGAAAAGTTGCGAAATGTTGCGAAAGCGATTGTTCCCGGTGGAAATGCTGGCGGATGTAGTCGAATCTGCCGAGTGGTGCGGGGAGTCGTAAAGTGATAAGCGCGGACCTGGAGCTGAGATGAGTGGTCAGGACGTGGAAGTTTTTTTCAGATTTGCCTCATGTATCTGAAGGGGGCTCGTCCTGATGATAGCAGCGTAACCAGGAAGACCACAAGAGGGATCGAGCCGTCTGAGAGATCTCGATCATAGTGGACAAAAAAAAATGACAGGCGGAACAGTGCACGGACCAGCCAAGACACCTTGAAAAGAGGCTATTCCAGACTTCCAGACTCCCTCCCTATCTACATACACGGCCGCACGATCAGAAATAAATATCTGGTCATTAATATTAGCATTAAAAGGATTGCCGTCACTATATACTACAGAACTCCACTATACACTCAATAAGCGCCGACAATCTACACTATAACCAGCTTCCAATGACAGGCACTTGACTATAGATTTCGTTCCAGCCTTTGGCCTCCCAGCCCGTGCCCTCTCCCCCAGTTCCAACGATCCAAAGCGCTCCAGCAAGCCATACACATGCTCCCAGCGCGGCGATCTTGTTAAAGTTCCACCACATCCTTTTCCGACGCTTGATATGCTGCTCGCTCTCTGTGGGACCTAGATGACCCTCGAGCGAGCCCTTCTTGCTCCCACGAGGCTTCCGAGTAGTAGTTATTCTCCAGCCCATCCAAGCTGCCAATCCGCCGAGTATATGATACACTCCAACAAAGACAAAGATGTGGTAGTACGTAATCCAGAAGACACGGCTACGCGCAATGCCATGTGCGACGAAGCCTAAGCCCACCCCCGAGCTACCTCCTTCAACCATGACCGGTACCATACGATTGACAAGAACATGGGTAGCAAGCAGCGGAGCAAACGCATAGCCCAGGCGCGCCTGAAAGCTCATACGGGGCCAGAAGGAGAGCGCATGCCGTTGATCTCGGGTTTCAGCACCGTAGAGTCGCGCGCGCCGCGAAGAGCGAATGTTGCGGAGTGCGATACCGGATGCGATGTGCGCAAAGATCGGGACGGTCAGGAGGACATGCTCAAGCACGGGGGCTTGATATATGGGTCTAGTGAGAAGTAGGTAATTGTCACTTTCGGGGACGGAGCGTGTCGCCAGAGGAATTAGGGACGTATTTGCGAAATGTAGCGCCCCGAACAAGGTTGGAGGGTACGTTGAATATCTTTGAACAGCAGATACTATAGTTGATTTCCAGTCAGCTCCAGCAACTTCAATCTCGAACGTACCGTGGCAGACCACCTCGGAAAGACCTGCCCGATTATACTCACACCAGGAGTCCCAGTTTTGCCCACGGAGGCCGACAGAATACCACCAGAAATTTCGTGTGTTCGGCGGGGGTTGGAATTTGGGCACGAGGTAGTCGTCCGAGTCAACTTCGGGGAAACTCTCATCCACTGGTGAAGGATCCAACTCCTGCATGGAAAGTATGGATTTCGTATCAATATCATCTCGCGATGGGAATGAAGCCATTGCGCTGTATCCGGCCGTGAGAATTGTTGGGGCAGTGTGTTATGAGAAAAACATGGCAGGGCAATTGACAAGTTGCGAAAAGTTTGTTTAAATATATTTTCAATAGATCGGGGTACGGTCAAGCTTGAAGGCGCGCTTTCTCGAATTGTGGCTCGTGCACTGGGGGTTTTGCGGCTTTTGCCTAGCTGACGTTTGCTGAGGGCTCGTCCCCCAACAGTCCAGAATCCCGCCGCGCTATCGATACATATCGTCAATCCGTCATTCGTTTTCGCGCTGTCCTCATTGGTTCTGTCCATTGCCTTCTCAACAGTGCAATGTTTCAAGTTCATGAGATGCCTAACATCAAATTCATTCCCAGTCCTCTGGCTACTCCCATATCTGACAACCAGCTCAGGCGGTTCAAACCGGCGACTTAGTATTTGTAGTAGGCACGTGTCATTGAACTGCTCCAACTTCAGTGGATGTTGAGACTGAAGTCTAGGTTCTTACTAGCTACAAGCGACGGTCGCTTTATCTAAGTAGGTACTATAGCCACAGAACGCGTAGTGTAGGAGGAGTTTGAAGAGAGAACCAAATAGCATTAAATAAACTATCACCTTTCGATGAAGATGCTGGTAAGGACGGCTGTTGGTCGTTTTCTATGTAAATCCAGATCCAGTGACGAATCAGGAAGTGATTGTATGAGCCTGGGTTGGTTTGCAAGGGAAGTTATCGAGGCTGCTATACGCCTATGTGGCTCAATCGCTCACCGCGCAAGGTGGAAAAATGGGACGAGGTCACGAGTCATGACAACTCAAGGCTTCAAGTTGTATTGTTGGTAGTATCGGGTATTCCAGTCTATCATGAGGCAGATTCTGCATTCACACCCTTGGCTGTTCTGTTGGATTGCATCAAGTACTAGAAGAGATCATCGATACCTTTCTCAGTGTCCTTCTTAATCAGATCGATCATACCCTGGTAAATGGTCAGCACGTCCAATTATATCATCTAAGCCAGAAATTAAAGTATACCTCGGGCATAATGGGCTTCCCAGAGCTGTCCTTGACATAGCGGAAAGGCATTTCGGTGCGCTCATGCTCATTGACTACGATCTCCGGGTGGTCAACGTATTGGATTTCCTCCAATGGCACTAGAGTCAATCAGTCTTTTATCCCCTTGCAATGTCCCAAGACCAAAGAGCATGAGAATGCTTTTTTCACCTCTGTCATGAACGACCATGCGGGTAACCCGCACGGCTGTATCAGTTGTCATCTGCACAGGACCAAGTCGCCTACCAGCATAGCCCTTCTTCCTCAATTCAGATGTACGGTCTTTTAAGCCCATTAGCTTCTATTAGATCTGCAGGTTTCAGGCTCAACTTACCTCGTGGAGGATCATCACCTATATATCATCAAGTCAGCTCAAACAAAGCTGATTCAGAATGGTTCAGAGCGGTGCTCACCCAAGATTCCACCGAATAAGAAAACTTCAAAATTGTCGCCATCGGCAGGACTCAGCTCGACCTTGGCAGAAGGATCCAAAAGGCAGACTTTTGATTTACGGTCCGCGAAAACCTCCTCGATGCTGCGGTGCTCAATCTCTAGTCCCTTTGTAGCTGCGAGCTCATCTGGCATTTGTAGAGACGTGGGCACCGAGCTTAAGAGAAATTTACTGCCTGATGCATGGGACTCTCGTGCGATACAACCATACTCTAGAGCAGACCAGGCGCCCAGTTCCGGGTCCAGATGCTCGACCACAATGGTCACCGGCGTAGTGGATGAGGTCTTGTCACTCATAATGTAACTATAATAGTACCCGTCAGAAAAGCTAGGCAGAACCGGAGAGTTTTAGAGTTACCTTGAGTTACCTTGAGAACCAATTGGGATAATTTCGTTCCGACACTAAACGATGGGTGGAAGGAGATTCGAATGCTTTCTGGAGGGGTAGGAAAATTGTTACTACCGCCCGCAAGAGTTTCTGTTTGCCCACGCCTGTAGGTCAACCTATCGCCAAAAGACCGGGTAGCTTATCGAAGCAGAGTGATCACGGTTGTGCCGATAACTCTTCAGAATTAGTGATAATTCATCAACATCCTATAGTTGACAGTGGATGAGGCTACTAGTAGTCTAGCTATAGATGGCTAAGCCACGTATCCTTGAAGACTTGGAGGTGAACCTTGAATTAAATGTCAATACTTGAACAGCATCTAGTGCTCTATCTGACAATTGGGCACCATACATAGTAGAAATGTTACAAGCTGCCCAGTCCTTCTTTTACCGTCATTGCATTATTGACACTGGAGATGAAATTTACCAATGCCAATACAGGTATTTTCAGCAGGATTGCCGTTTCAAATCGGCAAGCTACTCTAGATGCGGTAAGAAACTTGACCTGGTTGGGCAAACTGCTATGATAATCAAGTACTTTGACTTCCAACTATTCTCACAAGTACTTCTTTGCTTCGTTTCCCATCCTAATCTTCATTTCTCCCGTTTATTCTCCCTTTCTCTTACTGAAAAGGCTACCTTTCATCCTATCGAACATCTCATCATTCCCCTTGAACCTCCTTACATCTTGAACCGCCTCGCTCTCCAACCCCCGCCATCAGTGGGGTACTCTGACGGCACCCAACATCGCATTGTCCAACCTCCCCGCCCGACTTCATCACTGATATATTTACCGACTATCCCCTTCCCCCTTCTTACTTTCGAATCTACATATATTTCCAAACCTACTGTTTGCTCCTTACAGCTCTACACCCATCGCGATGAATCCTCATCAGCAGAACAAGATCGACACGAGCGTGAGTCTCCTTTCTACCTGCGCCAGCCGACTCTAATCGTGTTTTAGTCCTTGAGCCCCGACGAGCAGCGTCTGTTGCGTCTTTATGGCAAAATGCCCAACAAGAAGGACCTCCTTCAGAACAAACTCAAGGTATGTAATCGTGACTGATTCCCCTCTCCCGTTTCCGCCCTCTTTCTAATCATCTTTTCTGTGCTATCAGGAACGGAAGTACTTCGACTCAGGTGACTACGCCTTGAGCAAGGCCGGGAAAGCTTCAGACGTCGGTGTAACCAATATTGGCTCGAAACATCCAGTCCCCGAAAACATTCCTCACTTAACTGCCACCTCTCCCGGCGCAAATAACCCCATGACCATGGGCAATGGCGGAAGCATTAGTGCCCAGGGAGGACAGCATATTCCCGGCAGTATCAGCAACCATCCAGGCTCTGTCGGATTTCAAAGTCGAAGCCCCATCAAGGAAGCGAGCTTTCTGCACCGCGGGACGAGTGTCGATGACTCTGATAACACTCCTGACACAGCTGAGAATAAGGATCAGGATGAAGGAATAAGCCCACCGCCCGCTACTGAGGGAGTCCCAATCCGCCGGTGATCGTCTCAGAAAACATCTTTCCCTTCCGGATCTGTTTTCCGGTTTCCCTTTCGTCATTATACCAGTGAATAACAGTACGAAAAGAGCCTGGCGCCTGGTTTCTGGCTTCTATTTGGTGTAATTTCCAATATTCCACTTCTCCCCGTTTGGACGTGTCAAAAGTTGAGGGGTCAAAAAAAGCAAAGGGATCGTGCGGGGTACTCCGACGCCCTCGGTCACCTGAGCACCTCTACCCAGCAAAGGAGCGCTTTGCCTCGCCCAAGTCATGATGCAAACATGAAAAGGCGTTCGCGAATGCTCGCAACACCTAGCATCCTGCCAGCTTGGCCGATGCACTTCTACACTTGTTTCAAGTTACCGCTGGCTTCGATATCTGTGATATCATCATGTCTTATTCAATTTCCCTTCTCTGTCCATATCCATTTTGACTATTCCGCTATTCTTTGTTGGATCTACCCTCAGATTTGTCTCGTATCCATGGAATGTTTCCATGATATTCTTATTGATTTTTTAAGTCCTCTTTTGCTCACGCCTGTGACGACTTGTTGATCTTTCGGAGGCACTTTCGGCTTAGTTTCGACAAACAAACTGATTCCGTTCCAACGATCCGTCCAGTGTGAATATGACAATATTGCTCATTTAGTCATTTGCATTAGTAGTACGCGATAGAAGACTCGAACCTTGGCGATCCCAGTAGTCTACACGCCTCAAGAACCGCAGGCCAAAACGGATGCCGTCGCGATGACTACCACACTAGATACACAAACCGAGAAGAAAGAGTTGAAATTGAACCCTGTGTTCTGACACTATAATATTCTGTGCCTGTGCGTACTGAATCTATCTGTCCTGGGCCTAGTCCGTATCCATAAACGCCGTCAACCCATGCATGATTCGAGTTATGAGAAAAGAATGAAGAGGAAGGAGGTGCGTTTGGGCTTTGAGTGACTTTAAAAGAGGGGAAAGAGCATTCATTATCATTCACGTTGTCGAGGAAGGGAGAGAGGGTACACATGAAAGATGTTCAAGTCCGTTCAGAGTGAGTAGGTTTGAGTCGAGAAGAAGTTGTTAGTACGACCTGAAGATCAAAGGAGACAGGCGAAGACTAGAGGGACAGAATAAATGAGCGTTGCGAGACGGCAAGGTCAAAAAATGATTCAGGGTATATTGACAAAAAGGAAAACGTATGGTGCGTGAGCGTGTCTAAAGAGGGTAAATGGTAGTGCGATATGGGCAGGGGGAAGGCCGATGCCCGACCAAGTTGCGTTAATTAAATAGAGAATGGTTCAATACCATGTCCTCCGTTGACAATGTTGCTCAGAAACCCTATACGGAAGAGGATGGTCCTGCCAAATCGATGCGCGGAGTAGCCGGCGTGGGACGCATTGCAGGGTTATCATCAATGCTCATGTTCAACCAAGCTCAGGGTTGGGAGGCGAACGATTTGATATGCTTTCTAATGTGCATAAAGAAAGCAGTAGGATTCGGTGATGTATTTGGCGTCGTGAAGTGATATGTCTGGATCGAGGCACGCATTTGTAACCGTGATTGTTGCCAGTGCGTAGGATCTTTAAGACGGTGTAAAGGCTAGTTCGCTGGATGGGTCCGTGTCATGAGGAGCTCGATTGCCCAACTTGCGCGGATAGGATATCAAGATCAAATGCCACGCACGAGGTGCTAGCTGGAGACTCCCAAAACGCAAATATAATCCCAGCGGGATTAGGTTGGTTGTCATATAGGTGCGAATTTGCACGCTCAGTCTGTCTTCCAATGACCGGCGAGTCCTGAGTCTAGGTCATCTGCGGCTCCTAGCCAGAGTTCAACAGCGTATAAGGCTAGTGTTCCTGCAAGGTTGATCCACCGCCAAAGATTCCCACCTCCGGCTCCCTGCGTACTCCACCACTGCCCACTACCACCCATGGCCTGTGAGGTAGTCGCAAAGTGCTGCATCAGCAGACTGGTATAGACTGCAATAAGGATAGAAGGAGAAAAATAGCTTAAGAAGCCTAAGAACTGACCCGCGGCATCAGAGTCGTCCAATGTGGCCTCTTGAGAGAGCGCGCGAGCGCCTGCTTCGCGGACAGCGGGTATAATTCTCGTCGATGCATAGAGCACGAGGATACGGTAGGTGAGCGAGATTAAGACAGATGGAGTAACTGCACTAAACACGGCTGTAATCATATTGAATGCGGCGTGTATGATGGATGGTAGCAGAGACAAGGCATGCATGAGAGTGGTGTATGAGGCCATGATGATGGGCGGGAGCGGAGGGAAATCTCCCGCTTGTGAGGGCGAAGGAACCGACTGCGCCACTGGTTGTGATGGTTGGTAGTCTGTAAAGATCTGATACACACAAAGCACGACGTAGGCAAATAGAAGCGAACTTTCAACCGGGTTGCCACGGCCACTTCCTATGCCCCAAGCGCACAATATAACAGCGCATGTAATGGTCACACCTATTAGAGCAGCATCCACATTAGAGATCTCAGGAAACTGCAGGACGCGCCAGAGAAAGTATACGGAGCTCGAGATAATGGAGGCCGAGAGGACAAGAAAGCCGATCTATGCAAGAGAGTGAGTTGGTTTCACACCAGGAAAAGAGCTGAGGATGTCGGGTTTTCTTACCATCCAGCTATCACTCCGTCCGCCGCGATTAACAAGCCATCGAGTAATCTGCCCCGCCGCTTGAATGACTAGCAAGCTGCAGAACCCTTCCGCAAGTTGAAATACTGGAGTCGACCACCTCAAGAGTTTGTCCCAATTTCCGATAGCTATAGACTCCAGGAGTCCATCGCGCCCAAATATCCACCCTTGAAGGGAGGAGTCATCAGCACGTTTCAGGCTAAACGTCCGTTCCATCCACGACGCATTATTATCCGTGTCGACAGAAAACCGGTTCAGAGACCAGATAAGCAGGATCGGGATGATGAACCATTGGGCGGAGCTGATTAGAACGATGAGCGAGGAGCGTATCCAGGATCGATCGGGAGTTGTGAGCTTCAGGACTGAGAATAGAAAGTAGAACGTCGCTAGAGACAGTGAGAAGGCCAGACCGCATGTCTTCCCACCCACGTCAAAGGCTAGCGGGATGGACGAGACAGTGACGGTCAGGAAGAGGGCCGACGAGAGTGCCCGAAAGAGCCACATCGGACCGGGCGAGAAGGAACGGGGACCAGGAAACGAGCGCCTTGAAGGTGAACAGGAGCTGGTCGTGGGCTTGGCTCTTAAACGCGACGTTGGTCTGACGCTCCAGGCACCGTTCGACCCTGGAGGAGGCAGGAGGAAATGAGGATTTCTCAGCAAGGAAGCATGGAGCCGAGCAGAAGTAGATGCGCAGGATGAGAAAGCGAGTTCTGGAAAAGGTCAACCCTTGTTCCTTGGAGTTCCTCGTGTTCTTTTCTCTGGAAGTTTTGATCTTATCTCAAGCGGGACGGATTAATGCCGGCTTTCACGTGGCATTTGTCGCAAGAAGGAGTTGAAGCAACGAAATAAGACAACACAGTGGTTTCGTAGATAAAAAACCGTCTTGAAGCCAAAATCCAAAAGGGAAGAAAGTGGAAGAGAGAAGAAGGGGCGTTGCAGTGAAAAAGCCGACAAGGGAGAGTGGTTCCTGGCCCCGATGGATCAAGATCCAAGCTGCGATGCAATCACGATACAGCGCTGCAGTCGCTAAAAAGCTTTGAACAAGCGGTCAAACTACTGGAAGGGCTGGAATTCTAAAGACCCTTCAAATTGCTTCACGAGACCCGGCCACTAAATTATGACTCCAAATCCAGCTTCCAGAGAGGGATGTCTCTTCAACAACCAGGAATGAGAAACCTCAAATTAAAGTCTCCGCATGCCATAAAGGACTTAGAAATGCTGGGAGCAAAATATCTATCTACTACTCCGTACTACCGTATGATTGTGAGATCAGATCTTCGGAGTGTGTGAAGGCGACTCGTTTGTGATGAACTAGACTAAGTTGGGCTAAAAGCCTAAAGCCGGAGAACGTCAATGGATCAGAGCTACTAGCTCACAGGTCCAAGCTTCTCCATCCACTCAGCGGTCGAACCCTCGTGTCTCTGCTCGTGATAAGGACCTCAAGAGGCCTCCACTCTATTGGAACCCGGGATTGCATGAAGAGGAGGAACTCATGTTGTTTCCAGGTTCTTCGTCGGCTAGCACCATGAAAAGACCAGCTCCAGCTTCCGACCAATTAGTGGAACTTTACCGGCCACCTCGAAGGCCGAGCTGGAAGATTCATTGGCCGTTGAATCTGAACCGCAAGATATACTCCAACCAGATGATTTGCGCTTTCACATCCGTCATCATTGGCAGTTTCTGAAAGGTTGTCGCGAATTTGGTATTCCTTGTATGAACCAACCGATTTTTGACCGTAAAACTCCGGCACAGGTATATCTTCCATGCAGGATAGTGACATCCTTCGGCACGCGACCATTGCTGGAAGTTTAAAGCTCCCATTGTCTAGACTGGTAAAGGGTTGATGACACTTTTCTGGGACTGATATACTCCATGTGGGTCGAGAATAACATGGAAGGTGTTTTCGTTCGTGTGTCGATGTACCTGTCCTCGCAAGCATGATGCCAATGATTGACTGCGAATTGATCCGTCCATCATAAAGAGGGACCCTTTGAGCGGCACGATACTTGGTAGAAGCATATCAATGCCTTATACTCAAAGAACTGATATCTTCAATACTGCCAGTTCCGTCACCAGCAGCTTGTGTCCCTCTGGCATCGGAATGAATATCCGAAGTATCCTCACGCTCCCCCAAAGCACGTTGTATGAGCTTCGCCTTGATGACGGCTCCCTTCAGTCGCTCGTCCACATCCGTGACAGCCTCCTCCGTGTTTTCCATTGGGAGGGAAGCTGGATCGACCAATTCAAGGAGCGTATCAAGGTTCTTTGCGAGTCTTGAGCTGTGTGGAAAGCTTGCCATTCCCTTGCAGGTGGAGGGCCCCAAAAAGATATCATCAACCTCTTCTGTCGCGTGACCGGACAGTTCGGAGTTGGGAGCAGATGTCGGGTTTGCGCTGGCAAGTCTTTGAGCCCAGACTAACGCTTTGCCATAGAGTCTTCCCAGTTCGAGAAACTTTTCGAATCCCTTTTCAACAGCGAACACACTCCCTTCCGTATACCCAGCTTCGGCGCCATCGGCGGCTCCCAAATCATAGCCTTCTTTATAAAAGTCCTCCTCGAGGTCGAGAAGGCTTTCGAGTAGATTGTTGTCCATGTCCATGTCAAGGTGTAAAAAAGCCACAGCCAAGATAGTGAGCAAGAGAGGTGGGAGCTTCGGAAAAGAAAACCCGACGTAGCGAACAAAGAGGAGAAAAGATATGTGAGAGATCTTGTGGAGCTGATGTTTCCTTGTCGCACGCTCTCCGGGACGCCGATGATTCATCCGCTACCACCAAAAAACGCAGCCGTCACGGGCCCATCTTTTTGCCCCTCCGCAACCCCGCCATCACAATCACACACCATGGCTACCGAGTCCAAAATCTTGCCCAAGAAGGGCGAGCGTAATATCCTCATTACAAGTGCCTTGCCCTACGTCAATAACGTGCCTCACCTGGGAAACATTGTTGGCTCCGTTCTCAGCGCAGACGTTTTCTCTCGGTGAGTCATACCCATATGTGTTAAAGCGATCTGGGTTGTTAATCGAAATTTGTCCAGGTATCATAAGGCTTGCGGACACCCGACACTATATATTTGTGGAACCGATGAATATGGCACTGCAACAGAGACAAAGGCGCTCGAGGAGAAGGTGACTCCGGAGGAACTTTGCGCAAAGTACAATAAGATCCATCAGGAAGTGTATGAATGGTTCGAAATTGGGTTCGATCACTTCGGGCGCACTCCGACGCAGAAGCATACTGAGATCTCTCAGGCCGTCTTTAAGCGGCTTTATGATAATGGGTACCTTGCGGAAAAGACTGCTGAGCAGCCATTCTGTGAGACCCATGGGTCCTTCTTGGCCGATCGCTACGTCGAGGGTGAATGCCCACGATGCCACTACGACGATGCCAGGGGAGACCAATGTGATAAATGCGGCCATCTTCTCGACCCGTTCGACCTCATCAATCCGAAGTGCAAGCTCGATGGTGCCACCCCGGTAAAAAGAGAGACGAAGCATATTCACCTTCTTCTTGATAAACTCCAGCCCGAAATCGAGGAATTTGTTCTTCCTGCCATGGAAAAGGGCGACTGGCCCAAGAACTCTCGCAATATCACTGAGAACTGGTTGAGGGAAGGGTTGAAAGACCGTGGTATCACAAGAGACTTGAAGTGGGGTGTCCCTGTTCCCCTCGATGGGTTTGACAACAAAGTGCTTTATGTGTGGTTCGAAGCGTGCATTGGTTATCCATCAATTACTGCCAACTATACCCCAGACTGGGAGCTCTGGTGGCGTAATCCGGAGGATGTGCAGCTCTATCAGTTTTTGGGCAAGGACAATGTGCCCTTTCACAGCGTCATCTTCCCCGGGTGTCAGATAGGAACCAAAGACAAGTGGACCAAGCTTCATCACCTGAATACTGCCGAGTACCTGAATTACGAGGGTGGCAAGTTCAGTAAGTCTCGTGGGATTGGTGTCTTCGGGAACAACGCCAAAGAGACTGGTGTTTCCCCAGATGTCTGGCGTTACTATCTTTTGAAAAACCGTCCAGAGACCGGGGACACTCAGTTCGAATGGCGCTCATTCGTCGAGAGCAACAACAGTGAGTTGCTGGCCAAACTTGGTAACCTCGTCAACCGAGTCATCAAACTTGTCGCTGCTTCCTACGAATCCACTATTCCCGATTTCACCGTTCCAGAGGCCTTCCAGCCCACCCTTGACGAGGTCACCACTCTTCTCCGCCAGTACATTGAAGAAATGGAAGGCGTCCACCTCCGCGCTGGTGTTAGCACCGCCATGAAACTCGCCGAAGCAGGCAACGGTCTGATCCAGGCCAACCGGCTAGACAACTCCCTCATCGCCAACGACCCCGAGCGCGCCGCGGCAGTCGTCGGCACCGTACTAAATCTCATCTACCTGCTCGCCAGCGTCTTCTCCCCTTACCTTCCCGCCACCTCTAAGTCCATCAACGAGCAGCTCAACGCTCCCTTTGCCCACATCCCCTCCCTTGAGGACATCAAAGACGGCTGGAAGCCCGTCGCCCTCAAGCCAGGCCACAAGATTGGCAAGGCCCAGTACCTCTTCTCCCGCATCGACCCTAAGAAAGCTGATATGTGGCGCGACATGTTCGGCGGCTCCCAGGCTGACCGACAAAAGAAGGAAGAGGAAGCTGCCAAAGCGGCAGCAAAGAAGGCAGCCAAGGAAGCCGCCAAGGCAAAGAAGAAGGAGAAGCGGGCTAAGGAGGCTGCCGCCAAGGAAACTGCCGGTGGCGGCTCCGTCGAAGCCACAGCCAAGGGTGGCGCTGAGTTGGCGACTGCTACGGTGGAGGGGACGACTGATGAGGCTATTGAGAAGGTTACCGATGGTGTTGCGCAGGTTACGATTCCCACGTCGTGATTTTCAAGACTCATTGCTAGGTAGAGTACCATTTTCTTGGTACACCCCGGTCGAATAGAGATAGCATAAGATATGGGATGACATCATCCCGGATACACATCTATCAACAGATGCATTGTGTTTCTCAATCGTGCTGGATTTTATTATTTTTATATCATGGTATCTTCTCATACTATCTACTGCTACTACTATGAGGTCAAGATCGCGGATTTGAGCTCGAGTCCGAGTACGACTACGCCACACACCACATAGAATGAAAAGTGCAACGCTGTTGATTTATCGTAACAATGATAAGGCACTAGTTGTAAACTATTATATCCCCATACACAAGCTAGTAGCCACATACTCTGGCGATAACCTTGACCAGACGTACACACCCACTGTGCCAACCCAAGTCCTCCTGTAAATGAACCCAATCATCGCCTCCTGGTGCCTGGCCTGGGCTTTACCTCGTCCTGGTTCACTGGGTGAAGCATGACCTTGTTGGGCAATTGCGGGGTGTTTGCTGAGTATCCTTTGCTCCAGTCATAGCTGACAGCGTAGGCGAAGATGTTACCGTTGCGGTTGAAAGCGGTTGACGAGATTGTTCCCCCGACGCTAGGGTAACCCTTGAGACGGTGCTTGGCATCCTTATCCCAGAAGTGGAATGTTCCATCGCTACCAGCGGTGCTGAAGGTGCCGTGGACGGGGTGGAAGGAGATGGCGTTGACGGAGTAAATGTTGTTGATATCACGCTGGTTTGGGGGTGTTTCGCGATGGCATTTGAAAGAGAAATTTGAGCTCGAGTCCTTGTCGTCGACGTACTGGATGGCACAGCGGCCCTCGATACTTCCGACCGCAAACCCGGTGGCGTCGGCGAAGCAACTAACTACTCGTGTTTGCCATTTCAGAGGAGACTGCATGGTTTTGTAGAACTTTGTGGGGCTGCCGAGGTCGACAATGTTTATGTATCGATCTGCTGTCCCAATGACTAAAAGTTTATCCTTGACGTCCATAGTGTAAACACGTTCCTGGCATTCTAATGAGGCGATGGGTGTAGACTGCCGTAAATCCCAGTATTTGACCTGCTTGTCCCATGAACCCGTCACGAGGAGAGGTGTGCCGCCAGCGGGGTTTGGGAACATGTGGCAGCATCTGATCGGGGCGTCATGAGCAGCGACTTGTATAGGCGTGGTAGCATTTGCGGCGAGGTCAAGCATGCGAGCCGCCTTGTCGGCACCAGCGCCCACGACTTTTGTTCCATCCTATTTGCGGTCAACTTATTAGCCCAATTTTCAGATGATTAAATTGGTAGGAGGCATACAGGTGCCCAGCAGCAGTTCAAGACAGGGGCCTCATGCTCGAAAAGAGCTTTGCCCTCACTCTGGCCTTGATCGTTGATCTCGTAAATGCGGACTTTCTTATCCCATGACGCTACAGCTAGATGGTCGCTCGCTGGTGAGAAACGGAGATCTGAAATGCTGTCCTCGGGAGGAGAATTGAGCGCGACGTCTTTTGAAATGTCGCCTGTGGTGTTGGTGGCAGATGTTGTTGTCGCCGCTGCTGCGCCAAATAGCCCTGACATTTCAAGAACTTTTACTCGAGACCGGGATGGAGCGCGGGGTGATCGGACGGACGGTGGGAGTAGAAGCTAGAAGATTGTATCTGAAGTTCATGAGAGAGTGTGTGGGATGAAAGGAAGAAGGTAACAAAGCTCGTTGGGTAATTGGAGAAAAGAGCTCCTAGACACGACAAGAAAGAAGGTCCGAAGTTCAATAACGTGAGGGCACGGCAGTATCGTATCCTCAGGCTTTAACTTTCACCGCCCTGGACCAAACACGGCAAACATTCACCGGCTGAATCCTCATCTGCCCTGAGCCTCTGAGTGCTACACTAGTACGGAGTAGTAGGTTACCAAGCACTCTACGGCGTATGGAATCGCTTTTTCTTGTCGCAAGATGGTGCCTTGCACTGACTCGACAGTATCACGCAACTGTAAGTCAAAAATAAATTGTCGTGTCAGACAGAAAACCTTGTCCTTCTAACGTCTTCAATCTCTCAATTTTTGCGCAAAGTTGTACCGTGGATAGTGGCAGGACATGGATGTGACACGGGCCGATCGCCAATCATGATTGAGCTCCTGCTTGGTTAGCTGCACGTGAGGTCATGTCCAAGTTTGTTTGCGACCTGGAGGACAGAGTAACTCTCTATAGTGGTGTCGTCAGAGGCATCCATGATGGCTATGTGAGGCGAGTCTAAGATAAGCCGATGGTGAGTAGAGTCTGGAACTGAACGTGGTTATCCAGACTTCCAGAAGGCCGCACGAGGCCAGAAGAATAATAGAGTGATGGACTAAGTGGAGCGGTGGAAATGCGGGGTGCAGCCTTAGTGGGCCAACACAGAAGCTCTCGACGTCAGCCCTCGTGCCATCCGACACTGCCGAGTTTGTTTGTCTAGGAAGTATTGGCGAGGAGTAGCGATTTCCTGAGAGTTAGAGGAATTGGTGCAACTGGACATTGAAGGGATTGACCTCTCGGCTTCACCCGCAACGCATTTCCACAATGGAATGATGCGGGAAAGCCCTGGGAATGGGGTTAAACCATCATCTGATGTATCTGCGACAGGTGCGGAGATTCTGTCATCACCACCTCCTCTTTCTCTGCGAATCATACGGCACAGCTCAAAACCGCTTCAATCGACCAGCAGATTCTACACCTGGGTAGCTCTCGAAGCTATTATTGACATGGTTGGGCCACGACCAGTCAATCATGCGAGGCGTTTCCGGATATATCCAGTCAATCATCCAATCTGCGTCCATGGCATCCCATCCATCATTGCCACCGTCTTTCGAAGCTCTTAACCCCACCTCAGCAGAACCTCACTAGTACCGTACTTCTTGATTCTGAATTCCTCGGTGGTTTCCATCGCAATATTTTCACGCGGGCCTCCATATCCTCCCAAGTTAGCCAGACTAGGACGTTGTATATACGGAACATCAAATATAGTATAGGTTTCCTGTCGTAGAACTGCTACAATGGTTGCTCTTGTTGTGGTTTGATCTGATTGATCTCCCCATGCAGATTATGTGTACACGGTACGGAATGGGTAAGACCGCTGTTCATAGTTAAAGCATCATACTTTGGCTCTCCAGGTCACCTGCCTTTCCCCTCTTTCCATCCCCCTAACCTTCTCTCCCCTTTCCTTCCTCTTCTCTTTTCCTCTCTTCTTCTTCTTCTTGCTCCTCCATCCCATCTGGACCCAAACCATCATCCGATCGCGTCCAACTGACTGGTAAGCTCACTCTGTTCCTGCATGGCCCTCATCAATCACCCTCCTTCATCAATGATGTAGTACTTTCTCCTTCACACCCATGCCCCAATCATGCCATCATGTCTCACTCGGTGTTGTGCCTTTATCTGTACCTGAGTAGTCACACGGCAACACCAGGGGCTAATACATTCCTCTTGGGCTTAGATCTTGCTCAAGCATTACTCTTATCTCTTTGCTCCTCATCTACCATTCCAGCTTCACGCCCCAACCATGTCTGCTACGGAACATCCCGAGCTTACCAAGGTCGATTCCGCCGTTGCTGGCTTGACGTTATCCTCCAAAGATGAAAAGGCACCCGACAAGGCCGAGAAGAAGTCTCACAGACGCACCTCATCCCAGGCCGAAGGCGTCTACAACATCAAGGAACTAGGTAAGTTCTTCCGGTCTGACTCCCAAGGTAACTGTTAAGGTGCTGACCATCCCCATAGAGGAGAAGCAAATCGAGCTTACGCTACCAATTGAAACACAAAAGACCGGATGGTGAGCTGTTATCCTGCCCTCTCCTTCTATGCCATATTAACCTTTTGTAGGAAGCTGAACACTTCACCGTCAACGGTCGAGGACAAGGACATCCTCAAACTCCCCCTTGTGACTCCGCCAGTCAAGAAGATTGACCTACACTTCCCCCTAGGATTGGAGGTAACTGCCCGTAACATGAAGGGCGTGACAGTCAAGGATGCGCTGGACGCAATCTACAAGCAGTTCAAGAAGAAGGTACCGTTACTGTCGTCCAAAAGTAGAGGCCAACGGAAACTAACAGAGATTACTTCTAGGCGGATGACGAATTGGACAAGCCCTACCTCGCTGGTTTCGAGTGGGACAAGGAGGAAAGCTGGACTAGACTCATTGTTCACCAGACTAAGAATGGCCCACCTGCCGCCCCCAGCAAAAAGTCCAAGAAGAAGGCCAAGGAAGAAGCATAGAATGGTGGCTTATTTGCTCCTTGACCCGCCTAGATCTTCGCGGCGTTGTCTCTCCTTCCTATTGTCGAACCAACGGCTTTCGTGATTCGATGTGCTTTGTCTCTCGTCTTGCTTCTTCTGAGCAATTGTTTGCCAATGGTTCGGGGTCTTAGAAGCATTGATCCAAGAGGACAGGTGTTTTATCTCTGCAACTTGATTTTTGTTGTTTTAATCTCAATCTCAGCTCCAGCTGCCTTGTGCGGCTTTCAGTTGTCTACTGGTTCGATGAGGACTCAGTACATACTAGCAGGACTGACTTAGTTCTCTCACATTCATTCAATGACACAGTTGTATTGAATCAAGAGGTGCTTCATGAAGAGATAGTATCCCTTGGGATATACACCTACCCCAGAGCAAATTGTACCAAACAGCTACGTGATAACCGTGTGTCCGGTCTAATGTACGAACTGAAAAATGTGTTGCAAGCTAGAGTCAGCCTGGTGATACCTCATGCGGCAGATTATTGCATTCCCATCTCTAAGTTAAATATACACGTGTGCAGACATCTGTCATGTCAACGGCCATTTTTGTAGCCTCGATCGTACAAGTCATTATCATCTAATATTCGTAAGAGCAATTGTTGATGTTCAGGAGTGCGTGATGTCATGTCGACCGAGTCCGCCCTGTGGCCTTTTCCCCACCGAACAAGACCAGGACAATCTCGTCCAAGATTGAGAAAATCAGGTGAGCGTTAAGACGTTGGTTGTTCAGCGTAGCGAAGATCCTTCTGGCGGCAGCCTGAGCGTTTGCTCGTCCGACCACATTCCCTGCGAGATCAGGAACGAGGGTTGCGAGGACAAGACTAGCTTCTGTGCGGCTCCTCATGCGTTCCGAAGCTGTGCGGACCTTGTTCTCGCGGAGCACACCGCCAGGCCAGAGTGTATCTCGGGCGAGGGCGAGGTAGCGGAGAAGGTGCTCATCTTGAACGAATGAGCGAGCGCTCTCGCGGACTTTGCGTTCGATTGTGCCGCCGAGTAATTGGTGGAGGACGACGACAACAGCGCGGCCGCGAAGCCAGTTGTTTCCCCTGTTCAGCTCAAAAGTTTCTAGGAAGAGATCGCAGATGGGTTTGATGAAGGGCTCTAGTTCGCGGTCTTCAAAGGCATTGAGTTCAGCTTCGGCTTCGGCTGCCGTGACGGCGTCTTCGGTGGCGAGCCCCGAGTCTGTTGGAGTAACGACAACGTTGGGTTGCTGCTGTTGATTTGTGGCTGCGGATATGAGATTCTGCCCTGCGATTGAAAGTTGATCGAGCACGCCAAAGTTGCCGAGGAAGTCGTCCATCCCGTCAGCAACTGAATTGTATATCCGCGTCACAAGGTCCTTGGACTCTCCATCTCGGGGAGCAGCCTCACTGCGTGGAATGATCGCCCGTTGAGATAAGAAAGCGCGCAAGTCCCGGCTCCGGCATACCTCTGGGAGAAGGAGAAGCTTCTGGAGATATACCTCTAATGCTAGACGCCGTTTGTGCAGAAATTCTTTTTGTAATTTCATTACCATTCGCCGCCGAGGAAACTCCAGTTGACGCACAGACGGATATCGCATGCGAAGCTGGTGGTGGAGCTCGTGGAACTCGCTGTATCTACGTGCCACCACCCAAGATGCCGCCGGCATCTGCTCTCCAGCGTTTCTTTGTACCTCCACAACATCTGCGGCTGTCAGTGAGTTATTCATGTACATATAGCGAAAGGTCACATACACACAGCATACTCTCGACCATCCTCCTCTTTACCCACAACGATGGATTTGATTCGAATGGTCGACCGGCCGTACAAACTATTGTCACTTTCTTGTATCATGTATTGCTGGCGTTGCATCTCTTTGCGGTGCAGCTCTCGTTGAATGCTTGCCTTGGACTTTCGCAAGATTCGTAGCTCTGCCGTGTTGTTCGTAAGCTCGGCTTTTCGTGTTAGGGTATCGACCACTGCTTCTTGCGACCCGAGTTTTTCAATGTCTACTGCGAGGGCTTCGATCGCTTCGGTGAGACCTAGGTCTCCGGGAGCCGCTTCGTGTACCTCATCTGCAGGGTCTTTGTCATCTGCTCCGTCCGGCTCTTCATACTCATCCTCAAGGTATCTTTGCTGTTCAGGAAACAGGTCGTCATCGAATACCCCGCGGCGCGAAGACTTCTCCACCAGCCCCAGCGACGCGATACTGGGTTTCAATCTATCGTCCGTTCGATTTTCCACCTTTGAAAACTCAAGCGAGCTGCGTGGCGACTTTTGACCCGGATCATTCGCAGAAAGTTCCTCAAGTCTTCCATTGTTTGGTTCGTTTGTGATGATATCGTTTAGTGCAGCCTCCATGTTTTCAATAACCCTGTTCTCATTGACCTCGGTGTCACCGTTCTCTCTGTTGAGACTTTGAGTAGACATTGCAAGCGGGTCGGTGTCATAGTCATCGTCAAATGGGGGAACTGAGCGTTCGGAGTCTATAGAGCGCCTTGCAGGTTCCTCATCATCAAAGAGCTTTCCCATGCTAGACACATCGTTTGATGAGATGGCTGCTCTCCGAAGATCTTTCTTGGGTTTGGAGCCTGGATGGGAAGTCGTTCGGCTCAATAACGGAGGAAGCGGGCGCCTGTCCCGGGGCTCAAGGGTGTTGTTTGCAGGGCTTTGCTGGGATGTGGGCGATAATGGCGCGGGAGCAGGAAAATGGGAAGCTTCATCAGAAGCAAGGTATTTATAGAATAGGTCTGACTGCTTGAACTTGGGATAATAAACATCTTGGAGTTCCTCAAGCACGGCTGACTGAGTAGTCAAAACCACCGTGCGAGCTTTACGGTACTGCTCTGGGGTGGCACGTTTTCCCGCGCTCAAAAAGGCCTTGACAATCTGCCGAGATTCGTCCGTCACTTTGAGTTCAGGCTTGGTGAGATACGTCTCACTTATTAGAGCCATGTCATTCCTGTCCGCGGTGGTCCAGGTCTTGGAGGTAGGGGATGACTCGTCTCCAAAGTCGTCTTCCAGTGGATTACGGAATCCATCAACCACAATCCAGAATTGCACGAGCGACATGAGGTGCTGGCGGTCCATGAACTCCATGAAATAAGAAAGACCAGAAGCGTCATGCATCACGTCCACCAGAGACGCTTCGTGAGCTGCGGACGAGCTCTTTCGACGAAAGTGCGAGGCAGCGGCTGCAGCGTGCGATGTCTGGGTGCCAGATATTGAAAGTTTCGATACCTTTTGATCCAAAACTCGCTTGCCAGTTTCGAGTCGCCGAAGATAGACTGGGTCCTGCCCCTCTACCATGGACTCCCGTTTCAACTGGCTCGCGACAAGGGCTCGGAATCGCCGGGCATCGGAAAGGTTATTGCAGCGTCGAATGGTTCGAACGAATCGCTCAAACGCCCGCTCAGAATCATTGGGGCCAAGACGTGGAAACGGATTGCCGCGCTTTGACTTGGGAGCCGGAGAAGCATGCTCATCAAGGGCGGCCCGGAGCTTGCGTACAGTTTTCCGATCTTGAAGAGCTGTCCGGCCATACGCTTCCATCAATTGATTCCAAGTGTCAGGGTCGGAAAGAACTGAGATGAGCGGGAATAGGACGGCACATGACACAATTTCCCTAATGAGGACAGAGACAATGCGGCTGTTGAGAACATTCTCAGGAAACAGCTGAGGAAGCAATCCAACTGTGATCTTCCGTAAATATTCTTGTTCTACCGCCTTCTGGTCAGACAGCGAAAGCACCGCGGCTGGATGCAAGTGGCCATCACGGTATTTACTTGCAATGGCAAGGTCCAACTCCTCGGACTCGGTGACGTTGCGGGTCAGGTTCTTTCCCCTCACTGACCGCTCTGCGATATCAAACTCCTTGAGGTGCGTGGTAAGGACTGGGAAGATGCGTGAGACAAGCAATGACACAATATCTTCCGCTAGCAGCCGGTCACGTAGGTTCCCAACCGCTGTCCGGATCACCCTATCCACCTCGTTTGGGAAAGCGGGGTTCGGGGTAATGCTGCGGTGCCAGGACGAGATGAAGTCACGGGTAATCAGCGAGAGGATCTCGTCTATGCCTTCCGATACAATAAAGGACTGAGGGTACAGCGACTCGGCTTGGTACTTGGAGCGCCTCTGGAACTCGTTCAGTTCCTTCTTCCAATGCTGACGGGAAACGAATGCGACAGGGAGGGGGAGGGTCTTGGAATGGACGAGGTTTGCAGTACTGGAATTCCGTGTCGTTAGAAGGACGAGGCCAAATATAGCGGTCGAAGAGAGAAAAGCGCCTAGAGCCAGAGCATATCCGAGGTATCGAAGAACGGGAAGCCAGCGAATCGCAAAACCCCAAGCGACAAAGCCACCAAAGCCGGCGAGGATGTAGTCACGAGGCTTCAGGGACATTCTCACCACACCAGCTGTGTCGATTCTGGGGTTGTTCTCATTGCGATCAAGGATGCAAGGGCTAGACTGAATGAAGGCGCATGGTGATAGGAACGAGTAGATGTATTTTAGCGGAGGATAACAACAACAACTGCCACTGGAGTTGGTGACGACGATCGACAAGGATGGCCGGCGGATGGCAGGCGGTGAGGGCATCTGGAGACAGATATTTCCTGGTTGTGGCCAGTCACGGCCAAGCACATTCTCACGTGACTTAGTTTATGCCTGCCAGACAACGTCATTTGTTGACCTGGTCTTTATCTTTTGACCTCCACGATTTCCTCTCCTCCACCTGCTTCCCCCCGCTTTACTTTCACTCAACCTCGAACGGCCTCCTTTGGCCTTGATACCTGCAGCCATGGCGTCTCTCACCGACTTCGTGGATTTCTCTCAGGACACGCTCAAATGTAAGTTAACATAGGCCCGGAACACTTTTTGCATGTGACACTCAACACCACAAATTCTAGACGCTGCGCTGTCCATTGCCTTCAACCCAATCTTCTGGAAGTGAGTATTCTCGCACGAACAGCCTCCAAATTTGAGCGTCAACCATATCATATCCAAGTTGCCCCTATAAATAGTCTCTATGCTAACCTCTCCGCCCCGGCGGACCTCAGCATCGTTGCCCGTGCCGGTAACTACACCCTATCACCTGCAAACCCCAACGCGACCATCATCTAACCCACAAAACCCCCGTAGAGTACCGGAGCCACTTCCTCACCCGTATCTTTGGCAGCCCCTACTACGGCTGCTACTTTCTCGCCGTGACCATCTTCTCCCTAGGAGTCCTACGCGACCACATCTACCAACTGGCCTTGGAAGACCAGCCCTACTATGCCCCAGTGCACCAACCCGTCCTCGGCGGCGCCCTTTTTGTCGTGGGCTCAGTTCTCGTCCTCTCAAGCATGTATGCCCTCGGCGTGACGGGAACCTACCTCGGTGACTACTTTGGTATCCTCATGGACGCGCCTGTCACGGGCTTCCCGTTTAACGTTACGGGATCCCCGATGTACTGGGGTAGCACCTTGAACTTCCTCGGCGTTGCCCTGTATAAGGGCAAAGTTGCCGGTGTGCTTCTTAGCGCCATGGTGTTTGTCCTGTACTGGTTCGCACTCAAGTGGGAGGAGTAAGTCTCGCGCTCTGATACCACGCTTCCTAGGCGTGTATCCTACATAGGCAGACCCCGCTGACTGTTCCCTCTGTAGCCCCTTTACCGCTGAGATCTACGCGAAACGGGAACGCGAGCGCGCCAAATCCAAGCAGGGTGGAAAGAAGCAGTAAGCTCCTGAATCCAGTGCTCGCATCCAGTCAAAGAGCAGTTGCGAGCAAATGGACTACTGTGGTGGTAAGGAGAGGGTCCAGAAGAAGTGATAATGGGTATTCAACATCCATAGATGGCGCTGCGAGCATAGTGCAGACAGGAGAAGGAAGCCTGGATGTCGGATAGACCAGAACGACAGGCGATACTGAGTGCTCTTCAACATCAATTAAAAGCGGAGAAGCGAGCATTGAAGAGGCTACTACAAGAGAGGGCGTACCTCGAGTGGTTCGATGAATCACTACACTACCTTCATAGAAAGAGAAGTATCCATAGAAAAGGCTGAAAAGTAATTTGATTTTAATTGTTCACTGATCCATATATTGAAACAGCAATTGAGCACAAGCAAGAATGGATATCATTTTATCACCCAAAACACCTAAACCAATCCCCAATGTTCGAACATATAGTGATATGTAGGAGAGCGCCTAAATGTCATCAACCTTTGAATGATACAGAATCCTTCAAGCAAAAATTCCGGAAACAGGACTCCGAAAAACAAGCCCGCCAACTCCACGCTATGAAATCTATACAGTAAGAACACAGATGCACGCAAGTGCATGGTACAAAGGAAGAGTGCATAAGCAGGCTAGACGCCAACAATAATGGACTGGCTTATGCGCGACGACCCCTACCCCTTTTATTCGACCGGCTCTCCTCGACCGGCTCGATCTCATCTTCGTCTGCGCCCTTCTTGAGGTCCTCTCCTTCGGCAAGGCCCCATTTCTCACGGTCATACCAGTCTTCTCCGTCGCTCAACTCGCCAACATGGCCTTCTGCTTTACACCATTCAAAGACGTCCTCTTTCATCCGGCATGCCCGTAGGAGGGACTCTAGCATGTGTTCGAAACCGCGTACCGTTTCCTCTTGTTTCTGGACGTACGACCAGAGTAGTCGGCGGGTGTCTTCAGCTTCACTGGGTGGCAGGCCAAAGTCGGCATCTGGCCGCACTGAATCTGATACAAGATAGAGGGGGTGAGGCGTAGGAAGGGAGCTGAGTGTTTCGCTGGACACGGACGGTGAATCGCGCCCAGAGTCGTGATCCTGCGGCTGGCCAGCATTGGCTTGTGCTCGAGTCGTCATACGCCTTGGAGGTTCTGGCGGCGAACCGTTTTGCATTTCAACGTCCTCATCCACGTCTTCGTCTCCGCCCTGCTTGTTCTTGTGTTCTTTATCTGGCTCGCCGATTTGTCTTTCGTCCTGATCCATTGGCACATCTGCATCTGACGCACGAGCTCCGTCATGCGGATTATCTGATTTGCTACCATTAACCTTGGCACCGCTCTCTCCATTTTCCAAGTGCTGTGGAAGGTCCCCGACGAATGTATCAACTTCTTCGGATTTTGGCGCTCTGGGGTGGCTAGTATTGGAATCATGTGGCTCATCCTCTGCTCTTCCATCCGGCAAGCTTGCCATTTCAACGTCGTTCGTGGTTCCAATCAATTCTTCTTCTGGCGCAGAGCCACGTCTTTTGGAAGTATCCGTGACTTTTGGGGGCTGCTGCGCGCTGTCTTTTGAGTGACTTGATGCTGTTTCAGCGGATGCGGCAATACCATTGGTCCCATAGGACGGTAACGGAGAACTGTCTCCTGTGCTGGCTATTCGCGGCTCAAAAATCCATCTATCTTCAGGGGACTCAAAGACGCCGCACGGCGCCCAGGAACCATCCCCAAGGAACTGCCGGTGCAGATTTCTAGCGCGCCACAGTAATGCTCGTTCTTGGCGTAGTTTGGCTTCGATTGCCTGCGTCATGTTTGAGAGAGCCTTAGAGGTATAGGCGTGCGATAGGGACGGATGAGTGGGGAGCTCAGATGGATGTTTCAGTGGGCAAAGGAAATCTGAATTAACAAGCACAAGTTAGCTGAAGGTGGGACCAGTGATATGTCGTATAACATAATTGCGACGCACGTTCCAAGGCGATCTCAGAAAAGGGATTCTCCTCCGCGACGGCAGCATCAGCCTCCGAATCTTCATCGTCTTCATCAAGCTCGTCCCCTTCCGAGTCGTAGCGCACAGGGTTTTGCTGAAGAATGTAGCGGGTATACCCAGCATGTTCGATTTTCTGTATAAAAAGCCAAACATCTGTTAATTACCTGCACGTTTACAACCTCGGTGCACCCAGAAGCAAGCTAAGCGCGAATGAATGAGAGTATTGCAGCAAGCGCTACGTTGGTTCTATCGTACCTGCTTATAAAGGGCATCGGAATTCACATAGCCCATAGCACCCTCTCTCACGAATCTCGCATTTGATCGGAGCTTGTTGCCTCTATTCGTAGGTTGGCTGATTGGATCATCGGGTCCCGAATCTGTAACGAGCTCAAGTTAGTGAATGCGCGGCGGAATCAGAAAATATACAAATTCGGAAAAGGATAGCGGTACAGTCGTTCTCATTGCGGAGGGCCCGCTTCATCCCCACGATGGTATCGGCAATTAAGGCTGCCTGCGCCGCCATGGCTCTGGAAGAGAGGAAAGGATGGAACAGGAGCAGAGACAAGGCGCGGGAGTGGGAGGAGCTGAAGTTTGAGATTTGCAGGGTGAAAAGAGCGGCAAAAGCGGTGTTATTGAGAGGTATAGAGTTGCGACTGTGATTATTATCAGGAAATTACCTCGAACCCAGGTGATGGAGAGGCAGCAGAGGAGTAGATGAGTCTCCCTCAACCTGGCTCGCCCTCTCCAGTCGCTCTCCGCCTAACGAAATGGGAAAGCTGCGGGCGCTCTTCCGATCGCTGGCGCTAGTCCGCTTGTGAATTGCATGATAAGGATAAGTTATACCACGTGATTTTTGTCCATGCATATTTCATCCTCATCAGTTTTAGTATGCGTACCCTCTATATCATTAAGCTAGTAGACGTTGAGATCTATTCGTCCACATCAACCCATGCCAGAATTCCCTTCTTATCTGATCGCATCTCCTCCGTAGGAAGCACTCGCAGCGTCTTGTTAAAGTATGCATCCACCACAAGGAGCTGCGGCTGTATCCAGAGGCCTCGCTTGTAGGCCATCAAGTTGTATCGGACCGTGTGGCGGCTTACGGGGGCTAATTGAACCACCATTGCCTTCGGGCCGCTGAAAGCAAAATGCTCGCTGCCTTCCATGGTCAAGTTGAATGTGAGAAAATGCAGCGACGGATTTTCCAGTGTATACTCCATGTGTATTAATCCAGGAAGCTTATTAGAGGGCATGGCGGAAGCGAGAACGCGAGGCTCGCCGGCAGGTATGACAAACCGCGGAATCGCGAGTGTCGTCGTCGTCGTGCTTCCACCAGTCTCACTCCTCCGCCATTGGATCTCCAGTGCGAGGTTTACTGACGTGGGGCGTCGATCGCCTAGGACGCTCTTCTGGATATCCAGGGTAAAGTTCGATTGACGGAGTTCTTCGGGGCCAATCACTGACGCTTCTGGGCTGACAAGAACCTCGGAGCCAATCTGAGAAGTGGCCCCTCCGCTCAGATTCAGCAGCACAAGAGACATTTGCTCAATGACCAGAGGCTCGCGGGCGAATGAAACCACTTTCGTGTCAAGACACCATTTTTGGGCCAACCCTCCGGGTTTTGCAGTTTCTGGCGGTCCAATCAAGTCATCGTCAACTGTAAAAAAATCTGGCCACGGGTCTGGGTGAAGGCGTGCAAGGAATTCATAATTCGCTTCAAATGGCCGAACGATAGAGACAGTCAACCGTGTAGTGGCGATTATTGGCGTTTGGACATCTGAGACGAGGTTATACACTGCAGATATTTCCAGCTCATACTCGAAGCTCTCCTCGGTATTGGCAAGGACAATCGCCAGTTCACGGTGGGAAGAGCTTTCCATGACCCCAACTGGCTTTTTTATAAAGTGGGACACGTCCCCTACTGGGGTACTCGACCCAGATTTCAAAGATGCCTCTGAAGAGTTTTCATCTTCCAGCCACGCAATCTTCGCCGTAGAACCAGGGCGGCCAAAGAGCCTCGATTCAGCAAGAACATCGGCAGCCTCGTCTTCTTCATTATGGACCACGAGTTCAAGAACGATACGCTCGCTCGTGTAGTAGGTGTTTCTGATATTTGGAACAGTGATTCGTATCTTGGGTGGCTTTGGTAGAATTTTGCAGCGATTGATATCACGCCCTTTGCCAATTCTTCTTCGAACTGCACCCTTTGGGTTTTGCTGCCACCAGAAAGCTTCGTGCTGGACAGTATCTGAGATGGCATAAGTAAGATCGAATTTCTCTTCCTCGATTAAAAGAGCCACTGAAGCCACGCGGCACTCTCCAGCTTCTCGGGGAATACACGTCAGGTTGTATATTTTGGTCTGGGAAGGCCCCAGAGTTAGATCTGCAATACCTGTAAGTGCAGCTAATCCACTAGTGGGCGATTGAAGGACCGAGGAGTCAGATAGAACACTCGGATCACGCAGAGAAGGCGACGATATGACGCAGCGGGTGATTGTATCGGCATCTTCATTCTCATCTGATTGCAAACGAATCGGCCGTAGACAGCCTTCAAAGGCAAGTTTGAGCTCTGCAAACTTGATTGGAGCAGACGGTTGTTGAGTACAGGATGACAATATTAGTTGGCCATGCAAAGGCTCACCGACGTTTCCCTCGGCTTTCTGAAAGATAAATGTTGCGGTGACTATGTACTGGTTAGTTGGCGACCTTGCGGCTCGCTAGATGATGACTCACTAGTTGGTACGACATCCTCCGCCTTGACCACAATAGATGGTTTTGGCATTGTTGATGGAATGGATGCGAGGCTCTGGTGAATGTCGTATTTCCACCCAGATCGAGGTGTAAATGCTAATAAACGTTAGACTGCCATAATTCTGTTGCTGTTATTAGGGATACAGGCCTACCGCAACTTAACAATTCCCAATCAACACGTAAAACTGCTTCGCAATCTCCGATATGTGCAGCACTCCCTCTCAAGGCCCAGGCAAACTTCTCCATAAGCCCCCACCATCCAGAACGACGCCAGGTCAGGGTCGTCCAGAGTGGACGAAGAATATTATAAGCCTCTTGCCAAGAACCTAGTCGCATGTATTCTTCAGCAATCTCCAAAGTGAGGCTCTCCGTCATCCGTACTTGACTCCGCTTCGAGAACTCGCTCAATGCCGCGTTGAGTGTACTTAGAATCAGTGAGGAGTGATCGAATCCACCCGTCCCTGACTGCGGTGCCTCGAGGTGGGTTTCCGGTGCAAGGTATGTGTCGTAAAGGTAAGCTTTACTAGCTATTTGAGACGCAGGGGATTGACCTGGCGGTGTGCAGTCTTCTGGCGGGATCTGCTCCGCTAAAGTTCTCCGGTACATTGTGTGTTTAGCTGAACGATACAGCCAATAACCCTCATGGTGAAGTTGCTCCCACGGCGCTACCTCGTTTCCTGGAAGGGAGGTCTTTTCGCGCGGAACGAAGATGGAATTGTGCTCGTTGAATTGAGCTTGCGAGATTCCTACAGACGTCAAATGAGGGACCTCCGCTTGATGAACGAGTTGAGCCATCACGGTCGACCATCTACCCTCCCAAGCTTCCCACCCATAATTTCTCGTGCCTTTCCCTCGCCTGTTGACAATATCCTGGGAGCATCTTCGGTGATTTACCCAGAATCTTACTGCAGAAGTCGTTTGTCCGGTAAGCAGTAGGTAGCGGATTATCCGTATGGCAAGCGCATCAGCTAGGAGGCGGGCGTCATTAAATTTGGGATCCCATCCGGCAATGTTCTCAAAAACCTCTTGTCCGAATAAAGTCTCGTAAGCATTCACGTAGTTTTTGAGGGCGGCGTCTATCTCCCGCCGAAATTCCGCAAAAATCCCCATTTTGAATTCGTAGCGGGTATTCCACCCTTGGAGAGACAGCGTTTGAGATGTGCTCGTTGGAGGTGCCGTCGGGGGTGGGATACTGCTCCTATTCCTTTTCCTCCGGGCGTGCTTGGATAAATCACGATAGTACTCCATCAGTGATGGATGCAAGACGGACAAAAGTGACTTTGTAAACTCTCTCAGCTCTTCCAGAGTCACGTCGGGTGGAAGCAAGAATATCGATTTCTGATCCAAATTGGTTGATCTTCGAATGCCCATTATCCGATCATCTACGTCTCCTAAGTCCGGACCTTGGACTTGGTCCGACAAGAGAACGACAACAAATCGAGTTTTATAGCCGGAGTCCGACCATTGTTTCTTGAGTCCATTGATTTCGATCTTCAATTGATTGTCACGCAAAGAGCTCATGTTTGGGTCCAGGCAAAAGGGATAGAAATTGACTACCGCGGCCGGAACGAGGTCTTGGTGCTTTGCGGTCCATAGAGGCGTCATTATACCGTCCGGAAACGTCGGTGAGCTAGGCGTCAACGGGGAGATGGGCGAATGGAGGATGACCGAAGCCCCATGTTGTATGTCATGGTTTCGATCATCTGTCGGGCTCGCGGGCGGGGAGGTAGGAGGTGGGTTCGCCTTTCGTGGCGGAAGTCTGTAATCCTATGAGCGTGTCAGGTTGCCCATAGAAAGATATGAAGTGCGTTTCACATACCCGCCCAACAGACTTTATTTTGTATTTAACCTTTGAGCTATCGGCCCCTAGATGATCCCAAGGATCCCAAGGATCCCAAGGATTCCGTGACGCATTCTCATTGAGGAACAAACTCCGCAATTCCTCTGCACTTGACCCGTCCAGGGGTGGAAAATCCGACTCTATCGTGAACCCATTCTCTTTCAGCAAAGGATAGGCTATCTCCTCCGTCTTCGGATCTCCTGGTGACTCGTGGGTTTCAAGGCCGGAAAGCAGAACAAATGGAAGGTTGTGCGCGACGTAATGTTGGGGATAGGCGTCCATGGCGGACCAGGGTTGCTTATAACAGCTGTCGGTCACCGCATATCTCGAGTTGACAATGCCTAGCACAACCACTAGGGCTAGCTCTTGACTGGTACGCGGATCCTGGGTATTTCAAGACGTGCAAAAAAGCTCGTCACGTACACCGGAGACACCTGATGTTGTCCTCCGTGGAGAGAAGCGCGGGGTCGTGGTCAAGTCGGGCCAAGTGTTTTGCCAAGCCGCGGACACAGGACAGCTCCCGAGCTGCCGCCGCCCGGCCTTATCTCTCTCCATTTGATCTTCACTTTTCAGATCACGAAGTGTCAGTGAATCGACAAACATGCTCAGACTATACCCGTTCAAGCCTCTCATCATAACTTACATTAAGTTTGGTCTTGGTAATTGTAGAAGCCCAAAACTGTTGTGCCCTGGTGCGTGTATATACTCCAGAGTAGTACTAGATTTTGTGTTGTAGTACTGGCCCCGGCTTATTTTCAACCCACCTAGCAGATCGGAATAGTCGCTGTCATTGACATACGGAAGGTCAAACAGACTCATTGTGATTATTCTGGAGAATCCGTAATTCTAGGCTTAGCACGACTATGGATGGAAACAAGCGTGCATAAGGCGCAGCTGAACTGCATGAGCCAATATAAATCCTTCTGCAGATATCGAAGCTTTACTCCACGCACGAGGTACTAAACGAAAGGAGGTTAGGACGGTTGGCGGACAATCGCGCGCGATGATCTGATTTCTCTATCCTGTGTCATCTGATGCTCTATGTCGACTACGTTGTATTCTTGAGAAGCCTGAAGGGGCAGGGCTGATTCCATAGTATTATGTTTGCTGCCCCCGGTGGAAGCGGGAATGCTTTATTTTGAAACAAGTAGGGCTTTTGGGGATGACCCCGGTGGAGTGGAAAAGCCGCCGCAAGAATCCATCGGCTGTGATCACAGGGACATGAGCCGGCCAATGTGCCTGGTCAACTACCAGATGATGACATTCGTTCAGAGCCGTGATAATCAATCCCGCTCGCTGATTGGGAAGCTGAACTCGAGTCAAAATCCTGAGACAGTCGCACGTCCTCAAATTTGGATCTGCGAACCGTGTGGAGGTGTAGGAGGCAAGCGTTCAGCTTTGGGAATGGGTCAGTGGGTCTTTGGGGGTCACTCAGAACGCAGAAGCAGCCCTGATTCGAGAATTTCTGAATCCTTAAAGTGACCCTCCCAAGGGATCTTTTCTCCTTACTCCGTACTGCGAAGAAGAATCATAATAATATCTTCCCTGGGGGCACTCGCGAATGGGACAAGGTGCTTCATGTCTTCTTCTGCTGCTTTTCTCTCTTTCTTCTGAACTTCTTGTCACCCCTCCACGACCATCGCGTTCTTCATCCGATCATTTGATTATAGATATTTGCCTTTGCCCCTCATTGAGCTTTTTCTCCTGTGCATATCTTTACTCGATTCTCGACGGCCTCCTTTTTCAGACGTTTTCCCTTCCTTTCCCAGTTTCTTTCCTGTCGCTGCCCACAACTAGTAGTTTCTAAGAACTGCTAAATGCTTATTGCTTTTCCGATTCTTCTTCTCTCTCTGCTTTCTCTTTTCCAATTATCCTCTTCTTGATTCGGACCATTCCCAGTCCCGATCTGCACTCCAGTTCCTCTCCTAGGTCCCGTTTCTCCCGATCTGAAAGGAAGCCTTTTCGGCAAGGGGTTTGCAATTGCATAGTGCAAGGGAACTCGAACTTTCCCCCTCCCTTGCGAATCTCCTTGGATTCTTCCAATTGCGCTCAATTCGACAGGCACGCGCGTGGTGCATCACATCATTGATTCACGCCGTTGAGCTAGTTGGTCCTTCCCCTCGATTCCTGGCCTTCTCACTGGATCATGCAAGTTTGCGCTACGCCTTCCCGCATATATCGTCGTCGGTGACTGTCCACTGGCCTGTTGAAGGCGGAGAGGCAGTATTTCTAAAGAGCTTATCATAGCCCCGGTCAAATAGTCGCCATGGATCATGCCGAGCAGCAACCTACCGTGACCAGCGCGGAGACCCCTATCCCGTCTTCTTCCCTGCTAGCAAGACGTCGCAAAAACGACCGCTCACGCTCCCATTCTTCTGGCAGTCCGAATCCTTCTAGCTCATCGGTTGACCCTGCGTCTCCCGAAGTAATTACCTCGTTGATATCCTCGCTTTCAGCCATCTCCATCCCGCTACAATCGCACTTTGACTTGAACGTCCCACGTATCGACTCCGAAACCAACCCATCTTCGCCAGTATATTTTCCTCCCGAAAACCTTTCTGTTTCCGATCAATGCCCGCCGAGTGATCAAGGGTTTGGCGTGACATATGGCGCGCAGAACTTAGAGGAGCCGCCACACAGCCCTTTCCTGCATCCAGATGATGCGGCAGCCTCGCCAGTTATTCGCATGGCACGGGCGCCTCTATCTCCGAAATCTCCAAAGTCGTCAAAGTCCAAGCTCAACCCTGAACGACCTGCTTCTTCCGGGAGACCGGCCTCAAGGGGCTCATTCGCTTCAAGCCAAGCGGCATACGAGGACTCGACATTTGGTACGATAACGGCAGAACCTGGCCCTCAACGTCTTTCAACTGCGGCGAGCATTCATTCGACAAGCTCGAGAAAGAGTCTGAAGAGCTTATTACGGAAACCGTCGCGCGAGTTTGCCAGCGAAAAGGACCGACAAATCGAACGATTACGGAAGACAAGTAGCTATACAGACGGCCTGAGGCATAACGTCCCTCGTAGTCGCGCTAGCTTGCGCTCTCTACATTCAATGGCCGACGTTGTGGAAGAAGGAAGGCCCAGCCAATTTGGGACTGAAACTCCTAGGGAATATGCGATAGGCACACCCACCGGAAAGGAGCGCTCCTCGCTCCAGAGCAATCGCGAAAGTGCACCAAGCACACCTGGAGGCATTGGAAGCGGAAGAATCATACCTGCTCGGGAGTCATCCTTAAGGCACGGCTACTCCTCCAGTCCGAAGCATCGGAAAACCGGCCGCCACAGCCGATATTCATCTACTGCTAGTAGGGAGGCGAAAACAGACAGTGCCATCTCCGGAGTCGGAAATGAGCCGGAACAGGTGACCAAAAGAATCCAAGAGCTAAAGGACCAGCAACAAAGGATCAAGAGTGAATTGGAAGCAGACAACACTCCGGAGCAGCCGACGAAACAGTCACCAACCGTGCAACGGCCACTGGACTCGAGCGAAGCTATTGATAGTATCGTGCAGCATGAATTGACCATTGATGAAAGTGCTCCGTCTCCCGCAATACTGACGGGGAGAAGCCGATCGTTCCCACGACATAGTCCTCAGCTGACTTCTTCGAGGCCTCCAATTGTGTCATCGCAGTCGTTTGCGGCGAGGCAGTCCTTTGAGCGTCGGGAGCCCTCAGAGAAGCTGCGATACAGGCGTTCTGTGGAATCTCAACCCGCAACTCGGCTCCATAAACGATCCACGTCCGGCGCAGTTTCCCTCAACCGCACTTCGGTTGTTGGCGAGGACCGTCCGTCAAGTGCAGACTCCATTGATCTTGCTGTTATTGAATATGTATGCTCACCGAAATTAACTCAACGGGTACTTCACCCCACAAGTGGCCGCATTATAGCGTTTTCAGAAGTTGGAGATCCCAAAGGCCATGTTGTCCTGTGCTGCCTGGGCATGGGATTAACGAGGTATCTCATGGCTTTCTATGATGAGCTGGCGCGTTCTCTTGGCCTGCGACTTGTGACGTTGGATCGGCCTGGAGTTGGAGAAAGTGGCCCTTATGTGACTGATGCTGGGACCCCTCTCAGCTGGCCTGGTGAGCCCTTCGTCTACTTTATTACGAGTTAATAACTAACTTTCTATTTCACTAACTCTCTAGATGACGTTGCCATTGTCTGTAATCATCTCAAAGTCACCAAATTCTCTATCTTGGCCCACTCTGCGGGTGCCATTTATGCATTAGCTACGGCGCTGCGGATACCTCAACACATTCGCGGTCGTATTCACCTATTGGCACCGTGGATCCCCCCTTCTCAGTTGTCCAATATTGGCTCTTACAAGACGCCTGTGCCTAGTAACGCCGTGCCTTACTCACATAGGATTCTCCGAGCCTTGCCGACCTCTTTTCTCAAGATAGCCAACTCCAGCTTCATGAGCGCCACGAGTGCAAGTCTTACGTCCAGTCTGCCAAAATCTCCTCGGCGTAGCAAGCGTCGAGCTACCATGAAAGACGGCTCTCACCCTATATCTCTTGATGCTCAACAGTCTGAAAAGGTGGATTTCAAGTCCGTGGATAGCACAAAACTGGCCCGTGATCTTCACAGGCTGAATGACAGCAAGACCCAAGTCGTGACCAGCCAGACTACAGTTGACGCTCCAGAGCGTGAACGACAAACCGACTACGATAATCGTTTGACGCACAAGATTTGGGAACTCGCCACAACGCACGCCAACCCCGCCGTGGACTTGCTGGTTTGTTTAGAGCGACAACAACAGATCGGGTTCCGATACGTCGACATCACTCGGAATGTTGTGATACACCATGGGAGTCGAGACACTCGTGTGCCGGTTGACAATGTCCGGTGGCTAGGTCAAACCATGCGGCGCTGCGAGGTCCGAGTCCTCGAGGGTGAAGGTCACGGGCTGATGGCTTCTGCCACCGTGATGGGCAATGTTCTCATGGAGATTGCCAAGGAATGGGAGGACTGGATGACGGTGGTTCAAGGTAAACGCAGAGCGACTCTTGGAACGCGCTCAGGAGCCATGATTGCCGTTTAGTCTGAGACGGTCCGGGGCTACTGCCACCCTGGTCTTCTTCGGCCGTGACACGAAAACAAGAGCAAAGAAATGAAGATCAACAGCGATAGATCCCGACTATATCCAAACCTCACAAGGACATCCTTAATGTGACCTCTGGTATATTGAATTGTTCGGTTTGATGAACTCTTCCGCTGCGGGTTCTGCGGTTGCTGCTCACCATGATGGAGATTCTCCATCTTTGTTCTAGGAATTGACTTCCTTAATCCTCTCCTTTATATATATCTTCCAAATCCCTTATACCCCTGATGTCTTGCCTGTTTTCCTTATATCCGATCACGATACCATTGATTATAGCCCCGAAGCATAACATAGCATAGCCACTTGATAATCTAATTCATAATAGACAAAAGTTCGATACAGTCCCTGTGAAGATTCAATGTGACCACTCTTCCTATTATATCTCCATTTTCTTGCTCACACATATAAATTGACTTTCAAAGAGCTGACGAACTGCCAGCACCGGCATCTCGGAGCAGAGAGCACAAGACTATTATTGGATAGTTTCCTTTGTCAGCTGAAGGGAGTCGAGAGTACGCCCTAGTGGGAAAGGAGGATTTAGTACCGAGTCGAACTTGAGGACGAAACCCTGGAGTATACATTTATTGTAGAAGCCTCAGGCACAGCGCGTTTGGGCTCACAACATCATTAAGCAAGCCTCGGAAGGCTTAGAGTTTCTCAAGCATTCCAAGGTAACGTCAGAACATGCATTTAAACTCAAAACTCAAGCGTCCCTCTATCTTCGTGTGCCTAAGCCCTATCCTCCAAAAGTGTCGGCACCCCTGTCAGGCGTGCAGCAAACCAATTCGCTATACTACTCGCGGACTATTGAATGTATTCCCTCATAGAACACAATGTAAACGTTTTGATTGGGCGCGCTAATTAATAATAATATTAGTAGTAACTATGTGGTTATTGTGTTAATTTCATCTGCACGGGCCGCCTCGGGGGCAGCAGTCCCTCTTCCCACGCTTCATGGAAGCCCCGAGACTCAGAGATCAAAACACTGCGACCTTTACCTTAAGTCCGTCGGCAACTCTCTTTGTGATCTGATCATTTCGTCGTCAAGGTCTCATCTGCTTCACCTGCGATCGCCTTCGAGTTGCGCGCTTGCCAAATGTAACGGTCCCAACCCGAGTTGGAGCTACTACTACCCCTATGACCTTGTACGTGGTCCGTTGTCAACGCGTCTGATCGGCATACAGAGAGAACTCAGCCAATGCAGTCTACCATTCACTCGTTTGAATCAGAGGCGATATCTATTTGAAACTATCGCCCAAGATATTACATCGAAGAGCCTGCGGAAGTCCTCCGGTGACACTACATCCTCAAAATGTTCACTCAACGGCGGATTCGCCTCCTTGCGGTCACCGCGGTGGTTGCGATCCTATTATACCTGCACTACTCGGTATTTCCCTCACTCAGCCATTATTTGGTATATCTTGCAGTGCTGAATCTAATCAAAGCGATCCACACAGGGCGAAAACCGAAGTCCTCGAAATCAAAAGTTCTACCAGTCGACCGTAGCCGCAATAGAAGCGGAGAAGCACGCGAATGTCGGGACCGCCAAGGCGGGGAATTACCTACCACATACGAATGATAAAGAGGAATCCGACTCGAAGCCAGGGGAGGAGTATAGCTATGTTGATAACGATGATGACAAGGAGCAGCCCGCGATCCCAAAGGCGCAGCCGCGGCCACCACCAGCACCGCCGTCACAGCCAGAGACGGAGCAGCGGCAAGCTAAGATTCCTGAAGATAGTGATGTTGAGGAGATTCCTATTGCCGGGCGGACGACCATGACTGTGACCAAGGATAAAGATTCGGATACAGCCCAGGCTGCGTCTGTGATGGAAGACGAGGAGAGTGAGGAAGAAAAGAAGCAGAAGAAGCAGCAAGAGGAAGAGGCGAAGGAGGTGAAGGCTGAGCTGAATGGGATATTGAAAAGGTCACCCAGTAAGTTTTTTGTCCGGTAGAAAGTTGACACTTACTGATCTCTGCTTTCACAGTCATTATATTCTCCAAATCGTTCTGCCCATACAGCAAAAAGGCCAAGACTGTCCTGCTTGATAAGTACACAATTGTACCCAAACCATTCGTGGTGGAACTTGACCAGCACCCACGGGGACGCCAACTACAGGCGCTACTAGGGGAGAATACCGGCCGGCGGACTGTCCCAAATGTCCTAGTCAATGGAAGGAGCATTGGTGGAGGAGATGACATTGTAGGCCTGGACGAACACGACGAACTAGCCACGAGACTGAAGAGTCTAGGCGGCAAGTGGCTCCAAGATATCAAGCGGAATTTGGTCGAAGAAGGCAGTGAGTGAGCGGCTTTGGGCGCGACGGGCTAAATGGGCCTGCTCCTATTTCAATTCTCTTGTACATATAAGTATGATTAACGGTAATAATGTATTATAATACTGTATACTACTTCGGCCATGGGGTTGTTGTAGATACTACTAGTAACTAGTAATTGAGCTCGGGAAGATTGGTACCAATACCTAAGAGCATTGAGCAACAAAAAGCCCTCAGCCAGCAAATAGCACTATTAATTACATGACCAACAGTTGGACTTTATTCAATAAGATGACAAGCTAGGATAATAGCAACAATAAATGTATAAGAGCGATGCTCATCCTAGATGTCGAGTGAATAGAGTCCGGAGTCGGAACCCTAGAGCCTAGAGGGGCGCTAGGCCGCTTTTGGCCCTAAGCGACGCACAACCCCGTGATTCGTGATTTTCGCTCCACCAAAGACTGTGTGTGCGGCTTCGATTGAATTTCGATCTTCTTGACGACCGACTGCTCGACGACATCGCCAACTCCCCCCTCGGACATACTCAGCCCACGCAGCAGTCAAGATGCGGTACATTCACTCCGAGGAAACGCTGCCGATTCCCGACAATGGTGAGCTTGCGACCCTGGTTTCTCTGTCCCGCAGTTTCGAGGTGGAGGAGAGCGATACTGTTCTGTTGGTTGGAGGTGGTTAGCCGGACTGGCACTGGGCTCAGATGAATGAGTGCTACGCCGGCTGCACAGTGTGCGAATCGCATGGAAAATTCTCGATTATTGGATTGTGTTGCTGGGCTGGGGGATTTCGTGATTGCGATCAAGTCGTTTTGGAGCCGGGACTAATTTGAATTTCTGTATAGTGAAGATTCACATTCGTTCGCGAGTCGTGACCGTTGAGGGACCCCGAGGTATGCACTACCCAGATTGAACCTGCAAGCCAACTTGTCGACCGTTGGATGAAGATTTGGCATAGGATGGGACAGCATTGACAGTTTTTTTTTCTCTCAACCTACAGGCAAGCTCACCAAGGACCTCTCCCACATCGCCGTCACCTTCGGCCGCCCCAAGAAGGACATCATCTCCATTGAGATGCACCACGGCTCTCGCAAGGGTGTCGCTACCCTCCGCACCGTCCGCACCATCATCAACAACCTCATCATCGGTGTCACCAAGGGCTTCAAGTACAAGATGCGTTACGTCTACGCTCACTTTCCCATCAACGTGAACATTGAGAAGAACGCCGAGACCGGCCAGGCCCATGTTGAGATCCGGTATGCACCTCGCCCACGGACAGAACGGGACTTTTTCTTGCGCGCTTCGGAAGACGGTGGCGGTGTGCTGCTTTGTCCCGGATTGCGCAGATTGGTCGTCATGTCCGATTGAATAACATGGATGGTCATGCTAATTTCCGGCCTCCTACAGTAACTTCCTTGGTGAGAAGTTCGTCCGCCACGTCACCTGCCAGCCCGGTGTCGAGGTCATCACTTCCCCCAACGTCAAGGATGAGCTCCAGCTCTCCGGTAACTCCCTGGAGGGTGTCTCCCAGAGCGCCGCCGACATCCAGCAGATCTGCAGAGTCCGAAACAAGGATATCCGAAAGGTACGCTCTCCATCCGCTCGTCAGCCCGTCCGAAACGCTAATCTAACCTTTGACAATTAGTTCCTTGACGGTCTGTACGTGTCTGAGAAGGGTAACATCGTTGAGGAATAGATGTATCGTCCGCTCGGTGGGTAGTTAGGGTGTTTGGAGATTCCTTTTTATTTTCGCCTACTTGCATAAGGAAGCAAAGCGAAATGAAATCCAAAAATTCAAGACCATGAAATTCATATATGTCCAATTTTTTTTTCTCTTTACGGTGTCCACGGATATTGCGCTTTTTGCGTTGGGGGCGCGGTGTGTAAAACAACTAGTTTTGAATTACTGTTTCGCGCTCTCTAGTCTGACAAGACTGTATTATTCACTGTAGGAAAGTCAATTCTGAAGACCTGGAAGCATCTGATGTGTGGCTGAGAGGAGCATCTTGGATAAAGTCTAGACTCGGCCCATCTTCCCGCGTGATGCAACTTCAACTCCATCCATCCCACTTCTATTTCACTTCTCTTCTCACAACATTATTCTACATGACCTCCTATTAGTAGTAAGCATGTGAAATAGACAACTCTCCCTCAGATGACCCTGCTTTTCTGTCGCGACGAAGATGAAAGGGTATTTGATGACCGTCTATGCCATGATCCTGGCCGTCATTAGTATGGTACTGGACGTTACACTTTTCTGGAAAGAGGTAACTCCTGCCATGCAGATATCTATTACTCCAATGGACATTGTTAACCTTGCACTGCTCTGTAGAAGCTTCTATCATGGTGGCGCTCCAAATCTCCTCGGACTCGACTGCGTCATGCCCTGGAGATAGCTACAAACTATGAGGATTGGGAAGAGGCCGCCTTCGAGCTGGATGAGATTCTGAGCCTGGATCTATGGTATGGCTCCTTTATACCTTTCCTGCGCGTCGAATTCTAACTATCTCAAGGCGCCAAAATCCGACCAGCAAATATTATGACTATCGTCTAATCATGGGCCGACTGACGGCTCTGATGACTGCGCGAGAAGACGACGACATCCTCATGCTGGTCAATCTCCTCCGGTCGGGACTTGTCCGTAACTTGGGCAATATTACCACCCATAAGCTTTTCCTATATGCTCATGCGGGCACAAAGCTGCTGATAGACGACTACATTACACAGGTCGCCCTCTCCATTCAGCATGTGACAGCGCTCCAGACCGCCCCCGTACATGAGAGCGGGTTCACTTCCCAAGCCAAGGTAGAGTTGCTACATGATACCCGCCAGGCATTCGGGAGAACGACTTTACTCTTACAGGGCGGTTCGACTTTTGGGTTGTGTCATCTCGGTGTTGTCAAGGCGCTTCATCTGCAGGGTCTCTTGCCGCGAATCATCACAGGCACGGCTACGGGTGCGCTTATCGCAGCTTTGGTCGGCGTCCACAGCGAAGACGAGTTGCTGAATTTTCTTGACGGTGATAGAATTGACCTTTCTGCCTTTGAGCGGCGTCAACGGCCTGAGGCGCAACCTCCGGGGTGGATTAGCTGGCTACTACCCTCTTCAGCTTTCGCGGACAATGGGTTGATGACTTTAATTCGGCGAACCAGACGGTATCTTACGAAGGGCTACTTCCTCGATGCTAAAGTTTTGGAGGAGTGCGTACGCGCCAACTTAGGTGATCTCACGTTCGAGGAGGCATACGCTCGGTCGAAGCGCATTCTGAACATAACAGTGGCAACGTCAGGCCGAAGTGGTACACCGAACCTTCTCAACTATCTGACTGCACCGAACGTGGTACGTTCTCTTTGAAATACTGCACGGCTGTCACCTACTAAGTGTATACTACAGCTGATTTGGTCCGCCGCGGTCGCCTCGAATACCTCCAACAACGGTTTCTACCGCCCAGTCACGATCTACTGCAAAGACGAAGCAGGTTCCATTGTTCCCTGGCCACACTCACAAGACGTCATCTTCCAACCCTGGCGCCACATCAGCTACGACGAGGGCGAATCCCCACTGTCGCGAATCGCCGAGCTCTTCAACGTAAACCACTTCATCATTTCCCAAGCAAGACCATACATCATCCCGTTCCTCCGCTCAGAGCTCAACTTCCTCGACCGCCGGCCCACAACAGGCCGGTGGAATATGACACGCGCCCTAGCACGCCTCGTAGCCCTAGAAATCGGCCACCGGCTCCGTCAACTCAACTATCTAAGCCTCCTACCATCCACAATAGCGCGGCTCCTGATCGAGGAAACCGTTCCCGGGTCCCAGCTAACGCTCGTCCCCGACCTGAAGCTCAGCGACTTTCTCAAACTTTTCCAAACCCCAGACCAAGCCAGCCTAGCACACTGGATCCTCAAAGGCGAGCGAGGCGTCTGGCCCGCCGTCTCGGCGTTAAAGGTACGATGCGCTGTAGAGATCGAGCTCGACAAAGGCTACCAGGTTGTCAGGCGACGGAAACCAAACGAGACACTGTTCCCGGGGCCAGCGATGGCGACGGCGATCATATCGGGGTCGGGAACAGTGACTGAATCTCTCTTGCAGGGAAGGCCGCAGCCCAACGAAGGGGTGCCTAGGAAAAGGACGGGGCTCGGTAGCGAGTCGGCCAGGGAGAAAGATCCGACTGTTACATTGACGAGTCCAGACCAGCCCTATTCATGATTCAGTTTAGGCCGTAGACGGGGTAGTGGTGGACGTACACTGTCTTGGGCGAGGTGTAACCTGTGACTTATTATATAACTTTACTTCATAACTTTACTTCTATATACTCTACTTAAAAGAATATATAGTAACTAGTTAGCCCTTCTATATAGCTAGGGCCCACCTTCCTTAATTAATAAGGAGCTATAAAGTAGTAAAATTAGTTACCTATAGGACTATTACTAACTTATAGAGCGCAGGGCCTAGGCGGGAGGGTTTTGAAGTGAGTTAGGTTTAAGGTTGTGAAGGGGGAGTAGTTTAATGCAGCGCGGTTTAGCGGGGAGGAGGGGGTTGAGTATATAGTACGTCGAGCACACTATATATCTTCCCAGTATATGACTTTTCAGACTATATCCAGGCCGGCTTTGCCTTTGCCGAGCGAGCACTGGGATTCCAAAACTTACACATGACAAGTATCCAACTAGACTCTGATAACCATATTTTCCGGGTTTACCCAAGCCGGGCTATTACATTACCAACTAAGTATATAGCAACCAACTAATCCTAAGTAGCCAAACCCAGAGCCAAACCAAAAGCCAGGGATATATAAACGAATAGATGCATACATAGAGAGAACAAAAGCAGCAAATGGATATTTAACGGTATCACGAGACATTAATCCTTTTTTTTATGCACGCCGTGCATGGTGAGCTTAAGTCGAAGTCCGGGGGCGTGGCTCTCTTGAGCGCGAGTGGCCGCGCAGAGAGACGGCGTGGAGAGAGCGGGAGCGAGAGTGGCGGCGATCGTATTCTGATTCGACGTATGAGAGGAGTGGGACTGGGAGTTGATTGTTAGTTATATACGAAACCGAATTGTGGAGGTATGACTTACTGCTGAAACCGTATCCGTGAGCTAGGCCCTCTCGGTTCTGTGGGTTTATCTCCACCCGAATTGCAATGTTCAGCCCTCCATGCATACTACTCGTGCTGGCGGCGCCGTCTGCTGCAATATGGGACGAGCCGGCGGTTGATTCGCCCACGTGCAAGGGGGAGTGACCGTCCTTGGGAATAGGAAGGGTCTGATCCGCCTGTGCGTCGCCGTTTGTGGCGGGGGTCTCGATCTCGGTGAGGGTTGCGTAGTTGCGCGAAGGCATGGTCACCTTGTTCCAGGAGGCGCTCTTGTCAACTCCTCCGGGTTGGCCGTCGAACATGTTCATGAGCGTCTCGTCGGTCTCGGGGTCCAGGTGATGGATTTTGTTTCTGCGCGCTAGCAGGTTTGCCACGGCCTTTGGAGGGGGCTTGTTGGTGATGGCGCTGCTAACAACGTTGACCATGTATCTGTGGTCGTTCTCGCTGTGGATCTTCAGCTTAGGGTTTGAGTAGAAGCGCCCGATAGCAGCCAGATGCACGTCTCCTCCAAGAATGGTCACACGAACGGAATGAGTCTTGGAGAATTCTTGCAGGCGCTGAATGAAGAATCGGCGTTCCCGCTTGTGCTGGCGTGCCGTGTAGTGGTCGTCAAGGTCGTCCAGCAAATCAACCTGCCCGTCAAACTGGTTGAAGAAACCACCAGCAAATCCAAACCGCTTGTTCAACAGGCGGATTGGGGCAATGATCGGGGAGCTCAGAATGTTCTCCAGCCAGGCGAGACGCGGGTATGCGATTGGAACTCCGAGGAGCACGACAAGATGCTTAATGTCGCCATTGGCGGCCGCAACCTCTTGCTCCAGGCGATCGAAGATGAGTTCATACGTATCCGGATAGTTCACCTGGTGGCGGGTGCGCTCAGTACGGGCATCGACGCCGATAAACGCGATGCGCTTTCCAAGGCGCATGTACAGGTTCCTACTCTTTTCTTCGACGTACGGGCCAGGGCGCTTGCCAATTATCCAGCTGTTGTCCTCCGCTTGATCCTCTAGAACAAATGTGTTTTCCAACTGACGAGGATCAGCACCTGCAGTCCCGTTGACAGCCTTCATAGTTTGCGGCGCATCAGTAGTGTAGGTCGACTTTGGTGGCGCAATGTGGTGCTGGAACAGACAGTAGTATTTGAACGCAACGCCTCCAATGCCGCGGAAGACTGAACACTGCATAAAGTGGTCGGTATATGAGCCAAAACCGTCAATGATGTCGTGGTCGTCCCAAATGTTAATCTGTGGAATCCGTCCGTTGGCCTCCTTGAAGGGTTCGGTCGCGTACCATCGCACGTAGTTTGCAAAGTAGTATTCGTCGCACCGCGCTCGCATGTCATTATCAAAAGGATGGGTGCGTCTCTTGTGAGGGTTAGAGATGGAGGTCCATTCCTTCAACGGGCCGTCCACCCGGATACCGTCATTGTAGATCTGGTCACCCCCGCCGATCATGACATGGAACGGCCTCTGCGCGTGAACGCGCAAAACGTCGTTCCACAAGTTTGGACCAAGCCAGGCGTCCATATCTGTACCCACAGAGAAACCATTGCAAGAGTGGAACATCAGACGCATGGACTGGGTGCGCGACGGAACGACAAAGTCCCAAGGAGAATGAATCTCGCCGCCATCAGGATAACGCAACCCCGGAATAGTGTATGACCATCGCGCCTCATAGTCCTCCAAGGGCAATGTGAGGGAGAATCGCCAAAACGCGGCCTTTGGGTCTTCAAAAAGGCGCAACCCATCAATTGTAACGCCCTGGGTATTCGGGGCGGCGCTGGTGACAGTGGAATCGGGGATAGCAGGCCCAGCCTGTTGCAGGAAAAGCCGAGGCTGCGCTTGGCCTGGCTTTGTAACAATCAAGACGCTTCCATGCCAGATGGAGGATGAAGGCGTCACGTCCATGTTCTTGAAGTTGAGGAGCGGGCCGCAGGTGACGTCAACCTGGGCGGTGGTCTCAGAAACAGCCGCATTGGGCGCAACGTCTGTCACAAAGCATTGACAGTCAGCTCAGTGAGACATCCAGAGCATTAGGGAGGAAGTACCTGAATAGGCCATTATTACTGGTGGTCAAGCGACCGTCGGACAATTGAAGGAGCGCAGATCCGACAGGGCACTTGGCAGCGACGGAGATTAGTAGGGGAGAAGTCGCGTAGAAAACGAGAGAGAGGGTGATTAAACAACAAAAGGGGTATCCAAAAGAGGTCAATTAAGGGTATGGGAACAGGGGGAAGAAAAGAGAGACAGAGATGGAGAGCGCAGGAGATTAAGAGGAGCCTCTCAGCTCGTCGGTTTCCACAAGCGGAGCTGAACCCAGGGAGCAACAACTTTTGGACCAGGCCAGGATCAACCAGCAGCATCAACGATCTTAGTGCAAGCTAATATTAATAATAATGAACTGCATGACGTGAATAACAAGTATAAGCCATTAGGCAGCCGAATTATGGAGCTTGTGAGAGGACAATCGCAAGAAAGACCCATACCAAGCCCGTCTATCATCTGCGGTCGGTTTAAACCTCAAGCTCCTAGTAGGGCTGAGCGTCATAGCTTGCCGTACGTATACCTTTTTTTGTAGGATATTCGGGTCTGCTCGAGTACCACACTGTTCATATCGCTCTGCATGTCCGTATGACCGGATCTGACCCGACTCTGGGCGTAACCTTCCAATCGGATTTCCCAAGGTTGTCGAGTCGAGGTTTGGGGCTGGTCAATGGTTGTACTCCGTACAGACCAAACGACTGGTTGCGGAGTGGGGACTGGGTCAGACAGGCTGAGCCACACTCCATCAGCCACCTTTTTGTAAGATCTAAAATCTAAATGGTGTTTCAAGAATTATATTATCTACGAAGTGAACAATATGACAAATAAATAGAAAACACATTGTATTTTTTGGGTTTCATCTGCATGAGAAGAGATTGAATCCTCAAGGATGATGAACCTCGGCAGCGGAAATGGGGCACGCTGAAAGGCCATGGGACGCTGGGTTTTGCTCGGATCGCCCATCGCTCCTTTCAACCTTGTGCTCGTTCCGTCATACCGGCTTTTACATTTTCCCAGGTTCCCCAGCACGAACAGAACCAAATCCAACTCAGACATGGAGCAACGAGATGACAAGACAATGAAAGCTTGAACACACTGAAGAAGCCATGTACACGACGAAAATAAAACAAGATAACAGAACCACAGAAGGTCCACAATGCAAGATGGTATCTACACATACAAAATCATGCCAAACTCAACGCCAAAGTATCTCTTCCCCAATTCTGTCCAGAAGCTACCCGCGTCCAGGCTATGCAAAGGTAGGGCTCGGTAAAAAACGACAAGTCGGACTGTCCTGCTCCAATATCTCTTCCACTTTCCAAGGACGAATGCCATATCCCGAGGCAGGTCGTTGAGCCGCAGCACCCATACCAGTCAAAAGATCTCCAACTCGGTCACGATTTGCAAAAGTGTCTAGCTCTGGATGCGCCTGCACCAGCTCAGCGGCACGATCCAAAAGCACAGGAAGGGGTACCTGATGGTGTTCAGTGATTTCGAACTCGCCGTACGGCTCTGTCGCAGGGGTGACAATTCCAGGAGAGCCAGGGCTAAAGAATTGTTCTGAAAGCGGCGAAAAAGTGGTGTATTGCGTCTTGGGTGAAGGGGTTCGAGGGACACTGACCGAGGCGACTGCGCTGAACTTCATGGGGCTCTGCTGGGTCTTTGCTAAAATACCCTGGAGAACAGTCTCCTGGCTCTCGACGTTGTCAGACTCTGGGAGGACAAAGAGGTCCTCCAAACGTTGCTCAGATTCTTTCCTTCTTTGCATGCGGTGGTTTAAGCGGAGCTGGTTACAGGTTTCAATACCAGGAGCTGCCCATAGCCGTCCCTTCAGGCTACCATCTTCGGTGGACTTCTCAAAGGTGTAAAGGTCGTTGGTGTACTGGTTAATGGTTGTCTTGACCTTGTACTGTTCCTTGGAGTAGCCATCTCGCACAGCGAACCATGCTCTGTACGAAGCTCTCTGGAGAATCAAACGACCTTGGTCGACGTGAGAGCGGAGCTTCTGCTGGAACTCTGAGAGAGATCCCGTTTCCGGCTTGAAGAGAATGTCGCTAAAGTCCAGCAGCCACTGGCACCACAGGGTAGCGATGATGATCTCGAGCCCGGGATCGTCGTCATAAGTCATGGCCAGGCAGTATTCACTTGAGCTGAGAATGCCCATGCCCACGTGCATCTCACCTTTGTCGAGGCTTGTATCCAGGATGTGCATGAGGTCTGGGACGGTGACTGTGTACACGTTGACGCCTTCTTCCCAAATACACCAGATGTCACCGAGGTCGTGAGTGAACCAGTCGAAATGACGAGCATACAGGGTCTTGCAGTCATAGTCGAACCCCAGCACATAGTGTCGGCCGTCAAAGGAAGGGTTCCGATCCGCATAGTGCCGTCGATCGGCTATGGGCAGCAGTCCGAAGATGAGCTGTGGCATGTCTCCGGGAAAGCATTGCGACATCAGACTGCGGTCCTCGGCAAATTCTTCGTAGGAGAGAGGATGACATTCGAAGCCATGGAGGACATACATGCCTTCACGTCGAGCCTCCTGCGTCTGACCTCTTTCTGCGGAGCAAAGATACAAATGATAGTCGACAATGTGCCAAGGGTGACTGACGACATAGGCAGGAAGGTCGGAGCGCCGACTAGTTTGTTCCTCATCGTCAAGCAGCACATATTCGTCTTCCTCGGACATCGAACACTCAGGGTTTATTGGCACGTCCGTCTTCATGAATAAGTCGAACCCGTCGTGGTCTAGTATGGTGGGCTCGGCCAAGGACGTGTCCCTGAGCATGTCGTGAGCATACACTAATACCTCGTCGCTCATCAACACTTGGTCTGTCTGATCATCTTCTGAAACTAACTCCTTTTCCTTTAGCAGCTCCCGGGCTCGTTGAAACTCCTCTCTTGTTTTCTTCATCTTGAAGACAGGGGTGACGGGATTGGTTCTCGCAGCAGCAGCCTGCCGCACCGCAGTGCAGTTCATCTTGTACACCATGGGTTCGAAGTCCCTTGGGTCGGAGCTGGAGGACGTCTGATACTGAGCAAAGCGAAAGGAGAAACTGAAGAGGAAGTGATATGGGAGAGAGGGGCATGGAACACTTTAACGAAGCGGGAGGGAGGAAGAAAAGAAGTAGGATAAGAAGTGTTATAAGGAGAAGAGTTTACAGAAGAAGAGGAAGTCCATTTTCCTGTTTATGCGGTGATGTGTGTGATTCTTAAACTTGCGCATAGACATCTTGCATACCTTTGTTCTCACCAATCAATCTCTCAGCCCTACTTTAGAGAGGGTTTGAGATCAGGCTAAATATGCGCGCATTTGAGATTGACAGAAAACTCAACACCCTACTCTCAGCATATACCCATTCTTTGCGACATCTAACTGATTCGCAGGCACCGGGATATCTTCAGTCCCTAAAAGTAACCCTTGCCGGCATCTCAAGTAGAAGAGTCGTCTGAAAGACCTGGGGAACCGGCCACAAACCTGTTATGCGGAACCCTAAATCTCTGCAAACACAGAAGCAACACAAGCCAATCAAACGATAAAAGAGAATAGAAAAAGACATCATGACCCTTCTAGAGGCCGCATATCTCAAACAGAACCTCTAGTAAATATCAAGTATGAATAAACCAATACAATCTGCCACAAATAAGCCGTCCTCTTTATCATAGATTCAGACGCCCCACCTCATCCCATATTGCCGGGAGAAGCTGAAAAGCAGGACAGCCTATAGATAGCCTATGAGGCTATGTCTACCTGAGTCACTCCGAGACATTTCTCTAACTCTATGTCTCATACGTCAGTGTTCCGGTAGCCAGCCATAGCTGAAACGGAGGATGCCTTGCCATGTGGGAGATGACTAGGTAAGACACGCGGGTACCTACAGTGGGTAAGATGCGAGTGGTACTGTGCAATCTATAATCTGAGTCGGGATCTAACACGTTACGCTGGGTCACACGTGAGTGACTTGTGTGGATGTTCGTGAGGATATGATATCTTACTGTACTAGGTAGTCTTTGGATAGTCTACTGTATCTATGTCCGACGGGGAGTTTGATGAAATCCAGGGATGTGTAGAAAATGGAGTGGGTATCTCATCCGAAGCATCCTTGGAGAATAAGAAGACAAAAGGGGGGGAAGAAATAATCTAGAATACACTCAAGAATCTCTACGATGTAGAAATACACTACCCACCCTTAGAGAACCCTGTCGAACCACCCTCGATTTCGCTCCCTCTCCTGCCTTTTCTTCTCCCTGTAATTATACGCGTAAACCGCACCGGTAAAGAACCCGCCCAGGTGCGCATAGTAATCGAGCTTCGGGGCACGACGGTTGACGACAGCACCAACGAGGTCGAAAGTCACCAGCCCTGCGACGAAGAGCCAGGCTGGGGCGGAGAGCTGTTCTTGCCAGGAGCGCGGGAGGAAGGCAATTGTCCATTTTTCACTGCGGTTGTTAGCTTATCTGTGAAGGACGTGGATTAGGTATGGGTAAAGTTACTCTGGGTGGATGAGGCCCGAGGCAGCGACGACGCCGGAAATGGCACCGCTGGCGCCGAGGGATGTGACAAAGAGACGGTTTTGTAGGACGTGGACTGAGAGCGAGGCGAAGGAGCCGAGCAGGCCGGCGGCCATGTATAGGGCGAGGAAGTCGCCTCGGCCGATTTCGTCGTGGACTGTGGTTGGTTTGGTTAGTCGGTTGCTGGGTTAGGGTTTTTGATGAAGACTTCGCGCGGAGTCTAATAGGAGAAACCGAGGACTTACGCTTTGTACCAAACATCCAAAGGACAAACATATTCATTCCCAAATGGGCAACTGTTTGGTGGCTGAACACGGCGCCCACCAAGCTGAATACACGCGGGTAGGCGGCAACGCTGATGAAGTAGCGGTTGAGGAGTCTCCAAGCCGGTGGCCAGAGTCGCCATAGGGCGAAGATCGTGGCATTGGCGCCGATGATAGCGAATGCTGTGGCCGCTGCTGGGGGAAGACTCGGCCACATTCGGCTGTCCCTGGTTGGGGGTTCATAGAATATGGCAAAGGCGTAGCAGAGACCCAGCCCGAGGATAGTAAACGCAAGCGATGGGAGTAGGCGGCTTCTCTATCTAGTAGTTAGCATGGTAGATCCGGATAAACTCGGATAGCGTACCGTCGTCAACGTTGCGAAATCTGTTTCGGTGTCTGTTGCGCGAAGATGGTGCTTCTGGATCCATGCAAGAAGAGGTCGTTGGCTAGGGTCCGCACGGCCCTTGACTAGCCCATCGTCAGCATTCGCCAAAGGGTCCAGTTGCCAAACAGCAGCATACCCTCTAAAGCAGATGTATCTTCAAATTTCTGAAGCGCGGTATTTTTTGCAAGATGCTCCTTCAGCTTCTCGCGATCCTTCTCCTCTCCTTCCAGCCATTCCTGCCTCTTCTTCTCCGCCTCAGCCAGGAGCCTCTCCTCATTCTTCTGGCGAATCTCCTTCAAGACACTTCGTCCGGACGGATCATTCTCCTCGCCCAATTCCGCCCCATACGTTCCACTTTGCGGTTTGTATAGACCGAGCGCTTCTGCCCGTCGAATGAGCTTTGCTTCCTCCTCGCGCTCTTCACGCTCGATCCGAGCCATGATCGCGGCATCTTCGTCCACCGGGTGGGCTTTGCGGAGGTAATCGAGGCCCGCATCGAGGACGGCAGGGCGCACAGCGCGTCTGATGTCCGCGGGGAAATCAAGATCGAGTGTACCGGCAAGACGTCTGCCTTGGAGGACGGAGAGAATCCGATTACCTAGAGCAATGGAGACCTTTGAGCGAGGCCCGAATATCCGGTCGATTTCTGCTTTGCTGAAGGGTTCATCGCGCAGTTTGACACCTTGTTCTGCTGGCGTGGGTGTAAGCTTTGCGGGTCGAGCCACGGAGGTTTGGAAAGACCGGGATGAAGTCTGATTTGATGATGAATAGGTTCTCGATGTAGGTGTCGGAGCTATCGGGAACACGGCGGAGAGCGGCCTCGTTGAGCTCAATAGCCGTCGAGGCGTGTTGTCGAGTGACCATGTTGGGGAGGTTTGTCGAATGAGGGAGCGGAATTGCGCTGCTAGCTTTGGCTTGTGCACGCTTGAGGCTCGAAGCCCCAAGCATGGAGGGCGCCATGCTACGCAGAGAACATTGCTCATATCGAGAGCGAAGTTCTGCTGTGGAAAGCAATCTGAAAAGATGCAATGTGAACTTGGCTGCAGTGGGAACTTTTGATTGCTCTCCGTTCTCCGACTTTCTTTTCTCCGCGCTGCCAAGAATTGCTTCAGGCATGGACTAATGTATGGGAGCACTTCTTATATTCACTGGCAGTTGTATTATTTTCGTGGTAGCTCAGCCTGAGTATCTTGGTTTGATTAAATGCTTGTTCAGGTGGTACGTTTGTATCTAATTTATCTGGCTGACATATAGAGACGTCGTCATCCATTGTGGTGCCTGTTAGATATATAAACTTTCAACCTCATACAACATTCATATAATCATTCCCATCACTGGACAAAATACCACCGATACTCAAAAACATTATCACAAGTATCCTAACCTCGGAACCATATCACAATTACACCTACCACCTCAAATTAGGGACTTCGAGAAAAACCTCAAAATGTCATCCGAAGCCCTCCCCATAAGCCCCGCCGCCTTCGCCGAAGCCATAACAGAGCTCACGCTCCCAGTTCTCTACGCCAAAGTTGCCGAGCTCCGCAACTCCATCGCACACCTGCAGCGCTCTAACGCCGAACTCCGCACCTTCATCACAGAGTCCTGCGAGACCGAGGCCGACAAGCGCGAGCTGGAGGGGTATATTGTGGAGAATGAGGGGGTGAAGGAGTCGATGGATGCGCGGATCGCACTGTGCAAGGCGGAGGTTGAGCGGAGAGGCCAGACATGGATTGAGCTGGATGAGATCACTGGGAGTGAGGAAGGGAAGCCAGAGGGAGAGGGAACTACGAGGTCGGAGTCTACGAGTGCGACTGTTGCCCCGACTGCGAACGGGAATGGGAATACTGAAGCGTCTGAGAGGAGGTCCACGGAGAGGGATAACGAGGGTGATGATGGGGTGTACCTTTGATCGAGTCAGGGTTCTATGTTTGACTTCATTATGACCTGGTATGAGACGAGGATTGAGCTACACCTTTAAGCTACTATACAGCTGTGATGTCTGCCCTAGCCTAGATGTCTCGAAGTTCTTTGTCGACTCCACGCTTCTGCATCTCGAATCAGGGGGCTGATCGAACTCGCACCGCCACTCATTGACTTTTAGGCGGCTTACTATTCATGCGTTGAACAACAAGCGCATGGTATCCCCGCAGGAATTCGAAAGCAAAAATTGCAGGTGGTCCACCAAAGACTTATATTGGTCTAGACGAGTAATGTTCAAGAAATGAATTGACATGCCAGGCAATAAATTTAAAGAGGGACATGCTCAAACTAAAACCGACTATTCGCTTCGCGTGCTAAATGCTTAGAGTCTCAACCGTGTCGCATCAACTGCCATTCCGCTCACAATACTGGGGTACGACAGCAAACCGAAAGTAGGAACAGACATGACAAAAAAATTAGTGAAATCGTGCTCCAACACCAGGTCAGAAAATAAATCTCAATGTCCATCACCAATGAAGGGGAAGAGGAACGGTATTCTCTAGCTCAGCTAGATGCCTGCTGACCCCAATGACCACCGGCGAGGGCCTCGGGTGGGATGCGCTGCTGCTTGATGAAGAGGTCAATCAGGGGCTGCATGGGCTCCATCTCTTTGTCGGTAACAAGCTTGTAGTATTTCGCGACGGTTACAAAATGAACGAAGCACATGTTGAGGATCTCATGCTTGTTGATATGCCAGAAAGGGTTCAGCCAGTGCGCGTGATACAGATGGGCATAGCAGCGGAACATTTGCTTCATGATGCCCTGGCAGTCCTTGTAGAATGTTCGGGGGAAGCCGCTAGACTTGCCGATCCAGTCTTCGCCGGCAGCATTGGGAGCATCATTCGAGGCGGGAGCGCCTGTAGCCTCGCTCAGGGCAAAAGTGTCGGGTACGCCAGTGACCTTCTCTGTAGGAAACATCACGGGGTCGTGAATCTTGCTAACAATCCACTTCTCAACACGGTTTATGAATTTGGGAGCCGAAATTTTGGCGGCCTGCGAGTCCACGAGCCAAGTATAGGTCAGACTTTATGATAGTTAGCACGGGCGCTAAACGAGTTCGTTGCATGGCATGGTCAAAAACGTACCGACCGGCGGACATGGTTGGGCATGTGCTCTCATTGCAGATGGGCAGGCCAGTGTGAGTATTCACCTCTTGAATGACCTGAAGCATGCCATGGAGAAGACGATACTGTTCAACAACTAGGAAGGCGATGAGATTAGCCAGAGTCTCTCCGCGGCGATCTGGGCCTCTTACTCTGATGAGCCAGCCATTCCCCCAGTTCCACATTCTTCGGACAGGCACATAATGTCAAGAAGTTACCCTTCACATTGAGCGGGGCGTATTTTTCCTGGAAAAAGTACTTGGACGCATCCTGCTCGTGCACGACGGTGTTCTCCACAGCGGAGTGGTTCGAGGCGAGCGACGGGGAGTTTGAGACATGGCCGCCGTGAGCTGCCTGAGCAGCGGGCGACTGAGCGGGACTTCCGTTGTTCATCTTGTTGGTATTGTTGTTCTTGTTGTTGCCCCCCCGGCCGAAACCTTGGCGGCTGTAGAAAAGTCGTCCGGTCAGTATTGGTGTTTCAAGTTGGCCGAAGCGGGGGAAGGACAAAGAGGAGAGCTGAGGGAAAAGGGGAACCACAGATGGGTTGGGAAGTGAAGATAAAGAACAGCAGACGGCGACATGACAAAGCAGGCAGAATAGTAGTTCTTGATTTGTGCTTAGGGGCGCCTTTCATTATGCTTTTTAGGGGGGAATCGTGGTAATAGATCAATCATGCTTGCAGGAGTCTTGGGTATGCATTTAAGGGGAGAGAATGTGAGGGGATCAAAGAGAATCACACAAGACACCAATTGTAGGGAAAAGGAACAACTTACACGCTCTGAAAGAAGGTCGCCATGACTGATGATGCAGACTAGAGAAGCAGCGAACACAAGAGACCTGTCCGAAAGCGAACGGGGAGAGGATGATGGAGGATGAAGATAGTCGCGGCTCTGGATTCAATAATCGTATTGGGGGTTCTGGTTGCCCCAATCAGCGCCCACCATCGGATCTGGCCCTGCGGAGCTGCCGGCGCTAAGCTTCTCTGGGTCCGGAATGGATTATTAAGTTTGCCGTTCCAGCTATCGCAGCCTCAGGCTGTCTTTGATGCCGGGAATTATCACATTCAGGTCCACCCCAAACATCTACACCAATTGCACTAGTCGGAAACTCGACAGATCTCCCTCGTCCACCTTTCTACCTTGACTGATTGAGCTGGCTCTTTCGTCATTTGCCAACCATGTCTTCGTCCGATGAAGATGTGATTCAGCGTCCTGCACGAGGCGGCCGCGGCCAAGCCCAAAGCGATGCTGGAAGTGAACTCGCGAGTCCTGCGCCTGGTTCGGATGCTGGTAACCTGAATTTTGACGACGATGACGCGGACTTATTCGGATCAGATGGTTCCGATGCAGGCTTTGGTCAAGAGAACGAGTGCGCATTTCTCCCTCAACTCGAGTTTCGAGTCGCCGTGTTACCTTATTAACTTATACCTGGAACGAGTGCGCTAATGCGTATGTAGTCGACTTAAACGGACATTAGACGATGCGGAGCTTGATTCAGCAGATGACCAGGACCGATATGACCGGGCCGGTGACCGCATGGACTATGAAGATGGAGGAGAAGCGTTCCAGGAAACGGTGAACATCATGGACTTGAGCTTGGGTCGAGCTCCTGAGCCGAAGACCACCAATGGCGAGGTTTGTGTCTGAGTTTCCACCTCGAGTGATTCTATGCGCTAAGCACATCTCCGCAGGTTTACACCATGCCAGTGCCAAATTTCCTTTCAATAGAAACTGAAGAATTCAACCCCGAAACCTACGTCGCACCGCCATATTCGACCGCTGCAACCTCGCTCTGCTGGCGCTATGATCCCAAGGACGATTCCCTCCTTCAGTCAAACGCACGCATTATCCGCTGGGAGGACGGATCTATGACACTCCAGCTGGCGTCAGCTCCCAAAGAACAGTACAGGATCGCAACGAAACCTCTTGCACCTCTCAACAAAGCGGGCGACTATGATACAAAACTGGACTCGCACGTGTATCTTGGGGCAGTGTCCGAGACGTCGGGCGTGCTCAGGCTGACCTCTCATCTGACACATGGTCTTACCGTCTACCCAACGACCGTGGAAACCGACGACGCAGTACAGCGCCTACAGGAGTCATTAGCTGCAGCTGCCCGCGGCGGGAAGAAGACAGTCGACGGATCAGCACCCGTCATTGAAGTTAAGGAAGACCCCGAGCTCGCCAAGCGACAAGCCGAGCTCGCGGAGCGGGAGAAACTCAAGGCGGCGCGCCGTCGCGAGCAACTTGCAGACAGGGAAATGGACCGTGGCCGCCGAATCGGCATGTCCCACCGCACAGGCGGTGCTGGACTCACGGTTGGTGGATTGGAGGATGACGACTTGCTTACAACAAGACCCCGTGCGAAGAAGCCTCGGCGGCCCAACCGCAGAGGTGAGATCTACACCGACGACGAAGAAGAATACGGTGGGCGGGGTCGAACGAGAGAGGACGAATACGATGAAGACGACGGTTTTCTCGTCCGTAGCGACGAAGAGGTGGAACTTATGGATGACGATGACGAGGAAGAGGATATTTTGGAGGACGATGACGTGGATGCGGAAGGGGAGGAGGATGACCTCCCACCCGCAAGGTCTAGAGAGAAACGTGCTTCACCAGCAGCCGGAGCAGGAGAGCCTCCGGCGAGAAAGAAGAACCGCTATGTCGTGGACGACGACGATGAGGAGTAGTAGGTCTGCATATTTAGCTTTCTACTAACCCCTTTCTTTCCTCCTGGCGCCCTACATGAAAATAATACCACTATTATCGTTTTAATCTGGCAATTGTATTTTGATTTGGAAGCAAATACAGCGAATGAACGTCCAATCCGTGGTTCACCGAGACAGAGGTTAAGATAGAAATAGACGTTTAATGACGCTCACGCCCGGTACAGGCTGTCTTCGCGTGGAATTCGAAGCGAGTTCCTATTCTAGAATCTTCGCCATTTCGGCTGGATTTGTGAAGTACATTAGACGAATTCTAGCATAAACAATTCGTGTCCTTGAAGACAATAAAGCGTACATTCACGAGACGGGTGTCTATGAACCGATAGTACTAATTGAAAGGGTGGCCTTGTATTGCATATGATATGAGTGGCCTGGCATAGTCGTCGCTACATTAAGAAAAGCTCGTCGCAAAATCGCCGCAAATCCCAACGCCCAAGGTATTATAGCAGACATCAAATATTATGGGGATCACGGCGAAACGCTGTTATCGGGAGACAGGGATGGGACACTCTCTTCGTACTCTTCCGGCTGGAATTCGAATTTGGCGATCACATTTCTCGCACTTTTCGCAACCCGAATACAGAGGAGATCCTGCTCGTCACGGTTCATGGACTCCGGGTCTGGGTCATTGAGCCGTTGATGAGGCGGGAGTGGATGAGATTCTGGAGATTGGTGCCATCGTCGTTGGCGAGCCTCCATTTCTTCGATAAGATCAAGTACGCTTGGTGTCCCGATGGCACATTGCGTTTTCGCAGCTGGATCCATGGGTCCGCGTATCACGCTGTGCCGCACCAGCTGTCGGAGGTAGTCTTTCCACGCAACCGCCGGGTTTTCAGATTTGTTGACCATTGCTGTATAGGTAGGCGGGGCGACAAGCCTACCCAGTTCCATAGCATCAGCCTTGGATACCCGTAGCCACGAATCAGCGATCACATTTAGAAGAGTGCCTGTGAACATGACATTCTGCAGACCCGTATCGAACTTCGTTGGACATGCCTGGCAGCGGATAACGGCTTGAGCGGTTCTGGCGGAGATGTATAGGGAACAAATGGTGTGTTGGGATACGGGAAACGGCTTAAGAGAGGAAAGATGGCTGAGGCAGAGGTAGAGATATGATAGGCATGAGCACTCCTTATTGGCCGAGGGGCCTGCCTGACAACCCGAATTTGACATAGGAGGTGTGAGTCCTGGCGGCATCGTGAATGGATTAGGAGCTGCTGCTGAAACACTCGAGAAATCTGGCCAGGGAGATGTTGTGGGGGGTATTGAGGACAAAGTTTCATTAGGCGCTAACTGCCAGGTGTGGTGGTGCTCTTCATCGGACGATAACCGGTAGGGAAAGGCGTATGGTGTTGGGTACATGGAGGATAGAAGTTGGGGGTCCTCCAACATGTCCGGCATCTCGGTCCCATAGTCGGTCGTGGGTTTGGAAACTGCTGAGGAACTGGGCCAGGGGCCATTGTTTGGGAGATCTAAGAACGACAGATCGGTGTCATCTTCTCGCAACCGCTTCTTGGGTGGCCGTCCCATTTGCTTCTGCACTGAGTAGTGACAGACAAGCGATTGCTTGATGCAACGACTGCATCCTGAAAGTTCACCAGAACATTTGAGCTTTCGTTTCCCTACCGGAAAAATCCCGGTTAGTGCCTAGAGCAATACCGGGGTCAACAAAGACTATAAGACATACTGCACTCGTCACAAGCCGCATGTCGCTTGACCTGAGGTTGTTCTGACCCCATCGGGTCGAAGGCGGCAGAGACGTCAGTGGAGGCGGGGTGTGTCTGGCCCCACTGGAAAGCGTCGTACTGCATCGTGGGCGGGATAACACGGACAATCGTGTAGTGCACAGTATAGTAAGTGACAGTCGTTTTATCCCAGTCTCGGTCAAAAGGCGTCGAAAGGAGGGAGTGGAATTAATATGTCAGCGCTTTCGCCCTCCAAATGGCCCCCAGTAAGAGCCCGTTTTAGGGAAGCGGTGCATCACGTGGGCGGTCGGATCATGCCGACAGTCTCTATTTTTCAGGAAAAAAAAAGTATCCAACCCCGAGTCTAGAGTCAAGAGGATAGAATCAACAGAACATTCTCGCCATAATGGCCGCCTTGAAAGCCTCGAAGAAACGCAAGGCCGTTACCCGCGATGTGGAAGAAGAGACAGGTGTCTTTTCTGGTGACGAGCTGAATGGTGGCGACTTGGATGGTGCACTTTCAGACACTGCACACGACCTTTCTAGTGATGAGGATGATAGCAATTCCGAAATCGAATTGGTCGATGATTTCAGCGACAGTGAAGATGATGAAGAAGAGCTCGACAGCGACGAGATTCCGTCGGATGGAGAAGATGAGGGCGTCACCAAGACGAAGTCAGGCACCGCAGTCGACTTGAAAGGATTCTCCCAGGACGACGAGAGTTCCAGCAAAGAGGAGGAGCAATTGAACTATCGCATTGAGAAGGATGCCAATGGGAATGACCGTTACATTTACGACGAAATCAATCCTGACGACAATTCCGACTATTCTGATATCGACGAGAACGCAAACACCATTGGCAATATCCCACTGACTTTCTACGACCAATATCCTCATATCGGGTATGACATTAACGGCAAGAAAATTATGCGCCCCGCGAAAGGCGAAGCTCTCGATGCCCTACTAGACAGCATTGAAATTCCCAAGGGCTGGACAGGTCTTACTGACCCTTCGACCGGTAAACCGTTAGAACTGAGCCAAGATGAGCTGGAACTTCTGCGCAAAGTGCAGATGAACGAGATCCCGGAGGATGGTTACAACCCATATGAGCCTCTCCTCGAATGGTTCACAACCGAGAAGGAAATCATGCCTCTCAGCGCCGCACCGGAACCGAAGCGTCGATTCGTCCCCTCGAAGCACGAAGCTAAGCGAGTTATGAAGATTGTCAAGGCAATCCGGGAGGGGCGTATCCTTCCATTCAAGCCACCAACCGAGGAGGACGAGGAAGATAAAGATCTAATAAAGTATGATCTGTGGGCCGACGAAGCAGAGCGACCTGATCATCCCATGCATATCCCTGCCCCCAAGCTGCCTCCGCCAGGCTACGAGGAGAGCTACCACCCACCGCCTGAGTACCTGCCTGATAAGAAGGAGCGCAAGGCCTGGGAGGAGGCCGATCCCGAGGATAGAGAGCAAGAATTCTTACCTCAGGACTTTGGCTCTCTTCGCAAGGTTCCTGGTTACGAGACTTTTGTCAAGGAAAAATTCGAGAGATGTCTGGACCTCTACCTGGCACCTCGCGTTCGAAGGAGCAAGCTGAACATTGACCCCGAGAGCCTGCTTCCCAAGCTTCCTAGCCCGGAGGAGCTGAAACCGTTCCCAACCGCATGTGCCGCTGTTTTCAGAGGACACAAGGGCCGTGTTCGCAGCCTTGCCGTTGACCCTATGGGTATCTGGCTTGCCACTGGTGGAGACGACGGCACTGTTCGTGTCTGGGAGTTGCTCACCGGCCGTCAGCTATGGAGCGTTAAGCTGGCTGATGACGAACCAGTGAACGTTGTTCGCTGGCGCCCGGGTAAGGATGCCGTTGTCCTCGCGGCTGCTGCAGGCGACGACCTCTTTCTCGCGGTTCCCCCCATTGCAGACCCTGAAACCGAGCAAGCCAGCTTAGACCTTCTCGACGCTGGTTGGGGTTACGCAGCTTCCAAGCCTGCCTCAAGGGCTGTAGACGAGGAAAAGAAGAGCACCCCCCCTCAATGGATTCGACCTTCAGCAGCCCTCGCGGACTCTGGCGTATGCGCTGTCATTCCTCTCCGCTATATTGCCAAATCGATCTCATGGCACCGCCGCGGAGACTACTTCGTGACTGTGTGCTCTGGCGCCTCGACACCGGCTTCGGTAGCTATCGCAATTCACACCGTCTCCAAACACCTCACTCAGTACCCCTTCCGCCGACGCATCAAGGGAGGCGGTCCTCCACAGACAGCCCACTTCCACCCCTCCAAGCCTATTCTCTTCGTCGCCAACCAACGGACAATCCGTGCCTACGACCTCTCCCGTCAACTCCTTGTCAAGATCGTTCAACCCGGTGCCCGCTGGATTTCCTCCTTCGACATCCACCCGACTTCCTCGACAGCAGCAGGCGGTGACAACATTATTGTTGGTTCCTACGACCGACGCCTGCTATGGCACGATCTTGAGCTTTCACAACGCCCCTACAAGACTCTCCGCTACCACCGCAAGGCCATCCGTGCCGTCAAGTTCCACCCTGGTGGCCGCTATCCGCTTTTCGCCGACGCCAGTGACGACGGCTCTCTCCAGATTTTCCACGGAAATGTCACCGGCGACATGCTTAGCAATGCCACCATCGTTCCGCTCAAGGTTCTCAAGGGTCACAAGATCACCGGCGAACTTGGTGTTCTGGATATTGACTGGCATCCTCGGGAGGCTTGGTGTGTTAGTGCAGGCGCGGATGGAACGTGCCGTTTGTGGATGTAATCTTCTCTGCTCACTTGCCTGCATGTTTCCTATTCATTGCTTGTGCCTTGTCCTAAAAGGGGGCGTTTAGGTGTATAGATCATTTTGTTGATATCCACAGCATAAAAAGTTCATTACTCCATGAATCTTCTCTAATAATCCACTAACATCAAAAAGGAGAAAAAGGTATTCGTGACAAGGATCCCATTTTTACACATTATTAATCCCGTCTAAGATCTATACCAAAAGGTTAACCATATGGTCGACATATACATCGCAGCGATGAGGGGATCAGACAACCCCACCACTCCAATCCCTCCTCAACCTCTCATATTTTTTCAAGTCCGTCACACTAGGCCGAATAAACGACTTAGCAGCGACAAAGTCCTCAAACTTGATAGCATCCCGCCTCTTGATAGCACTGTATCCAGCGCGCCGCAGCAGACTGGTCAAATCCGCACCGCTGAACCCCTCACACTCCTCCGCTAATCGCCTGAGATCCTCACTGAACTCAATGGGCAGTTTGCGGACGAGCGTCTGCAGGATCTCCGCGCGTTCTAGGGGCGAGGGAAGGTTCACGAAGAGGAGGGTTTCCAGGCGGCCTGGCCGCAGCATGGCCGGGTCGATGATGTCCGGACGATTCGTGGCTGCGATCACGTAGATACCTTGACGGCTACTGCCGAGACCGTCGAGTTCGGTGAGTAGTGTATTAACAACGCGTGCGGAGGCTTCGGAGAGGGTATCGTCTCGGCGCGGAACGAGGGCGTCCAATTCATCGAAGAAGATGACGCAGGGAACGGAGGAACGAGCGCGGACGAAGACCTGGCGGACGGCGCGTTCGGATTCACCAACGTATTTATTGAGGAGCTCCGGACCCTTGACGCTGATGAAGTTTGCGCGCGACTCGTTGGCCACGGCCTTTGCGAGGAGCGTCTTACCGCAACCGGGGGGCCCCCAGAGGAGGACGCCCGTTGGGGCGGTGATACCGACACTGGCGTAGAGGTCTGGGTTCTTGATTGGATCGACGATCGCGGTGGACAGCTCGTCGCGAATACCGCCAAGCGCGCCGATGTCTGCCCATGTTGTGTCGGGGATGGTTGCGAAGCCCTCACGTTTAGAGGATGGTTGGATCTTGGGGAGGGCAGTAAAGAAGTCTGCGTTTGATACGAGAACGACCTCTGCTTCGCTGCCGATTGGTGTTTCCTTGGCGTGAGTGATGAGCCGTCGAAGCTCCTTGACTTTAGGGCTGATTTCGTCTGCCTCTTCGATATCCATTTCTTCGCCGCTGTTGTTCTTCAAGATCTCCAAGTATCTCTTGATTGCTGCTGAGCCGGCAGTAGAAACCAGATCATTAAGATCGGCGCCTACGAAGCCGGGTGTCCTTTTCGCTAGTGTCTTGAGGTCGATGTCATCCGCGAGACGCATTTTGCGAGTAAGTGCACGAAGGATCTGCTCGCGAACGGGTTCAGATGGTACTGTCATATTGATCTCTTTGTCGAATCTGCCTCCTCGGCGTAGCGCCGCATCAAGGCTGTCGGGTCGATTTGTCGCTGCTAGGACAATGACGGGCTTCCCGTCTGTCTTTTCCAGGGCCAAATCGTCCATACATGTGAGGAGCTGGGCAACGATTCTCTTCTCCATTTCTCTTTGCGCGCTTTCTCGCTTGGGCGTGATAGCGTCGATTTCGTCGATAAAAATAAGACAAGGAGCTAGTCTTTTTGCCTCTTCGAAATGCTCTCGGAGGGCCTTTTCGGACTCTCCCGACATGCCTGAAACAACAGACGGGGCGGAGATGGAGATAAATGGTACTCCAAGTTCTGCTGCAAAGGCATTTGCGATCATGGTCTTACCGCACCCAGGCGGACCATGTAGTAGCACACCACGAGGAGGCTGTACATTTGATGATAGATACACCTGTGGACGTGTCATGGGGAGAATGACAAGATCTCCGAGCTGCTGGACCACATCATCCAACCCACCTAGATCCGAGAGGCTCACATGAGTTGGAGGTGACCGGTCGACAGCACTTTCTGCCTTGCGTCGCTTGGAAGACTGAGACTCGCCTCCATGGTGTCGCTTTTTCGTCGACGTCGGCGCGGGTATAGCACTTTCTGGGGTATTGGTGTCTGGCTTGGAGGGTTTTGAAGCAGTATTCCACTGGCCGACAAGGGCTTTGTTCATGCTATTCGACTCCTGAGAATGTCAGTTTAGCAGGGAATATAATGCGCCGACAGAGTCCATACAGGCGCTGGCTGCTCCTCAATTCCGGCGAAATCACCATCTATCGAGTCGGTGTCATCTTCAAGTACATCGGCTTTGAGAACTTCGACGACCCGCTCAATACTGTCTTCGAGAATTCTTTTGGGTTTTCGATTCAGGCTGGAATTCGATCGCTTGATTGACTCGTATATTACAGTGACTGTTAGACGAAAGTCGGGGTTCTCGACCTGATCATCGAGAATCTTGCGGACGACTTGGTAGACCTGGAGTGGGGGAAAGGATCAGAGATAGTCGCAGGATGGAAGAAGCTGGTATGGACGTCGCACCTCTTTATCAAGGCCCTGCCTCAACGTTGGTCTGCCTCCGCGACGCATCTCCTTCAAAATAAGTCGTATACCTCGTGATCTGCTCAATTCGTGATCGTCACAACCGCCAATTTTCTATAATTTTTGAGGACCGGATCAAAGATAGGCCGATAATTTTACTTATCAGCGGGCCTAATCCCCGGTCATTTCCACTAAGCCGGCATGACCGTATCGTACTAGTACCATGAACAAACGTCACCAGGATCTCTTATCGCTTGTCCTCGTGCTCCAACAATCGCGCAAGCAGTGTTGGAGACAAGTCCGTTACTACTTACTGCACGACGACAACATGCGGTGACAATGGGGAACTCGAATAGCTCTAATAAAATATCTGCACAAGACCGGTGAGACCTTCCGATTGCCAAAGGCGGAAGTACCATTGCTTCTTGAGCTGTCCCTCCCCGCATTGTTCAACTCCAAGCAAGGCAGCTAACAGATGCCTCCCTTCCACAGAGCGATACTTGATATGAAAAACCAGCGTGACAAGCTACACCAGTATCAGAAAAGAATTACAGTTCTCACAGACCGCGAAACTGCCATCGCGAAAGAATGTCTCGCCCGAAATGATCGAAAACGCGCCCTTCTTGCTCTGCGGCGGAAAAAGTATCAAGAATCGCTTTTAGCGAAGACCGATGCACAACTAGCACAACTCGAACAACTGACCAGTCAGGTTGAATTTGCCCTCGTGCAGAAGGATGTTCTCTTCGGGTTACAGCAGGGTACCCAGGTCCTTAATACCATCCATAAGGAGATGGGGGGTATTGAAGGGGTAGAGAAATTGTTGGGGGAGAACGAGGAGGCAAGGGCTTACCAGGAGGTATGGTGCAGTCATTTTTTTGCTCTTGCCTTTTGACTGACACAGGTGATATAGGAAGTTAGCCAGATGCTTGCGGGGCATTTGTCTAACCAGGACGAGGATGAGGTTGAGGACGAATTGGAGACCCTGCGTCAAGAAGTACAGGGGCCGGTCAGCCTCCCGGATGCGCCCATAGGACTGCCACCAGGAGCAGAGCAGGAACCGGAATCAGACCTGGCGAAGCAGAAAGCCAGAGCGCGAGCCAGGGCCCGAGAACGAACTGCAGTCCCTGCGTGATATCGAAACGGATATCTCAGGTCGATTTGGTACTAATTGAATTGGATCCCGCCCTATCCACATGCCTATCCTACAATACTCACTATATAATAGTAGACCCGAAATGCTTGTGGCACTGAGCTGAAGCTCTGGGTATAATATGAAACCTTGAAACAACAAATGACGTAGTTTAGCCTGAATTCTGAAAGAGAAGGCAAGGGCGATGAGCTAGGTACTTGAAAGGTACGCGAAGAGCCTCCAACCCGATGTACTTACTACCCCTAAGTAGTAACTTCCGCTCAAGAAGAAAATAGGCCCTCTGACAAATCTCATCACCTCGGGGGGTACCCTGTTCACTGATAACCCCGCATTCACCCTTTCTTCGAAGAAATCGTCCTATTCTCTTTACCGAGGATTCCAGATCGCTGCCATGTCACACCATCACCACTCTCACGACCATCACGGACACTGCCACGGTGAGGGAGACGACGGTCATGACCACTCGAGCGATATCACGCCAGCGCTCCAGTCCCTCCTATATTCGCAGATCCAATTCGATTCGATTATTACCTTGAATGGTATGTTCCGGCCCTGAACTCCTATTTTGCGCATAATAGTATTCTGACGTTGGCATGCAATGCGGTACAGAGGCGTTGCCCAAGTCTGGAGCTGCGATTGTCAAGAAAACATGGGCTGAACGACAGAATGATGAGCCGGAGTTGGAAAGTGATGCAGATGAGCAGTTGCTGATGTATATTCCGTATGTTCTACTATTTCCTAGACTCGACGATTTTTCGTTTTTCAGCACTCTAATTACCCCGCTATACCCCTCATTCAACTTTGCTATCGCTATCGCTATCGCAGTCACCACAGCATACTACCATCCACGTGCCGGAAACTGTTCGTGGCTAACATTTGTTACTTATTTACAGATTCACCGGCCAAGCCAACGTTCACTCAGTCCTCATCTACACTGCCCCGACACCATCCGCCCCAAAAACCCTCAAACTCTTCAAGAACCGCGACGACTTGGATTTCTCAACGGCGTCGGAGCTAAAACCGACTCAAACGATCGAGGTCCCGCAGCCGATTCCGGGGACGGATGTTTTCGAGCTTCCGCTGAACCGCGCGCACTGGAATGCTACGACTTCTGTGACTCTGTTCTTCGAGGACAACTGGAGCGATGGGGAAGAGGACGTGACCAAAGTCGGGTATATTGGGCTTAAGGGCCAGTTCATGGCATTAAATAGAGAGCCTGTTAGTTTCTTGTATGAAGCGGCGGCGAACCCGAATGATCATGTTGCGATTCCCGGCGTGAGTGGTGTTGGAAGCAGAATCATGCCTGGTCAGTGAGGGATGTTCTTTGATCGTTGGCTTTGGTACGGGGAGAAAGGTAGAACTGAGCCCGCCCCAGTAATGGGAGTAGTGAAATGAAGTGACGAATCACGAATTCAGTTTCAACACCAGCATGACAGGATAGGCTAATGCATCCGGTCACTGAACCTTATAGTAATTTGGGGCATATTCGAGAAGATAGCTCTTCTCAATCTTGGTGACATCTCGAATATACGTCTTGTCGCCCGTCTGCAATATTTCATGGAAGATGACCCAGTCCGCTTTCCGGTTCTTTGATCGCAATGTGAGCTGGGGACGACCACCTTGAGATAACCAGGAGAGGCATCACTTACAAACATCAACGAGCTGGGATGAGCGTGGAGGGTAATGCCCCCGCTAACCGTTTTGAATGTCCCATCCGGCTGCATTCTCGCTGCATGGGCGAAGTAACCTGTCGTGAGACACCGCTGTATTTGCTCTGCGGGCTTCGCGAGATTGACTGGCCTGGACTGAGACGCAAGAGTTTCGTCGGCTTTGATACCGAAGCGTTCAAGGTATCGCTTAAGCTGGGCTCTGATGCTCACAGCTCGTGACAATGATCGGTAGTTTAGGAGATTGTCTCGACACCATTTTGAGTCTTTTTTCCCTTTCGTGACAAATGCTTGGTAGACGTTGAGATATGTCAGATGATCGCCCTCTTCGACCGCGAATCTTCTGCGAGTGCTCTCTGCCGATTTTTTATCCCCGTCATGTTGAACCCAGACAGCCCCCTGGAGGCTGACCATCGCGGCGATAGTCAAAATCTCACTCAAACAGCCAAAGCTCTCTGCCGACAGGAGCACTTTCGCCATCATGGGCTCAACGGCGAGCTCAGCCATCCTCATTCCCAGGGGTTTCGTAAGTTTGGCATAGTCGTCAACGGCTCCTAGTGAATATAGAAGCTCGAATGAACGTATCACAAGGTCCGCCGGAGGCGAAGTTAGGAAGTCGAATCGAACAATGTTGTCTATTCCCAGAGCTTTGAGCTGCAGTATCACAGGCGCCAGATTAGACCGTTGGATCTCCGGTATAGTTGCCTCAGGCAGTTGCTCATATGCCTGCTGCGTATAAAGACGGAAACACTTTCCGGGCTTGGTTCTTCCAGCTCGACCGGCCCGCTGAACAGCTGCAGCTTTTGATATTGGCACTGCCGTCAATGTTTCAATCCCCGTACTGGGGTTATATGCCCTCAGCTTTGCGAATCCGCAGTCAATGACATACACGATGCCATTGATAGTCACGGAGGCTTCCGCAATGTTTGTTGACACAACCACCTTTCGCGTGTTTTCCCCGGCGGGTTCAAAGACATGCATCTGTTGGTCTGTTGTCAGACCAGCGTAGAGAGGAAGAGGCTGCAATGCTTGAGCTTTTGGATGAAGGGTTGCGGCGCGTTCGGAAATCAGCTGGATTGCAGTCTCGATCTCGTCTCGACCGGTCAGAAAGACCAGGATATCACCTTCACCTTCCTGTAGGTGGATGTCAAACACTGTTTTGACGCTTCTTTCAACATAGTCTTCCGCTGGTGATTCAAGAAACAGCATATCAACCGGATACATCCGACCTTCGAGGCTTATTATCCTCCCAACGCTTCCGCCGATTTCACCATCCGAGTTTTGCTGGAATTCGTCACCAGCAAAGAAACGTAGAAAGTCTTCCGCTTGCAAAGTTGCACTGCTGACCACGATTCGGAGTTCAGGGCGTCGCTTCATTATCTTCTTGAGGATACCCAACAAAATGTCAGTGCTCAGTGATCTCTCATGCGCCTCGTCGACCATGATTACGGAATACCGCGAAAGAAGAGGATCTACAAGGGCTTCTCTAAGTAGCATGCCGTCTGTTAAGAATTTGATTCTTGTAGAAGCAGACGTTTGGTCCTCAAAACGAATGGAGTAACCGACATCCTCTCCCAGTTTGCAGCGCATTTCTTCTGCCACTCTCGCTGCTACCGTCGTGGCGGCCACGCGACGAGGCTATAGCATTAGCGTTAGTAGATAGTTCTTGGAGATAACACCAGCATTTCGAAAGAGTATTACCTGTGTCACTGCGATAGCCTTTCCATCTGCGCACCATCCTGCCTGGTCAAGATACTGGGGCAATTGGGTTGTTTTCCCGCTTCCAGTCTGCCCAACGACAATGGTGACAGGATAGGTCTCCACAAGGTATAGCAGAGCCTCTTTGTGCCTTGCAATGGGAAGCAGCGAAGGAGGTTTATATAGTGACGGAATAAAGCTCGTCCCAACATCCAATTCCAAAGCCATGTTTCAATGTGCTTTTCTTAGGTCGAAGTAAAAGGGGGAAAAAAGTGTGTATCACTCTATGAAACAATCCCATCCAAGTCAGACATTTTGAGTGCACACAGAGCCTCTCTGTGTCAGTAGGGTCTCGATAGGCGTAGTAGCTAAATAAATGAAGGGAGTAAACAAGTCGAAGAACTTCGACCCATGCTTCAATGCTTCTTTCCCAGCAATGAGACTAATCCTCAATGGACATGTCACGTGTTACTGCGTCACTACGCATCGCAACGGCCCCAGCGTGGCTGATGCCTGGGAAGCTCCGACCGACTCGGCCTCCAATCGCAGCCAGCCCCAAATATCCCGATTGCTTTCTGCCTGCTGGGTTCGTTTTTGCCGCCTCGCTTCTGCTCTTTTCGATATATAGGACCAAGATTCGGCAGTTTCTTAGGATTCTAGATCTCACTATTTCTGTGTATTCTGCAAGTCGTCAACGCAATGTCGGAAGCAGAGAGAACCGTACGTTACCACCCCTCAATCCCCGCAATCTCTCAAGACCAGCTGCTTATGACTTGCCAGACCAGTAAACCATCGTCCGGACCGCTCAGTCCAAGACCCGAATCTCCGACGACCGCACGCCCCTTGGACTTTGACGATGAATACCAAGAGACCGGCGTCACCCCCACCTCGTCCGCTCCTCCACAGCTGAGTGCTACGGAAGCAGCTCCCCCAAAGCCACCTCGCCCATTGTCTCCGCAACAACAAGCAGAAAACACTCTCAAAGAAGCGTTTCCCTCAATCGATGCATCTGTTATTAAAGCTGTGTTGATGGCAAGCGCATACGACGTGGAACGGGCATTCCATGCCCTTCTCGGTGCGCAACCTTGCCTTGACCCGTGGCGGCTATACCCTGACGAGCGCTTATAGGCATGACGGACCCAAACGCACAGGAGGACTATGCCCCCCCTAAGCCGCCGCGTCCTACCGCAGCACAAAGACAGCTCGAAGCCGATGAGCTTTATGCTCGCCAACTGGCTGAACACTACAACCGCCGCACACAGCCACCACGTGGGGGAAACGAGGACCCCTACAGCCGGCAGAGACGAGGGGACGAACAGGAAGATGAGAAGGAGTATAACTTCTTTGATGGTATGCTCTCATACGACCCAGTTGGTTAGACCTTTGGTGGCTGACAGTTTGCAGATGACCTACCCGTGATCCGCGAAAACATTCGCAAAGGTTTCCTCGATACTCAGACCAAGGTCAGCGCATGGGTCCAAAATCTGAAGAAGCGACTGGATGGCGAGGAGGAGGATGAAGACAACCATGCCCCCCGTGGGTATGGAGAAGAAAGCTATGGTCGTCCGCGGAGAAGTGGCGAGTTGGGTCGCCGCAGCGGTGATCGCGAACGCTACGACGCAGATCCACAAGTCCTGAGCGATGACTTCTCTGCCCTTGAGCTTAGGGACACAGAAGGTTAGTTCTCTTGCTGTCGCTCTGGATACGATGTTAGCTAACAGGAAGCACAGCTCCTCCACCACGCCCACCACGACCGCTTGCGAATCCCGCGTTGTATAAATCATCATCGCCTTCGCCCGACAGACGCAAGGTATCATTCCAAGAGGGCCCGCCCACTGAGATTGGCAACCTCTATGACTCCTCTGAGCCGGCCAAACGCCAGTCCCCTGCTGGAGGGAAGCCAAGCAAATGGCAGCCTCTGTCGACGGTCGAGCCATCGCCTATCGGGGAGAATGACCCATTCAGTCTGGGCGATAGTGATGACGAAAAGGATATCAAGGCTAAGGACCAGGTTACTGCTGATGAAAGTGATCGTGTACAGAAAGCCACAGCCGAGGCCGTGTCCGAGGAACTTGGCTCGGCCTCAAAGGATGGTCCCAAAGCAGAGAGTGCTACGAAGTCTTCATGAGCGTGTTGATTTGTCATTAGTAAGCAGTTGTATCTTTTCCTCTAGGCCACGGGTTGACTTGCTGTTGTCCCTTCCACTTTGTCCATTATCCTGTCATGTATACCTTAAGTGATGTTTATGATACCAGAGTTTGTGTACGGCAGGCCATGGTCCCAGATACTAACAGTAACACTACCTACACTCTCTGGCCTGCGTATAGCGGACCCCAGCGCAATCTCGTAATATATAATGGTTATCACATTCCTCCCCGCCCGAGTTTCGAGCTGCTTATTGGCTTACCTGGCAGCAGGTACCATCTTACAGGTCATATATACTGTAAGATATTTCTTGGCAGATGTGGGGTACGCTGTATGCAGGCCAGAGAGTGTAGTAGTCGATCCAGGCTTTAGCACGCATTGTGAGACGTGTTTTTGAGACGTATTATAACTACATCATAAGGAAACGGGTATCTTTAGAAACAGCAAGCGAAGCAGTACAAGCACAAGGTCGTAGTAGACGTGAAACGATCATTCCATCGACTCGTTTGGAAGAGTGCGCGAAGTGACAGCAGCTTCCTTCCTCAAGTCCTTAATGACATTCTAGTCCAGTCAGATCATGATTGTTCCTTCAATCTGGCAGCTTGAACTTACGGCAAGCGCATCAGGATTAACTCCATTCTCGATGAGAGACACGCAAAGCGAGAGCTCGGTTCGGTCCAGATTCGTATTCTGAGTTTCAAACACATTAGTAACTGAAGCCGGGAAGTTCGAAGGTCATATTGAAAGCCATATAGAAGAATGAAGAGGAGTTTTGCTTACAAGGAGCGTTGAGATCTCGTGAAGAATGTCAATCACTTCGCGTGCTGCCTGGCGTTTATCATCGGATTGTGGGGGCATTTTGAGGAGCCGAAATATAGTTCTAGGTTCACTTCGGACCTCGGGTTCAATTTCAGATCTTTCGGCCGTAGATTTGCGGTTTGGATGGGTGGTTGAGTTCAACTTGAACTTGCTGGTTGTTGCAGGTTGGATGCTGTGGTAAAAACGATAATTCATAGATTACCGTTTCGTGACAGACCGACTCTAAGTAGGTTTCGTTCCTGAGACACAACTTTCCTTCCTCATCTCTCTTTCCCTATCCCTTTTATGCACACCATGTCTTGTTGATTCTAATCATTCGTGGTCTCTCTTGCCTCCGGAGAGTATTTGGACTACGACAACAGCCGTCGTGTCTCTCTGAATTTCACCCCTTGGTTGGAGTATTTAACAAGGGTTTTGAGAATGTTGGAAGATCTGACCATATCAGACATCCATTCCTTGGGCAAATCCCAGGCATTCGAGGTATTAGCCCAGATCACACGTGTCGAAAAGAAGACCTTTCCTTCTAGTGAGGCCTTCCAATTTGGTGAAGAGCTCTGGCGCAAGAAGCCAAACACGAGGGTTCTTTATGTGACTGGGACTACTCGAGGGACACAGTCACACTCCCCTCTGGTTGCCTATGCCGTTTATGCTCGGCAGAAAGGGGTAGCCTGGGTCCATAAGGTTTGTGTCGCAGAGATATTCCGTGGGAACGGCGTTGGGACGCAACTTATGGAACATATTCGAGCTCGGCTTCAGAAGGAGGGCTGCCAGTTTGTTTATCTTTGGGTGGATAAGGCTAGAGAACACGCGCGATCTCTCTATCTTCGGACTGGCTTTGAGGAACTCGAGGAGCTTTCTGACTACTATGCTCCAGGGCGTAATGGAATCAAGATGGTTCTTGATCTTCAACGTGGTACTTGAGAATGCCCCTGTCACTCATGCGCCACTTTTCCAACCCTTTGGTCCTCCAGGGTCTCAACCCTTCAGAGAGCGTTTTTATGAGGTTTCCCATCATAGCTCTAACCGTTCCGAGGGAAAATTCTATTCCCATGTCTCCTCGATTCCTATAGGGTTATTGAGAATCGTTGCGCATGGTTGGTTGAAATCGTTCTTCCTTGGCTCCCAGGGGCATCCCTTGCGGATTGTACATTTCGCAACTTGAGCTTTATCGCGCCAACTCCGTGTTCTCTAACCATTCCAATACCTATGTGACGTCAAACATATCCAGGTATGGCTCTTTTGAGGGGTCCGGAAGACCTTGCGATTCCCCTGTATAGAACGGCCCTTGGACGCGGGCGCCCTGCGAGAATGTCCGCTAAGGGTAGCATATTCATTCCCACTGGTGCTACTTTTTGGAGGATTCGACTTTCAATCTCTACGACCTAGCTTAACGATTTGCAGAGTTCTCAGCCCTCAGATGTCACAGGAACCGTTTAACGAAACTTGGTTCTGTGGGTTATAGTCGAGCATCTGCGGCTAGAACGGCCCCGTCTTCTCCTGGGGCCATGGCGCTCTTTGCATTGATCTTTTTAAGCTTTCTGTTCGCAGCAAATGCAAATTTGGCCCCGAATTATCCGGTGAATGCGCAATTGCCTCCTGTTGCCCGAATATCACAGCCATTCAAATTCATCTTCTCCCAGGGAACCTTTGGTGGAAGTGATGCGGAAACCACTTACTCGCTTTCAAACGCTCCATCATGGCTCGAAGTAAATAGCACATCCCGCGCATTGTCAGGAACGCCGCGAAAGGAAGATGCTGGATCGCCCACGTTCGACCTCGTTGCATCTGATCAAACAGGCTCTGTCAGTATGCAGGTCACCCTCATTGTTACTGCAGATGAGGGTCCAAAGATTGGAAAGTCTCTAGGCCCACAGCTCGAAGAAATCGGTCTTACGTCCTCTCCATCCAACCTGATTGTACGGTCTGGTGATTCCTTCTCGATTTCCTTTGATCAGGAAACATTCATAAACACCCGCCCATCAACATTCTATTACGGAACATCGTACCCAGATAATGCACCCCTCCCATCTTGGATCGGCTTTGATCAGTCGTCTCTTCGATTTTACGGTACCACGCCCAATATCGGACCACAATCTTTCAACCTCAACCTAGTTGCATCTGATGTGTCGGGATTCAGCGCGGCCACGACGAGCTTTGCGATAACTGTCAGCCCTCACATCCTGGCATTCAAACACAGCGCACAAACGCTTTTTGTCACAGGAGGAAAGGAGCTCACTAGCCCTCGCTTTGTTGATATCTTAGCTTTGGACGGAATCAAGCCGGCAGACACTGCGCTTATAGAAACAGAGATCGACGCGCCGGATTGGCTTTCTATTGACAGGCAATACATATCCTTTACCGGAACTCCCCCGCCTGATGGGGAAAATGAGAATGTTACTATAACAGTGAAGGACATGTATCAAGATGTGGCCACGCTTGTGGTCTCGTTGCAATATTCACAATTCTTTCACCACGGGGTTGATGGATTCGAGGCAGTTATTGGCCAGTACTTCACATATGTTTTCAACACCTCTGCTCTTACCGATGACTCTGTTCAGCTCGACGTCGACACAGAACAACAATTGTCATGGTTACACTATAATCGTGACAACAAGACCCTCTTCGGCCAAGTGCCGTCAGATTTCGACCCTGACACCTATACAATTCAACTGACAGCTAGGGAAGGAACCGCGGAGGAGACGAAGAAAGTCAATATCAATATTGTGACGGAGGAAAACTCACAGGACAAAGAAGGTAGCCCCACAGGATCCGGCGGTTCCGATGAGAAGAAAGCTGGTATTATCGCGATGGCGGTCTTGATCCCATTGGGCTGCGTTGCGATTGTATTTCTTCTCCTCTGCTGCCGACGCCGTAGGCAACGGTGGGCGAAGCAGGAAAAGCAAGGGCTGGAAGACAAGGCACTACCGCTAGCGCCCGGAGGCCCTGGGCTATCGCACTGTCAACCGTTCGAGGGGACTGCACAAGGGAACCTCCCAGCCATGGGTGGAGTATCCCAATCAGACTCGAAGCCCCCTAAATTGGAACTAGAGCCATGGTGGAATGATAACCGGGAACGGAGGAACGAACGGACTCCGGGAGTCCCGATCATCGAAGATACATTTACCAACTCGACAATTGAATGGGACTTTATTCCGCTACGAGAATCTGCACAGGATGAGAACAACCCACCTGAGCCCCTTGAACTATCTGAAGAGCCCGCTTCCAAGCCCAACCGTCTGTCGTTTCAGAGCAGTCCGCGCGTGCGAAGAGGTTTGTCTGATCGTTCCGGAAGGCGAGAGCCTCTAAGGTCCGTTCAGCCAAGGAAGTCACTAAAACGAAACTCGGCTTTGTCGTCGCGATCCAAACGATGGTCTAGAAGGTCAAGCGGTATTTCTTCCATCTCTACTGGACTGCCGGTAAGGCTTAGCGGGGCAGGCCACGGGGCAGGTGGATTCGGACCACCTGGACATGGATCTGTCAAGGTGTCCTGGCAGAACACCCAGGCATCGTTTCAGAGCGAGGAAAGTAGCCTGGGAAATCTGGCACCGCTGTTTCCTCGTCCACCGCCTCGCACAAGGGATGGCCAGGACTGCTCAAAGAGGATGAGTGTTCGTACTGTGGACCATGACAGCCTGACGCTTTCCGAGTCGGACTCGCTAGAGGCATTTGTTCAAGGCCGGGCAAAAAGCCGACATTCCTCCAATCCTTTCATCGCTGGTCCGATCAACCGCCGGGTACCGTCGAGCCTTCGTGCCGCCCTAGATCGAACTCGAAGCAACGCTAGCCGAGCCGACAGTCTTCACAGCGCCACGGATAACGATGACTGTCGTCGGCGAGAGCGCCCCTGGTCGTTGGCGTTGTCAGGGTCCGTTTACACAGATGATTACCGGCATTCGACTTATCTGAGCTCTTTATCAGAAGAATCGCTCAACGTTCAACCGCTGGCAACCCTGAAAAACGGGCCGAGTCAATCAAGTCTGGCGCAACACTACTCGAAGATCATCGCGCCACTTCCTCGCTTCTTCAGTGAGCTGAGCTTGAACAACGGCAAGCGGGACAAGCCTGGGATATCGCAAGTCGCGGATGACCACCAAAATCTAACTGGCCCTCGTCGTTGGTCACGCTCGAGCCCATCACTACAAAACTGGCGTCGGCTTCGTAAGACCCCTTCAGCATCATCGATTCCGTATGACGCACAGACGCGCCGAGCGAGTATGATGTGGACGGCCGAGCAGGACTCGAGCGACGGGCGCGGCTTACAGAGAGAGCCCACTGGCAGCGTGCTCAGTGATATAGCATTTGTTTGATGTGCATTGCTGCGTGTTTGGCTTTGATACCATTCTGTTGTCTTTACGGGAGGAAGTATGATCTAGCATTTATATTTGTGTAACAATTGAACAATAATTCATATCCTGACTTTTGCATGGGCTGTCCTCCTATTAGAATTGCAGAGCAGCAGAGAACGATTCTGTTTCGGCTGGGATCTAGGTCTTAGGTCTTACTACCTAGGGACATCGGCAGAGAGCGATGATTGGGTCCGCGACTGCTTCTTCAGCTCAGGCTGGTGTGATTGACAGGAATTTCCGCATGCCGGCCAATGGGGGTTGGGTGATGATCCTGCAAGCTCTGTGACAGTTATGTATTTAGCTGGGCAGGCTGCATTGACTTCAGCTGGAAGCCTGCCAGTGCCTTGGACGGTTCTTCGAGCTGGACAATGGAATTGCAGGTCATGTGGAGTCAGCAGCGGCTAAGCGTTTCCGTCAGTTTCATCATCGGCAGCACGCGACTGGAAAATTCGCACACCTTGCTGGCTGCGTGCCCGTGTCTGGAAAGCGAGGGGTACGACGGAATATTGCGACAAAGGAAGAGCCGTCGAAATACTAGTAACTTGTCGAGGATTGAGCATTGATCATCCAGCGAGGCTTGTCGAGCTACTGTGGACCATACTGTAACTACACTTTTGGTATACAAGTGGCGTCACTCTTAAGCCTTGAAGCATCAAAGAATGGGATCGCGCTCGGCCTCTCTAGTCTCTATGGCAATTGAAAATAAGACCCAATAGATGTCAAGATGAGTTCATTAAAGCAAACCCCACTTTCTAATCCCCTATGAACGCCTTCAAAGAAGCTGGAGGCTGGCCTGGCTGAGTCTGGGACTGTTCCCACGCCGCCCTATCGATAATTCTGCCCTTGCCCTCCTTCTTCTGCCTCCCACGGCACCTGATTCTGCTCCTCTCCCCCCCTCCCCCTCTTCACTTCCCGATTTCTCTCCCTTTTCCCAATCTTTCACACGGATTCTGTGATTCGGGCCAGCTCTACCATCTTCAAAAAGTTAATTGTGATCCGATAGAAACCATGGGCCAGACTCTGTCAGAGCCTGTCGTCGATAAGGTGGGTGAACTCTGACTGAGTGAAGTTTGCTGCCTTGAAACCCCTCTGTCTCTCACCTCCCTACACTCCAGCCCATCCGATTGCGATGCCAAATTGTGTCCTATTTCGCCGCGCCTTGTTTGAACAACGATTCCTTAACATGCGTCGTTGACTGCAATTTTTATCATTCATCAATGTCTCATTGCCTGAGTTGTTACGGACCAATCCGCGTGATCGTCGTTATTTTACCTGTGCTTTTTTCATCGCCGAGGAGTTCCAGATTCGTGGCTCATCTCTGCGGGGTCCCCATCTCTGCAAAGACAAAAATGACTATCGCACTCTACAAAACGATTATTTGCCTATCACCATCCATGGAATAGAGCGGTTTGAGATTTATTTTCGATCATCGCTAACTGTTTTCCGCTCGATTTAGACTTCATCCGAAGGTCAAGATGAGTGCTGTATATATGGCGTGTCGGCCATGCAGGGTTGGCGAATCAGCATGGAGGACGCCCATGCCGCCGTCCTAGATCTTCAAGCGACACAAACCACCTCCAGCGATAGACCGACCGATCCCGATAAACGCCTTGCTTTCTTTGGAGTATACGATGGCCACGGTGGAGATAAGGTCGCTTTATTCGCGGGGGAAAACGTTCACAAGATTGTCGCAAGGCAGGAAGCCTTCGAAAAAGGCGACATTGAACAGGCCTTGAAGGACGGTTTCCTGGCTACCGACCGGGCTATTTTGGAAGGTTCGTAAGAGTATTGTCGTTACAGTTTCGCCATTCATTTCCCGTCTTTTCCGTTTCGTCTCGCTGTTGCCCAGGGTCTGACTTGCTGGTTAGATCCGAAATACGAGGAAGAAGTTTCCGGCTGTACCGCCACCGTCAGCGTGATCTCAAAGCACAAAATCTGGGTGGTATGTACCCGTTCGCGGTCTAACCAGGGAGCTTGTTTAATGACAACCTATCGCAGGCAAATGCTGGTGATTCACGCGCCGTTCTTGGCGTCAAGGGTCGCGCCAAACCCCTCTCTTTCGATCACAAACCGCAGAATGAAGGTTTGTAGTTCCGCTCGATACTGGGCCGCTCTGTTTTTGACAATGGGTATATAGGCGAAAAGGCTCGTATCAGCGCCGCTGGTGGCTTTGTCGACTTTGGCCGTGTGAACGGCAACCTTGCCCTGTCGCGTGCCATTGGTGATTTCGAGTTCAAGAAGAGCCCTGAACTCTCCCCTGAGCAGCAGATTGTCACTGCTTATCCGGACGTCACGGTTCATGATGTGACCGACGATGATGAATTCTTAGTTATTGCCTGTGATGGTATGATTCCATGCCCATACGCTGCTCCAGACTCGTTATCTGACGTTCAGATAGGCATCTGGGATTGCCAGTCTTCCCAGGCTGTAGTTGAGTTTGTTCGCCGCGGTATCGCGGCCAAGCAGGAACTTTACCGGATCTGCGAAAACATGATGGACAACTGCCTTGCTTCCAACAGTGAAACCGGAGGAGTCGGCTGTGACAACATGACGATGATCATCATCGGTCTCCTCAATGGCAAAACCAAGGAGGAGTGGTATAACCAGATTGCGGAGCGCGTGGCTAACGGCGACGGCCCTTGTGCTCCGCCCGAGTACGGCAAGTCTCTCGAGGATCCCACGGCCTCCATTCCCTACTGACTGAAAGTTGGGGGGTGCAGCTGAATTCCGCGGCCCTGGAATCCGAAACCAATTTGAAGAGAACCCTGAAGACTACGAGATCGACAATGATCGGGCCCGCCCATTTAGCGTGCGTTCAAATAGAATAATTCTTCTGGGAGATGGCAGCGCGTTAATTCCAGGAAAGCAGAACGACGAGGAACTCTTTGATCAGACCGATGAGGATCAGGATCTTTCTAACCAGGTGCAACGACAAGATTCCGATGCAGAGAGGAAAGAACGCGAAGGGACTCCTGGCCCTACCTCTCAGACAGATGCCTCCGCTTCAAACGGCTCAGAATCTTCGACTAGTCCTGGAACGCCGCAGAAACCCGCTTCTTCGTAGTCCCGCCATGTCTCACGCCAAATTCCCTTGATTTTGGTCCTCCAAACGGCTCTCCTGTGACTGTACGACCCACATCCGCTGCCTCTCTCATACACACACACACACTCTCTCTCTCTTTCTCTCTCTCCGGAATACGTTTCGGAACTTCCCGTTCTTACCGTCTGACGTCTCTTTCATCCACTGCCATTTCTCCTTGTTTCCTTGACTTTGTGGTTGGTTGGGTAGAGGCGGAAGATGCGGAAGAAGGCAGACTATTTCAACCATCCCCCATCTATCTTGTCGCTCAGCTCCTCATCGTCCCCTTTACAGACTCCCTCATTCAAGCCATCACATTGCTTCACGCAGGATGGATATATAAGGGTTCACCGAGGGGTTGGGGCGTCCTATTTCCCTGCACCCTTTCCTCTTTGTTTCCCGTGCCGCGAGCGGCAGGCCTCATGAGTACGTCTTTTTTCATGTTTCGACATAAGATACCGCAACAACCACTATTGACGAAGACTTTTTAAACATCATTCATGATTTCAGTTATGCTCTTCCTCCTCATATTCTTCGCCTTCAGATCGATGCCTCTGTGCTATGATTTCCCATCAATGGCCGAAAGGATGCTTCCTTTCCGGCTGATCTCGATTCTCTCACAGAGGGCCGAAAAGGCCTGAGGGTACACGTTTACATCGCAAGCTTTGCACTTATGTCGGCGTAACTGGAGAGTGCGGTTTAAGGCATGAAGATCGGTTTGTCGCTGGGAGGAGTTCCTGGAAATGTGATGGTGCGACGTTTTGTGATGGTGTTTTTCTTGTTGTATGCAGATAGAATTTGTGGGCTGCGCTTGTAAATACTCTTTCCTCATGCCTCTGCATTCAGAGCCTGAGTTCTTTTTTTTTTTTTTTTTCCTTTTCCTGAGATCATCTTGAGGCTCGAGCGTGCTTAGAAGTATAGTGGTCTTGGAAGGGTACGGTATGTCATATACGATGGTTACACCAAACAAGCCGTGGTCATTTCACTACTGCGAGACGTAATACCAGCCCAGTACAAGCTTCAAGCCACGTGCTAAGATTGCTTCATTGATTCGAATTTTTCCCCCTTTTCAAGGAAGAAGAATAGGTGAAAGATGTCATCAAAGGATCCTTCTCGATGCTGAAATATATCCTGTTCCTTAACTGCCCGGCGCCTCATCCCATCTCTGCATCCTGTCTTTCGGACTCGAAAGCACCGCTAGGCGCAACAGCTTGTTGTTGAGCTTTCGACCGGAGACACCCGCAGGGTCTTTTCTCTTACATTCCGTCACCTTCAGTCCCCCACGTCTCGACCATCTCACCCCGAAGTCTTGGGCCATCGCTCGTTCTCTCAATTTACCTCCCCAACTCTTCCCTCCGAAAAATTGTCGACAGAAGTTGAGCAGCGCTCCCTCAGTCCACCACCATGTCCTCTCCGCAATCCAGCAAGCGCAAGCGCGCCAATTCCCACCACCTCTCCACAATTGACATCGCCAAATCATCAACAACCGATCTCCTACAGCCTTCCTCACGCGACGCGTCCGGCGAAGAGGGCGACGAGTCCACCGGCCCAGCTGGTCCTTCATCTGTGAAGCCTTTATCCAATATTCCGCCATCAAAACGCGCCCGGAAGGCTTCCGTGAGCGACGGACGAGCAGCGCCGGCGTCAAGCAACGGTGATGTGGCCAACGAAGCTTCTGCAATCAGCAAGGAAGACCCCGGCGAACCCTCCGAGACTACGCCAGCTAGCAGTGACATTGAGATTCAAACCAAGGGCAGACCCAGCGGTCTACACTTGAACACGAAAGCAGCAGAAGACGAGGCATTGTTGAGGCCGCCAATGCCGGCTGGGTTGCAGGATCCTGCTGGAGGATACAAGACGAATCCTCCGCCGGTTGGACGTCCGGTGCGCGTGTATGCGGATGGTGTTTTTGATTTGTTCCACGTTGGGTGAGTTTTGGGAACTCTATCTCGGCAACTTTTCCGAGCTTAATTATCAGAGTATGCTAATACATTTTGCTCTTGGTAGTCACATGCGACAGCTCGAGCAGGCTAAGAAGGCTTTCCCGGATGTGTATCTCATGGTTGGGGTGACTGGAGACGAGGAAACTCATCTTCGCAAGGGTCTCACTGTTTTGAGCGGCGCAGAGCGAGCCGAGAGTGTACGTCACTGCAAGTGGGTGGATGAAGTTGTCCCCAATTGTCCCTGGATTGTCACTCCCGAGTTTATCGAGGAACACAAGATCGACTACGTTGCGCACGATGACTTGCCGTATGGAGCTGCGGAGGGCGATGATATTTATGCTCCCATCAAGGCTCAAGGAAAGTTCCTTGTCACTCAGCGGACAGAGGGAGTGAGTACTACGGGTGTCATTACAAGGTATGTCCCACCCCGCACTTTGGCTGTCCCATCTAATGTCTGTAGAATTGTTCGCGACTATGACCGTTATATTTCTCGACAATTCAAGCGCGGTGCATCAAGACAGGAGTTGAACGTCTCTTGGCTCAAGAAGAACGAACTAGAGATTAAGCGCCATGTGTCGGAACTTCGGGACAGTATCATGACCAACTGGAGCAATACTGGCCAAGAACTAGGCCGAGAACTCCGGCAGCTGTGGAACAGTCGGCCAAACAGCCCTGCGCCGACCGCCAGGAACAGTGTAGACTACATGAGCTCGCGCGGCGTCGTGAGTCCCACGGGCAACAAGTCGCATGTTTCACGAGTGGAGGCACTGGGTCGCCCTGAGAGCATCAATGGCAGGGAGCCGGATTTTGCAACCGGTTACAGCTTGGGTCTGATTGGGGGTGTTAGAGCTTGGGTATGTCATCCTCTGGATTATTTCGGGCAGACTGCTAATAATCAACAGATGCGCAGCCGCCGTTCCCTCCTGGAAAGCCGGGCCCAGTCACCGACCAGCGAAGAGGAACACGAGTCCGAACTTGAACGCAGCAATGGTTTCGCTGGCCCGTCCGAACCGAGACAATAAGTTCGGACCCTTGTAGTTTCGGCATCTCTTTTCGTTCATATTGTCGCATCATCATAACGTTCTAATGACCACCCCTGCAATACGGTCACTTTGAACAACCGCCAGTTCAAACGCGAGTATTTTTAATATCGCCTTTCTTTGCACAAACATTTGCATCTTTCTTTCCCCTTATCTGCACACTTGTACAACACCACCGCCATTTCGAGGGAATAAGCATAAGGAAGACACGGACGGACGGACAGGCATTCATTGTTACATGGATTCGTTTTGATTGTTTTATACATGCATGGGACGAAATTGACACATCCCCCCTTTTCCAACTTTTTGATTTCCTGTTTTCCTTCTTCTTTCTCGCTCTTGGGCAACTGTTTGCGTGGCCTGAGTATCTAGTTGAATGAGGTAATAATAATAGAGATGCGATTTCCTCTGCTACACTTCAAGGTTCTCGGGCGGTGCTTCTCTTATAGAAAGAAAGGGTCGGATTTTGTCTATATACACTACTTCCCGATCCATGGCTGTTTGTGATGAGTTTCCTTGGAACTCTCAATCGAGGCAAATGGATGTAATTGTGTGGGGAGTCATGTGTAAATAAAGCTGTATATGTCTTGTCTAATCTAGTTGAGCCAAGCCTGTCTTCATCTAGTCTAACACAACAGGCCATCCATCAAAGTCCAATCTCTCATCCAAAACCGAAATTCTGAACAAATGCCAAAACGAAGCGGGGTATCAAAAGTCAATCGAAACCAAAAACACAAAATGCAAACATAGTTTCGCCCATAAGTTACCTATAACATACCCAACCCAACTCAACCCCAATCGAGTCAACAGCTCACCTGGCCTCAACCCGCCATAATCGCCAACCTCGGCCTCGCCCTCACCCCACTAACAGTCTCAACCTCCTCCGCACCCTCAAACGCACACCTCAACAAATCAACCTGCACCTGCAAATGCTCGCGGCTGACCCCCGGTAGAACAGGCAGCGGCGCCCCCGGCGCAGAACACAGCACGAGCCGCAGGTGGTCACGAAAGCGCACGGCGTTGCGGACGAGGTCGCCTTCGAGCGCTTGCTTGGCTGCTGCGTCGCATCGCGCTGTGATGCCTAGCTCGAAGGTGCGCAGGCCACGGAGGCTGAGTACCGGCGCGACCCAGGGTTCTGTTATTGAGAGGCGCAGGCGGTGCCCGCCGATTAGGCTGCCTGGCTGCGTAGGGGTGCCCGGGGCAGCGGCAGCATGGACTTGGGCTGCGGCGGGAGGTGCAGGTGGCGGTGGTGGTGGTGTGCCTGCAAAGCTGCCCAGATCGATACTCAGCGTGAGGTCCTCGAGGCCGTCAAGGGAGGCAACCCGCGCCCAGAAGAGCACCCAGAGCTTATCGTTGTGCGTGTGCGAGTATATGGACGCCTTGTGCTCTTCGCCAGCCATGGGCTGCCAGACGGGTGTCCATTGGATCGCGAGGCGCTTGATGGAGCGCAGGCGCTGCGGGGAGACGGAGAGGGAGAATGCGATAAAGGTCGTCAGGTCATCGACGTCAAAGGTCGAGCTCGTGTATAGGATGTCTGCGGCCTCGCCGTAGATAGTCCGGCACGTGCGGAGAAGGGCGGCAGGGGAATTGCTCAGGGAGGAAGGAAGGGCGGGATGCGTGTGTGGGTAGAGCATGCTCGAGTTGATGCTGGTGTTTTGGGGCACGGATGTTGTGGCCGGTGAATTATCCTGCTCTCGCCATCTGGCTGGTGTACTCGGGCAGCAGCGCCGGTTCTTGTCGAGGGACGACGTCGTGTTTTCGCAGCGGACGTGGCGGATCTTATCCTTTAGCTGGACGAGGTGGACAACCTCGTCGCCAAAGGCGTACTCGTAGATCATGAGGCGAATCTCCAGGGGTAGCTTTGTGAGGAATGGGCTTGCGGATTGGGGGTTTAATGGGCGAGCGTAAGGGTCTACTGGAGCGGGCGAGGATGTCGTAGAGGCGCCATGGTCGAGGGAGAGGGCTAGAGCCGGCGGTGCACAGATCTTGCGCTGCTGGATCAGGTCGCGGACGGTTTCTTTCCAGCGGTGGCCTGTTGAGTAGTAGTGGAAGATGGAGTAGGGGTCCCGCAGGATCCAGGCGTCGAAGTGGCGCATTGTGAGGGTATATGTAGGTATGTCTAGGTGGTGTATATCGAGTGTAGTATATCAAGTATATAGAAGATAAAGATTGGCGATATCAGATTGAAAACAAGTCAAAATCAAGGTTACGAGCTCAATGGTAACAACGTTGTAGATAGAACAGATAAACAGATATCAAACCCAAATCTCAAAAACTCACAGCAACCAGCGGAGCCCTCGCATCTTATATCCAGCCATCGGTCCATCCCTCATCTCCCATCATCCACTCGACACTGAGAGAACCAGATCACCGACTCCACCCACACCCAAACCGTCCATTGTACGGAGAGTAGAAAAAAAGACCCCCTGCAAAAATGAGGCTTCAGGGACATACAATCTAACCAAAAGCACCCTAGCCGCGACATTTCAAGCCCCCAATCGCGCCACAAAACCTTGCGCAACCACCTCTCACGTTTCATCCGGGGAAGCTTTTCCACACCTGCAGTACTCTCATTGGAGGACCGGTCAACCGCGGATCTGGTTCTGCCATTTCTTGTGTCGTTGATTCGGGAGTTTTCGGTGCTGCTCCTGCGGTGGTGGAGAACCTAGTGCAACATATGACGTTTGGCCGCAGGTGGCTGCGGGCCATGGCGCCAATGATCGACCGGATATGGGGCTTGTGGCTGACCGCTTAGACTGGATTGGGACTAGGCCGGTGCGGTTAGGGTTGAGAGCTTGTGGGGGCCCTGGAGATGCGCATGAATTGGGTTTGAGGCATTTACCTTGTTCTTGACTCCGGAGGATGTATATTAAGAAGCTCGGAAAGTCCACGGAAATACAATCCCAGGTGTGACGAGTCGGCCACCGGGTTCTGTTGCGGCTTCAGATGATAGAGTCATCTGGAATGTGAGGCAGTCTTGATCTGAGTCTCTTGAGCTCGGAGGACTTAGCTCCGAGTATGAGAGGTTCCGCTAGGCCGGGACTGGCATAGATCAGTGGAGCTTCACCACCCAAAGCAGAGATATGCAGCCTCGCAATCAATTCGTCAATTCCATCAGAGATTGGGAGATCTGAGATCACGATACTGCACATTATCGCCGTCGGTTTCGGTTAACGAGTCATTCAGTCATGTCTATCGTATATCATGTAGCTTTTGAGTCATTTTCAAACAGTCCAAAAATGCCGAGCTCAGCTCCGGACGACAGTGTTTGCGAGCAAATCCCTCAGATCGCCGCCTCGCTTACCTCGTGTGCGCGACGTGCGCTAGCTCGCTGCACTCCACCCCCTTCTCAATACACTGCCCGCAATGTGCATCCTCAATGTGTTCTCTCTCTGCAGCTCTGACGTCTTGTCCAGATATCTTTGCACCGCACTCGAGTCATCAACAATGATTGTCGAGACTCCACCCCTCGCAATGTTAGCGTGTCCCGCTCCCCGAGCTCTCCCCACCAGAATCTGCATGCGCTGGTGCCGACTGAGGGGGTTCGCGCGCCAATGCCACATACAGGGCACTGCAGAGGATCAGCCCGGAGCCGATCCAGCTAACCGTCGACAGTGTACTCCCCCAGACGGCACTGTCATAGAACAGCGCAAACAGCATCTGCGTGTAGAGCATGGTCGTGGCTCTTGTCCCGGACGAAGAGCGCTTGTTCGTTGTATCTGGTTCCGGTTTGGACACCTCCTCGCCGTTGCTGATATGCTGACTGTGCGGCCTGGACATTGCATGGCTCGCGGAGCGTTTCCGGATGCGCGGTGGCGGAGGAACATAAGATAGTCCCGCTGTCAGCAGGAACTGCAGAAGGAATCCGCAGATGCCGAGGGCGACGAGCAAGATCCATTCAACGAACGTTCCGGGCAGCTCCAGTGGGATGGAAGGCATAGCGATGATTGCAATGGCCGAGACTATTGTTGTGAACAAGGAGAAGTACGTCACTGAGACGAGCGGGTGGCAGCGCTGCCCGATCAGTCGGATTGATGTGTATGCAGAGGTTGCACCGAGGACCCCGATCATGGCCATGATCACCGCCAGCACGCGGTGACCCTGGTCTGCGTCGCCGGGCATATCCCTCTGAACCTCGATCGAGCCGACATCGTTTTCTCCAGATTGCAAGAAAGCAAAGGGTCGCGCAATCAGAAGAACACCAATCAACGCGACAAATCCGGCTGCTTGCTGCTTTCGCGTGAAGACCTCACCCGGAAGAAAGATCGAACAGGCATAGCAGCTTAGTATGGGGGCGAGGAAAGTCAAAACCGTCGCCTCGGACAGGGGAAGATACTGGACCGAGTAGTAGAGCCCGTAGACGCCCCAAAACCCACCAGCGGCGCGAAACAGCAGCAGAGGCAGGACGGAGCGGTTCCCGAATGGCTGCGGCACCTTTGCCCACCACATATATAGGTAACTTGCTACAACCGTTATTGACATGCGCGCGAACAGAATCTGTGAATTTCAGTCAGCCGTCCTGCCTCGGATACAAAGGGCTAATGATTCCCTCCTCTAGTGGCTGCTACCCGCTGGTTCTGAGAAAAACGCACCTGAAAAGGCTTGAACCCCTTCCCATCCCTCCCCTTCAGCTCCAACACCTGCGTCATGACATTCATCGACGCTCCGAAGAACTGCGACATCATCACCAATATCATGCCCTTACCCTGTAACCAAAAGTCCGTGGCATTGCCCAGCACCTTCTCCGTCCAAGACGGTGTGGGTCCCGATGACTCGGGTAACTGCTCGAGAAAAGGTGAAGGCGAAGGTGAGATCCCATCTTGTGCTTGCAACAATGGCGTTCGTTCTCCTTCTTCTTGGTCGTGGAAACTGTTGCCGAAGCCAGCGGGTGAGAGAGATCGAGAGTCGCCTCGCCCAGGCGGAGGGGATATTGACGCCATAATTATGCGGGACGTCGGAAAAGGCAAGTACGGTACTCGAGGAAAGCGTATTCGATAGATAGATGTATTTTCTGTCTCTCAAGCCGGTAGTAACACCTAGTTTTTTCCTCCCTAAATGTCCACTCAAAGAAGAGGAAAAAAAAAAAAAAGCAAAGCCAGCGCTCGGCCAGAAGTGCAGGTCAAGAATCACACAAAGTGGTACATCAACCAAGTAGATCTGTGAGGCAGGGATAAGTATAGCGCAGGTGCGCGTTAATGATGACCACCAAGGAAGAAGAGACAGAAATGTGAGTTCACAGTCCAAGTCCAGCCTTGCTTCGCAGTGAGTCCTCGTGGCTGAGAAGAAAAATTTGAGGAAGAAGTTGGAGGAGCTCGGCGAGATCTCCGGTTCGCGGAGGCGAAATGGTTAGTCTCGCTCGCGTGAACAGTTTCGCCATCCCGGAGAGCCGATTAGAACTTAGCTTTTGCCTTTCTGGCTTATTTGATACTTGGTGCAGGTGACTTGTGTGATGAACTCAGGCGTTGTTGTCTCGGAGTTTCTTTAGATCTGCGGCATGCTGTGACGTACATGCCTTGACAGGGCAGAGCAAGGGCTCTGATTCCCTGAAACGCTGGATGAATACAGTTAACTGGCTAAGCTTGGGACGAGAAGATCCCCCAGGCGATCCAGTACCCACTTTATAGAGCTGGCCAAGATGATTCCGACTTCGGCTTATGTATAAACATTAGACGATCTACATAAAGGTAAATGTATCACCACCCTTCTCCCGCAGCATATTCCCAACCCTCTTAGTCCCCACAATTCTCTCCAGCTTCAGTGCATCGTACTTGGAGAACAACGCGCGTACCCCGCCCTCAGCCGCCTCGACGACATTTGCCGGGTCAGAGCCCAAGAATCCAACGACTTCTCCCCAAAAGACTGGGTTCTCAGGCACACCGTACATGATAACCCGCTTGACGCCGCGGAGCTGGAAGCGGCGGAAATGATGCACACGCTCCGTGTACAAGAGAATAGACTGCCTGCCGTTCATGAAGTGTGACCGTGCACGATTGAGCTCCCGGGCCTCGGTGTATTCGGAGATGGCGCCAAACGAGATGTTGGTGGTTTGCTGCGATGTGGCAAAATAATTGCGCACACGAACAAAGTCCAGATATGAGGGGATGAAGATGAGCGTGCCTCCAGCACTGGCCTTGCTGCGGCTGGAGGTAATGTTGCGAACGAGAGAGGACAATATCGTAGTTGTAAAGTGTTTGAATCGTGCATCTGGGTCTTTCGCGGCCGAGAGACAGTCAAATCGAGAGAAGGTCTGCTTGACTGGGACAGGCAGCGGCAATTCTGATATTGCACCGTTGTAAGACGGAGTCAGTTTGACCTTACCCGAAACGTTCTGCATCTGCGTCGAGAAAACCGAGTTGATTTCGGGTGTGATGAACGAGGATGTGAAAATAGTTTGCCGCACGTATCGAGCATTGTTGTCGAGGTACCAGTTTCGAACTCGGCTAAAGTCACAGCCATGTGCCTCCTTCGGTTGTAAGTTGAGATGCTTCAGGATATACGTAACGTGGTCCCAGTTTTGCATGAGAAGCGCGTCGGCATGGTCCACGATTACCACCTCAATCGATGATAGGAAATCATGATCCCGCTTTTTTGCACTGTAAGAATTAGTTCACTGAATTTGTAATCTGTGAGAGTTAAAGGAGCTTACTCTGCTTGATCCATAATCGTTCGCAAACCCAGTGGGCTCGCAAGTATCAAGTCGGAGCTGTAGAACTGTGTAAAGAACTTGAGGGTCTTGCGTGTAAACTTGAGGCCCAGGCGGAACATATCGTCGTCGTTTCCTCCAAACAACTCGCGAAAGTCCTCCGGCTTGCTCTCCCAATTCGGATCATTCGCCGCCGAAAATGTGTCAATGAATCGCTTCCTGTTTTCTTGCTGCTCGGGCTGGAAGAACCGGGTAATCGCCTCGACCACCCGAACGCAGGCTTGCTTGGTTGGTAATAGGTACAGCACCTTCGGTCTCGTAAAGCCCTGATCCCGCAACTCCAGATCGGCGTCTTGCTCCTTTGCTGCGCGCGCATTATTCTTGAGCACACGGTCACGAGTCTTGAGGAGATGGTTTATGGCGTGCACAGCGAGCAGCTCGCGCATGTCGGCAGTCTCTGATGTCGTTCGGGCGCCGTATAGAACATCCTGGTAGTCGAATATGTATGGGGCAACTTGTTGAGCATTCCCAGTGACAGTTTGAATGCGCTCCGCTACGGAAGACTTGAGTTTCCGCTTGACCTTGACACTTGACATGCTCTTCATTGCTGGTAATAGAGACACCTCATCCACGGATCCGGTGTCCGGGACCGCACGTAGAAGCCTTAATCCTCCAGATACTTCCTTTTTCGTATTTTTCCATTTATTATCTGTCACGGCCTTGATCTTCTGGCCCAATTCCGCCTCGTCCGGGTTCGAGAAATGCGATTCGAAGGGATCATTGCCTGTAAAGTCAGAAACTGCCTGTAGAGAAGAATGATCAAACTCACCGTTCTCCTCATCATCGCTGTCCTCTTGCGCATCTGCGCCCTCCTCTTCAAAGTCCCCTTCCTCCGGCTCCTTCTCCTGCAAGTCATCCTCAAGCGATTCCTTCTGGGCAGTCTCTACGACGTCGTCCCGAGTCTCTTCACCTCCACGGTTATGCCCAGTCTTTCTCTTCTTGCGCGCCGGACCCTTATTATCCGCATTCGCTTGAAGAATCTGTAACAGCTCATTATACGACTGAGGAGCCCGCTGGTCGTCGTCGTCGCTCCCCTCGGACGCATCGTCAACAGCGTCCTCCGGAATCTCGTCTTCGAACTGTTCTTCAACCTGATCCTCCGCGCCAGATGAGCTCTCCGACCTAAGCAAAAGCGCCATTAGTTGACCTGTAAATCTCGGATCGCCGAGCTCGAGACTCACTCACTCTATCTCGTCGACGCGCGATGTTGTGAACCTGCTCTTTCGCTTCATAGGGCCCTTTCCGCGGCCCTTCGGGCCTCTATTTCGGGGGGGCGCCATCTTATGTATTAAATATGGTCTGGCGAGCCGTGCTTGTGGTTTGCTCCAGCTTGTTGCTCTTGTCAACTTTTTTGCGCTCATTTGGCAGATCACGTGGTCGCCCGTCCCGCTGATTTTTTAACTCCGCAAATACTCGGCTCTGATTGGACGACTAGATCTATACAGTAAACCTAGTTAGCTTGAGGCTTATGAGAGATGGGAGTGCTGATATTTCGTTTCCTGCCTAGAATGTTAGAGTCAGTGGGGTTAATAGCCAAGCGAGCTACTGCTGTAGCTATAAAAAGCCTATTTCAGTGACTGAGGGGCCATCTACGATCGCTAGTAGAACCCTGGATGACGAGATACGCCAGAACAACCTTGTCAAGCAGTTCCGAGGTTTCAAGCTTCGTAGAGTCCGGGTGGATGGCTCTTAGATCCAATATATGATGGAGCTCAAGAAATATTGGGTTGTATGATATACACCTCATTATCTTGCAGTCATTTGCCTTGTACTATGTAGAGGCTACGGTAAAGCCGGTAAATTGTTAGAAAAAGAGAAGAGGAGCCAGTAACGGATATAGCACTTGATGATTGGAAGAGTAAGCAATAGATCAATAAAGCTGTTTCTGAGATGGTCCAAAGCCGGTGCATGGGGCCAATTTCCACGGGTCTTCTGATTAATAGAGCCCGTATTTCCAAATCGTGAAAAGTAATAGACATAGAGCTCATGCTGCGAGATTGCTGAGCATGTTACAAGGTCAAGCGATCAAAGCTTATTCCTTTCATCACCAAAATCATTTAACTCCTCCCTACACCATGCACCCCCTCCCAGCCCACGCCCCCAATACTTTTGTTCACAATCCCTGACAATGCTCTCTAGTCATGGCTTTAAGCAAGGGTACAAACGGTAGGTTCCTCGGCCTCTGCAGTATATGTCTCGGTCGAGTTAAGCCCCTCATAATCCCTCTTGCTATTCTCACACCCAGCAGCCGGTCCCATGCAGACGATCGTACTGCCAAGCATATTAGCGCATGTAATCGATAAAGCGGGATATTCAGATCTTGAACATACTCATCCGCGAAGTGTCTGTTGCAGAAGCCACCGGGAATCAGCATATCACCCATAACCGCCTGCACAGTAGCATATTGGTGGAAGATGTCGTTCCAGTTGGGAACTATGGTTCCAATGCCGCCTGGGACGACCTTGTCGAATAGGGCGACGATGACCTCCTGTGCGAAATTCTCGGCCATATCTGCTGGAGTTAGAATTGGGGCTGCTTGACTTGGAGAGATAGTGCTTACTGTTCTTGGCGTATTCATCGCAGATATAGCCGTCCTTATTGTACTCGTTTATCCAGGCTTGGGAAGCTAGGACGGTCAGTAGGGGGCCTGTTGCGAGATGTCAAGGTGGGTAGAGTGGTACATACATGAGTAATCACCCTGGGAAGGATTGATGTTACGGTCAACAGCATGACCAGCCTCGTGGACCCAGAACCGGAGCAAATGTCCAATGTCACCCGTGAAGACGATATCGCCCAAGTCCGAGCTGTCAAAGTCAGCACATAATGCCGCCGAAGAGATGCTCCCTGCGCGCTTACTATGTATAAGCCCCTAGACCCTCACCAGGTACAGCTGTGGCTAAGGTTAGCTTCCCTTCTATCCTTGCCGGAAGTAGACATTCGGATAGTACTAACCAAACTGATGGCGCACAATGTTCCGCAACCTCACGGGCAGCCGGCCAAAGTTATCAATCATCTGATCCAGCGAGACTTGGGCGCCATGGTGGCGGCACATAACCCAGGCCTGGTCACAGTCCTCGTAGTGTACGTTGTACACGTTGACATCGTATGGGTTTAGGCCCCTCGCCTCGGCGACGGCTTTGCATCTGAGCGGAAGCCCTAGGTAGTGAGTTGTCAGTAAATGTTGTGTAAGGAGAGCTGTCGAGGTTAGCACTTACATCCCCATCCCCACTGGTCATAAGTGCTAGGAGTCGAGCCGAGATGCTGGTATAGAATAGGATCCGTGTGGTCAAAGGGCACTGCAGGTGACATGATGGGCTTGGGAAGCTGAGCCAGCGCCCCGGAGGAGAGACAGGCTGCCACCATCCATGCCTTGCGAGTCAATGAGGGATACATGTTTTCAAAGGTTTTCGACGAAGTGTAAAGATGTTTCTACAGATTCTAGGTGGGAGGGATCTGCCATGCCCTTTTATAGACAATCTTTAGCTATATGTACTAAACTGCTTTCTCTCAAGGCCGGAACCCAAAGGATTCAAGCAATTTCAAGACAGTGGCCCACCTAACAGGTAAGATTCAGCTGAAAGACTAGGTAGCTCTAGCTTGGTCAAGCCTTGCATGTTGCGGCCGTAATGTCGGGTTAGCCCGACAGTGGTAAGCTGTGTAGGCTTCTAGATTAATCATCAAATAACAGTTTGTTTGATTCAATCAAGACATATGGGTAAGAGAATATGGCTTCTTCTCAAGTTACCGTCAACTTCCTTTCGTGGAAATATTTTTATGCCTTTCCAGCAGATATGATGCGCATACCTGATGAGCGGCTTGGTTCCTGTCCCTGATTTCTTCAGCGCCTGGGCTTTCGCCCGTGCAGGCGATTAGTGATCCTCGTCCAGCCAGAGTAGAATCTGACTAAAGGTATCTGGTTGGTCCAGCAGAAAAACAACAACTTTTGGCCCCGACCGCTAGCCCGCGGGAGCGCTGAAAAGTGCGGGTTGAGTCCGGAGAGGTTTAGCGCTTCTAGATTGGCTGGCGGTTGAGACACCAAGATCTTCAGCCCAACGCTGTGTACTCTGGATAAAAATGCAGGGTCAGTGACACAGAGTTGCACTCGAGGCAAGGTTCTAAGGGTCCGCGAAGCTCTTTTTGGGGGCCCATCATCTCGTCTGCTTCCTTTGTTTATGCTGGCAAACCGGGACTAAACGTGGAACGAGGGCAGGGCAGCGTTGATTTTGTTGGCAAGAACCAACAGATTAGTACGCTAATAAACTTGGGATCGGGTGACGGGCCTCTATCCTAATGGGATAAATTAGCAGCCGTAAGTGTCAAGACTTGATGCCAAAAACTCGGAGCTTGGGGTGTTGTATACAAAGAGCAAGTCACGTGATGTTTATCTTATCTTAGCGCGAAGCTGCGCACACACAATTTGGAGCAGAACCTCCGCCGCCGAAGTCCAGCGGGCCGGAAGATTTGGGTCAAAAAGAAATCTCCACTCGCAGGCACGCCAAAAGCAGGACAACTGAGCGCGAAAGAGTTTCATCACGGCCTCGATCCATCATCCCTGCATCCTTTCCTCCCGCAATCATGGCTGAATCAGATTCTTTCCTGCACCTCGCCCGTCCTCTGGGCCCTGTCCCGGCGGGGTCTGCTCCGACCACTGCACCCTTGAACGTTGTCATTCAGCCTCAGGTATAACTCGCTCTCCTTTTACTACTGGATGGGACGAATCGCTGATTGTATTTGGCAAAGGCCCTCTTCTCGATTCTCGACCACTCTCTCCGCCGCAATGCTGATCAGGAACGTGTCATTGGAACGCTTTTGGGAACTCGGTCTGAGGATGGTACCGAGGTGGAAATTCGCAGCACATTTGCTGTTGGACACACAGAGACGACAGACCAGGTTGAGGTGGACATGGAATATCAGAAGCAGATGCTCGCCCTGCACCTCAAGGCCAACCCCAAGGAGGTTCTTGTCGGTTGGTACGCCACCTCGTCCGAGCTCAACACCTTCTCCGCCTTGATCCAAAATTTCTACAGCGGTCAGGGCGACGGCACATGGCCTCACCCGGCTGTGCACTTGACCGTCTCTACCGAAGCTGGAAAGGATATCGAGACCCGCGCCTACATCTCTGCCCCCGTTGGCGTGACCGCCGAAAGAGCCGCCGACAGCGCCGCCTTCATCCCCGTTCCCCACGAGATCCGATACGGCGAGGCCGAGAAGAGCGGTTTGGAGGCCATTGCTGCTGCCCGGGACTCAGAGGAGCGCGCTGCCACTCTCTTCACCGACATTGAGGCTCTGGAGCGTGCGGTCGAGGAGGTTCTTGGCATGATTGACCGTGTTTCCCGATACGTCGAGTCCGTCATGGACGAGGAGGCCCCTGCTTCCGCCGCACTGGGCCAGTTCCTGCTCAATGCTCTCGCCTTGGCTCCCAAGGTCGAGCCTGCTGATATTGAGCGTGACTTGTACGTTATTCCCTCTTCCCGCATCATTACCCCGATGAACAGACTAGCTAACAATATCCGCAGCAACAACCACATCCAGGACGTCCTTGTGGTCTCATACCTGGCCAACACCATTCGCACACAGATGGAGCTGTCCAACAGACTAGCAACCGCCCAACTGACCCTAGGCGGCGAGTCCGGCACCGCAGAGTCCGGCAACCAGCAGCGCGGACAGCGAGGCAAGGGCGGCCGTGGCGGACATCAGCGCACTCAAGAGCGGAGTGCTGAGGAGGCTCGTGCGTAGGAGGATTGATTAGATTTCACCTTTGAAGACTGAAGATACCTTTTACCCATTTTCTCACTTAAGCTGTTCTGCTACCACGACCCTTTTTTCTTTACTTTTCTCCTACACACCTTCTTCGCGGTCCTCTATGTTTGCAATCCGTTCTCTTTTGAGATTCTGGGATCTTCGGAGAGCGAGAAGGACGCTCCCCTGCCTGTTTGCTCCTCTGTGTCTACGTGTTTTGGATTATCTACGTCACAGATGAGGGGTGGAGAGAAGCCCATAAAAGCATCTTCTGATAGGGTGAGGGGGCTAAAAGGATTGCGGCGCATGGGAGTCTGCTGGCCTTGACCAGTTTGATGGGCTATGAAAAATGAAAGAGATGTATATGATGACACTGAATCATTTCTGGTAGCGAAGTAGTAACGTTTGATGTGGATGGCTTGGGTATCTGTTCGCAAAGGCGTATGTATGGGAAAATTTAGTAAAAGAACGGAGTCTGGAACCCTAAGTTAAATATAATTGTAGACTCAAAGATGACAGGCCCAACTGAACCCTTGCAGAACCCTCAACGCCGTCGAATGTAGATATGGTTCGTCATGCAATATGGATATCAACCCCAAACCAACGCCAGAAAGTGCAATATAGTTCGCCCCAAGGCAACCGAGGAAAAAAAAAAAAATTACGACGTAACCTTCCTCTTTTTAAGCGCCGTATCCTCTGTCGCATCCGAATCCCTCCTCGCAGCCCTCTTCCCCTTCCCCTTCGACTTTTTCCCATCAGCCGCACCCTCTCCACCAATCTCCTCAAGCCCCTTCTTCCCAGCGTCCTTCAGATTTCCCACCTGGTCATCATTTTGATCAAACGCCTTCCGCGCCTCCTTGAGCTCGCGCTCCATCCGCAAAAGCTCCTGCACACGCCCGAGCTTATTCGGGTCGCGACGCAGCGCGAAGCGGAAATCGTCAACCTTGATCTTCTGCCGGCGCGAGTAGTTTGCGTACTGTGCTGCGCCGTGGCACATTTCAAGGACAAAGTCCGTTACGATTTCGTCGAGGACGCGGACGGTTTCGGGGAGGGGCTCTGAGGGGAAGGAAGGGTGGGGTGCTGGGTCGCCGTAGGCGAGAAGGAGGAGTCGTACTGGAAAAATAATGTGTTAGTATGGCCAACTCAATCCCTCAAGGCGTAGCTAGCTAGCCATCTGGTGGATTGGTCGGCGGAGAACATACATTCAGAAGCGAAGTTCATCTGCCCCTTGTGCCTTGCGGCACGGGCTCTCGGCTCCGCCATTTTCTTCTTGCCTTTGGAATTGGGCCCCGGAGTAGTTATGGGTGTCGATGCTCCTTCTCCTGATGGATTGTCGGTGGTTTTGCTAGGGTTGAACTGCGGTTTATATCCGGCGCGAATCAGGGTAATGTCTTGCTGGTTGAACGGCAAGGGTGGAGCGAGCGGGCCTTGAACATGGCCGGGATTGATTACCGTCCGGGGGAAAGGCGCGGTGAACCTGGGTTTCTGCTGCGATGGTGCAACAACAGGTGGCGGAGCGGTCGTTGCGGTGGGTGTTGCGGGCGGCGTCGGAGGTGCCGCTGGGCGCGCCAAAGACAGGCGAAAGGCCCGCGGGCGGTGAGACCTCTTGTAGAACGAGGGCATGGCAGAATTGCGGGACAACCTGTTCTCGAGTGACAGCGTCAGAGGATACAGCTTCGAAAGTTGTCTCGAGAACCCGGCTTTCTTGTTCCCTTACGCCTAAATTGCTCGACTGTATATTTGATTAAAAAAAAGCGAGACTGCTTGGTGTCATCTCAAGATGGTGGGTGATCCACCACGTCGAAGCTTCAACGCTTGGAAAGATGCCGACGAGCAAGTGCAGCAATGAATCTGAATAGACTTACTGACAAACTTGTAGTCCGCTCTATTCAACTTGAAATCTCTTCTCCTAGTCTTCCTGCTTATAATATGCACGAGCGCTTACGCCCACTCGATCATGCCCGGTATCATGGACCGAAACCAGAACGGGTAGGGCGTCTTGATTCTCACTTCAGATCGTCCTGTCGCTGATATATATAGCTTCTTCGGGATATTCTGGAAGTGTGCACGGATAGGGGAACGACTGAGTCCGTATGTTAGTATATGTTGTGTACTGATGGCCGTAAGTGAACCTCACCTCACTATTCGATTGATGATGCTACCCTCATGAAGTATGCAGTGAAACTGATATAAACTACCATGCAGGTGTCGATCTTCTTCGGTGGTTGAGAGGAACTCTCGGTGTATATGGCTAATGATTTTGAGGACTGGAGCCTATCGAGCGAGCCGGCGTTCAAGTTGAGACGGTTTCTTGTTAAGCAAGCGTTGCTCTATAAGAATTGAACTCTATGCGTATCATTATTGTACAAAACGGATAGTTTACACCACGTGTACCCATATATATATATCTGTATATCCAATTAACCCAAGGCTCATTGGGTTCTCAACTGAGACTCCGGAACCCCGCTGTCCACGCTGAAGATGCAAGCCAAAATGTATAGGTTTATGCCGAGGAGAAAAGAAATCTAAAATCAGGAGGGGTATCTCATTTTTGCGACATGTTGTCCTTCATGCGCGTCAAACCTTGGTCAAGAAGAGAAGGAGCTGGCTGGCCGTTCTTTGACTGGGAGGATGACGATTCAAAGAGTGAATCAGAAGCCTTGTCGAGCTCGTCGATAGTAACCCACAGACGCTCCGGTTCCCGCAGAAAGCGCAAGGACCGCATCGAATGTTCATCCATGGTGAAACCCTCGCTCTCCATCTTCTTGATTGTTTCGGCGAGTCCGACGTGGTTTTGCTCATTGGCATGATAGTTTATGAGCATGTTCCAGGTATCCATGGAGTACTTGACATTGTGCCTATCCATCATGGCCAATACTCTCTCCGCAGCATGGCTCTGCTTCTGGAAGACAAAAATGCTCAACAATATCGTCCAAGTCAAAGTACTTGGCGGGACGTGCTCGAGTTCGCTGTTGGCTATCTTTTTGGTAGCGGAGTGCTGCATGTCCTCGACTAGCCGTGCTGCTGGTCGCATTCCCTGAGGGTAGTTTCGGAAAGCTACCAAAAACTCATTATATGTGTGATCGGTTGCTGCAAGTGGTGCAATGGCTCGGTGGCCATGTAGCACATGAGATCGATAACGGAGATAAACACGTTCGGTAGTAGCGAAATTTTGCATACACCGAAGATAGGTCGCAATCATGATGTATAAGGCAACAACGGAAGGCTCAGAGGTACCGCTTCCGGCAGGCGGGGTGTAGTTGGGTGGAATGATGGAAAGGTCTTTAAGGGGTGTGATATCGTGTAACTGGTTGTACATGCCCAACATGGAGTAAAAGACCTCTTGTGGTTCATCGTCTATGTTGATCCTTTTGGCGGTAAAGACGAAATGTGAATGGAGGATCTTGCTTGAGATCCACTTGTTTTTGTGCAGGTCCTCTTGAGACTGGATCTCATGCAGCAGGGTTCCAAGCCGTTCCCTATCCCCCGTGGCGACAGCATCTTTAAGCAAAGCTAGATAGGTGAATTGGTCGGGCTCAAGCTGATTGCTTTTCATGTAATCCAATACAGCATTGCCCACTTGTGAATCCCCTCCCTTAAGTGCATTGGATAGAACGACATTCAACATCTCCCGGGTGGGTTGCACTCCTAGTTCGACGAGTCTTGGAAGGATGGCAAAATTGCGCCCGTTGCCATCATCTACAACGGTATCACGCATCAGAAGTGCGCAGCAGTGGTGTATAACCTCTTTCGAAGCCATGGAAAAATCAGGGTGTCTCAGATACTGCACAGCTACAAGAGCTTTCAGGGCCATGTCAACGTCTCCAAACTCTGTGAAACGTTTCATGAAACATAACAGGGTTGCGGGCGACACATGAGTTCTCTTTTTGCGCTGGATATGCCAGGCATAATAAACATGCTCGCGATCTGTCGAATTCACATAGAGCCGAATAGGTGACTGGGGCGCCCTAATTACAGGCCAAGTGCTCGGGTCTAGGCAAGCTGTAATGAGGGAAGAATCCACAAGCCCGGGAGAGAATCTGTTGAGATGTGTAATGCACTTTGCTACCATTAATAAAGGCGGTCGTTGTCGGAGTTCTTTGTAGGTCGTCGCGAGCAGGAACTTCGGTAACTGGCTAGGGGTATGTTGTAATAGCCAGAGCGACAGGCGGTACCAGTGTTCCATCTTCTGCTTTCTGGGCAACGCCCGCCAGGTTCCACGAAAAGCATTCTCAGTTTGCGCTTTTAGTTTGTCAAGAATAAACTGATCTTCTCTCCGTAAATCGAAGTTCATCAAGCGTCGTTGCGGCTCCCTCCCAGACGCCAATGCTTCGCCTATCTCATCGCGAGCAGCCAGCCATTGAGCGGCACCAGCCGAGTCATCCCGAAAAAGCGACTGCGACGTGATATGATTGTCGAGGCCCAGAATTTCTTTGCTGACATGCCTGGTAACGGTTCCAGCTGTCCCATCTTTGTATGTGTAGTGATAAAGTACTTTGTCCACCTGTTGATGCACCACTGCAGGATCCGGTCCATGCTTAGTGGGTCTTATGAAATATCGAGGTTTTTCTTCTGCTGCTGCAAAGTCCGGTTTGCTCTCGTCAATTCCGGCTTGTAACTCCGTGGAAGTGATGCCGATGTAGTCATCTGGTGTGGTAGAAATGGTTGTAGCTGAGCTTTCCGCTGCACGATCTGGAAATCTTGAAAAACTCCTTATATCGCTCAATCTTCCATCGAAGCCCGTGACATTCGTTTGAGTGCCATATCCAGTGAGAGGTTTTACTCTCACGGACCTTGTTTGCCGGCTATGGAGGCCATTGCGGCTTTCATGCGAAAGGGAGGAGGAGGCGAACCCGGCACGAAGGCGGAGGAGCAGCGGCTGAGGCGGTCGAAATAACATTCAGAACTCTTAGTTGTGGCGCGCATCGAAGATCGCTGTGAGCTTGACTTTCGGGGTGGAATCGGTTCGGGGAGAGGGGAGAAGATGGAGCGGCGACGTCGGGGAGTCGTCGGTATGAAATTTCTCCATCTCAAAATGTGGCTGGTGGTTCCGATCAACTGTGGCGGTGACCCGCATGTTAAGGACCAACTCTTTCAAGCTTTCTATAAAATTACCAACTCTTGAAATCAAGCTTGCAATCCCCCCTGAACCTCTAATCCAGCCACCTCTACTTGCACAAGACGGCATAGATAGCTGCTCTATCCCTTCTATTGTTGAGATGGCGTCCAACCACTCCTCACTCGATGCTGCCGCAACGGAACGAAAAGCACGCCTCGCAAAACTCGCAGCGCTCAAGCGCAAGCAGCCAGAACCAGAAACACCATCAGACTCCAATACACAAGAACAAGAGCCTCGAAACGATGTCCCGGACGTGACGGCAAAATACCTCTCCGGGAGAAATTACGACACAGAGACCCGCGGCCCGAAATTGGGGTTTGACCAAGCTCCAACAGACGGACGAATTACTTTGGAATCGCAAGCGGAGGAGATAGCAAGAGAGGTTGCGGAGCAGGCGAAGAAGGATGAAGATTCGGACCAGCCCATCGACTTGTTCAAGCTGCAACCGAAGAAGCCCAACTGGGATCTAAAGCGAGACCTAGACGAGAAGATGAAGATTCTTAACGTGAGAACACAAAATGCGATTGCAAAGCTCGTACGGCACCGTATCGAAAATGCGCAACGTGAAGCGAAGGCAAAGGGCGCTGGTGCCAATGGCGATAAGCAGGATGAGGAGGTTGGTATTGAAGGGGAGATGCTAGTGGAGGGTATTCATGTTCGTGAACGAGAGGAGGAGGATGAGAGGCAAAGAGAGGATGATGATCTTGCATGAGTTTGATACCCAGGGTGTGGTGGTGTATTGGAGCAGCTGCAATATGACCATGCTTTCTTACATCTTGTTTTATAGGCGCTCATTGTCGGAATTTGGTCACTATCTGGAGGCGTTGAGGAATTGCATTGTAATTACTAGAAAAAGCTGCTATGAATACATTGTTAATACAAAAGACCATTTATGCGCTCCATTCCCGCTTTTCCATGGTTTGCGACAACCGAGTTATGCGTGATTTAACGGCCCATATTCATGGCTTGAGTCAGAGCAATCCGCTTGCTGTAAGGACTAAGACTTCGCTCGCGTCGAGGAGGAGGCGGTCGATGCCCTCTATCTTCTCTCCTTCCGTTGTAGGAAGGATTCGGCTTGCCTATCGAAGGGGAGCGCGTCGCATAACTCAGCTCTGGAATGGATTGTTGGGGAGTCATTGACCGTCTTCCCCTAGCATTGCGAGTTTTATCATTATTGCTACTCCGGCTTCGATCTCTGCGGTCATCGTGTCGCGAGATATCGCGGGGCCGACCACGCTCCTTTGGGCTCGATTCCCGACGCCTGCGTCTGATGTTTCTTTCCGGGGTTCGTGTGCGCGATCTTTCCCTCGACGAGTACGATGAAACGGAATAGCCAGATGATGAGTCACTATGGCGCCTCTTTCTTGAGAATGAATGGTGAGATGTCTGCGACTTTGCCCTTCCCCGTCCCATATTATCATCCTGCCTGAGCGATGCCGAGCGTGACCGGTTTGTGGATATTGTAGACACGGAACTATCCGAAACTGAGGATATTGACCGAGTCCGCTTCGACGGTAGATCTCGGCTGCCTAGAGGATCTGCTTCATCGAGATTCCTTTTGCGACCGCGCTCTTCTTCACGTTGCGCTAGCAAAGCGTCCGCGGTCCCTTTCCTAGATTCGCTGTCAAAAAGCGTTCTTAAGGATATATTTCTCGAATCACAGACTCACGTGCGCGTAGTGTCGTCGGGGACATCAGTGGTGAGCTGCGGACGCAGCTTCGGGTTCTGTAATTGCTGTGTGCGGGAGGGACGCGCGAGATACGGCCGCTCTTGGGCTGTAACTTTGCATTCGTAACTGTAGTGACGTGAGCTCCTAATGTCAGCATTTAGGATGAAAGAGTCATGGCCAGGGACATATCTCGTTTCAAGCATTTCTGGCAAAGTGTCGAGGCCGTCGCCTTACTCGGCCCTCTGACGCCAGGAGCGTTCCGGTAGCGATTCATCCACGCACGCTTCGCGAAGTTGGGTTGGTATAAAAAAGATTTGGCGTTTGCTCCGAATTCTGAAGCTGGCCGTGAGAGGCAGAAAATATAGCTACCAGTAGTATATCGAAGAGCAGCTTGTTCTCGCGGCTGTTCAGGCAGATGGTGTGGAGTGGGATAAATAAGCGCGCGGCTAAAGCCAGCCCAGTGGCCCACGAAAGTCCTGACAAGCGAAGGTCCGCGCCCGATTCCGTCTGGCTGTCTCTTTGTCTGGTTGACAACTTTGCTCTTATTCCCAGCCCAGAACGACCTGGAAGCAGCTCCACTGGCCATATTCAGCCCGTACCACCGAGCTACTGGCCGCTTGAGTGGAATCAGAGTTGTCGGACCCCTACAGCGCTCTTCTCGCTCCTTGAAGCTTTTTCTGCCTGAACGGGAACGTTAGCTCCCCCTCTCGAACTACGAAGAGTGACCAAGGAAAAGTCATGCTCAAGTCTCTCTGACAGTCGTGTAAGACCAGTCATTTTTTCTCCTCCGTTTGCATCCCTGCTCTGCCCAACGTTGGCTACCCTGCCTCGGACTCTTTCCGTTTCCTTTCCTACATTGCCAGCAAGAAAGTCACTAGTTTTGCGGTCTAACATCTCCCAGTTTCCTTATGGCGCTTTACGTTGTCCAAAGATATGTCGTCTTTCTTTTTTGGCTTGTGTGAAGTGGGATTTCCTAGTGGCTTTTTCTCCATTCGAATTTCGGTCTCGTGAAATACCGCAAAGCGTTTACCTCGTTCGCACGATTTTGTCCCGTCGGGTCTCACCCGATACATTTCATCAGTACCTATTTGACAATATCGCTTCGGAAGCATTCGCAAGAAGGACCCCTTCAGACTCGTCACCCGGCGTGATTTATGATAATGGCGTCAAAAGCGTCTCTGGGAGACGGACATCGTCTGTCCTTTGCAAAGGTATGCCAATTACTTCGCATCCGAATCACGAAATTTAGTGCTGACCCACGAATAAGATTGCTGCTTTGCCCCCACCATTTAAACCGGATGCTGCACTTGCATCTGATGAAAATAACAATTCACAACCACTTGAAGAACCGTCATTTTCAAACCCACGGAGCTCTCTTGGCGCGCTATCTGGCCGTGAAGGTCTAAACTCTGTCACACCCGAGTCTGGCATTTCTGATCGAGACATCGATGGGTTGTCCGAGGCCGTCAAAGCTGCGGATATATCGGAGAAAAAGGACCAAGAGCCTGCCGAATTCTCCATAGGAAGTCGAGAGAATGGATCTCTGAGGAGAGAGGATTCGTTTGAAGACGATCGCACCCACCTTTCAAATTCGTCGACTAAGCCTACGAGTTTCGACTCAAAAAGTATGGCGTCGGTCACGACGTTTGCAATGGACGAGAAAGACTCACTGCGGCCCGATGACAGTGCTAGTGTGCAAGCCATAGACGAAGAAGAGTCCCTTTCGGGTCACGCCTCTGGTGCACCAAATTCGCTGACGGGGTCGGAAGCCGGCGCTCTATTCAGGGATGCGCAGAGACACCGAGTTCCCCTTCACAGCGCAGTTCCCCTGTATACCGATGGCTCCCAACAATCCAATGGCGTTAGTATGGCCGACTCCGTGGCCAACAACTTCGTCGTTGCTAACCCGGACGCCTTCTCTGGTCGAGCCATACATGGGTTTCCGTCAGAGCCAGATGAGAAGCTCATTGAAGCTATGAAGTCTCCAAAGGATCGTCTTTTAATCCTGCAGTTGGAAGAAAGAGTCAGGAACTTTATCCAGAATTCTAAGTAAGTTTAAACACACTTCTAGTACATACACCCCGAAATCTTTACCTAACATCTCCCCAAGGGAACAATCTCTAGAGCTTCCTCCTTCTAATGCTTTCGGCCGACTACTTGCCCATAAACTTGGTGATTACTATCACCTCACCCATTTTGTGGATAACAATGTCACATCAGTCCGACTTCATCGTACTCCCTTCTGTCGACTGTAAGTTTTACCCGTTTAGTACGTCAGTTTAGCGAGAAGTTTATGCTAACCGTTGTAGGCCTGCACCCTTGTCTATGATACATGCTGCCGCCGATAGTACACCACCTCCTTCAGCGCCTGCCATGAAGATCATGCGCCGTACAGACGGTGAGCGGCCTTCTACAGAGGGTAGTATAGCAGCAAGCTCTTCGTCTCCCTCCAAGGCCACGTCGGAAGCTGGTGATAGTGGCAATGAAGGCGATCGTAGTGGCTCAGCAACTGGAGCCACTCCCGCGAAGGATCGATTATCTCTTACGCGAGAGGAGCGTGAGGCCAAGTATCAAGAAGCTAGGGAAAGGATCTTCCGTGATTTCTCAGAGTCGAAGACTCCAGAGGTGAATGGAGATCCCAGCACCGATGTTTCTCGGTCAAGCTCTACGAGCGGACGCAAAAAGGGACATCGCCAGAAGACGCCTCATGATGACAGCTTTGAAGCTCGATCTCAGTTCAACGCGTATTACCCTGGAATGCAGTATAATAACGGATCTTCGCCTTACAATATGGGAATGCAGGATCCTTCGTTTCCCAATCAGCCTTACATGGTTGGGCCCGGGGTTATTCCGAATAATATGGGGTACATGTCTGGGCAGAGTGGTATCATGTATCCTGGACAGATGAACATGGGCGCTGCAGCACATTATCCTATCCCCGTATCTCCTCAGATGGGTACAAGCGGCCCTTGGCAGAATGCGCCAGTTCCGCAACAGCCGCCTTATCCTGGTTACTCCATAAACCAGTCCCCAGCTATGGCGTCGGCAAAACCCGTTCCGGCAATGAACACCTATCCCGTTCAAAGTTCTGTGCAGTTCCAGGCGAGCCCTCCTGGGTGGTCTTCTCCGCCTTACCAACCAGCTTACCCGCAGGCAAATCCTCGCAACCAAGCGCCCCTCCCCTGGTCGACCTACCAACCGCAGCCGCTTAACACAAGCCCTTATGCCTACGCACAATATCCTGGCCAGCCACTGAACACCTCTATGCCAAGCCATTCGAACTCGCACCCTCTGCCGGGCAGTTTTAACAGATCTCACTTCAATCCTCAGACCCGGTCCTTTGTTCCTGGCGGAGCTGCTGGCCTAAGCCGACACCCAAACAAGACCAACCCTTCAAACATGGGGCCATATCATATGCAGGCGGGTCTGCAACCGCAGTGGAACGGCTACCAGGATGTTAGTGGTAAAAGCCAGGAACAGATTATACCCCGGGGACCACTTCCGGGCGGCAAGGACTCGATTGCAAAGTGGGGAACGCCGTCTCACCTACCCCCGAAACCACCTCCTTCCGAGGTCCCTTCTGACTTTGAGGTGAAGCACCGAACTGCGAACTCTGCGAGCAATTCGTACTCTGGCACCTCGGTAGCAAGTTCCAACAACGGTCCGCTCGTTGTCTCCGGAGGGACCAGCCTAGGGCGCTCGAATTAGAGCCCTTTGTATCTGTATTTTGGCATTGCGTCGTCGCTGATGGAGTCGATGAAGAGTTGTTTTATCATCGCTATGTGTGATAATAGACAGACTTGGACTGAAAGTTTGAAACCAACATCAGACTGTGGATAAACAAAATGGAAACGACTTGATATTGTGAATAAGGTCTGTAGCGGCCGCATCGTTTGTTGCTTGGCGCTGCTAAGATGGGAAAAGTCTTGAATAACAAGTGATACTTTTTCACTATTAGCCTAGGAGACAGGTTCTCTAATTAATTCCTGGTCTAACTCTCTCAGACAGCATCTCAACTCCGAGTCCGTTACTTATCTAGTAGCACAATAACCCAAAGCTATCTACCCACCGTCACAAACTCAACAACAACCTCATTACCTTGTCTTTAACCCTCATCATCCCTTTCTGCTTCCCTTTTCTATTGCTCCCTCCCCCCACACAAATCCTGACACAACTCCCTCTGCTCTCTAAACGCGTCGAGCCCCGAATAGGCCGCCAAAAAAGCCTACTTCGCGAATCAACACACCCCCGTCGCGCATTTATGCAGTTTCTTTTGTCTTGTTTGGCCTGACTGATTTGACGCTTACCTAATTGTCATACTACATCCGACATGCGGTGCACTCCATCTGCTATTCGATTAAAAAAAAAAACCAGGTCAAGCCATATTTTTATTCATGACTGTATAAGAGCTGAATGATTTAATCGTTTAAACGTATAATGTACTTGAATCCGTGCAGTCTTCTGCGGATTTCTTCGAAGTACGGGCTCGACCCAGTTAGCTTTTAGTCAAGAAATAGGGAGCTATATGCAAAGGGACCTACTTAGTCTGAGGTATACTTATCGGTGCTAGTGGAGTACTACAGAGTATAAGTAACTTGGGGTAGTAAGCCGTAATCATCTACATAGCCCGTCGAAACGACAGTGGACCAACCGGTGATTTTTTCGCTCCCCCAGGGTTTCGCCCCCCAAAGGATCGGCTACTCGGGCTACTCGTATGTAGGTAGTACCTAGGTATGGTAGAACATCAATGTATGACTTTGAGAGTGGACGGCTGAACCATGCTACCTACTAGTAGTACCCTGAGTAAGGGGTACACCCTTGAAACGAACCACGCTCTGCCCGTTCCAAATAAAATTCTTTCTCCAAGGGTCCAACCTCAAAAGACAAGCTGACCCCATAATCCTCCTCCTTTATACAGACGCCTTGCAATGTTGCAGAAACCCACCGTGACTCCCCCCGCCCCAGATCAACTCCACTTGGCTACTCTTGTCGGCATCTCTCTCCGCACCTCAAAAAGACAGCTATCTTAACCGACCATACTAGCATGGGGCGAGGTTCCACGGGGCTGCCGCGCCATCGCTCCATACTTCCCCGAGAATACTCGCAAGACTTTGACTCCTTACGGGATGAAGACTCACGGAAAATTGGGCGTCGGTTCTTGATACACCGAGGTAAATGGCTGATATTCGCCACGGCCCTGCAACGTAGCCTATTGTTATCCTTTCCCTAGACATACCGGCTAAATTATGTCTTCGGCTAAGGTATAGAGCCTGATCCTTCCTCAACCTATCTCCTTGGTTCTCTAAGGTTGGGGTGAGAATGACTGCAGAGAATCTGGTACCTTCGTATGGACATTGACTTATGGGGACGCTCTTCCTCCCCTGTGTGCTTTGTCTTCCACCCAGGTGCACTCAGGTCTTAGGCGAGGTCTGTGCTGCACAGGGTGAAATACGTATCAGCCATATGGTCTCACTCAATTACCACTGGAAAGTTTGCGGTGCTCCAGCCTGATTCTTAACATACCTGCTAGAACTCCCAAGAGCCACCGGTCCATGAACAGCCATAGAGTAGTGCGAATTCTGAGGACCCAAAGCTGCTCCTGTCCATTTTGTCTAGTATGACACTGCCATAGGGATGCGCTGGTTTATTAAGCTACCTTGTCTTGACTGCTGCAGGTACATTACTAGATAGACCACTCTTCCCTTCAATATAATCTAGCTAACAATCATCCTCGCCCGGCCCAGATTCATCACCCTGGCAAACACGGTCTCGGTATCGCCATCCCGATGCACAGCAACCCTAACAGCAGGTAGAAACGTCCCAACAGAATTATACGCATGCTGCACCCACATATCAACTCTCTTACTCGCCTTACGCAGCTCTCCCGCAACAAACTCTCCCGTCCCCTCGAAATCCCACTCCACAGAGACAATCTTTCCAGTCCTCGGCACCGCCTCAGCACGCACGCGAAACAGCACCGACTCTCCCGCTGCGGCCTCTGAGCGATTCCGCCCATCAACGGTTAGCTCAACAACCGGCTGCACACCGCGGCGCTCCGCTGCACTTCTCGGGAGCGCCACCTGCCCTGCCTTAACAGAATACCGACTCGGCACAGGCGGCGCAACCCCCTCCTCAACCCACGCGCTCAAATCACGGAGCAGCTGCTCGTAGATCCCCGTGAAATTAACCAACCGCGCCTGCAGAGACTGCGGCACGGGACCCATCTGATGATCTGCATGATCATTATAGTACAGCCGGAAGTTATCATCAGCCCGGCCGCCGAGCGCCCGCTGCACCTGCTGCTTGTACCAGTCCGCATGCCACGGGAAGGCGTCGTAGTCGACTAGATTGTCCATGACGAAGAGTTTGCCCTTGATAGCGCCGGTATGTGTGCCGCCGCCACTGGCGGAGGCTGAAATCGAAGGGGCGAGAAAGGTGTCTCGTTGTGGGTAGCGTGGGGATCCGTTCTTGGTTCTGAGGTAGTCGTTGTATCCATAGTATCCGGCGCGGAGAGGCGGGATTTGATGGCGGTGCCAGGTGTGTATGGCTAGGTACCACCGGTTGTCGATTTGGAGGTGTGTGCCCGCGGCGAGGTGGCTGAGTGTAGTCTTGTTGTTCTCGCCGTATAGATATACAGACTTATCGTTTTTGTCCAGCAGGCCAGTAAATGTGCCGAGATCCTGGGCCCCATTGACAATCGTGAATTCCAGCCCAATAGGTGACCCCGCCGGAACTTTGCCCAAGACAATACTCGTAGGGACTCCATCAGCCCCCAGCACGACCTCCTGGACAGTATCATTATACTCAACCAAGCTCCCACGAAAGAACTCACCCAGCCCCGACTCCTCCGTCCCAAGATACCCCTTCCTCCCCCAAAAATCATCAACAAACGTCGGATCCGCCTGCTTTACAGGCCGAACAACCGACGTTCTAAGCACCTCGTACAATTTCGTACGATTCCTCGCTACACCGTCAAAATCCTCCCACGCGCGCAGGGGCACACCGAGCGCACTCGCCTCCTCGAAGACATCTCGTTCGAAGTCCTCTAGATCCAGCTCCGCGTCTGTAAGCGGGTCCCCGCTGCCTCCAGGCTGTACCGAATCAACGAGCGCGGCGGATTTCCCGTCCAGGACGAGCCCCGCGAGCGCGCGAATTGCCCAGTTGTTCAGGTTCGAGATTGGGATTGCCTGGATGAGCGCGATGGCGCCGTCCCACACACCCTCGGTGTTTTCGATTGCGCCGATTGTTTGTAGCGAGCCGCCGCTGCCGCCGTAGATGTAGCCGTGGATGGTGCAGGAATTATCCTCCTCGGTTTCATCGTCGGTGGTGACGATACCATTGTGATTGCTAGAGTTGGAGGTGTAATACTCGCACGCAATCCTCTTTGAAAGCTTCGCAACAGCCGCGTCACCACGGTACCCAATCCCCGCCGCGACGCGGACGGTATAAGCGTCGCTATCAGTGCCAAAGGCAATTGCCTCGTCTTCTGCGGTTGAGTTTTGGAGCGGGTAGACTAGTTGGAAGAAGCGGGTGGGCCAGATTGTGTTGGTGTTGGTGTTAGTGTTACTGTTAGTGTTATTGTTGGTGGTAATAGGAAGGTAGATGTTAAAGTCGACGGAGGTATCATTGAAGTAGCCCGAGACCCTATGGTGCGGGATGGGGAAGGAGAAGTCAGAGCGGCTAGTGATGATTGGTGTAGTGTAGAGCGGGTCAATGCAGGATGCGGTGATCTGGAGGGGGCCATCGGGGGTTTCGGATGTACATTCTGGGGCTGCATGGCCGTGTTGGAAGAGAGACAAAGCTAGGGCTGCGAGGTGGAGACGGTGTCTGCAGATGAAGAGGTTAGGGTGGGAACAGCAGGCTGAAGTTACATCTGACAGGAGCCTCTTACCTGATGTAGTTGGAGAGAACCATCGTGGTGCAATACTCAAAGCTAAAGTATGTCTCATGCGTTGTGGCTGACTGGGTTGGAGGAAGGCATCAGGCAAACGCCAGACCAGCAGGCCCTTATATAGTCAGATTCGCGATTCTTGCAAGATGGATTTAGCCATCTCGGTGTATTGAACAACATTTAAGCCGAGTGTGGTTGAGGAGAATGTCCAGATCCTGGAGAGGCGGAGACATATACCCCGAACAAGACCAAAACCACAGTCTGCAATGCAATACTCCGCACTGGGGTAAGACTCTGGGGGCGAATGAGTGATTTTTCGCTTACAATCAGATGAGAGCTCGGCAGCTAGCGAGCGTCGTCTTGCATTTCACTCAAGGATTTTAGTTTACTTTACTCAGTACCCCTATTATTAATTTGTGTATGCTAGACTGTTATTTTGACAGCATGTATGATAATCCATAATCGGGATGACGTATCATGGTTTGCTCAAAACTGTCTTACACTTTGTATAGCATAAGTACCTACAGACCCGAGTCTCAAACAATGGTCAGCTTCCGATACGCAGCATCCCATCCGTACACAAACCAGCCTGCTCCAGCGGCCAACGCAGCCACTCCTCATAACCCTCACCAAGTAACTTTTGAATCCTCGTTAGAAGATGCCTCGGCCAGGTCCGCATAAACCAGTCACGCTTCATAGTGGTAAGCAATAAAGCATAATACGCCAGAATGAGCAGGCTTAGCGGCCGCCTCTGTTGCAGGCACGCAACGAACCGCCCCTCCACCATGTACAGCCAGATGAAGATGAATTTATTTTTTTGGTGGACATGTAAACTGGCCATCGGCGTTGCCGAATATCGCTTCGTATATTGACTCGATACGCTCGTAGGCCTGGAGGTAGACTGCTGTATCTGCTGTGTCTGTATCGGCGCTGTCTTTGTCTGAGGTGATGAGATCTCGCAGGTGCCGCATTGGCTCTTCCCACTCGAGCCGCCGGTATCCCTCTTCAATGCATGCAGGCGTTGTGGACTTTGGATCTGGTTCGGAAGAGGGCGCGAGAGGTTCTAGGAGTCCGGAAAAGAGGATGTCCGGCTCGAACCTCTCCCTGATTAATCGCACACCCTGGATAACCGACATCCAGCGCTGCGGCGCATGACTGCCAATGTTGCAGACAAGAAGGTCATTGTCATCTGTGGGGCCTGATGCGAATGTACAGTATGTCATGAGGGTGGCAGCCGTGTATAGCGCGCCACATGTTGCGTTGTTGATAGTTGCAAGGGTCTTTGTGAGTTCCACCAGACCGACTGCGCTGTACTTTTGCGCAAGAGCTGTATAATAAGCGCATTTGGCTGTGTCCTGGCCAGTGGTATATGCGAGATGATGGCCTGCTAATGCCAGAGCGAGACGGAGCACGACATGGCATGACAGGCCTATGCGGGGGACATTATGCGACCAGAACCGAGCGATGGGGTTATCCGGTGGATCGGAATGGGCGAGACTGCGCCCAGTGTGGGAAGTGAAATGCAGGAGCAGTTCGAGGTCGGGGGCATTCAGCAATGGGCCGTCAAGGTCTGGGTTGTTCAGGTGTGCAGGTAATTGCTCCTGAGGTCCTGAGGTACCGGCTGCAGGGCCCCACTTCTTCCGGGGCCGGCCTCGTCCGCGCTTTCCTGGACTCACAGTAGTGGATCCCGTGACAGACCTCGAATTGTCGGATTCAGGGTCAGGGTCGAGGCTACAGGGAACGCAGAAGCGGATGCAGTTTGTGCAGCGCGGCTTCACCTCATCACACTAGGTGACTAGTTAGCCTGATCCGTACAGCTGGCAATATCAAAGAGGAGAGCAACCTTGATTTTGCGCTGTCTGCAGACGAGACAGCCGTTTTTGGATTTGCGGTGCGTCCTGCGATGATGCATGGTGGGCACCCAATCTGCAATTTGCCACGGAAAGTAGAAGCAATATAAGCTGGATGCTCAGTAATAATGCAAGCATGGCTGAACAAAGCTAAGAGCTTGGCACTGGCTGAAGAGCTGTCCACGGAAGTTGGAGATACAAGGCATCCTCATAGACATAATCATAAGGAGACAAAAAAAAAGGGTATGTAAGATTCCATGAAAGAGCCTACAGTGGCAATTACAGACTATTCCTACCAGCATAGACAAGGTTAAGATATCCTAGTCCATTAATCACTACAGGAAGTTGATAGATCCCACTAGGTACTCTCCCACAGTTAGGGCATGCCCAGCCTTTCACCCCACTTCCCCGCACAGAAGTCCTGCGGGGGCCCACATCAAGCTCGCCTTTGTGGATTCCAACCAATGAGAGAATTTTCGCTCCGAATACGAGCAAATCCCCAGTCTGGGTATAGTTGCTCCCCCGACTGTGTGGTCCTGGCTGCACCCAGTGCTTCAAGCGTTTCTCAGCCAGTACTGTGCCATACCGGTTTCCTTTACTTCCTTGAGTTGGAAGTGTACTTAGTGTAAAGCGATGTTGCTCCCTTGAAAGTTTGAGGAGATTAGCAATACTGTCTCGTAATTTTGAGTGTGCACGAGCACTTAGAGTGCTTGCCGTTGATTCAGAGTAAGTACACACTCTTTTTTACCTGAGTAGAGACAGCTGATTCTCAGGGCCTAAAACCTACTCTTTATCTAAATCAAGCGTCAGCTCCACTATACCAGTAGTTATAGTGAGCATCACAACTCTTGGGATAAACTTACTTCATCCTACCTTTCGTAGTCCTTCTTCGTCTGCAACCGACTTGGCAGTTGCAGAGACATGCAGCCCATGTAATGGTTTCATGCATGCTTTTCTCCATTTCTGGAATGTTCGACTAAAAGGATATCAATTGCACGAAAGCTGCTTAGGCGAGCAGTGTGATCAACAGGTAGCGGTCGGAAGCCCATTGAAGCCCCGCTCATTGTCTGCACAGCATACTCGTACGTCCTCAACGACGGAGCTCTATTATCCTTGGGCTCGAGCACAGAACTATACACATTTATTTTCTACCATGCCTTGCTAGATCAATGACTGGCAGCGCAGGTCTTTGTCGACGGGATGGTTGCCTTAACATTCCGGTTCTCGCATTGTTCATTGACATTGATGATATTGATCTCACGGTACTCCGTATCGAGATCCAAAAGCCCACTTTGCAATCATGTGCTCGATTTGATGAGTTCAGGTAGAGAGTTGATCATCAACATTGAGATGGTGGCTCCCCAGCCCAGATGGAGGGCTAATTTATGCCTTAGAATTCAGGCCTCAATATCATCGCCCCCAACTTCTCCGAATAACACCGCGAGACTGAGTCACAAAATCCTCTTCTCAAACTTCAACTTTCAGCTGCAGATGCTAGCTACTGTGCTAAGTGGCTTTTCCCACTTATTGCAACGGCCCTACATTCCTCTTATATAACCTAGAATTCAGCACTACGAACAATTGATGGTCTCTGCTGGCCAGGCCCACCCGTTGATTCCGAAATGAGCGCCAGAAGCTTGTCAGAGGCTCGTGCAGATCATGGAGTAAATGGAGGTTCCGGGCGCATATCGTAAGCTCCAACGACTCCCAGAGCAACAACTCTATATTGATCGAACGTCTAGATGTGAAAGATGTCGACGGCGCAAGGTGACTTTTATCTATGACTCTGGAGAGAACCTTCTTATTGATCGAAACTCTACAGGCCAAGTGCGACCGTGCCCGACCATGCGGGCAATGTATCTCAGCCAACGTGGAGTGCATAAATACAGATTCTATGAAGAGGAGGTGGGTATACCAGACACTGGAGTTGCCGAGTTACGAAAAATGATACGAAATTACTTCTTTCCAGGCCGATTTCTCGCTCTTATGCCACCGCTCTTGAAGAGCAAGTCGCTTCCCTACAAGCTTTCATCACGAACTTGGCAAGTGCTAGTCATCTGGAACGAGACCAGATGCTCGCAAACTTTCAGCAGTCATCTGGTGATCATTTGCAACCGCCGACAAGGAACCCCGAGAGTTCGAGCCGTAGAGCATCTAGAGGCTCGTTGCTGAGAATTAAACCCCGCCATATGGCTCAGTTTTTCGGCGAGACAAGCTTCTACCCCATAGTTCCGAGTGTAGACGAAGAGATGGATGAAGATTTGAGACCATCGCTACGGAGCTCCGAGCTCGAGATACAGCAAGCCGCAAGCAGCACTGGGCCGAGTCCGCAAGGTGCATCTGATGCTGCCGCATATGGCCGGCTCGCTCCCGACAACCCGATCTGTCAGCGCGCCATGTCGGCCTTCTTTCAGCACGCATATTACTACCACATGGTTCTGTACCGGGAGTATTTCCTTCGTGACTATAAAGCGGGCAAGGGCCCATACTATTCCGACCTCCTTTTTTACACTATTGCCACTCTTGGTTCTCTCTTGAGTCATGAGGATGAAGTAAGGAGCCTGTCAGACGCGTTTTATGAATATGCAGAGAATATTCTCTACGGGGGAGTACTAGACTCGCCAGATGTTACCACAGTGCAAGCGCTGCTCCTCTTAGGGCAGCATGATGTGGGACGCGGGAAGCAAGCAAAAGGGTGGCTACTGACAGGTTGCTTGACTGCTTCATATAATGGATATGCCTTAGTTAACTGCTGACACTTGTCAGGTCTTGCTTTTAGGATGGTCCACGAGATGGGTTTGCATCTTGATCCGAATCACTGGAAAACGACCCATGACTCGGAAGTGGATAGGGAGGTTCTCAGACGGGTATACTGGGCGTGTTTCATCGCAGACAAGTAAGTCTCTTCCTGGTAGTCTCAATAGCGGCGGAGCTGACGTGTTATAGACAGTTAAGTCTATACTTTGGGCGACCCCCTGGTCTTCATTCTAGTGAAGCAGACGTGCAAGACTCTGTTCGCATAGCATATCCCGTTGACTGGGACTCGCTGTTGGACGAGTACATTGAGAAAGACACGTCTCGAACGCAGTATGAGGACGGTGTTGCGTTCACCAGTTGTTTCACTCAACTAGCAAATTTATCGAAGATCATCCATCGCATGATCACCAAGGACTTCGAGTATAGGAAAACTGACGATGCGACTATTCTTGCGGCATCGACGAAGTCGCTCTATGTTGCCCTAACAAAATGGCTCGTTGAGCTCCCGTCCAAGCTGCATTGGAATCAATGGTCGAAGAACGCGGTGCCGCCATATGTACTTCATCTCCAGTAAGTAGGCTTCTTTCTTCCGATAGCAGATAGCACTCACAGTTCTAGCATCTACTATCACACTGTGATGATTATATTATACCGACCGCCTCGAAGGTTAATGTCCAATCATCTCGCCATCTTCCGCCAGGGATTCGAGATCTGTGAACAGTCTCTCACCTTGATCTTCCAACTATTGAAAGTTTACTCAAGAGAATACGGGTTTGATCAACTACCAATGACATTTGTACACACCGCGGCGACTGTTACCAGCCTTGTACTGCTAAAGCTACTTGTGCCCGGCTTGTCTAGCGACTACAGTGCCACAGCTCGGCAGCTTGAGCAAGTATCGGCGTTTGTCGATAAGCTGGGTCGAACTTGGACGGCGGCATCGCCCATTCAGGCCGCGATAAACGACGCCCGGAAAAGGATCACTCAGACGGGTACTCTGCAGGAACCGATCTCGTTTGATTGTGATAATCTAATGACATTTGACTGGTATGTATTTTTCGTGCATTCTGTTATCCTGATTATGAGCTTGGGTTAAGCTGTGATACAGGCAGGTAGGTCCAGATCTGCAGTCAGCGTTTCACCTGTCTCCGGTTGGTTTCAGTGGTCTCAATGTCCTAAGCGACCCAACCATTCCAAACGAACAAACAATACCCGCCCCTTACGAATTACCATTCCCATGACCAATGTGACCTTATAACCTACTTACTTTGGTACTCGCGAGATCCTGAGTTTGCATTTCTATCCACCGGATAACCCCTGTCCTGGGATCACAATTGATGTACTCAAAGGCCGCCTCCCCTTCCTTGAGGATGGCAACCTCCTGCCAAGTGATGAACTTCCTATCATCCCCAAACCGCTTGCCATGCTTCATGGACGCGCTAAAGATCTCCAAGTGCGATGGATGCCGGCTCGACCACTTCTCCATGTCCGCCCAGTTCCGGTGGAACCCAATGACAGAAGTCTCCCGTAGCGGCTGCTTATCTGTCGCAATGACCCTTTGCCCCATTCTGAGCCCGATGGAGCCCGTCTCCTCGGGATTCTCCCACAGATATTGCATACCTCGCATGAGCGTTGGCTGGAGATCGCCTTCGTAGGCCTCGCGTTCCTCCGCATCGCAATCCTCCCACCGTTGGCCGGACCGGATATGACACATGTTGTCGTAGTTACGTCCACAGACTCGCTGCCCGAATCCCACAGCCTGTGTGCGAGACATACTAGTAAGCCGATCCGGGAGCGGAAATTCATCATAGGCAGAAGCAGCCAGCCGATCTCTTCCTGCGCCCCAATATTCGGTGAAATCATGCGGCGGCAGCTCAACCCTCGGCAGCGCAGCCAGCCCCGGTTTATGGTAATCGAGTCGGACGTAGTTTGTCTGGAGCCGGTCCAAGGGAACGGTGAACCGCTCACACCAAAGGCCGATGTCGTCGCGCCCTGCGTCGGCGGGTAGGCCCTGCCAGATGCGCAGTAGGTCGGCCTCATTCAATTTAGCGGAGAATTGAGCCGGGTCTGTCCAGTGTGCGATCCAGAGTTTTGTCCCCGGCATGTCGTTTCCGGCGGTTATCTTGAAAGTCTCTGTCACGGCGGGCTGGTTACCCCGTTCGCTGAGGAGGTGGTCAATCTGCCGCTCGGCTTGCGTGCGCGCTTGATCGATTCCTCCTCTGTGGGATTGGACGCCTAGGTAGAGTGTACAGACTGTGTGTACATTCTCCGGGAACTTGACCGTCCATCGTTGTTTCTGCACTTTGTGGCCTGGTGGCCGCTTAAGTGAGTGGCTGCGTTTCTCTGGTGACATTGGAAATGTCCACTCCCCTGTGTCAATGTTTTCGGGCGAGAACAAGATGGACTCTATTTTTTCGTGTTGGAGACTAATGATAACAACTAATTCCTGGTCGAGGCAGAAGGATTGTTCTGATACATAATGGCTGTCAGCACCTAGTGAGTGGTTCATCGGAGTTCCACCCCCGAATTCTTCATGGCTACTTTTGTCTCTGTACGCCAAACCGGATCTATGTGATGGGATGACAGCAACTCCACTTCGGCGTTGCAAGTCCGACGTCCCACTCCAAGTTCTCCAACTCATGCTTATGATAAAGTCATAGAGCACCTGCTTTAAAAGCCATCCAGCCCATTGCAATATTCAACAACCCTTACAATACATCCATCACCGAAACCATGTCGACCATCAAACCAGACCTCACAATCACCTACAAGAGTCTCGGCTCTCTAGACCTCCCGATGGACATCTACCTGCCTAAAGATGTCAAGAACGCGCCTGTCCTTCTGTGGTTCCACGGCGGCGGTCTTCTGTAAGTACCCAAGGTTGACGCATTCATCTCAACATGTCCCCTGCCCGCTAGTTCCCTTATAACAAGGGACGGTAACAACTAACACACCACCAGTCAAGGCCGCCGCGACCTCATCTCCCCACACATGCGCCGCAACGTGCAAACCCGCGGCTACATCGCCATCTCCGCAGACTACCGCCTCGCACCCCAAGTCCCCGTGAACGAAATCTTCGAAGACGTCAAGGACTGCATCCACTTCATACGCAACGACCTCGCCTCGGTTTTATCCAAGGAGAAAACGGAATTCGAGGGCATTATCGACAGCACCCGCCTCGCCGTCTCCGGCAGCTCTGCAGGTGGATATCTCACCCTCCTCGCGGGGCTCTACATCGACCCAAAGCCACAGGTCATTGTCCCCATCTACCCGATAACAGACCCGCTGGGAACGTTCTTTACGAATCCGCAGCCCGCGCCGAAAGGGCGGTACGCGGCCTCGAGGGACGAAATGGCCGCGCATCTTGACCGCAGTGCACCCGCGATCGCAAGCAGCGGGAAAGTCCCCGAGGACCCGCGGAGCCATATGTACGTCTACATGCTGCGGACTGCATCACTAGCGGAGTTGTGGGGGATCGGAGGGGATGTTTCAGCTACAGAGCAAGAGCGATGGAGGATTCCGAGACAGATATATGAGCATGGCCTGCCCCCGGCTTATATCCTGCATGGGGATAAGGATACGGCGGTGGGTGTAGAGCAGGCGGATGAGGTTGCGGGCGTGATGGTTGGGTTAGGGTTGAACGTGAAGTATGAGCGGGTGCATGGGGCGGATCACTTTCTGGACAATGGGGAAGGGTATGAGAACGAGGCGCTGTATGACTTTGTGATGCGGTATTTGTAGATATTGTTTCGAATGTTATTTGCAATGCGCTTGCTATGCCATGGTATTCGTCCACTAGGTACATTGAGGTCTATTCTAGACTACGAAACGAACCAAATCTTCGGGAAGTTGGCTGTTGAAGCCCTAAGCGTGACAACATCTATGATGACTAGAAAGTTCTCCAAAATGTCACCACCTATCTGAATACTAGTAATGGGCAACCCTTGACAAATCCATGTAGATACGATCCAATTGACGGAGCTCGAAAACCAGAGACTGACTGAGGCACGAACGGCTGCGGAAGACCGAGGCTTCATTGTGGGGCAACGGAGATGGGCGTCGGACTCCCCCCTCCGAGCCAAAGTTTGTCTCTGATTCGCCATAAAGACGCTGTTAGTGATGCACAACGCCTGAACCAATGATTAATCTAGCATAATCTCAGCCTCACAAGGGACTACTAGTAGTATAGTATCCATACTACATGAGAAGGTGACGCCTCAAATTTTACTCTCATCCTCACCACTTTCTTCACGGGGTTGAGGAGAACATCGCTAGTCTCTATATGTGGCACGTCTGGTCCCAGGTGTAGTTATCCATATAAAAGGCGTTGAAACATATATATAGCGGGTACCAGGTGGGGCAGAGACAAGGTAATAAGATATATGAAGAGGTGGTCAGAGTTGGTATAGACTTTATCTTGCATGGCATTATTCTATGCATCTAGCTAGCCCTAAGTAATTGTAACCTGCTCCAACAATCAGCCGTACACTAATAGATCCATGTATATATTCATTATCATTATCATCATATACAGCTACCGGAGTCCCTCTCAAAAAGATTGTATCCAAAGGAAACTCGTGATCATGCCGATATGCAAATCAAGTATCCCGTCTGTTACTGGTACTGTCCATCTCACTCCCAACAGGCTCACTCGCTGGCAATTCGGCCATGACACTGGTCTCTCGACTTGTTGACGCCACTTCACTCACTACACCTCGACCATCAAGCTCTGGCCTGAACGGGTCAGCGTGTAGCTGTGCCTTTGGATCGTAGCCATCACTACTAGCAAGTGTGCCATGTTGCTTCTGTACCTCGATCCGTTTTCTCCGCCGCCGGCGCATCAACACGCATCCCACGAAGACCAGAACCAGCGACAGGACAACAACAGGCACGACCACAGCAGGAACTAGGACGCCGACATCTGGTGAGTCTGATCTATCACCCCAATTTGTCCCACCGTCAGATCCGTTATCTGTGGCTGCATCGGCGGGATTCGCTGTTGGAATGAGAGTGTGCTACCCCCGCCGAGTGTCACAGTCGTACCCAGATCCGAATTGCCTTCTGTCGTTGTCGTGGGGGTCGAAAAGTTGTAACCCAGCGACGACAGTGACTGCTGGAGAGCCGACTGCGTCGCCGCCAACGACGACCACGACGAGAGGAGCGCATTGATATCTACCTCCTGGGTACTATTGTTGATGTCGGCCCCATAGCAGTAGTCAATCCACTGCTAGAACGTGGGACCTAAGTCCTGTTGTGAGGCTGTGCCATTGTCGGCTGCGATGAAGCGCTCAAGGCAGGTCGTGCAGTGGTAACGTAGATCTAGGAACACGGAGTTTGGCGCGCAGATAATATCAATGTTGTTCGTGGCCTGGGCTTCAAGAGCAGCGCTATCTGTTGTGGGAGAGAAGGGGGTTGGTTAGATTGATGTGAAGAGGACGGCGGGGGACTGCATACTGCACGCGTCAAAGCATTGATTCGGTACATTTGCTGAGTCTAAACCTGAGGTTGAGTCTGTAGACTGTCTGCGGAAGATACCGGTGATGAGGCCGCGGATCTGTGGCGGGAGAAGCATTGTGCTGAGCGTAGAATTGGTGTACTTCTCTCTCTAATGCGTACGGATAGGAAACGGGGTATTGGACGGCGCACTTGAAGAGAAGAAGTTTTAGGAAGAGGGGTTCCTCAGGTTTTTAGAATCCCCTCGAGACTTGGGCTAATGATAAGCCTCGAAACTGACAAGGCTGGGAATTGACTCAAAGTTTGGGTAACACTGAGCCGAGACCTTTAGGAAAAGGATCTACTAACAATCCTCCCTGGAGGCACCATGGCGAATCATTATGGCAATCCTATGCAGTGTGATATATTGCTTTTTGCGGTCAGTGCATATATGGGCAAGCTTTGTCTCTACCCTAGGTAGGGTACTGGCTGGGTGGTGTGTAAGTTGCTAGTTCAGCCTTGCTTCTTGCAAGTTTGATATCTTCAAACAACTTTCAAAGACAATGAGAAAGAGCAAGACAGGACTAGCTTAGATTTAACCGGTACGTATTTCCAGTCAGCAGTGATATACGTTGGTTCGCCTTTATTTATGTCCTACCAGTTCAGCCCTATGTCGTACATCTGTCGCCTTTCACCAGCGCATCTTGCGAAGGCCAACATGACGATGCTTCTGACCTAGCCTGCCTGTCTCGAGAATAGAACCTCTATATGTTGTTCACAGTTATTGCACCAATCATGGTCTACCTAGGTGCAGTTTGCAATGGGTTACTTGGTCTACTCCCTCTTCAACAGCGTGCAGATGCTGGCGGACATGCTTTTGTAATATCTGTGGCACACGACGGTAAAACCTAGAATAAAGGCTTATATAACTCAGTACCTGGAAGGGTGAGGGTGGGTCTTTTCCACGTCGAGCCGGTAGCACTAAAGAGGTTGCAGGAGGATGCTGGGTGGTAGTAGGTCCTAGTTCCGTGTGACGAAGCCAGAACCTGAAAGCAAACCAGGTTCTAATATCAATGGGATGCTCCATGCTGCTATCAGGCTGATCTTTGCACAATATATGCCTGCTAGAGGTCTATTAAGCCAAGCAGCTCCAGGATAATGAACAAAAAGAAATTTCACATAGAGTACAATACACAAGATGCTACCTAGAATACAGTGAATCAATCGATGAAGCTCCAAATGCACCCTCTCCCTCCTCTCCCCATCCAAACCTCTCGCAGGGTATATCTACTGCTCCTCCTCCTCAGCCTTCCCCTTTACAAACCCCTTCTTCCCCTCCTTCCCAAGCTTCAACTTCGAAATCTCCCGCTCAAGCGCCTCAACCCCATCCTTCCGGAACTGTGTAACCTTCTTGACATTCATAAGCGTCAGCTCGTTCAGCGCCTCAAGCCCCTGCTCCCGTCTCCGCGCTACCGTCCGCGCCGTCAGCGCAAACCGCATATCCTTGGGTCCGTCGACGAGCTCCAGGATCGCGCTCGCGGCCTGGTCGTCCTTTTTCGGCTCGACGCGGAGAACGCGTGTGTAGCCGCCCGGTCGCTCGGCGTAGCGTTCGCGGAGGGGACCGAAGAGTTTGGGGAGGATGTCGTGGGGGGTCTGTTTGTTCATTGCTTCATTAGCAATCTGTTCTTGCTGAAATGTGGACGGGATTGGTCTCGGTCTCAGTCTGAGCCAAATGGATTCGATCCCATTTCAAATCCCGATCGCCATTGGCCTTTTTGGGGCAGGGAGAGCATACGTAAAAAGTAGACAACGCCCTCTTCCGACTCGTTTCGGTGTTCTTCTTGCCCAGGGTAATCAGCTTCTCGGCGAGGCGCTGAGCTTCCTTGGCCTTAGCCCATGTCGTCGTGATGGATTCATGCTTGAAGAGCGATGTGACCAGGTTGCGGAGGAGTGCTTGTCGGTGCGAGGAACTGCGACTCAGGTGTCGGTATTTCGCGGCGCCGCCGGCCATTTTGTGTGGTTATGAAGGTGGTTGCGGGGCAGATTGGGGAGGGAAGGTGGTGGAAGAATTCGATGCGTCCGTAAAGAGGAGCTGGTCGAGGGTAGGGATTGGTGTGGAGTTCGAAAGTGAGGTCGTTGAAAGTGAGTGTCGTGACCAGACTTGTTGGACTGAGGTTGTTTGGCTGGAAAGATTTCGATTTCTGTCCGCAGCCAATCGGAGTTAGGCAAGTGCCAAGATTTTGCTCCGCATAGTAATTTGGAAGTATAAGAGCTCAATTTTGGAATTGTCAGGTTTTACTTGCTTTTGAATTAGGGATCTTCTTCTTATCATGATTTTACCTTTTTAAATCCTTCAGCACTTTTTTGTATGTCTTTATGTAACTAGATTGACAGCTTTACTATATATGCCGCACGCCAATTCATCAACAATATCTATACTATATCCATGGCATTGCTAATCTCAAAGCTTCGACTTCTTATACCCAAATTTCATAACTGTAAGCATCCTGATGGTTTCTGGCGGCATGCTCATGTGGGGTGTTGGTGCGAGCGAGCCAAGAAGCACATTACATGGTTCTAATCATTGGCATCGGCATCACCACCTTTGGTAGTGTCGTGTGTGCAAGCGCGATATCAATGGCTTACGCTACCGACTGTTTTGAAGCAATGGCCGGCGAATCACTTATTTAAATTATGATCATCCCGAACACGATTGGGTTTGCTTTTAGCTACGCCATCACACATTGGATTGATGCAATGGGCCTGCGAGACTGTTTCATTTCGGTGTCTTTGACCTCATTCTTCTGCACTTATACCTTCCTTGCAGTCGTTTCCGGGGGAGTCCTGGCGACGACTGTCTGCGAAGAGATACTGGCACTTCGTTAGTCTGCAGAGCGAGGCAGCAGTGGCTAGTTCCTAGGGCCTTCGGCGAGTTACGCTGAGAACAATGGCTGGCACAACATTGGTGCTGCTGGCACTTGGGCATCGCAGTAGGGCGAGAGGCAGCTTATGCAGCCGGCTAGCAATAGTCGGGAATGCTTTCCACGATCACCATATCTAGTTATCGTAGGGGATGACGATTTTTTTTCTATACTGTTGAAGTCGCACTCGTGTCAAACGGTTGAAGCACCATATATTAGCCCTAACTTTAATGGCTCTTGTATACCACTGGCGATTACGACGTCTGCCAACCATGGAGGTCTGAATCATACCTTATGCGTCACTCTCCATATATTAATTTTCGCAAATAAATCCCTTGCATAGCAGAAATCTAATCAGAAGTAGCATGCTGGCTGTCCCATAGGGATGGCATGATCCGTTACATAATCCTAGCAGTACTAAAGCAGCGGCAGTAATGACCCGAAAAGGAAATACCACCACCCTAGATCCGTCCAGCTCCACTCCACATCCTCAAAGTTCAAGGTCCGCGAACGCAAAGTGAACGACAGTCAAAAGTTGAACCCTTTATACAACTCTAATCATGGGTTTCTTCGCCGGCTTCGTACGTTAACCTCCTTGTCTGCGTGATCCCCATGGACGGTGCACGATAGTCAATAAGTTAGCTAATTGGTGACGGGAAAAACTAGTTCAGCGGCTTCGCCCTCACAACATCAATGCTCTACCTCACAATCCAAGTACACAAGTCCAATCGTCTTGCGCAGAAACAAGCGATACGCGAACAAACACAGGCGATCAGTTACCTTGCGCTATCGAGGGGCGCGTATGACCGGCGGTTGCTTCCAGCGGATAGAGATGCGGAGGAAGTGTCGGCGCAAGTTATGGGCGTGGGCGGCGCATCTGGAACGGGCATGAGGGATCAACTTAAGCACCAGTGGAATGAGGAGGTGCGGAAGCTGGCGAGGAAGGCGTATGAGAGTCGGTGGGAGGATGTGCGGGATACGGCTGTGGAGGGCTGGAAGGGGGTTCGGAGGTTGGTTAAGAGGGAGTGATGGAGGATGAATTCTGTTGATTCTTCTTTCTGCTCTCTAATGATTTTTGTGTTTTGTTTGACCTTTAAAATCTGGGCTGTGGCTCTGGATGCGGACGTGCGGCTTTTATTCTGATACCCTTGCATTGTGTATTGGCATTTCTGGCGTCGGTTTCTATTCTGTCTAGTTCTTCTGTCTGTAAAATAGCATACAGTTATATGGCCGTGGTATCTTTTGAGTATAAATATCCTTAGAAACTGAGCCCCGACCCATGGCCAAAGGGCGCGGGAAATGATCCCGAGTACAGAACTGCGAGTACTAAGTACTGAGGCATAGGCATATCAATCTGGAAAGGCGGGATATGCCATTCCGTGTCCGTAGGGAGTCGCTAGGCAAGTATTGAGGGACAAGACTCAGCCTCAATTCACCGTGGTAATGACCGGAAAAGTAGAGCAATGCTGACAAGTTCAGTTCAGCCTGCTGTATTCACAGTAGACTGAGTAGCGGTGCTCAGACTGTCATCCTCACTCCAGATATCCTTGCTCTCGGCCTCCATAGTCCGCATAGCTTGCGCAATATCCTCCAACTTGGCCACCACATCCAATACGCTATTATTGACTCGATCAAAATACCGATCATTAGCCTCGCGCCTCTCCCGCGCAAGCTGAATGTCCTTTTCCGTTTCCTCATCTAGATTGCGAGCCGAGTCTTCAGCTTCTCCGGATGTATCACCCGTCGCCCGCGGCTCTTTCTTTGGTGTCGAAGGTCTCTTCGTAGCCGTTCTCGATTCAGAGCCCTCATCATCAGCTTCACCCCGCGCCCAGGCCTGTGCAAGACGAAGATGCTTCATCCGGAGGTCTTCCAATGCTTCGGAGTGTTTTTCTCCAAAGACGTGTCCGCGAGCAGCTGCGCTGACTTCCACATCGGAAAGAGCACTTTGCATCTCCTCCCACAAAGCATCCGAGCCATCTACCTCACCCCGCGACTGGGTGCGGGACAGAAACGGCGAGAGACCTGATGTGTCCAGGGGTTTGGGCGAGGAGCGTCTGCGGTGTAGAAGGGGAACCGACGGAGCAGGCTGGCTAATTCCCGGAGTCACAACCGTAGGTATGGGCGGTTGAAGAGAGAGGTTCGATGCATTATGTGATGGCGGGCCCTGGAAAAGAGCAGGAGGGGGAAGACGCTGAGAGTTCACCTTTTTCAAGGTGTCTAGATTGGAATTTGTATCCATGTAGTTGAAGTGCAACTGACAGTGCGATCCCTTCACATTCTAGTCGGTATAAGAGCTTTGCTGAACAGGTAGAGACTGCCGCTGTAGAGCATGAACAACGCGAAATGGAGACTGTTATCGTTATCGTGCTTGTTATCGCTATCGCCAGTATTATCAGCGACGGATTACGTGGTTTCTCCGATCCGGGGCCCTCGACCTTCGTGACTGGTCACCCACTCGCCGCCCTCGCTTAGCTGCCCACAGCAGAACATTTTCGCCCTCCCCGAACCGCAGGCCGTGAGAGGAATCGTTCGACCCTTCGACTTTCGACAACCATCCATCCAGCCGTTCGGCACATATCCATCAGTCGGTAAGTGTTCAACTTGTTCTTTCTCGTCGCCGTCGAATTTCAGCACAGGAACACCATCCTCCTTTTCGCTCGAAAATCCCACAACGCGCGTCCATCGAATCCCGCTCTGAATCGAGATCGCACCACCACCTGCAAAATCCATACCACAAATCTACATCACAACCACGAGAAGTTTCTTGCGATACACGTTTCTAACGCATTTATTCTGCGCAGTTTACCGTCCATTCGATCATAATCCGACAAGATGGGTAAGGGACAGCCTAGAGGATTAAACGCCGCCCGCAAGCTCGCGACCACCCGCCGCGAGAACCGCTGGGCCGATCTGCACTACAAGAAGCGCCTCCTCGGTACCGCCTACAAGTCCTCCCCCTTCGGTGGTGCTTCCCACGCCAAGGGTATCGTCCTTGAGAAGGTCGGTGTTGAGGCCAAGCAGCCCAACTCCGCCATTCGCAAGTGTGTCAAGGTCCAGCTTATCAAGAACGGCAAGAAGGTCACTGCTTTCGGTGGGTGCCCTCTCTCTTATATCTTTATATGCGATAGTGTATTCGGATGGAACAACAACTCGGAGGAAGCTGGATATTGAATTTGGCACGGAATGATTGAAATGATTATTCAACTAACGAGACACACAGTCCCCAACGACGGTTGCTTGAACTTCATCGATGAGAACGACGAGGTTCTCCTTGCCGGTTTCGGTCGCAAGGGCAAGGCCAAGGGTGATATTCCCGGTGTCCGTTTCAAGGTCGTCAAGGTTTCCGGTGTCGGTCTGATGGCTCTGTGGAAGGAGAAGAAGGAGAAGCCCCGTTCGTAAACAGCTTCACGGCGAAGAAGGAAGACGAGTGGTTGCGTTGGTGTGGCAGGAAATGATATCCGAAGAAATCGGGGCCCCGTTCCATTGAACATTGGGAGGCATGATCTATGGAGCTGGAAGTTATGGTTCAGGATGGATGACCCTGCAAAACACCATTGCAGATACAACGATTGATATACTTCACAAAAAACGGCGCCATGATTTATTTTCTTTGGGAAGGGCCCTAAAATCAAGAAATTCTTCAAATCCTGCCTTGCGGTTCCGTGGATCGTAGAACTTTGCCAAGTTATGGTGTTTATTCGTCAAACCAATCCTTTTGAGATTTAGGAAATAGGCCATGTGTTGATTGTTCTATCTCAAATCATTCGGTTTAATCAAATCCTGATCTTGTCTGCAGTCCCAGATTCAAAACGCCTCTATTTCCATTTTACCAGTCCCGAGAATTAATCTTGAACCCGTGCAGAGTATAACGTCATGACATGCTTTTATTATTTTTGATATTCCTTTGCATACTCCCTTTTAAAAACTAATGTCCTCCTTGCGATAGTGATCAGACACAATACGGTAAAGATATGATGGTGCATGTCCACCCCTGCAAAATCACGTTAGTTACTGAAGATAATTGGGAATGTAGGGAAACTCACAGGTTCGTGATGTATAGATCAACCAGCTCGGCGGGGACATAGTCGTACAGCGGATTCTGGACGTCGATTTGCTCGACTAGATCACCATCCTCGTAGCCTATGACCTTGCTTGAATCGCCATATTCTATTAACGACTCGAAGTCGAACGGATAGACCGGGCTGAGCTTGTAAACGCCGCTAACGACCACAACGGGGGTCTGGTGGACCTTTGCTGCGCGAGCGATAACACGGGTACCTGCAGAGGCGACAAGACCGCCGTTGGCCAGCACAGAGTGTGTACCGAGGATGACCTTGTTCACGCGAGACATGAGGGCGAAAACAGCCGAGTCGGGGATCAGGATGACGGTGATGCCGTGGGCAATCAAGGGTTTCTGGAAGGATTCGGTGCTGAGCAGCTCATCGTCGTTGGGGGCTGTTCCGCTCACGGTGGCGTGTGTTGCTTCGTGGTTGTTGGGGTATGATTCGGCGTGGATAACAGTGAACTTCCGCTTGGCTGCGGCTTTGAGGAGGAATTTCTGCACGGTCGTCGACGAGGTGTGTGTGAGGATGATTTCGTTCGAGTGGATGTGATCAAGCGCGTAGGCTGCAATTTGGTCGTCGACTTGGCCGAGTTCGTCAATGATCTCATTGATTCCGTCTAACACCTCGGCGCGGATATCTTTATTCTGAGGGTGTCCTGGTAAGCGTCCGGACGGTGAGGCGGATACCGGTGAGCCAGGTAGTGAGTTCTCGGATTCTGGTTGAGAAAGAAGACTGAACATGGAGATTGGGTGAGCTGCCAACGACGACAAGGGCTTTGAGGCAGAACCGTCATGTCGTCCGTACAAGGCCTCGGATGGGTCTGCAACGTGAGTCAACGAACGACGCTTGAAATCTGTCAAGAAAGCGAAAACTCACCGTGTTCTGCGCGAGGAGTCTGCGGCTGGCTTTCAGAGCCTGCTTCACTCAAGCTAAAGTCCCCGTCGCGGTCATCCTCTGCCTCGTCACGGATTAAACCAAGCACACGTCGGACAATGTTTCCAACTACCATCTCCCTGGGCTGCGCAGCTATCAACCGCCTGCCCACGCTTTGAACCCGCTCAATGAGTTTGGAGGCATCGCTCGTCCTGCAGGCGGAGATAACACTACGGAGGAGGTAAGCAGTCGCGGTCGCGCATGATCTAGAGTGTCGGATCTGTCTTCGTTTGAGCAGTCTTTTTGCGGGTTAGTACTGTAAGGCGCAAGGTCCATGGATAGCTCGACGTACGAAATCAGATTGTCAATGGAAGTGTCGATGGGATTTGTTTTCAGAGACTTCAAAAATGAAGCCAATCCAGGTGTCAACGGAGCTGAAGGGGGCGGCATGGTGTCTTTCTCGTGCAGGTGATACTTCTGCTGGGCATCAGTTACCAAGACTAATGAGTCAACAGCGACGACACGGGATATTTTCCTCGTACAACGTACCTGTGACCCCTCCGGGGGATTTTTCTGGGGCGCGAAGAGTTGCCGAGTTCAGAAAGCAGTTGGAAGCACTTGTGGGGTCGAGAAAGCGTGATTTTGTTGCAGAGGGGTAATTTCTTTTGAGGCGCGTGGGATGTGATGAGCAAAAGTGGAGGGAGTTTTTGGCTTTGCCCGCCTTTCCAGCTGGAGCTGCGGTGCTTGGCCCCAACAGTTCACTTGATACAAGTCGCTCCATTCCGTCTTCCACTGCCGACGCCCATCCTTACTCCTCCTTATCGCCTGCTCCCGTCGGTTTGAGCTGTTTCGGTGCTCTTCCGTCCTATATTGCCTTCCATCCTCTTTCCCTACGTCTTTGCTTCCTCGCATCTCTGGTTGTCAGCTTGAAACACTCGATCTCCCGGCTGTTCTCCGGTCCGCTCGTGAAGTCAGGGCTAAGAGGAGCGGTGGTTCTTGAAGCACGGGCTGTCAACTGGCGCATTGAGGTTAGTACATGCTGATACCCCCTCGTTTTGTCTTATTCTTTGCCGTATCCCTCGTGGCCTCTCTCAACCTGCCGGTTGCCTTCTTCCCTAACCTCGGAATTGCCCGGTGATCGCTGACGTTCGCAACCCACGCCAGACATCTGCGCCAGCCCAGACACCCTGTGAACCGCGTTGGAAGATGAACTCACTGAATATCCTTTCGTCTCGAGTCATTGGCCAGTCTTCGAATCCGAAGCGTAATCGCCAGCGATCTCGTTCTCAAGGGGACATTGCCCCCGTGATTGCCCCGGGCGATCTTGCGAAGTTCCGGTCCTACAGCGAAAGCAACTTCCACGCAACCGATGCCAACGAAAAGCCCAATGGGGACCTGTCCCATGCGCATGATGTCGACCACGATGAGCACACGTTGAACGAAAAGACACCATTAATACGAGGACTTCAAAAGGATCAATCACTTGCTACAAGGAGCTCATTGGGCTTAATTGCGCGGCGGCTGCTTGAGGCGGTTACCGAGACAATCAAGTTCATCTTGGAGACATTGGCCGCGCCCGGCGTTTATGTAGCTCAATGCTTTCGAGATGAGACGGGGACCTACTCGGCTATTACGCCGGTACGGAAGCTTAAACGCTCTATATCCGGCTCTTCAGCAGACAATCCCGATACGCCGAGCAAGACTTCTACTCCTACCGAAAGTAAACGCCGGCCCAGCTCTACGAGAAAATTGAGGAATCACTCGTCGCGGGAATCCATTGCCTCGAGTACTTCCGAGTCGGAAGGGGATCGTCGGGCGATGAAGGGACTTACGAGCAGTCGACCGCGCGCCTCGAAGAAGACGCCGAACCAAGACTCCTTGGATGGAGCTACTCCGCGAAGGTCAATCCGAATCAAGTTAAACAATGAGGAAGCTCTCCAGAGACAAAGACAACGTCGAGCGCGGAGTGCCGACCTTGATCATTCGTCACGGAGCGGATCTCAAGACACCGTCGACCCAGAAAGTCTAAAGTCCCCACCGTCTTCGTCTGTACACAGGGTCACGCGATACCCTCACTCTCCAGTACCCCCTCGGCCACTAATCCCTTCTCGTTTACCGTCGTACACAGCTACCGGGCGAAATGCCGCCAGGCTTCCGCAGAAAACGCTCGTCTTAGACCTGGACGAGACTTTGATTCATTCTCTCGCCAAAGGCGGCCGCATGTCCAGCGGCCACATGGTTGAAGTGAAGCTAGCAACGCCGATGACAACTGCGCTAGCCCCAGGCGCACCCCCTACGACCGTCGGACCTCAGCATCCTATTTTATATTACGTACACAAACGACCTCACTGTGACGATTTCCTCCGCAAGGTCTGCAAATGGTACAAGCTCGTTGTCTTCACCGCAAGCGTACAAGAGTACGCTGACCCAGTCATCGACTGGCTGGAGCAGGAGCGAAAGTACTTTCAAGCGCGGTATTATCGCCAGCACTGCACGTTTCGAAATGGCGCCTATATCAAGGACCTGAGCTCAGTCGAACCAGACTTGAGCCAAGTCATGATACTCGATAACAGTCCTATGAGCTATATCTTCCATGAAGGTGAGTTAAATCTGGTCTCGCCTCGCGGCATCCGCCTGCTAATGTAGATCCCCTAGATAATGCCATTCCGATCGAGGGCTGGATCAACGACCCAACAGACAACGGCCTACTCCATCTAATCCCCATCCTAGAAGCTCTGCAGTACGTCACGGACGTCCGAGCATTCCTAGCGTTACGTAGAGGGGAGGCTGACGCCTTATAATTCGGGGGATAGTCTTTCCTCCACTCGCGTGGAGGAATACTCTTTTACCTACTTTATACACGACCGATATCCCGCGCTTCGCGATGTCCATCTAATGCATTCATACATCCTCTCCTCCATGGCCTCCCTGTAAAGAAGGCGTTCATACTCCATTGCAATCCATGCCACTTCGCTTCCAGCATGACAACAGGTGGTTACCTAGCATTACTCTTAACCTTATATCCTTATTCTTATCATTACCCACACGCCACCATACCCCTCTTCAACTGAACTACCTACTATTGTTTACATTAATTATTTTTGTTTTCTCCTCTTTTCTCATCTCTTACCTCTCTCGTCCATATCTTCTCATCTCTTCTATCCTGCGATACTCAGCACGTCCCGATTACTTAGACGATGTAATGAATTCGAAGTCAAAGTGTCTCAGGAACCGTTTAGTCGATCTTTATGAACCGAATCTCGTGGGTAGAGTTGCTTGTCGTGTCTGGGACTTTCCCGCGGGATATACATCCGTGATAAGAGGGGCTATAAATATGCTGCGTGCTGCAGGGCAGCAAGTCATGGTAGATATTAGGTGGACTGAGTGGACAATGGTGGACAGTTCATATCGGGAGGGCTCCCGAGCTCCACTCGAGTTACTACGTAGTACTCCAAAATATATCGACGGGCTCCGCACTCGGCCAGCGCAAGGAAATGGTGCCTTGATAAGGTATACCGGTATACTGTAGACGGTTGCCCTTGGAAATTAGACACAATTATTTACATTCCTCGTCAGAATCTACCAAGAAAGGGGAATCGTAAGACTTGTTTGGAACGAATATTTGATTTCAAGATTTAATTATTCTACCCACAGGTGCAATTACAGACCCTTGGCTTGCTTCGCATCTGTAATGGCTTCCTTGAGGGCAGTGATGGCCTTGTCGACATCACCGCGAGCAGGGTCTGTGATACTAACACCCATGTGGCCAAAACGGATGTACCTGGTAGCGACCTCCTTGTGCAGACCCGCAGCGAAGATGACACCGCGCTTCAGCAGGCCTGGAAGGACATCTGGTGGTGCAAGACCCTCGGGCAGCCAGATGGCAGTCATGGCGTGTGCCTGGTTCTCTGGCTTGGAGGCCAGCTGCTGCAGGCCGAGCTCGGCGACGGCGGCCTTGACGCGGTCAGAGGCCTGGCGGTGGGCGGCGAAGCGCTCGCTCATCGGCCGGGATGTGATCTGGGAGAGGGTGGTGTGGAGGGCGTGGATGAGTTGGGTGGAGGGGGTAGCAAAGTAGGAAGGTTTCAGGTTCTCGTAGTTTTGCATGATAGGGAGCCAGTTGGCTAGGGAGGAGTAGTAGGATGCGGGAGGGGTCTTGCGGGCCTTGAAGGTCTCAATTGCGCGGCCAGAGAAAAAGAGGATGCTGAGACCGGGAGGGCAGCCGATCGCTTTCTGACTGGCGGTTAGGACTACGTCCAGATCCCACTCGTCAAAGGCAATCTCCTCGCAGCCGACACTGCACACGCCGTCTACGACAACAAGAGTCTGGGGGCTGACGCGGCGGACAATCTCGGTCACGCGCTTGACGTCGCTGAGAACACCGGTGGATGTGTCGACGTGGGTAATGGTGATGATCTTGTACGGCTTCTCCTTCAGTGCCTGCTCAATTGCCTCGAAGGATGGACGGTCACCAATGGGTGCCTTGAGTTGTGTAGCGTTGGCGCCGTATGTCTCCAAGCAAGCAGCAAATGAGTCGGCAAAGTAGCCGGAGTGCAGAACCAGGGCATTCTCGCCCTTCTCAACCAGGTTGGAAGCGACAAAGTCCCATCCCAATGTACCACTGCCAGAAATCACAAAGGGCTGTGCTGCGGGGTTGGTGGACTGAAAAAGTTTCCGGACCATCGACAGTGTCTCTCCAAAGGTCTTGACGAAGCCAGGAGCAACATGGCTCTCGCTGATGGTGCAGTCATGGTCAGTTCGAGATCGGAGGTCCATGGAGGGGTAGCATTGACTCACGCATAGTGGGACATGGACTGAAGGACAGCATCATCGAACTCAATGGGGCCCGGAATGAGCAGAGTAGGGTGAGGTGCTTGAGCAGACATTTTGGCAGCAGGGGGCGATGAAGATTGAGGAGTAGTGGTGGAAGGAGACGCAAGTGGGGGGGCGGAGCGGTCGAGGGGTTTATATTCGATGTCGTCAGGAGCGTGCGAGTTCCTTTCGGTCGAGAAGGGGGTGTTAAGCTCAGGCAGCGGGAGTCGCTGATCCAGGTGTCTGGAGATCAGGCTCAGGCGCTGCGATGTCCGTGTACCCGCCAGAGTTTCCCGAGGGGTCGGCTCTCTACGGAGAGCCCGCGGGGAAGTCGACCTGGGCTTGCGATGGAGGAGTACCAAGGGAGGGGTCTCGGGGAGTGCCGGAGTGTCTGTTCGGGCCAATGGCTTTCACAAGACAATTGTGTGCCTTGTAGATAGAGACTATATAATCTCAGTCGAGAAATGAGTTGATCCAAAAGACTCGACTTGGTTCTTCTGTCTGATTCTGTGACAATTCTCTCCAAATTATAAGCGGACTCCACCTTTTTGCTCGTCTCCTTTCTCCTCCCCGGCATCGGTGTTTTTCCTGCGGCCTCAGGCTCCTCAACGGGCGGAGCCTTCCGTCTCCATGCATGCTCGGTGAGCTTCGACGAGAGATCTATACAAGAGCAAGTAAACGAATAAACCCAATAGGCTGGTTCCAATATCTATTAGCAATCTGTCACTCAATTGGAAAGACGTTCGTAGATCTACGCTTCAAAGTACAAATGTACTACATTGTACTCGCATATAGTTCAATGCGGACAACGCCGTACTCCAGCTCACGAAGCCAGCGTCTGAAACTGACATGTCCGTCAATGTAACATACTGCCTAAGAACAATACGATTGACAGTGTTTTCGCATACAACATTGTCCAGTTTACCTAAGAATCCCGGCCTTTCTATATCTGCCTGCAGTGCTCAAGATCGATAGTACTAGCCCAGATTAGGCCACCAGTTAGGGCCCAGGGCTTCCGGGCTGAAGATCGGGCCCAGCTTCCCCGCGATAGCTTCACCGTTATCGTGTAGGTACCAACGTGTCTGACAGCTGCATCTCGAGAACTGCTTGCGCTGTTTACCCGTCAACCAATCCGATAACATTCGATAAGAATATCGAAGCTTTCCCTTCTTGGAATGAGCCATTGACCTGCTTGCTCCTCCCAAGATGACCTCGCGTCTCGTCCTGGTCATCGGTGACCTCTTCATCCCGGACAGAGCCCCCGTAAGTCGCCGAGTTCAATCTTCCCAGCTGGCACAATGCAGTCATACTGATATCCCATTTCCAGGATCTTCCGGCTAAGGTACGCGCGGCTCCGCCGCATCACCCAGTGTCACCTTGATTGACCTCGTCGCAGTTCAAGAAGCTCCTCACGCCAGGCAAGATCGGCCAGATTCTATGCCTCGGTAACCTCACCGATCGCAACACGTTTGAATTCCTCCGCCAAGTTGCCCCAGATCTCCAATTAGTGAAGGGCGACTTCGACGTTGATTCCCCCAATCTACCTCTTTCGAAAGTTGTCAACCATGGAAGTCTCAGGATTGGATTCACACACGGCCATACGATCATCCCCCCAGGTGATGCGGATGCGCTGCTCATCGCTGCTCGCCAGATGGATGTAGATATCCTTCTCTGGGGAGGTACCCATCGCTTCGAAGCCTTTGAGCTGGAGGGGAGATTCTTCGTGAATCCAGGCAGTGCGACTGGTGCTTTGAGTTCTGGATATTGGCCTGATGGAGAGGAGCCAACGCCAAGTTTCTGCTTGATGGACGTAAGTTCAATTCTTACCAGCTATACCAGCATACTCTGACAACTCAACAGATCCAGGGCGATGTCCTTGTGCTGTATGTTTATCAGTTGAAGACAGATGCCAACGGGGCAGAGACCGTTGCGGTCGAGAAAGTCTCTTACCGCAAGAACAGCATTCCATCCTCATGAACTGACACTTCTCATGCTTCCTGTACATATGCTATAGATACCATAATTCTCATTCCTCCTGGACCAGTTTTCTTTCGAACCAAGTTTCGTCACTACGAACTATACTGTTCTTATTTCCGAGGCTGTGCCCAAAGCTTAGATCCTGTGCCACAGCACAAGAGTAGTCAGCTGTCTCCCAGGTGCATAGTTATTCATTGTCAACATAAAGACAACCGCAAGTAGGGCAAACTGCTCCTCTAGTAACTAATACTCCTCTGTGATGCAATCACTGGGTCCCGATTGACGGAGTTAACTGATGACAAAAGGCGCTAAACCAGAAGGAGAAGCATTGGCTTTGGCTTGATCCAACACAAGCATCACTTTCTCCAAGGATCTTCTTTTTGTCTCTTAATCCCCAGTCACATTCTTTTTGGTACATTCTCTCCAGTTGAGTTGGGATTGCCTCAAAAGTTTGCCCGCAGACTTACCCCTCTTCGCGTGCACATTTCTTCGAAACATTTTACTGCCGGAATCCGCAACCTAAAATAGGTGGAGAGCTTCTGTTCCGCCTACTTGTATCTTCGACAGAAGAAAAGACATACTACACCACGTCATATTCACAATGGCTACAGAGGAACCCGAGGTTAAGGATGAGCGCCTGGACACTCACGAGGAGGGAGGTGATGATGAGGTAAGGTTCACTGAGAAACTCTTCTAACCCACATTTGGAGTTGAGGAAACAGGGAGCTTGTTTCTTCTTATGCGCGCTCCGTTTGCGCCTTCCCTTCGAGACATTATCCGCACTGCCGCGAGTTTATTTATGCTGGACCAAGCTAATAGGATGTCTCACCATTTAGGAGGAGATCGAGGCTATGAAGCGACGGGTCGCCGAGATGGAATCCGAAGCCGCAAAGTTACGGGAAATGCAAGCTACCCTTGATCAGCAATCCGAGAACCTACGCGAAGACAAAGAAGAAATTGACGCGCGGAGTATTTTCGTCGGAAATGTGGACTATGGAGCTTCCCCGGAGGAAATTCAAGCACATTTCCAGAGCTGCGGCTCCATCAACCGCGTTACCATCCTTCTAGACAAATTTACAGGTCAACCCAAAGGGTACGTACTCCTCCACGATCAAATTGACTTGCCTATCGGCATTGCTCGAAGAAGGAACCGGCTAACACGCTGAATATAGATATGCATACGTAGAATTTGCCGAGCCTAGCCTTGTCGCCCAGGCGCTCGTGCTAAATGAAAGCGTCTTCCGCGGCCGGAACCTCAAGGTGAGCATAGGTCGAAGCGGATGTGCGCTTTTTTTCCAGATGCTAATAGCTATAGGTCGTTCCCAAGCGCACCAACCTTCCTGGCATGGCCAGCCGAGGACGTGGTAGGGGCCGCGGCCGGGGATACGGCCGTGGAGGATTCCCTCCTCGTGGAGGCTACCGTGGCGGCTATCGGGGTCGTGGACGAGGCTATGCTCCCTATTAAACACGTTCCACGCGCATTTGAGACGCGCATTTGAGAGGCTTAATAGCGTTAGAGAGATTCAAGCTGGCTCTCCCGAACCGGAAGAGGCACCACCAAAAGTCATCCGTTTACTGGAGCTCCAGGAGTTTATACTGACGGACCTCTGCTGTGAACGTTCCGCGACGGCTTGGCTTCTCTGGAGTTTGGGACTGGGCTGCACTAATGTATGATAACCATCAGGTCTGGGCAGGATGGGGAACGGATTGTCTGATGTCATTTACTCTCTTACTTTTGAATCATTACGAGAGCGACAAGCTAGAGGTCAGATCAGGATACGAACCTGGACAGTGATCGCCGCACATGATACCAGAGTACTCCAGAGTAGAAGACTTGCTGACAATTGCCATTCCCGCTGGCTAGGGCTTATATCTGGTCTAAGCGGTAAAAGCATGCGGTGTCGCAAGCCACTGCCAGGGGCTGAGCGGGACAATGACGAAGACTACTTAAGGACGAGACTACTTAAGGAAGGAATATGGGGGAAGTAGCCTTACTTGAATTGTAGTAGTAGTACTCGGTGTATCCGACGAGACGCACGGAGTTTTCCTACTTGCTGAGAATGCTGTTGCCTTGCGGTCTGGATCTATAATGGGAGCACTGCAGCAGTCGTCATGGGGAAATCATCTTGGCTCAGATTGCGATCCATTGAGGGTAGATACTAGACGGTGAGAAAGATATACGAGATGAGTGAGAGGAGAACAGCAAGTAAGATGGGCCAGTTTGTTGATTTCGAGGGCGACTGGGACTTTATGAGCTGGAAAACGATCGCCGGCGATAGAGTAATCATCACCCCGCGGTACTCTTGTGATACCACTGTTGACCGTTGATGCCTCAGCTGCAGCTACTGTAATCTGGATAATTCTCGTTTTTTCAATGCGCCTGCTCCCGTACCCTTCTCGGTCAGAACTCGTATTTATTCAGAATTAATAAGATCCCCTCTCCAAGCGCTCTTCGCCACGGTCACAGCCAGCCCGACGAGCCCCTCGCCAAGCTGATTGGCTCCGGCAGCGCAACGTCAGGACTGCCTCTGGCATCTCAACTCCCACCCGACTGCTCAGCCCCATTACAACGGCACTATTACCACCGTGGAAGTACAACCGCAGTCGCTCCGCGCCTCAGTCTGAGTTCATCACGTTCCTCTGCTCGAGTTGGTTATCGTCAACAACTTCGACTTCCTCCACGTCTCCGACTCTCCATCACCCACCGCCCTTTTTCCCTCCCTACTCTCCCACTCTCCGATCCACCTCCGGTCCTCTCCTCGAAACAATCATCGCTATCGTCGGGCGTTTATCGCTGTGAACTGCGGTGGATGCGCACGCGGCAAATCCATTTTTAGGCTTGCCTTGATCGGCCTTTTGCACCCGGAGGCGTGTACTCAACCGACTGGATAACTTCAGTGCAGGATGGGGTCCAATCTGCCTGCGTAAGTTGCCTGATCGACCCATCTGGCCTTTGCTGGTTGCTTCCTTAAAGGACGACCTTGGCCCATACCAGTGAAGATACCCGTTGCTAACGCAGAGACTTTTTTTAGCCAACCGAATCTCAGGGTTACAAGTAAGATAATACCAACCTCGCACCCTATATCGATTGAAATAGCGTCAAGCAGAATTGCATGTGATAGATGGATGGAAACTAACCCGGACGTTCCTTGACAGTTATCGCTGCGGACGGACTATACAAGCGCGATGTTTTCCGTATGTTAAAGACCTTTTCAAGCGCTCGACCCTATCCGCTCCGGTGAATCTAACTCGTCTCCCAATGCAGGCCTACCGGATCCCTTCGCGGTGGCTACCGTTGGAGGTGAGCAGACACACACGACATCGGTGATCAAGAAGACCCTGAACCCGTACTGGAATGAGATGTTCGACCTGTAGGTTCTTTTCTACTAAGAGCTGTGCGGGTGCCGAATGCTGATTGTCACCCTCTAGGCGGGTCAATGAGGATAGCATTCTCGCAATTCAGATCTTCGACCAGAAAAAGTTCAAAAAGAAGGACCAAGGCTTCCTCGGCGTCATCAACGTACGCATCGGAGATGTTATCGATCTACAAATGGGGGGCGATGGTGAGTGATACCCCTTGCCGACAACGCCCGGATTATTGAGCCTTGAATATTTTGCGGCTGACCAGGCGCCTCCGCTGCTCAACAGAGATGCTCACCAGAGATTTGAAGAAATCTAATGATAACCTTGTCGTGCATGGAAAGCTTATCATCAACCTATCCACTAATCTCAGTGCCCCCGCTACTAATCAAGCAAATGGCCTGCATCGAACGCAGCTCGGATCTTCAACATCTAGTGGGCTTGTCCCGCAGGTACAACCGCCAGGGTCTGTTCCACCCCCTGGTCCCACCTCGGTCGATCAATCAGCAACTGCATCGAGTGCATCTCTAAACCCGCAACGCGTCCCGTCCGCTACCAGACCGACCAGCCAGTCTACTGTCCCACCGCCGAATGGCGCACCACCAGCCCCCAATGGACAACCTACGCCTCGACCCAACCTTAGTTCGTTTGAGGACAACCAAGGCCGGCTACCAGCCGGCTGGGAGCGGCGAGAAGACAACCTCGGAAGAACCTATTATGTTGACCATAACACTCGAACCACGACCTGGAACAGGCCATCTGCGAACTACAATGAGCAAACACAGCGTACACAACGAGAAGCCAACATGCAGTTGGAAAGACGAGCCCACCAGAACCGAATGCTTCCAGAAGACCGGACTGGCGCAAGCTCACCGAACTTATCTGAGTCGCAGCCGCAGGCCCCATCCCCGCCTGCTGGTACTAGCGGTCCCAGCAGCAGCAACATGGTATCCATGATGGCCACAGGAGCTACCACTGCAGGCACTGGTGAGCTTCCGCCTGGCTGGGAACAACGAACCACCCCAGAAGGCCGGCCCTATTTTGTTGATCACAACACCCGCACAACCACCTGGGTTGACCCTCGACGGCAGCAGTACATTCGTATGTACGGTCAGAATGCCGCCGGAAACAACACCACGATTCAACAGCAACCCGTTTCTCAGCTCGGCCCGCTGCCCAGCGGTTGGGAAATGCGCCTAACGAATACAGCTCGCGTGTACTTCGTTGATCACAACACCAAGACGACCACATGGGATGATCCACGTCTTCCGTCTTCGTTAGATCAGGGTGTTCCGCAGTACAAGCGTGACTTCCGACGCAAATTGATTTACTTCCGATCACAACCAGCACTCCGCATTATGTCTGGACAATGTCACGTCAAGGTGCGCCGTAACAACATCTTCGAGGACTCTTACGCCGAGATCATGCGCCAGAGTGCTTCCGACCTGAAGAAGCGTCTGATGATTAAATTCGACGGCGAAGACGGTCTGGATTACGGTGGTCTTTCACGGTACGCTTTTCTCTGTGAATGCTATTTGATAGCAATGCTAATTTGCGCAGTGAATTCTTCTTCCTCCTTTCTCACGAAATGTTTAATCCGTTCTACTGCCTTTTCGAGTACTCCGCGCACGATAATTATACCCTGCAAATTAATCCTCACTCGGGTGTTAACCCTGAACATCTCAATTATTTCAAGTTTATTGGACGAGTCGTTGGATTGGCAATTTTCCACCGTCGCTTCCTCGATTCATTCTTCATTGGAGCCTTCTACAAGATGATGCTGCGGAAGAAGGTATCTCTCCAAGATATGGAGGGTGTTGACGAAGATTTGCACCGCAATCTCGCTTGGACTTTGTATGCTTCTTGGATCCTTCCAACTTGAATTGGCTACTAACTACGAACAGAGATAACGACATTGAGGGCATCATTGATTTGACGTTTACGGTAGATGACGAAAAGTTTGGAGAGCGTCGTACAATCGAGCTGAAGCCTGGTGGTGAGGATATTCCTGTGAATAATGAGAACAAGCATGAATATGTCGAGTAAGTTTCTCCGTCCTCACGAGATTGTCCTCGAAGATACTGATTGAGTCAGGCTGGTCACGGAATGGAAGATTGTGAAACGGGTGGAGGAACAGTTCAACGCCTTCATGTCAGGCTTTAACGAGTTGATTCCTGCGGATCTAGTCAACGTCTTCGATGAGCGCGAACTGGAGCTGCTGATTGGTGGTATCGCTGATATTGATGTGGACGACTGGAAGAAGCACACGGATTACCGCGGCTACCAGGAGCAGGATGAAGTTATCCAGAACTTCTGGAAGATCGTCCGCACCTGGGATGCGGAGCAGAAGTCTCGTCTGCTCCAGTTCACTACGGGTACATCCCGTATCCCAGTCAACGGATTCAAGGATCTGCAAGGTTCCGACGGTCCGAGACGATTCACCATCGAAAAATCCGGAGATCCAATTGCTCTGCCCAAATCCCACACATGGTACGCTCTCCCATAAACATTTAATCTATGCATCAGCTAACAATCCACAGTTTCAACCGTCTTGATCTTCCACCATACAAGACTCACGACATTCTAGAGCATAAACTGTCTATCGCCGTGGAGGAAACGTTAGGTTTCGGGCAGGAATAGACTTTTGTATTCAGCACAATACCCCAGCTGAAGACTGTATTGTACACAGCTTCAGCCTCGTCACCTGTTCCGCCGAAAGAGAGGACCGGAACTTTGTTCTCTTCCCGCCTGAGACATTGCCTAGGGTCATACCATACCCGTCGAGTCCATCTCTATTCTATCCTGTCGTTTCTCCCGTTCACGGTGCAGGCAGTCATTTTTGTTAATTCCCCGGTCATTCTTTGGAGGAGAACATGATGTGCTTTTTTCTCGTTCTCAAGGAGGTCATTGACATTGACACTCACATGGGTTCTGGTATCGTTCAGCTTGATTTATTTATATTGTTAACCTGGTTGTGCTGGACTTGTATATACTTGTATTATTTCCGAGAACATGGACTACGCTTGCTACCAGTGCTGCAATGAAGATTCTCAGGAGTAGTCTTGAGGCCGGTGTAGAGACACTTTCATCTGATAGATATGTGTAGTCTCTTGGCAATTACCCCTGTCGCGAGACATTGTTGTTTACATGCGAGAAACCCAAGATCTAGATGTGCGGAACACATACTTATGGCGAGATCTTTGTAAGGATCCCTCGCCTGATTCGTTAATAAAAGAAATATATAGATTCGGCAGATTCGGCAGCTCTAAGTTCCCAGTCAGCTTCTTTTCTTTTTTGCGCTTATTGGATCTTGGCTCTATATTCTATTCGACTAGTCACTATGTTCTGAGTGGCATAAACGGACCCTTTCTGGCGATATGACTACTCAAAGTTCCGGAACAGCGCGTACACATGTGCTTTGGGCGCACAAGACCTGAAATCTTCTGATCGTCAAACAAACCCCGAATCTCCATGTTGCACTTCATTTTTAGATTACTCCGTACCTCGTGTTCGATTCGAAATCTCGGTTCCCTCCGCGAATTAATCCGGCGCCAAACTATGCCATAGCTCTTTCTCAATATGTAGGACACTCCATCTGACAGATCACCCAAGGGCCAACCCTGTGGCTGATAAGCTCCATCGAACGTGTCTAATTGATAGATCCAGAAACTCTCTTTTGCCCCTATTGACAGACGAAACCACGAGAACTCCTAGAAGACCGGGAACATTTGATTTGGGCAGCATTCCAAATATGGATGGATCTGTGCTTCGATGCAGCTACTGGGTCCGGTCCTGCAGTCTGCGACTCTGCACTGTTGTAGAATAGTAGCGTGACACGAAGAGCGATCGTGAAGCGCCCAACAGGTCCAGGGCTGGCCACCGATTGCTCCGGATATATTCGTGTAACCTCTGGGCACAGACTCGCAGCCAGCTCAGGTGCAACCAGGATCATGTCTTGCTTTGTTGAAATCAACTATCCAGATGCGATCGTGCGAGTCTCGACTTTCGAGAGTTCGTAAAAGGAGTCAGATCTCATTAGCCGAGTGGCTGCTATAGTCCCTAAGAACCCCGAGGGCTGTAGTTTAGCTCCATGCGGCAAGTGAGGCTTGAGCCATGTCTCCTGCATCCCTTCAATATTCCTCCGGCTAGGCCTGGTAAGGAACGCCGATGCGGACGGTGTAGCTAAATAATAACCTCAAATTGGCTTGGCCTCCTTATCTGGTGTTACTCTGTCTCAGATTTATAAATCCCTTTCCCCTGTACAAACACACAAAGCCGTGATTGAAGCTGTCTCCTGGAACTCTCGCCTCTTTTTCTCTTCACGAGCTTCTGTGTTTGTGTTGACAGCCACCTGAGAAGCAGCATCAGCAATATCAAACCCACCTCCCGAGGAATCACCAACAAACACCTCACGTCAAAATGCGCTTCCTCTCTGTTGCGCCGCTTCTTGCGGCTTTTGTTTCTGTTCTTGCTCAAGGGACTGAGACGTCTACCTCTAGCCCTGCTGCCACTTCGAGCTCGTGCGATGCCCAGAAGTAAGTCCTCTTTTTTCCCGATACTCAATCACAACCGGTAACCGGCAACTGATTGATTCCCAGCATCCTCGACACCTGTCTCAGCTCAATCCAAATCCAAGTCGACAACTGTGGCCCGAACGAATGGGACTGTCTCTGCGAGCAGACCAACAACCTGCTAACGTACCTACCCTCCCCTCGAAAGATATAACAAACATGTCTAACTAGTCATATCTTCGGTGAAACAGTTGCTACAACAACTGCCCCAACGACAGCGGCCGCAACGGTGTCCAGCAGCAAAAGGTCTCGTACTGCAACGCCGCCGATGCTGCAGGTCTCCTCTCCTCGACAACCACCTCGACCTTCGCGACGACAACTAGCACGGCTACCTCGACTGCATCTCAAGATGACGATGAGCCTACACCCACCAGCGACGGAGCTGCGTCGTCTGAGACATCGGATGATGCGGCCGCAGGCGTGAGCATGGATGTGAGACTGGGAGGCATGGTTGGCCTTGGGCTGGCTGTGTTGGGTGCTTTTGCTTGATTTTCCGAAGAATAGCGTCCTGGTTGCGGGAATGGAGAATTCTAATAGCAGAGGTGGCTTGATAATATGGTCCAGGGGCGGATTAATATGTAATATAGTCAGTCTGGAATGTACTCTGAAAGAGGCTGTGGTCTAACAGTTAGGCTGCATCGCCAAGTCACTAGCGGTCGTTCGTGATAGTCTCGCCTAGCCCGGTTTGAGATACGAGGGGTGGGGGATGAAACAGAAATCCACGAGTGATGTAATGTTTAATGGAAGACAGAGAACAATGGCCTTCAGGCCATGTGTGTGTTTTCCCAAGGGGAGAGAACCATGGAACTTGATATGAGCTATGGATCGTATATTGGATCTCTTCTGCATTTGTTGCAGGGTGTATGAGGATAACGTAAGGCGTTGTCGAGCTGGTGAAGTCATGATTACTGCTCTCCGTTGATGGCCCAGTCCAGGCCCAAAACTTGAGCTGATTTGACGTGTCAGGAAAACATCTCTTTGTATCTTGCCCTGCGCCAATCAGCGTGCTCCTCTGCTCCAACTGCGTTGTCTGTCTCCTATTCCTGCTTGCGCTCCATCTGCCACCCATCTTCTGTTCATTCCCATCCCTACCTATCTTGCCTCGCCATCCTCGCCATCTTCCCTCCTCTTCTCTCTGTTTCCTTTCGTGCTCCTCTCTCCCCGTATTCGCCTCTGTATCATTCGCATTCACTCAAACACAGTCCCTGGACGGACTCTATCTCCCCACCCTGTTGCTGCCTGTTCCTATTATTCGTGCTTCCCGGTATTAATAGATTACGCCACGCCCAACCGTCTCCTCTTGCCCTCCCAGAAGCCGTGGATCCGGTGCTTCCCTGCTTCTGCTTCCCCATCTTCCCGATCGCATGTGAGTTGCTGAGAGGTATCCTGTACTCTCCGACTCTGCCAACTATCCTTACCTTCGCCCTCTGCCGTTTGTACTTTGTCTTCTGCTGTGTCTCTTTCTTCGCAATCGAATATAATCTATTTTATTCCTTGTATCGCTTTTCGCCCGTGCCGGGCCTTTGCTCCTTCCCCCTTTGCTGCTGCTGCTGTCCGCCGCCGGTCGCAAACGACGCCCGACTGATCAACGCCCAGTCGCTGCTCGCTCCCTCCTTAGTCGATCGCACGCCTCATTCCTCCACGACTATTTCTATTAACCTTCCTTTTAGATCGACTGTCGCGTTTCGCATCTGGTGCATTGTCTTGACGCTCGTCGACTAATCTTATTTTACTTGCTTTCTTCCCCTTCCTTCCGAGACAAGGCGTGTCGCATCGCATCCCTGCATTGCGTACTCCTCGATCGACCACCACACTTCCCTCGCCACCACACATCTCGCATGGCATGTTTCGGCTGCTTCCTTCCTGGTCCTCTGCAATCGGGGGGAACAAGGTAATGACTGAAGAGGTCAAGATGCTCGCCGCCGCATCGCATTGCGCCGCCCCTGGTGTCAACGGCTTCGCCATACCCCAGCTCAAGCGCAAGCGATCGGACTCTAGTGATTCAGCGACAACGCGAGAAGCTCCAGTCGCAACAAAGTTCCGAACAGACGATAACCCTCAAAAACCTATTACCTTTCAGCAGCACGCTTCTACGACATCCAAAGGCGATTCAGCAAGCATACCAACAGAGATTCCGACCGGTCGGACTTGTGAGCGCGCGGTCGCAGACTCGCCTTCTGAGTCTTCTGATGGAGGCCACCCTGATCCGTCTGTATCGCGCGACAACCAGAAGGCTGCGGTGCGCAAAGTCGACGTGGATCGCTTGCGCGAAACCCTGGAAGCGCAACTGAGCCTTGAGGTGCTACTTAAACACAACGAACTACGGTTGATCGACCAGGAAATCGCCAAGTGTCAGGTCGCGTTGGAACAGTTGCGCCGATGCGCAGAAATACCTTACCCCGGCTCTCAAGCTGCTGGTCTTTCGCAGTCTGTCAGCTCTGGCACTGGAGTATCGGTTTGGGGTCCTGGAAATGGACCTGCGCCGCTTTCTCCAGCGCCCTGGGGCGTCGTGAATGGTCCTTATACGCGCCACTACTCTAGATGGCTGCTACCCGATTCTCGTTTCGATGGCGGCGAGTTGGAGCCCGCGACGCCGATGGGCGTTGGCGCGACGACTCCTATGGAAGGCCGCTCGACGCGTGGGAACCCTATCGATACCGCTTACCTCGCTGGCAAGACTACGAGACCTCAACGAGGTTCGACTGGAGCGAAGCTTCAGTCGCTGCCTAGCGGTTATCCAGCGCCAAAGGAACGAGCTGGGCCGATGATCATCCGACGGAAATCGGATAACGTTCTTGTCAAGCTTATTTGTCTTGATTGCCGAAGAGACAACTTTTCCAGCACTCAAGGTTTCATTAACCACTGTCGTATCGCTCATAACCGCAATTTTGCGAGCCATGACGCGGCGGCGGTCGCATCGGGAGAGCCTGTTGAGGTGGATGAGGCTGGTGCCGTTGTTGGTGGCAAGAGTGAGCCCACCACTGGTGTCAGCCCGGGATTCGTCCATCCCCTGATTCGATCTGCGCATGTGATTGAATCTACACCCCGGACGCCGTCTGCTTCGGATTCGTCAAAACGGGATCCTCAGAGCGGCAGTTTATCCGCGGTGGAAACACCTCGTATTACTCCGTCCCAGACACCGCTGGGACCCAAAACTCCTACAATGGCGAAAGCCACACACGATGCCTTTACCGCCTCGGAAGATACTCCTCATCTATCATCCTTGATGAAGCTCCGGGGTGTTGGGCTTGATCTTGGCCAGCTGGTTGGCGAGGCGAAGACGACGGTCGACCTCGATGGATATTCTTCAGAAGAGGACGAATCAGAGTCGGAGCCAACATCACCATCTACCGAGGCCAAAGCTAGCTCGAAACCGTTGGCGACACGAGCTGGACGGCAGCCCATGCGAACAACCGCTTCACAAACTGCCTCTCAGCGGCCAGACGGGCACAAGGGTGTTGAAAAGCACAACCCTAAACCACTTTCCTTGGAGACATCGACTCCTACCCGACCCGCAATGCCCTATCAATCCCCGTATGCGCCCGCGGACTCCCATATGAACGATGTCGACGGGGTTGAGCTAAGCCCACACACTGTGGAGTCAAACCAAGCCCCGAGTCTTGTGAGTGATGATGACGACTTTGAAGCAGGGTCCGAGTCAGACAGCCCTGGGCCTAGCTCATCCGAAGCGGAAGATGGCGAGGGCGACTTTAGCCTTGTTGATGTTGAAGACGACGACGACGCCACGGGATCCACAACCACCAACGATTCGAACCCGAAGCCGGATGTTGGAATGGCTAGTGGTGCAAAGGCCATGCCTCGCGGCAATATACGAAAGAAGGGCCAGTTTATATCACCATCGGTTGTCCCGCTCAGTCGGGAAAAGGACGAGAAGCGCGTGAGCTTTGTGAGTCCTGGCTCGAGTCCAGCAGGTCCTGGCAAGGACAAGAAGGATAAGCGACGATAAACATAGATTTTTCCCGATATTGGTATTCTTTGAAGAAAGCAGCGGGCTAGAAGAGGCCATGCTTAACGCTGACCTGTTATACTGTATCTCTTCTCTTCTTGTGTGTATGAAATTATACGTTGGACTCCTCCTGAGGTTGTCTTTATTATGAATTATGCAAGCAATTCTTACAGAAGTTTTCAGCTTTCTCTCTGCGCGAATTGAACTAAGATTATCTACTATGTATTTAACCGTCCCAAACCAAACCACCGGGAGCTTAGCTCCCCACTGTACTGTGGAGAAATAAGATAAAGTCCAGACACAGAACTAACCTCCCATTTCAACTCCAACAACACAACACCGCATCCCCAAATCACCCCGATTCAAGACTAGAGACCAGACAGCAAAAGCCAACCCATGGCAGCACCAGCCCCACCTCCAGCGAAATCAATACCCGCAAGCCTAAACCCCAAAACAATCACCCTATCGACATTCCGCACGCTCCTCGCGCACTACGAAGAAACCGTCCACCGCGTCACGCGCAAAAAGGCACTCGCAAAGCAGGGCGGGAAGAAAGCGACACCAAAGCAGAAGAAGAAGGCCGCGCCGAAACGCAAGGTATCTTCGGAAGAAGGAGAAGAAGACGACGACGACTCGAAATTAGAGAATGCGAATGGGGATGAAGATGGAGACGAGGATGACGAACCGAATCCGCAGGCTGACGCCGCGGCCCGCGAGTTCTGGAAGCTGGATACATGGCGGTATGAGACTCTACCGTGGATTCTGAGTGAGAGGTCGCAGTTACAGTTACAAGAGGGTGAAGAAAATGGGAAGGGGAACGGAAAGGGCAAGGGCAAGGGCAAGGGGAAGGTGGAGGGCGTGCACTTGACCAAGGACGAGGTTATCAAGTTGATGGAGTGGAAGTTGTACGTGCACACACCCACACACCCAAATCTCTGCGTCCATGGCCCCTACTTGCAGTTACGCTGGATCGATTCGCTACGTGCAATTGAATGAAGGGAGACAATGGAAGATACTAACGAACCCCAGAAAACACGGAATATACCGCCCAACCCTCATGGGCATGCTAAAGTCCAACCCCGAGCGCGCGATCCAGTCCGCGACAGCAGCCGCATTCGCATCTCTCCCCTCATCCCCAAACTCTCCAGACTCCCCCAACTCCAACGACCAACCCCTCTCCGCAACACTCACCTCGCTAAACGCCCTAACAGCACCCCTCCGCGGCATCGGCCCCGCAACAGCCTCCCTCCTCCTCTCCGCCGCCTCCCCAGCCCAAGTCCCCTTCTACAGCGACGACACGTTCCTGTGGCTCATTGTAGGGGTGTATCCCAAATGGAGTGACGAGGATGGGTGGGTGCGCGGTGAGGTTAAGAGTGCGGAGAAGAGGAAGATGGTTAAGCCGAGTGGGGAGTTGATTGCCAAGTATCATGTTGCGGAGTACAAGGCGCTTTTTGAGGCTGTGAGGGGGTTGGTGAGCAGGTTGAATGGGGAGAGGGAGGCGTTAGGCGATGGTGCGAAGGGGGAGGAGGTTGGGTGTGCGGAGTTGGAGAGGGTGGCGTTTGTTGTTAGGCATGTTAGGGAGTCGGGGTTGGCGGGGATAAAGGGTGAGGACGAGGATGAAGATGTGAAGCAGGGTGAGGATGACAAGGTGGGTAGTAAGGATGAAGGTGCAAGTAGGAAGAAGAGAAAGGTTCGTAAATAGTTATTGATAGTAGTATCATATTGTGGATTGAGTCAAGTGAGTATTTGAGTTACTCAGTCACGCAACTCATACGCTAAAATACAGTAATGCGCCTTGCTATGCAAATAAACATGTAGGGTATCAATTAGGCCCGTGCCAATTCTTCCTCCATCATCAACGCCAACTCATCATCGAGGGTCCGCGGAGACAGACATGGGCTGCTAGTGTAAGCGTTGTCACGCCCAGCTTGGAGCCAGTCGTATTTCTTGCTTCGCAGAGACTGCAGTGTAGCCGCGGGACGCTCTGGTTCACCCGCTGAAGGAGCAGGAGTAGGCGGCGATTCGTCCTCCGTCAAATCAATCGTGATATTCTGTGGCTGTGGCGTAGGGCGAGGGGTTGCTGTACTGCTGACAGGCGCTGATTCAGACGGTATAGATTGCGCATGTCCCTGGGCCGGAGCAAGCGGTGGACCAGGAGGAGGGCTCGGCAAGCACACGTAAACGCCGGTTTGCCCTGGCTGCCCCTGCTTAGCCTTCGGAATTCGAGGAGGGCGGTATCCATCAGGGAGCGGAGCGACAGTGGGCATTCGTTTCTCAACCCCAATCTCGTACAAAAGGTTGTTGTGGATGGTCCCGAGGTGGTGAAGCTTGTTCTTCCATTCGGCGGCTTCCTTTTTGTACTCCTCGACTCTGGCCTGATGCCTTGACGATACGCGCCGAAGCATTGCATTTTGGTCGCGTAGCACCTGCTCAGGCGTTTTTCCAGACTTGTCCACGTCCGCGTATTTCAGCAACGATCTTTTGAAATAATCTCGCTCGCGCGTAAGTTGAGATATCTTTGCCCGCAGGCTTAATATTTGATTATCTTGCAGCGTTTCCCCAACAGCAACACATTTGACGTGGATTCCAGGGGCCGAAGGAAGGTAGCCCAGTGGCCCTCCTGAAACTTGGTATGGCGAAGCATATTCTGGTTCTTTCTGGACTTTGAATATCTCCCGGTAGGTGGTAGCAAGGATGTCTGTCTCATCGAGAGAGAATCGTTCTTTTGTCGAGTCGCTCACGCACCCATTGTCGGAAGGCGGGGGAGTGGATTCCTCGAAAGCGGGTAGTGGCTCGTCGGGCGAGATCAATGGCATATCGAAACCGTTTCCGAATAGACTATCAAAGTTGTCGAAGAACGAGGCTGGAGATTCGTGTGTCGTATCGGTCGTAAGCGAGGGCGTCTCATCAGGACTCTCTAGATGATGTCGTTTCTCAGGCGGAAATTCCCCAGAGTCCTCCGCATTTCGTTTTCGAGAAAAAAGCGACTCCAGCTCCGGAAATGTGGAATCGAATAGAGGGTCAAAAAGATCGTCCTTCGCATTCGTCCCGTCTCCCTCGACATCAAGCCAACCGAAGGCCGGCGCCTCGGTCGTTTGCGGTTCCGCAGCAAACTGGCTATCGCCAGCCTTACCACTGCTTGCCTGGTTCAAACCATCTCGACTGCCAGAAAGATTTCGCTCCTCATCCTGTAAAATATGTCCCTGCAACTGAAACCCAGGGGAAGGTGTAAGCCCCAGATCATTCATATGCGTATGAGAGGGATCCATAAGAGCGACGGGCTCTGGATCTGGAAAGCGGGAAGAGGAGGTAAAGTTACCTTCAACCGCGTCTCTATCCATCGCTAACCTGGCAAAGCAGGTGCTTCAAAACAACAGTTCAGGAGGGTTCCTCTATTTTGACCTCAGTCACGTCCTGTCTCAGACTTAACGTCTCAAACAGATGGTCACACTGATACCAGTATGCCTTGCAGTGACGTGCCTGTGGCTATGCCACAAAGAGCGCCATAGACAGACAGAATAAGGTATTTGAAGCCAGAACCTCAGATGACGGACTGGTTCAGCATGGAGAAGTGGATGAAAAGCATGCAGGGGTCGAAGGTGGGAGGAGAGCAAAACGTACTTTTCCCCACCGCTTGGCCTACCGCTCACATGACATATCACCTCCCGCATAAAACCGGCAGGATCCCAAACAGCTCCGACCATCTTCCAGTTGTGAGCGGGACGGTGAGTACTCGCTTTCAACTTCTCCAGCCCCTCGGGTTTGTATCGTCAACATGAGCGTTATTCTATGTACCGGTAAGCCACACTGTGTCCCACTGCGGAAGCAGAACGGCATGAGAACTGAATTGACGTTTTGCTATGTAATCGGTACTTGCAGCGGGCTACGACCATACCATCCGGTGAGTTAAACCTTCAGCAGCAGAACAATACAGTATCTCATATATCTAGCTTCTGGGAGGCTCTATCCGGAATCTGCTCGCGCACGATCCAACATCCCGATTCCCAGGTAAATCGTCTTTGCATAACTCCGGATAAACGATATCTTGCGGCTGCCGGTCACAACAATGTGAAACTATACGACATCAAGTCCACGAATCCGAATCCTGTAATGACCTTTGAAGGTCACACAAACAACATCAGCGGAGTCGCCTTTCACTGCGAAGGAAAGTGGATGGTTACGAGTTCTGAGGATGGCACAGTAAAGGTGTGGGACACACGGACCGGCAGTCTCCAGCGCAATTACGCCCACAAGGCTCCGGTAAATGATGTAGTCATTCATCCCAACCAGGGAGAGCTTATTAGCGGTGACCGTGCCGGAATCGTCCGTGTATGGGATCTTGGAGAGAGTGTCTGCACCCACCAACTGATTCCAGAGGATGATGTCGCTGTGCACAGTGTTAGTGTCGCAAGCGACGGATCTCTGCTCTGTGCTGGCAACAAGAAGGTACTATACCTTGGCAACTCTTTTACGCCGGCTAATTCGAGTTTCAGGGAAACGTTTATATCTGGCGTATGATTCAAGAAGCCGAAGTGACGCGCATTGTCCCAATTTGCACATTTCAAGCACACAAAGACTACCTCACCCGTGTCCTTCTTTCGCCGGATGTCAAGCATTTGGCAACTTGCTCTGCTGACCACACGGCAAAAGTGTGGAACCTCGATCTCGACTACCCCCCTGCAAAGATGGCTATTGCCGCGGCCGCGCGAACAAAAGCCATGTCACCACCTTCAACTGACGGCAAGCCGGCATCTCCATCCCCTGCCCTGCCAGAGAGTCAAAGCAACTCGGTGTACAGTGAGAAAGGCAGGGCTGATAGCATCCCGTTCCATCTACTCAACGGGAATCCGCCGGCGACCAACGAACCACCACCACCACAATTTCCGGTACAGCCAGATGGCCCTCCTATGGATCCAAACACTGGAACTCTTTTCCTTGAAACAACACTGGCGAATCACCAACGGTGGGTTTGGGACTGCGCCTTTTCTGCTGACTCGGCGTATCTGGTGACGGTATCCAGCGACCACTATGCACGCCTCTGGGAGCTGTCCTCGGGCCAGATCATCCGCCAGTATAGCGGACACCACCGCGGGGCGGTATGTGTTGCGCTTAATGATTACTCGGAGCCTCGTTAAGGGGGTCGTCCGGAAGGGTAGTATTCTTCGTAATATGCTTCATATGGGTTAGCATGGCGCCTGGGTTGGACAATAGTCGGAAGGCTAGTTGGCCTTATATCTTGGAGTTCAGGACTGCGAGAGTCGTATAATGACCATCGAAATGCACGTTTACGAGTACTGTGTGATATCCGCCAGTGGGACGGCTTCTGGTAAGCATATAGCTCGCGGGTCTCTTACGTACAGCTACTGTTGGCTGGTTTGGGGTTTTAATGTGACATTCTTGATAGTAAGAATCAGACAATGCTGAACGAGACTAGTACACATGCTCTTGAATGCTAGCAAAAACAACACTAACGCCTTTATCAACAGAAGCATAACTGTGCAGGAAAGATACAATCATAGCCAACAGCCTCTCACGTAGCAGGACGTTCAACCGTACAGACGTATCAAGCTCGGTCAATGTCGACCTCGAGGATAGAAATACATGATGGACATGTGAGATAGCGAGCCACAACGGGCAGAGGCGAGTAACCAAGGATAAATAACGAACAAAGCCGGACCAATTACTCCTGCATGCGAAGGATAAAGTTGACAATAACAGCAGCAAGCAACGAGATGGCCAGGATCGTCGGCCCGAACCGGTCGTCAATCCCGCTCTGTCCCCTTTTCCGAATACTCTGCGCGCGCCAGTGGAACGTAACCAGGGCATATATCATGGCGGCCATGGCGATGATGGTGAACAGACCGGCGGAAATACGTCCGATGCGGTCACCGAAGTTGAGGAGACCCACTGCCAGGCCGCCGAGGATGACGGTGAAGTTGAGCCATGAGAGGAAGGTTCGCTCGTTTGCGAAGAAGACTTTGGGCTCGACGCGGGTTGGGAGGGCAATGCGCTTGCCTGCAGTTGGAGGGGTTAGTCAAGTCAATTCCAGCGCGGGGACATTTCCGAAGCAATTCCTGGGTCGACTGACCTGGGGCCGTTTGGAGGAGTGGTTGGCTTGACATCTTGTGCGGGGCGTGCGGAGGCGAGCTCTGAAGCTATTGAAGAACGAGCAAACGGAGGGATTGAAGAGGCAAAATCGGTAAAGAGAAGTTTTTGTGGAAGAGATAGACTGTATAAATACGAAACAGAAGATGGGACTGAGGCGAATCGCCAAGCTAAAAAGATCTCTGACAGCAAAGTCTCGAGCTGTGGTGGGCGTTCCGATGGGGCAGCTCCATTGATGCTATCACAGACTTGGCCGTAGTGGCTGTTCTGCCGGTTAGCTGCCCACGTGCTCTCATGAATCACTCTGGCTGGGTGTGGCCGGCAGCCTGAGGCTCCATGGCGGAATATCCTAACGCCGCGACCGATGTTGGTTGTGACAAGCAATTGCGCTAACCCAAAGGCTACTATTCGGGCTCGGTTTGGTATAGCGCGGGATGCTGCTCATCCAACCATCAGTCGCAAAGTCACGCCCATGATGCCGCCTGAGTGTCTCTCTCGCAGCAACAGGACCCTGACTTTTTGACTCTGCTAAGTCTCCCTTTCCGCATAATCCCAAATCCTCTCATCCCTGCATATCGTCTACCTTCGGTAAGTCATACCGCTCTTCCCCGGATTTGTTGTCGTCGCGTCAATCCGGTCTCGGTCCACATTCCTCTCCCCACAGCCAGTCTTCTGGTTCTGCCCACAACCGCCTTCACCGGACAACGTCACATCGATCGCGAAAACAACGCCTGTATTTACACTGACTTGTTCGCGACAATACTAGACAACGATTCTATACACGCCGACACGTATCTTTCACCAACAATGGCTCTCGAGACCGCCCCCTCCTCTGTACGTGACCATTGGTTCCGCTGGCATCAATCTTATCCGACGCGTGCCATTGACCCCCAAGCGCCCCGTTTGCTAATGCTATGCTCTCATTATAGCCCGTCCCTATTGACGAATTGACCAAGATTGCCACACAGGTGCGTCCCTGAAGCCATCGGTGGGTTGGACTGGGGCATCAAGTACTGCTGAGTCGGCCAACAAATACTGAAACATGGACTAACCCTTGCTGCGAACAGGCCTGTGACTCCGCTCTTGGGCAAGCCGAAGGTTACGAGCATACCCAGGTCGGAACCTGGAACTCTGAGATCATCGTACGTTTGTCAACCTCGACATAAGAGGCTAGGCTAATCGTATGATAGAACTCTATCCTCAAAGCTCTCATCACCGCCACCACCCCCTCTACACCCTCGACCCCCCCGCCATACCGCTTCACCGTGAACAGCACCATCGTGCAACAAGGCCTGATTGACAAGTCGTCTGCTGCAGACGGCTCGGCCGCCAACACCGGAAAGCGCGGCATGCACTCCGCCTCTGGAGCCTTCTGGGACGTCAACCGCGACGGAATGTGGACATTCAAGTACCCTGGCGCGGAAGCGAGGGGCCTGGACGTGGTCGTCAGCGTCACATGGTTCGCGCTGGGCTGATTTCGCCATCCGAAACAGCAAAGAAACGAAAAGAAAACGACACAATATACCAGCCAACCGTTTGCTAGTTTCTCTGTATCTCGATACCTTTTGCCTGTCGATATTTTTATCATCTGTTGGAGCCCGGTGCACTTTACCTAGGGGCGAGAGCTTTTATCATGCTTTATGGCTTTATACCACTGATGCGCGCAGCAAGTAACTAGGAATCAAGCAAAACAACAAAGGTTACATCAATCAATTTCAGAGAAGAACCCCTCCTCAATAAACCGTTCAAAACTCCAATAATCCCGCTGCCTCCCTTCCCCATCAATCGTGCCTTTGCCCTCGAATTTGGCCGTCCAGTAACAGCTCCCCTGCGTATACTCCTCCCAAGCCTCTAACCCAACCTTTAGGTTCCGCTCCCTCAGCGCAAAACTATTATTATGCGCCGCCTGAATTGACCACTCGCCCACAAAGACAGGGAAAGTCCCATCGCCAGACTTGTTCTGCGCATCAGAGCGAATAAACTCTGGCAGATTCTCCGAGCTCGTCTCCCGCCCCCCGAAGTAATAATTATGCATGTCGAAGACCACATTATCCCCGCGCGAGAACCCCCCGGTCCAATAATCAGGCAGCTTGAAGCTCTGAAACATAACAGGAACATCCAAGCCCGATTCCCGAACGCGCGCCAGAACAGCCTACCAAAAACCCAGAACATAGCTCGCCGCATCCTCAGACAGCGCCTCTGGCGTCCCGAAGACCGCCATGCCCAGATCATCGTCGCCATTGCGGTCCGCAGGCTCATTCATAGGTTCGAGCGTAAACGACCGGGGACTCGACGACCCGCGGATAAACTCCAGCACCTCATCAACCACCTCCATCGAGTGCCCCCACGCCGTCTCATTGAAAAGCCACCCCCAATGCCCCGTTGCCTCCCCAATCGTCAATCCGTTCAGACCACCCGGTAACGAGTGCACATCAATGATAACATGCATCCCATACCGGCTAATCGCATACTCAGTAATTCGCCTGAGATACGTCCTCTGGTTCCCCGAATACAGCTCGGAACCAGGGAGATCAAATCCAGGCTGCGTAGGTCGTCGGGATGCGGAGGATGGAGACGCCGACGGAGGCGAGGGTGTCGATGTCGGCGCGGGTGATGAAGGTTCTGTAGCGGTGTTCGAGGACGGGGCCGCAGTGCGCACCGAGGGTTTTGCAGAGTGTCCATTCGTCGCTTGCGGTGGGGGCGTGGCTGTTCCAGAATGTGCTGTCGATTGTGGATTCTTGGACGAGCCAGCCGCCGAGGTTCACGCCTGTGGCTTTTGTGGTTGTCCAGTTGAAGGATGAGGGTTTGCAGGGGGAGGTTGAGTGGGTGGATGTGGTTTCGAAGAGGGAGAGGAGGAGGGCTTTGATGGTGAGGAGGGAGAGATGCATGGTGACTGTGAGGAAGATGAACGGGCTAGGGCGCTTGTCTACAGTCTAGTATCATAGGTGTGTATGCTTATATAGTGTTAGTAAAGACGCTTGCTCTGCATACAATGCAGGAAATCCCGAAGGCTTCACTACGCAATGTAGACCCTGGGGCATGATGGCCCGAAGATGGGTTGCTCCAGGTTGGGGTAATTCCACCTAAGCCAATGAATGCTCGATTTCTCCGCAGAAAGAGTCCGAACTGCGGGGAAGAAATCATGTCGCTTCAGGCTTTCGAGGAACATTTCTGGGGTTGAGGCAGTCGATCTCTCGGAATTTCCGTGCTTCGGTATAGACCTGACCGAACTACATTGGTAGCGCAAGACCAGGGCTCGGAAGTCCCGGGCTATACCACATCCCGACAAGCATGGTGAAAAGTGCATTCGCTAACAGGTACTATATATCATAACATGGCGTAACATCGTAAGAGTAAATGTATCTCAGTATATCTCAAAAGGCCGCCTATAGCCTGTCTAAGCCCATCTATGCCTCTTGGGGCTATTTGTACATTTAGTCGCCAATTCGATCCGTCCAGATCCGTATATATTGATGTTTGTAAGGATGGCTGCTATCGCTGGTATATACATATTGCATACCAGGTCAGCCGGGAATGATGCAGTTTAACGAGTGTCCTCCGTTGTTGTCGTCGGGCTACGCGAGTGCGGGCTGCTCTTCTCGTGCATCTCTGGAGTATGAGTTCCGGTAGCGGTTCCGGTCGTAGTAGAATCTTCTGGGTGCTGTTTGAGTTGCTTGCGCGCTTTTCGGCCCCTACAGCAGGCAGCACAGCAGGAACCCAGTTCGACGATGAAGGCGAAAAGGTTAAAAGCCGTTGCAATCCACATAAAAACTAGCATGCGCGTACCAAGCTCGGCATGGATGTTAAGATCGTACGAGCCGTTCGTGAAGACATTTTTAAAGATGATGAACATGACAGTTGCAATGACGGTGGCAACGGTTGTGAATAGGGCAGTCAGGAAAGTGAAAATTGTAAAGGGAATGGCGCGGAGGAAGATGAATGTCCGCCGACGGTGGGGAGGGTGAAGCCGGTTGACTCCTGGGTCAGGGGAAATTGTCTGCGGTGGGCGCGATGAGACCGCCAGCGGAGACAGGAAGATGAGAATGAAAGTGAGGACAGTTCCAGTAATAAAAAGTCCAAACATCCAATGGGACGCTGCGCGAGCAAGATCGAGAGCGTCGGTTATATCGGAGGGAAGAGCAACTATAGTGCTTGTTAGTGTATGCTTAGCGTACAGGAAAAGACATCAGAGCTTACTTGATGCTCCTGCGAGCAGTTCGCTAAGGATAATCTCAACCGGATTGAACCAATATAGCGTCTTGGGACTCGAGCAAAATGTGATGCCCTCATTGTTGTACCCTTCACAAAAATTCCATAGTCCCACTTGGTAAAAATCGTGCAGACCAATAGACCGGGCAATACTGTTGATCAGGACGGCATTGGGTACGGAGAGAGGAACGATATCGGACAAGTCGATTTTCATAAAATATGTTTGCCGGAGAACTGGCCGGTTGGAGACATTTCCAATGACGACGAGAAGTAAGAATATAAAAGCAATGAGGTGCAGAAACGAGCGTAGAATGCGATGTCTGAGCACTTTCGACCGACTGCGGCCATAGACGGGCCGTTCGCCTTTGCGAAACCGAGGAAGCGCCGCCATTGACCCTGGCCGGCGCGGAATAGACAGTCGAGACTCGAGAAGCTATAAATGTTCGCGGAGCTGTACAGATAAATGTCGACGAATACCGATAGAGCGCTGGAATCAGAGAGCGTGGGTAAGGGTGGGAGGAAAGGAAGAGACTAGGAAAAGGATGTCGGAGAAAAGCTGGAAGGATGACGTTAGATCCATTCACCAACGAGGTGATGAAGATGAAAGACGAGGACTTGGCCGTTTGACAGGAAGAAAAGACAACAGGATGAGAAGAAGTAAGGCTCTGCGACGCTGTTGGGCTGGCGGGTGGAGGGAGATGCAGTCCACAGTGGCCAGAATCCCTGGAGATCAACGGTCTCCATCAATAATAGTCTTGTCAAGCTCTGGCCGACCCATCCACACTTTGGAGGTGATGATGAATCCCGCTGAACTGGACAACGATCTTCAGCAGATCACCTCCTATTACGAGAGAAATGATCGATCGCGGCTGCCGTCTGTTGTCTCCTGAAATCATCAATTCCTCATTTCTGCACTACAAAGTTCAGGTTTGAATATCAACGCGTCCTCTCAAAATGACTCTTTGAAGTGACTAGTATCGCAGGAATGCGGTAACCTAGCTCTGCCACGCGCTGGGCATCAAGATTTCAGCCACCTCAAAGTCTGGACCACTTTTCGCGTGTTATTTTGAGCCCGCGACGTCATCCTCGGCATCCCGCACCCACCCGAAGTTCCGCTATTGGCCAGATTGGGAGCCTTGGCGCCTGAGGATCTCCATCGGCGATCATTAATTTCTTTAGCGCAGCCACACAAGCTTACTCCCAATCCCAGTCCCAGTCGAGGGATCGGGCTCGTTCTCGTACTTCGTCTGAACTCTGACGTTGCCCTGTTCTCTGAGTTTTTTGGTTTGCGTTTTTCTTTCAAAATATCATCTTCCCTGTGCTCCGAGTCGTGTTGTTATTGTTCTGTTGCTCTGCTACGACCATCAATATGAGGGCGGCCGTTTTACTGCCCTTCCTGGCCGTCGGCCAGGTGCTTTCCCAAAACACCAACAGCGACGAGGGCGACGATAATCAAGCCATCACCGAGTCCCTTTCCAGTCTCGTGGAGTCCGTCACGACGACAATCAACGAGGCTACAGTTCCAACCGGCGAATACATCACATACACTACCACCAGCTACCTGACCTCCCATGGTACGGTCATCGACTCGACGGCCGTCACAGTCACATCGACGCCTGGAAGCAATATAACTGTTGCCAACGCAACCACAACGGGTACTTCAGATACTGTTACTGTGCTTATGGGCGGCCAAACGACAATTTCTGGCAATGCGACCAACAATGCCACCCAGACATCCTCTCAGACCCCATCGGCGACCCCTGTCGTCAACACGCAGCCCTGCAATGGCTGGCCTGAGTTTTGCAACAGGAAATACTCCAATATCACAATGGTCGCGGCTCATAACAGTCCGTTTGTAATGTCAGGCAATGTTGCTTCGAATCAGGCTCTGGGTGTGCAATACCAGTTGGATGACGGGGTTCGAATGCGTACGCCACCAAGATATTCAAGTTGAAAGAATTCGCAGCTGACATTCTACAGTACAATTCCAAGTCCACAATTTGAATGGTACTATGCAGCTTTGCCACAGCAGCTGTGATATGCTCAACGTTGGAACGCTGGAAGATTATCTCACTGATGTCGCCGACTGGATGAGACAGCATCCCTACGATGTGGTCTCAATCCTTATTGGCAATTATGACTATGTTGACCCAGGGAATTTCACCGCGCCTATTGAGAACTCCGGATTGATGGACTTGGTATTCACGCCGCCCATGATTCCTATGGGACTTGATGATTGGCCGAGCTTGGGAAGCATTATCCTCTCCGGGAAACGGGCGCTCGTCTTTATGGACTACCAAGCGGACCAAACCGCCTACCCCTGGTTGATGGACGAGTTCTCACAGATGTGGGAGACTCCATTCTCACCCACCGACCGAGAGTTCCCTTGTACCGTGCAACGCCCACCTGATCTGGCGGAGGACGCCGCTAGGGAGCGGATGTACATGGCAAACCACAATCTCAACCTTGAGATCAACATTGCCAGCCTCAACCTGCTCATTCCCAACACTGCGCTGTTGAATGAGACAAACGCCGACTCTGGGTATGGCAGTCTTGGCAGGATGGCAGACAACTGCACAAGTAAGTGACCCATACACGATGTTGTACACTGCAGTACTAACTTTAACAGCGCGGTGGAACCGTCCTCCAAACTTTCTGTTGGTCGACTACTACAATGAAGGCAACTTCAACGGCTCGGTATTCGAAGTTGCGGCGGAAATGAACAATGTCACGTACGACCGCGACTCATGCTGCGGTACCCTATCCGCAGCCTCCAGCCTGGTACCCGGCGCCACCATGATGAGCGCCGTGCTCTTGCTTGTCGGAGTCCAGGTTTTGGCCTCTGCATTCTAGACGATACACCTGTCCATACTGTACATACCATAGAATATCCTGTAATTCACGATGAGATGACCAGCCACTTGTTATACTTTTGCATGAAGTAAATCAAGCCTTGGTAACTTTAAAACCTCCAGGAACCTGTTCCTGAAAGACACCCAGTGGATCATACTTTTCCGCCACGCGCTGCATAAACTCCAGATTCTCCGCGCCATAACTCCGCAACGGATTCTGGTTCCCTGCTGCATAGTTTAGATAGACATACGGATAGTCGCCACCAACAGACCGCGCAACCCCATCCAACTCCGCCACAAACGCCTTCCCGATCCAGTCGAACAGCTCCGTGTCCTCGACATCATCCCAGGTCAACCAGAGGAGATCCACTACATTCATCAGCCACCAATCCGTGACAGAAAAAGTAATCGGCTCTACACAAGCAAGACTTGCTTCAAATGATGAAGGAAAGGCAAACGTACATATATAATCTCCCTTCTCATCCAATCCAAGAACATTCCCACCGCGCTTCTTCTGTCCCAGTTCAGCAAACAGTCTCGGAAGAGGCTGGAACAAGCTGATGATCGACCAGGACTCGCTACGCGCTCGCTTCCTCGCTTCCTCGATCATGCGGTCGTGGATTGAGATTGCTTTCTTGAGGATTGCCGGGTCGTTGGCGAAGGTGAGGGTGAAGAAGTTGTTACTGTCGAGCAGTTAGTGCATTCATCAAGGGTTCCTTCAAATCCATTCTTAAATAGGATATAGGGTGGGTGATTGAGGCATGAAACATACTGCAATCCCGCCTCAGGCTCCAACTCCCCGACCAACCCCTCCAACCCCGTAAAGCGCATACTATCCGAAACATTCGGCAGCGCATAAAACGCCCCAAACGCATCCGGATACGCCACGGGCTCCGCATACACAAACGAATTCACAATAAGCGGGACCCCAACCTCACTCTTGTACGTATACAGCGGGATCAAACTCGCATTCGGGTCCCTGTGCACGTTTGCAGTGAACTGCACGAGGGCGTCGACTTGGGAGTCGACGGTGCTGGCGTGGTCGTAGACGGCGATTCCGCCCCATAGGTCTGTTGAGGGGAAAGTCTCGATGTCGAAGCGGGTTACGATGCCGAAGTTGCCGGAGCCGCCTTTTAGGGATTTGAAGAGGGTGGGATGGGAGGTTTCGTTTGCGTGGATTATGGCGCCGGAGGCGAGGACGATCTGGTTATCACATATCATCAGTACGTGCCTACGGTTAGTTTACGTAGGGGAGCGTCGGATTGACCCACGAGAGTCCTGGATAGGAGGAAGATAGTAGACAGACAGACAAGACAGACCTCAAAATTAACCACAGCATCACACGTAAACCCATACCGTGCACTATGAAACGAATTCCCACCCCCCGTAACAAATCCCCCAACACCCACCGTCCCGCCTCTTCCCCCCGGAACCGCCACCCCGTACTCCGCGAGCGCCGTATAAACCCCCTTCCACCGCGCCCCCGGCCCAATCGACGCCGTTCCCGCCTCGGGGTTATACACGGTGCTATTCAGAAGCGAGAGATCGACCGTCACGCCGTACTCTCGGTTCGTGGATCCGAGGACCGTCCCGTGGCCGCCGGAGCGGATGGAGAATTGGCAGCGGGTCGTGTTGTCATTGGACTCAACGAGGATGGAGAGTGTGAGGGAGACATCCTCGGTGTTGTGGGGCTGGACAATGCAGGCTGGGTAGGTTTGTTGGATGTCGGCGCGCCAGAAGGTTGAGAGGGAGGTGTGGTAGGCGGAGTTGCTGGGGTAGAAGACCTTTTCTGCGAGAGGGCTCGTTTTCAACGCGGTGCACTGGAAATGGGTTAGCTTGCATTGTCTCTGGGAACTTGAAATTGAGAGCACATACACATGCTGAGACGGCACCATCGGCCGGGCACGTTCTGAGGACGTTGGCGGCCTCGAGGACCGAAATAACTGTACTCGGACAGACCTTCATCGCGCAGGAGGAACCAAGGAAGAGGAGAAAGACAAAAAAAACCGCTCGAGACATCTCAATCGCGACAAACCCATCCCCATTTCACAATCCCCGCTCTCAGACCGCAAAGCTCATCTTCTCCGAATCCGCGGCTCGATCGAGGCTACGAATCCTCCCCCCACAACCGCCAAACTCCAAACTGTGCCCTAACTCAGACTATGTTCCATTCCACCTGCCGTTTGCGTAAGGATAATCACACACTATACTCAACGTAGACAAGGCATGCATGGCGCGGAACGTGGCTAGCTGCATTAGTGGCATCTGAAACGGGTGAGCGAGGTCAGTGCAGACCGACCGCCGTTTGAGTTGCGTCGGACTGATGCTCTCGCCTCTAGCTTCGCATTTCGTGCTGGGGGGGAGAGGATTCCGGGGTGGTATAGCCGAATATTCCCCGAGGGGTTTTGGCTGTCTTTTAGGGTTGAAGGAAGAATGAGATTGTTGTGAACTTGCAAAGTTTGTATGATGAGCCTGAATTGAGGCGAGCAACAAGTACTTTTAGTGGAATTCCAACTTGTATATGAGTTTTCTAGGTGTGTATGTGGGGCTGATCATTGAGCTTCGGAGACGGCGAGCTTACCCTAACTTCGAATTACAGCTCATGCTCGAATCAAGATGAAATGAATCCGCCATCGGAAATGTAGGTAGGCTGAGTTTGGTCTCTAATCATGACTGGGCGAGATCCGACGCAGGGGTGCGGGCAGGGGCGGGTATATTTGCTTGGAGTGGAAGGTTCCGGGCAGGGCTTTCGGGCTGGATTCCAATTGTGATCATGATGTTCATGGTGTCTGGTGTCTGTGGTATTCCTGGCGGGTGTACGTTGTAGTACCCGGGTGGTTGTGGTGTGGTTTTACCGCTGGTGGAGCAGCAGTATATCATCAATCTTGCTGATGCTTACAAACGCATAATCTATAGATGAGAATATTAGCGAGAAATCAATGCACATGGTTAAGCCACAACTGACTAGGAGATAAGACGCTCGAGGCTAAGACATGATACCGACGCGTCCAAAGCCTTTGAAGCTCAACAAAGGCATATCTGAGTCTCCGAACAAATCAAGTCTGATGTGATACTCATGCCGTCGTCAAAAAATTTAATCAAGTCGACAGCAGAAGATGGAGGTGGTCCCGGTGGTTCGCAAGCGGTTTCTGGAAGTCTTACGGCCTGTAAGCTTATCTGGGTTAACAATGCAGTCCCATGACTCGGATGATCATTCAATCTGCAAATATTTCAAGCTGATTCAAGGATGCGGCAACGCGCACCTGGAATCCTGGTGTGTATGGTTCTAGGTCGCTTGCCTGACCTCTTGTGGAGAAAAAGTGTACTGTGACAACACAAAATTTGCGCAGTATCATGGCTGACGCTGGCTGAATGCTCCTGAAGTTGGCTATTGTAAGTGATGTGTGCCTCATAAGGTCGGAGTTTACTTGGTTACTTGCCACCCTCAGCACAAGGGAAACAGAACAGAAGGTGGGCAGAAAGGAGAATATCATCATCTCAATGCCTGGTTGCTAATCCCAGAAATCACAGGGAAAAGCGTAGAAAGAGTATCTGATTCAAGCTCTAGAACCGCCCACGGAGGGTTTCCACGAGCTCAATTGATTGCAGCGCCAACATGGGATGCCAGAGACAAGGGGATAAACAGAGAAATGAAGGTGTAGTCTCTCGTCACTACGCAACCCAATATGAGCACGCTTCGTGACAGACCAGAAGAGAAATGAAGTCAATGAGGCCACTGCAACATCCAGCGGGCATGATACGTGATGAAATGGCAGGGGCAAAAAGCCATGGTGTCGAAATACCACAGCACCCAGAAAGGGTGAGTAAGTGGAAGGGAAGTGGAAAAGAAGGCGTCTAGAAACTAGACATGGTGACCTCCAGTGGGGGGTCCAAAAATGTAGGAAAGGATGCTCTTCACAATAGCGGGGATAGAAGGACAGAAGTTGAAGAGAGACGAGAAAAGTTAATGATGAGGAAGAAGATGTAGATAATCAACTGGGTAACACAGCTCAAAATCGACGTACTGGCTATTTGCTCAAGCTGGATGGACCTGAAGTATATCATCCGAAACCGGTTTAGCGCCCCACACTCAAATAATCTGAAGCCCGAGCTCAACATCAGCACCATCACCATACACTTCAACAACCTCCGACCTCCCCCGCAGTCCAATCCAGAAAAGGATCCAATTCCCACGACTCTACGACCATATCAGTTACCTACAGAGGAAACCACCGCCAAGATGGTCGACATCCTCCCGCTCTCCTCGTACCCCTCCTACATCGACCTCCTCCCCGCAATCCAAACCTGCAACATCACCAACCTCCCCGAAAACTACTTCCTCAAGTACTACCTGTACCACGCCCTGACCTGGCCACAGCTGAGCTTCGTCGCCGTCGTGCGGCCCCGCAATGGGTACAAGGCCGGGAACACGGTTGCAGGGGAGTACCCGAAGGTCGTCGGGTACGTGCTCGCGAAAATGGAGGAGGAGCCGACGGATGGCGTGCAGCATGGCCATATTACGAGTTTGAGTGTTATGAGGACGCATAGACGGTTGGGGATTGCCGAGAGGTTGATGCGGATGTCGCGTAAGTAACCCTGCGTTTTCTCCCCTGTTGCTGTAGTCGCTGCAGTGCTTTGCGTTTCGAAATTCAGAAGGGATGACTGACTAGATGTCTTCTAGAACGAGCAATGGCCGAATGCCACCGCGCCCAATTCGTCTCTCTGCACGTGCGTGTCTCTAACGTAGCCGCCCTCCACCTCTACCGCGACACGCTCGGCTTCCAGGTCGACAGCGTCGAGAGCAGCTACTACGCCGACGGCGAAGACGCGTACGCGATGCGCATGGATTTGTCGAATATGTGGCTTGACTGGGCGGAGATTGAGCGCAAGGACCGGGAGCGCCAGGCGAGCGACGAGAAGGATGCGGACGAGGGGGATGAGGTTGGCGAGGTTGGGAAGAAAGAAGAGAATGAGAAAGAGAAGGAGAAGATGGTGCGCGTCAAGGTTGGGCGCAGTCTGGGAGTTGGAGACTTGGTGGAGAGGAACGAGGCGCAGGCGAGTTCATGAGTCGCTTTTCTATCTAGGTGAGACATAAGGGGATCTAAATAACAATGGCATGTATGTATAGGAGAATGATAGAATGAGAAATGTGGCTTGGCTAGTTTGAATGCTATAGACATGGGATTGAAATAAAAGGTACAAATATATCTAACAGTAACCAAAACGCCAGTCATATTTCACGTCAAAGCCAACTATCGCTCGAAAATATCCAGTACCTATTTGCGTTCCTTGCTCACTTCTTTTCTGGCGGTATTTCCGGGTCCATCATTTTCCTCTTCGGAACTGATACTCGGCGTGTTGATCGAACTAACCGCACTGCTTTCGGACCCGGCTCTAGCCGCCGCACGTTGCTGTGTCGATGCTTCACGGTTATTCTCGAGTTCGAGGTTCTGCAACCGCTGCTCTAAACTCGTCGATTCAGGCGCAGCCACAGGAGCAGTCACAGCGACAGATGTGGATACAGAGGCAGCCTGATCTTCTCTCTGATTAGTCTGCCCCCACCTCGCACGCCTCTCCTGCCGCCGCCGATTCCGCTTCATCCTCCGCTGCTCCTTTTGCTCGTCCCTCGCACGCCGCAGCACCTCCCGAAACGCCTTGCGCGTTGCCCGTAACTCCTCCTTGGCCGCCCGGCGCTCCGCCTGGTTCCGCTGCCGATCCTGCGGCGACTCCCAGCGGCCCCAGCTGCTGCTGCGGCCTTGCCCGTCGTTTCGGGACTGCGAGTGCGAGGAGCCCCAGCCGTGGCGCCAGCGGCCGGTAGTAGTAGTAGTCCGGCTGTGCATGCGCGCCTGGCGGCGGGACTCGCGGAGGGCGTCGAGTTGGCGGCGGAGTTCGACGGCGGCGTCGTAGAGGTCGCGGTCGTGGTGGTCGTCTAGGGAGAGGAGTTGGGCGCGGACGGTGGCGAGGTCCGAGGAGCTGAGTTCGGATGTTGTGGAGATGGAGTCGATGGAGGAGAGGGAGGAGTCTGAGGAGGCGGAGGAGATGGAGTCGCGGCGGGAGCGGGACTGGTCGGGTTGGGATTCTGTTCGGGGTTGCGTTTGTGGTTGTGGTTGTGGTTGTGGTTGTGTCTGCGTCTGCGTCTCGGGCTGTGCTTGTGCTTGTATTTGCAGTTGTTGAGGCTGAGCTTGTACAGTCTGCTGAGTAGGATTCGGAGTGGCAGGCTGGGCGTAGTAGTAGGGATAATAGCCCTGCTGTTGAGGCGTGTTCCAGCCGGTGAAGGCGCCTTCGACCTTGCGGCTACCAAGTCCGGCTTGCTCTTCGATCCAACGGCCATGTGCCATGGCCTGCTCCTCCACTTGTCTGCCGTAGTGGGAGGCATGTGCACTAATCTGGTCTCCATATTGCTGCGCCTGCTCCGTGATGCGTTCACCGTACTTTTGGGCCTGGGCCGCCAAATTCGAGAACCAGCCCAAAGGCCCCCCTTTCGGGCTCTCATACTGCTGGGCGTACTGCTGATTGTTCCAGCCCCACTGCTGATACTGCTGATACGGGTACTGGTAAACATGAGGATTCGCAGGATGGAAGAATCCAGACGCCGTCTGCGGCGAAAGGTAGGGCGCTGCATTTGCCGCCGGATTCGGATACCCATACGGCGAGGGCATTTGCCCGGGATATCCTGGCTGTTGTGGGTATCCAGTTGCCGCGGGGTACATGTTTGGCTGTAAAGGTTGACCCCGCCCAGCTTCTGGAGTCTGAGCGCTTCTATTCTCCTGGGATGCTCTTGTCGCGGCTGGGTAGCACCTAGGACAGAGCGGCGACGCCGGTGCAGTCCGGGGATCTGTCACATAGAAGAAAACGATTCGGACCGCGCGTGGCTCGAAAAAGTACTGGTTCCACTCCATCATGACTGTGGCGATGCGCCTTTCGCGCTCCTCATCAGTCTCCTGCGGTCGATCCTTCCTATCTCTCCGGATCTCCGCCCTCACTTGACGCGGGAGCTCAGCAGACGAGGACGCAAGACCCAAATGCGGCGGAAACAGGTGCCGCAAGAACATATCCCAATCCTGCTGGGCGATGTTCTCCAACCGCGGGCTCCAGCATCGTGGGCGGCGTGGGAAATCCTTAGCCTGACTGCGCGGGTAGATGGTGATATGATGCTCTAGAGTCTGCTCCGCCGGTTCAATGACAGGAGCCGGCCGCTCCGCAAAGTAAGCGGCAGCAGACGAAAAGTGCATTGGGAGTACCTCAGAAGGTCCCCCCGCACTCGGCGCCAACAGTGGCGCATTTCCACCACGGAGATGGAGAGCACTGGGGTTTGCATTCGATGATGCTGCATTGCGGGTGCGATTCGCCTGTGCAATCAGAGGGTCCACGGCGGAGTATGGCGGCGGCGGAACCTCGTCAGGATCCATGTTGAGAACCGTTCTCCCTCTACGGGATGTTCACAGGATAGTCCGATAGAGAGCCCGCTGCACTAATCAGTCGATATACATAGCGTGGAGAATACGACGAGGGCGCTTTCCACCCTGCGAGGGCGCGTACTGTTGAGTCCTTGAAGATTGTGGACGTGCAAGGCAGCAGCATTAAGAGGCGAGCGGTGACTGGTCCGTTCCACCACCGCACGGGCACGAGGGGCGACACCAAGGCAGCTTCGTCTGGTGACCCAAGGGAAATTGACTCTAGCAGATCGGAATTTCGAAAGAATATTCTAGGATATCAAAAATCGCGATGAGTGGAACTGAGACTCGTGACGCTGGGCGGAGAATCCATGGCGGGGATCACGGGGCTGCCGCGTTCCGATTGGTCAGGCTTGCGCCACTTTATACATCGTAAGAATCTATGGGAATTGGGAACTTCAAGCAACGATGCTGGTTCTATAGACAGCGTATTGGTATCAAGTCTATCCGGCCTATGTACACATGGTATCTCATCATCCTCGCATAACCGTTCAGACGCCCAAACTCCAGCGAACGCTGACAACCTATAAAGACAACTGGAGCGAAAAGTACATGCGCTAATCCCACGCATCACCCCATCCATCTTCCTCATCTTCGTCCTTCGGCTTCGTATCAATTTTCTTTGCCGGTGCAGCCTTAGGCTTTGATATAGTGCTAGGGCTGGATGTCCGCGGAATTGAGGTAGTGCGCGACGTATTCAACCCCTTCGGCAAGGGTTTCTTTGCTTTCGACTGTGCTGCAAGCCATCCGGCGAAGTCGGGTTCTCCGCCATCATCGTACGGGACGGGACTTGCTTTCGGTTTCGAGGTAGTCCCGGTAGACGCGACGGGTGTTGGAGCATTGAATGGATCTTCGTTATTGCCCCAGCCATCCTCGTCTTCGTCATCCATAGCTCCCCATGCGTCGTAAACGTCATCCGCCGGCTCTTCTGCCTTTTGTACGGGAGTCGGCTGCTCCGATACCGAGCGGTTCAAAGACTGAGTTGCGGGCCGCAGTGGGATTGACTGAGTCGAAGGCGCAGGGGACGTTGCCTTGGCCGGACGGGGCAGGGATGCAGAGCGCGCGGTTTCATCGGATCGCTTAGCACCCGTGGCTTGGATATCTCCATCGGCAGCTGCCATCTTGTTGGTAAAGGAGGAGATGGCCCATCCCGCCCAGGATTTATCATTAGACGTCCCAATGCGGGCGGCTTCCGTGGGGGCGTCAGGGCTGGTAGCTGGCGGCAGGACCGTATCGGCCATCGTGCTGCCGAATTTCCGAACACGCTGTAGGTATAGATCTAGTGTTTTGTTGGCTTGGTCTCGTATTAATCTATGCCATATTAGTGTTGTTTTTCTCGTGGTGTACTTGCAAAAAAACATTGGTAACGCACTTCTCCCGGTCCAAAAGAGCGGGGCATATCGCTGGTAGCACCTTAGTGGCGCAGTCTTCCTCGGAGAAAACATCCAACGTTGCGGACAGCGCCAGCAAGCCGGCATTTCTGGCATGTAGAAAGGGATCTCGAAGAGCACGCGTGAATGCAGCGACAAGCACTTTGGCTCTTGACTACGACGCTGTTAGCACCGGCTTAGACCTGAGCCTCATTTCACTTACACCTTGACCTAGGTTCTTTGCGATCTTCCCCAAGCAGATGGTCGTATTGGTACGTATACCCGGCTGTTCGTCGTTGGCTGTTCGCGCAAGGAATTTGAGAAGCTCGCCGTTGATTGTTCGATCACTTAGTTTATTGATTATAGGCAAGACAGCTTTGACCGTTTGTTCTCGAACAACAGGCGCCGCATCAGTGAAGCCGGATGTCTGCAAAGTAAGCGTCAGTCTTCCAGTTCATTTCATGGATAACTGGTGGTTACCATTTGAGGAAAGATCTTGTCGTTGACGATTTTCTGAGGCAGATTTTCTGCCATCACTGGCAGATGATCCAACAAGCAAACTCGAATGGCTCGATCAGGGTTCCCAAACAAGCGAACAATAACTGGAGTCAGCTTGGAGTTGAATTCGTCCTGAGACAGCTTGCCGCCAATCTTCAGGATAGCGGACAGAACCTTTGGACCACCTCCGCCAAACTCGACCGACTTCAACAGTTCCGGTAGTACTTTCATCTTGAAGAAGTCTTCCGGAAAGTCATCTGATAGACCATCAAGTTCACTAGATAGTCAGTACACAACTCAAGCCGCATATGAAGTGCACTCACTTGAGAAACTCCTCCCTCTCAGCCTCGCTCTTGAGACCTAAACTATCGATATCGTCGGTTAATCGGATAAGAGGTGTCTCGAAGAACCCGCCCGTCTTCTTCCCCTGCTCTACAAAATGCGCTGCATTAAGTCGCAACTTCGGATTGGCCGTGCCGAGGCGTTTATAGCTCTGGTGCATGCTAGGCGGGATATTTGTCGTTCTACCCACTTGGTCCCCGCCGGTAAAGTTGCCGTTGAAGACCTCGTATACCAATATCGCAAGGCCGTACGAGTCCACAGCTGTTAGCGGGTGGCGTTTCACCGCATCCCATCCGCCCTTGACAATCTCCGGTGGAGTGTACCGTGCGGCGTCCGGTACAAGGCTGCCATATGTCTGCCGCGTGTTAGTCTGAAGACAATGAAACCATGGGAATGATACGGACATATATAACCGCTTGGTCGTCATTCATTGAGCTTAGAATGTCGAAGCCTCCTAGCTTCCATTCCCCGCTCTCACTTGTGAACACCGACGACGCGCGAATGGCGCCGTGGACGGACGCGGCATCTCCGTTGATGAACTTGAGCGTAGACTGAGGACAAGCAAGTTAGCACCGAGCAGTTTCCTAAGAGCGGAAGAAACGTACCGCTACTGTATATAATCCCCACTTGGCTGTCTCCTCGCTTATACTCCTCCGTTTTACATGCCAGGAAAGGGGAACCACTCGCTCGGTCACGATATAGATAGTAGTCTCCGTCTACACCGCGTTAGTATAGTCCTTATTTGCATTTAGAGCGGCGACGAAGTACCTCAATGGTATCCAAGACCTTAAGAACCCCGGGATGTCTCAAAGTTCGTGACTTCCGTACAGCGTTCTTCGCAAGTGGCAGGCGGGATTTGTTAGACGCAATTTCGAAAGTAAAGATACTGCATGCCGAGCCATCTTCCTATATATGTCAAGCAGTTCGCATGAAGTCAGCCATGTCCATGGGCAGCATCGCTTTGATAAGTAGATAGCTTGCGTACCCTTTTGGTGGCATTGTGAAGTGTCCAGATCGAATCAGCAATGTCGACTCGGTCGCCGAGCGAATAGGGGAATGAGCTGCCCTTGGCGATCGCAGATGCGACCGCGGATTTGAGGAAGTCCATCACAAATATCGGGTATCAGGATCAACGTCGTCGGCGGGTTGGGGCGCAGGGCGGTTGCTAGTTTATTTGGTCTTTTCGGAGGTGCCGCCGCCGCGGAAGTGTCGAGTGTCCGCAAGGATGAAAGGCGAGAAAGCGAGCAGAGATCCGGAGATGGAGAGCCTCTGGGCTTTGACCGTGACCGAGTCTGGACTATTCGAATCTGCCAGAGCAGGAGAGCACACAATAATCAAGCTCACAGCGGAGATGCCTTGACTCTTGGGAACCTGTGGCTGCCATGGAACCTCGCCCCCGATCTGGCTTAGGCTCGTCTGTCTTCCTCCGCCATTATTGCTGGAGCTCCGGAGCTCTGTTCTTTTTCTTCCCTCAACAAACACAACGACGATAGCCAGGAGTAACAATATGGCACCCGGCTAACCTTTCGCCTCTTCAGGCTCTCCAGGTCTTCTTGAGCTTTCCTACACAGGTCCAACTGAGTAAGTCTCCAATTTCTCTTTCTATTTTTCCGAAAATGCACCCACCCCCTCTCCAATGATGCGACACTGGTAAAAGGTCAGACCGCGCTACTCAGTCACCATCCCACAACAACACCGATGGAATGCCCGCTCGACATGCCCATGCTCGCCCTTCACAACCGACGCGCGCGAAATCCCTCCACCACCAATCCACCCTCCTCTCGTGAACATCTATCCAGCCCGACAGCCCCCCAATCCTCCTTCCAAACCACCCACCGCCGACCTACATTTCTCCCTACCTATCCAAACATCCATACAAAGCGCAGGCACATGCTCTGAAAAAGGCAAACAAGGTCGCAGTCGCGAGACCCACGACTCCGTGCTTCCATACCTTGGAGAGCCATGTGTACAACAGACAAACACAACGGGCCGCATTTTGGGGTTTCTCGTCCGCTTTTTCTCCATGAGGATTTTGCAGAAACTAATGGCTGCGGCGCACATTCTGCTTTGCTCGTGTGGGAAATCTATCTACTGCGCGGATGTCTTGGCGGCTGGGTTAGTTGGTCGCTGGTGGTGCTGGTGCAGGAGGATGGATCGGGGATTCTGTTGTCGGTGCTGGGTGGATTGAAGCGAGGCGGAGTGTGTTGAATTGAGGAGGAGTGGAATTTGCGTGTTGAGGTTGTCTGGCTTGCTTGGGTTGAGTGAGGATTGTACCGCGGTGGGGATGGTTGGTCTGGGTGAATGATGACCAAATTATAAACTGAAAAGACCTGAGGAGACTGCCTGTTATATCCCC